AAACAAAGTGATCAAGGGTTGGCCTCGTGTTCACGGGCCTCCCTCAAGTAACGTAAATGCGGCGTGCTCATGCCAGTGCAATTCGCTCAGATCACACGACTTTAGCTGCGTGATTATGCAGTCAAAACAACTGAAGACGCACGTGGTCACGTACGACTTCAGCCAACAGATGCGTCCCAGCATGATATGCGGCGCAGTATAACAGCAGTCGAGGTTCAAGCTCGGAGTTTCCGTTTTCAAAAGTTTTTCAAGTCCGACCCAACCAGAAGCACAAAGTTCCCAGCAGCCAAAACAAGTCTGGGACTAAAAGGTGCTCTCTTTTATAAGTATGCACATTCCGACGGATACTCTTATTGCGAGCAAACCACAGGTACTCGCAGTACGTTTCACACGAGTTTGACGACAGCAGAGCAAGGCGGTTTTTGTACATTTTGCGGGTTTTTGTCGGCAGCAACTTCGGGCTACCGAGTTTCAAGATCGATCTCTAACGGACCTTTAGCGACATTCGACGGATCCCCATCGAGTTTCAAGATCGATGAGGGCAGCGGAAATCCCTCAAGTTTCAGCGTTGTTTGAGCGACTTTCGAGAGCAGAGACGCAGGATAGTTTTGCAGATTTTCGACAACTTTCAAGTCATATTTTGCAGCAAGTTTGCTACCTTTTTGCATGAATCCGCACCCAGATAGCGGGTTCTCTTAACTTCGCACAGGCACCCTGTTGAGCACACCGTGGTGCATTTGCCAGCCACCAACTTCCCTACCGAGTGGAAGAATTGGCGACCAAGCAAATACAGCCGGACCAGAGAACTAACACACTAAAAGTACGCACTTCTGAGGACAGCAGTGAGCCAGCTGCTTTCTAAACGAACTATCTCTACGCTTCTACCTTACCTATGGGCAGATAAAACTAAGGACCAAAAAAGTTATTGTTTAATGGCGTCAAACATTAACCGGCCGCAAGACAGACAGTTCTGTAGCGTGCCTCATTCACTCCTTCCACGGATTTACTAGTCCTCGAGTTACCGTGAACTCGGCACCATTAGGGGGAGGGGTGGATGTAACCAGAACTGACAGTCAAGAGTTGTCAAGAGAACTGGCACGTTGTGAAGGTCCAAGTGCGAAGTCTGAAATCGGTCATGTATGACAGAACTTCGCATGAGTTTTAGACGTTTGTCAGCGAGAGCAAGCTAGTTCAGTTCAGAACGTAAGAACGGCGTGCACGTAAGTACAAGCACAACAAAGAAGCACGACAAAACAACACTGAGACTCCTGAACGATTCTCAACCTAAGATCATCCTTCGACGATGTAGTCTACGTTTGTTTTGAGTTAGATTGTAACTACGTTTTCACGTATATGCAAGTAAGCAACACGTAAACAACAAAGTGAGTAAGTTTCCTGAAACTTGGCCACAACTTGAACAAAGTATTCAAGTGTTCACGCAATCCCAAATACATGGATGGCAATTGTTGCGTGGAGAGAACAGTCAATTTCGGTTACAGTCGCAATGTAAAAGTCTGCAAAAAGTGGAAATGTTGCAGAATTCAATGGAGGCGTTCTAAGCTCCTCCCTTGAGAATTTAAGAAATTTGCTCCCGTGCGCCTCTATCGAGGGTCTCCTGGCGCCTACCGCGCCCTCCCCTCCTTCCCAACCCCGACGCGCGTCGCGGAGAAGACACCGCGAAGCGCGAGTGGCGGCGGAACGCGATCGGCCATCGCACGCCGGTGGCACAGCCTGATGCGGGAGGGCGACTGCACCTGCCGCGAGAAGCGGGCGCAATACCAGCGAGCCATCGGGCCGTCTGCCGCTAGGTACTGGCATTTTCCATCCCTCGGGCAAAAGGTGCCGCAACTGGTGCCCGCCGCCCCGATGCTGGCGCATGTCGGGCGGAGTCTGCTGCCCTCTGAACCGCTTGCCCCCTTGGTTCCGCAGGGCCCCCTGCTTGCTCAAGCATTTTGTGGCAACGCCCGCCCGGTGTTCGAAACTGCTCCACGCGCCCTTCCCTCTTTGCGCCTTCGCAGCAATCCGAAGCGGTTATATATTCATGTAAATTCGGTGATGGCTTCTTTACGTTCCTCCACTGCTCGCTAATAGGTGCATCAGAGGCTGCAAAGAGTAGAAGGGGGTCGAAGGATGGTTCGCCATTCTGATCCCAGTCACGTACCTAATTGCGTGTGCTTTGTATGATCGGTATATTTTTTGAGGTATCCTATCGTTCGAGATTATTTTGCGCGTCTCAGTTGCTGCGGCTTGTGCCGCCCCTCGGGCTTCCGATGTGGGTGCGGGCACTTCTCGCCATCGACCTTAAAGGCCACCGGTGCGAAGCGACGAAGGCGTCGTGACGGTGACCCTTCTTCGCTCTTACTGCGATCTTTGTGGCAAAGAATGCGTCGCGCCTATTTTTCTGGGAGAGGCGGGAGTGCTGCGCGCGCTTTTTTTGCTCTCGTGTTGCCATTATCTGTTGATGGAGGGAGCGACGGCTACGCGGGTCCGCTAATCTCGGATACTGACGATCGACAAGAGGCTCAGGTGGTTGTCGGCGATGGCGATCCGACTGGCGAGATTGAGTGGCCACAAGAGGCGACTCACGGCGTGCCGGTTTGGAAATGCGCGCAAACCGAGGGAGAGTGCGATGCGCCTTTCATGTCTGTCACTGCCACCAGTATGTTGCCGAGTGACTTGAGCCTCGATCTCGGCTGGTCTTCCGCCACACGATGCATACCGAAAGAGCTTCCTCCCGCGGGGTTGAACCTCTCTCCCATAGACGCCGAGCGACAAATGCGCGATGCGCCGCACCTTTTCCCTTCGCGAAGCCAACCGCCACCGAGACGCAACACACCCTCAGACGACTCGTCACGAATAGACGTCAACTACGGGGGGCGCGAAGATGCGCTCCAGCTTCACAACGTGGACCCACATAGTGAGAGTTTGCGCGGACGGAATTGCGGACGCCGTGTTACAATATCGTGCACGCAGCTTCCCGGGTATCAGGTTCGCCCGACTGCGATGGAGCATGTGCCATTTCCCGCTGACGAGGCTCGAAACTCCTCCGCCCTGCGCCGCGTGGTGTCCGCAGCGCAGGTTGCCCTCGACTGTCCTGTCTCGAAAGTGTTGAATTCCTTCACGGTGCCTTTCGACATCACGGTGCCGCAAGATCCCCAGTGGCTCTGGTCTTACGTCGGGATGGGGTCTTTCTGCACGTGGGACGAGTGGTTCTCGGATGAACGCGACAAGGCCGAGGGGCCTCGATCTAACGCTGATGACAGTGCCACGACCATTGCTTCTGGCGCTCGTGCATGGGACTACGCGCTTGCCGACGTGCGAGCAGATGACCTCTTCAACAGCGAGCACCCCATGTTCGGTCCCCTCAACGGGTGGCTACAGCTCCACTACGTCGTCAAACGAGTCAGCGCGGAGAGAATGTGGTATGAAAAGCGCGTGGAAGACCTTGTGCGGAAACTTCGGCGGGCAAAGTGGAAAACGCTGCCTGGTGGACAGGTCATTTCCGATTGGCTGCTTTTCGATAGGGGCGGCAACGTGCTGGACTTCCTGCCAGACTGTCCGAGGCAACACAGGCGAGAAGAGCTTGAACGCCGTCGTCGTCTTCTTGCTACGGCAGAGCTGGAAGAAGAAGAAAGCCATGACGACGGCGAGAGTAAAGACGAACAAACTTCTGGTGTTCCCTCTTTTGTCGTCTCAACAACAGAGCGCCACATGCAATTTACTGCAGCTTCCGAGAACAACGAGGATCAAAAGATCTCGCACGCACAAGCAGACAGATTTTTCGCGCGACACGATGTTTTCCGGACGCACATTCATACACACAATTATGTTCTCTCCCTGATCTTCGGCGTCATGCATGGGATGATGGAAGTCGTGCGCAATTATTGGATAGTGCGGGATATCATCGACAATGACCCTACAACATATCATATGTGGGCCAGTCTTCAGCAGCTCGCAAACACCCGACTGAGAGAGACGTTCGAACCTATCTTCCGGCATTTGCTAGAACCCTATGCACGCTTATGACAAAACTAAAAGAGTTCAAGGACGAAATATATGGCGACTATTTGATTTGTCTTTGGACATTGGTCACTGAAGTTTTTGGGCCACATGGTCTTTGATGAGTTCGTGTAGTGTCTACATTCTTTCTTCCACTCTCATGTCGTGAGGGAGCACCATCGGCTCTCCATACTTGGCTGCCGTCACTATTCGCGCTGCAGCGGTTAGCAGGGCGCGTCGCTCATCGAGTCTTTCGCGAAGCTCCTCCAATGTCGAGGGATACGTTCATATTTGGTGTGGGCGGTGAGCGCGTGAGGCTGGAGCGGCCGGAGCCTCTGACGGAGCGGATTATGGACGAGGCGAACACGTGGCTGCACTTGGCGACAAAGCTTGCAGAGACGGCGAGAGATCATCACCAGGAGACTGTAGATGATTTGGAGCAGAATCTTCGTGAAATACCTACAGATCCAAATCTACCTGACGAGAAAAAGTCGCCTTCTCTTTACAATTCAGAAAAGTCTTATGCTAGTGCCCTTGTACGGAAGAAGCTATATTTCATGGGCCCTGCGCAGTTTCTGTCGAGTCGGAAGCACGGAACAAGAAGGACCACGGCGAAATCAATTTATGCGCCCAGATTTCCGGATTGGTACCAGCGGGGACTACCTGTGTCACACCGCGTGCGACCCGGTGTCTGGTTCCACACACTAGGTGTTGATGCTTCGCTTCTGTATCTAGAGTCGGACTCGCTTGTGGTAGAAATTAACGCGAAGATGATTCCAGACGACAAATTATGGCGTTCCGATTTTATTCATTATAGTGATTTTGACTACCTCAAAAGATCTTCAGCAGAAGTTGCTTCGCACAACATCAAGTGTGAGATGTTCTTGAGTTAGAACTAGGAAGCCCTTCATCATATTTAGAGTGCGAACGCGCGATAGGCTTCGAAGAAGCTCCTGCTAGCGGCTCGAGTATTGTTTCTGGAATGAGATTTTCAAAAATGACCTGTTCACGGACGTTCTAACATAGTGCATTACGTTTGCGGAAGGCGAGCACTTGCAGACCGTGCCTCACAGCTATCTTGTCGGCTGGGAGTGTAGCTACGCTGTAGTAAAAGATGCTGGTACGGGTTCTGGTAGTGTTCGCGAGCCAAAAAATTCCAAAAAACAGGAGACACCAATAGAAGACGCACGTCTGGACGAGGAGGAGAATGAGTTTTTTGAGGCTGCGACAAATGAAGATGCATCGACTGATGTATATAGACAAAGCCAAGACCTCAAGGGGTTAGGAGCCGAAGAAAACGATTATGTTATCGAACATGATGATACTGAACAGCGCACATCAGGCAACGTTGCCTCAAGCAATCCCTGGCTGCGTTTAGGACTTCAGCGAGAGAAGTCTAGAGTACCGGACCATTCGTTGAATGACTTGTGGTCTGCCTCAACACTTACAGGAACATCGTCCAGCAGAGTGACAGGAGTGGTCGAAACATTTATGGCACGGTCCGCGTTGGCGCACAGTAACTTTGGGGACACTTTCCAGCTCAGTTGCCCAGTGGACTTGGCAGATTTGAAGAAGTACGGAGATGAAGGTACAACCACGCCTGGAGGAGGTGTGTCAAACACAGGGTTCTCTTTGCGTTTGCAGTTTCATTTGCGAGAGCATGAATTCTGGCATTCACGACTCCCAGACTTGCCGCTAGTCTGGCGAAACTTGGATGGGGGTAGGAGTCGAAGACGAGAGGAGAAATTTCAGAGTCCAAGGAGAGGGTCTGCAGCAGGTGAGGCGCTGAGAAATGCGAAGCGCTCAGAGCAGCAGGACAAAAGAAAGGAACGAAACGATCAAGCCTCAATCGATTCCAACGTGCTTGTTGCGCAACATACTGCAGGCAGCAACGTGGCAAAAACTTCCACCTTTCAACAAAATGCACGTTTCAAAAAAAAGGAGCTGCAGCCAGCGAGAGAACTACCAAGTAGACCCGCAATAGAAGAAGATGAACATCAAGAAGTGAATCCATTGCTATTCGTTTGCACACATCCGTTCTACCTATTAGACCAAGGAACAGAGCACCTTTTCGAAGAATTGTTTTTCCAGTGGATGACTTATAAGTTGGCGCTTGCGGAGCGCGTTTTCGTATATGATCTTGATGGTAGCCTGGAAGCTGTGTTGGGCAAGCATTTTTCGAAGCATCTCGAAGTGCGGTACGCCGAGGAAAGGTACTACAACTACCACGATATTACAGAAAGGAAAACCGACAGAGGGTGGTCGAACGAAGACGTAGAGGGAGAAAACGAACAAGGCCGTCAACATGGAAATAGAAGGACGCTGCTGCACGGTGAGGAGCCACGGATTGTCTATTTGCCCTATTTCAATCACCGCTTGCAAAAGCAGCTGGACCCCCACTCGTACAACGTCGCACTACACGCGCCTGCCCTCGAACATTGCCTATGGCAAGCACGAGCTGCTGACGCAGTGTTCGCGGTAGATGCTCACGGATTAGATACCTATTTGTCGACGGCCAGTGGCACAGCAGCGGACGTGCGCGCCACTTTGAACCTGTTCGAACGTCGCCGTCCGCTGCAGCACCAGGACACTGCCGCCGTCTTATGGGCGATATCCATGCCGTTTGGCGACCGTCCTGACAACCAAGCGGAACTCCGGAAGCTAGACGAAAAATTTAAAGACTATATTGTCGCCGACGATGCGGTGCCTAAGATGACCCGCCACCGTGAGACGGGGACATGGACATCTAGCGTATTGCGAGCGGCCTTTGAGGAGGAAGCGGACGATGATCTCAAACAAGAAACAAATGACGAGACTAGCACATCGATACTCCAGCCAACGACTAGTAGATCACCTTGTGTGCGTAGTGGGAAGTCTCGACTGGTGGTAGACCGTTTCGTACATCGACAGGACGTGAACATAACCTATCAGTACACAGATGCGGCTGCAGAGGACAAGGAACACGTAAAGGATTTGGGTCAACATCGAAACCTTTATCGAAATTGGCTACACCATGCGGGAAGTGCGGTGATGCGTCCAAAGCTCATCACGTCAGTGCAGGGAAGTCATTGGCCGCGTGTAAAAATAGGTCATGGAGCGTATGTGCAGATGCCGGTGGAATTATGAGAAAAAGTTCTTTCAGGTACTGCAAATATATTTTTGTGGGGTAAATATGCGTCTATGATTATTGTGGGGTTTGCGCTGCCGTTGACGGGTCTCTCATCCGCGCAAATGGCGCGATCCCTTAAATGCCTCACCTCTCGGAATAGCGGGGTCCCGTGTGTGCCTCGCGCCACGGGATGGCGCTCTCCTTTAAGTTCTCGCACCCGGGCATGTCGTACTTCCTGAGGTGTCGTGCGCCGCAGGATGGTGCTCTCCCTTAAGTGCCTCGTACCCCGGCATGTCGTACTTCCTAAAGTGCCTCGCGCCGCAGGATGGTGCTCTCCCTTAAGTGCCTCGCGCCGCGGGATGGCGGTTATCCTTAAATGCTTCGCTCAAGTACTTCGCGCCAAAAAATGTGTAGTGACTGCTTCACTTAGGCGCAGCGGCCCTTCACTAGTGATTGCCGTTTTACAGTCGCTGCGTCTTTTAAGTGGTGGCTGCTGCACTTATACGCGGCGTCGTTCAAAAGCTGACGTGGACGTCTGTGCTGAAGCGCGGCGTCGTTTAAGTGGTGACTGCTGCACTTATGCGCGGCGGCGTTTAAATGCCTCGCTTACGTAGTGACTTCATCACGTATGCGCGGCTTCGTTTAAGTAGTGACTGCACCACTTAAGCGAGTCGTCGCTTAAATAGTGACTCCATCACATAAGCGATGCTTCGCTTGCGTAGTGACTGCTGCACTTAAGCGCGGCGTCGCCTAAGGAATTGCACTTGAAAGCTTGAGTTCGTTTCTTTACTGATGCCCGCTGCACGAATTTCAATGCCTAGTAGGTGGCCGGTCTAATAGGAAAACTGCGGATGCACCACTACGTAGACATCTTCGGGCCACGGTGCGTTGGCTGTACAGACCACGACGCCGCCTTACAAAGCAGGGGAGGGAAGGTCGACATTGACGACGATTTTTGGCGGGAGATTCGCGTTCGGAAAAAATTGCAAGTCAAGAAGCTCGGACAGCGGACTCTTGCAAGAGAACAATTTGTTCAAAGGCAGGAGCAATGACTTGGAGCCGTATTACCGTTTATGATCCCTCACTCCTCAAACACTTGATACGAATTTTAGACATCCGACTTGCTTCAAACACTCGATACTCTGGATTAGCTTCTTCGTTATATATGTTTTAGGGCTGCACGGTCCCCCCCCGTGTGGCTGGCCCTGTGGTGGCGCTCGCGCGCTCTTTTCCGCGCTGATTTTCGCGGATTCCAGTGGTGGAAGGCGTCAAAACGGGGCGCGGGCGTCCCCTTGCGCCTCTCTGCATGTTCCTCAGGGGCCTCCTGGCCTCTGCTGACCCTCGCAGGCCGGAGGCCTCCGGGGTAAAAGGCCGCCGAAGGCGTCCACGGTCTCAAGAGCAAGCAAGCCGATGACCAAGGGCCCGGAGGGTACAGGCCACACGGCTCAGGGGGTCCAGCCCCTCGCCCTTTGCCGCCTTCGGAGGCCTTCCACACCCGGCGCACTGCCGCGGCGGCGAAGCATCGAGGAGGCATGTAGGACATAGGCAGGCAGCTGGAAGGGGGCGGCGGCGGTCCCTTGGGCCCCTTTTGAAGCCTTCCACCTACGTTGGAGGCCTGTAGGGTACAGGCAGGCAGCTGGAAGGGAGCGGAGGAGGCCCCTTGGGCCCCTTTTGAGGCCTTCCACCCCCGGCCGACGCCTTCAAAAGCCCGGACCCCTGGATCATATATACATCTGCATCCTGGAGATGCATCATCCTGCCATGAGATTACATTCTTCAAACAGTTGATACTAGGGGTGCTTCAAATGCTGCTCAGTCAGAGGTTACGTTCTTCAAACAATCGATACCCTAGATTCATCAAACGCTTGACCTGAGATTACATTCTTCAAACAACTGATATTCTCCGTAGACTTCACTTGTCAAACGCTTGAGACTAGAGACTGCATTCTTCAGACGCTTGACTGTCTGCTGCGCACATAAATTTCGTGAGAACTACTCGGCTTTCGATACTGCTCAAATGTCGGGCTTCACTGTGCGCTGAATCGTTGAGCCACGTCTTTTTCCGACATGCTAGATCGGTCTTGGTAGTGAGCCTGAATTGGCGACGATCATGGACATCCGCTGGATCACAGTACACTATTTGTTATCGGTGAAAGTAGTAGTGAGTGTCCCTGTCGGTTCGAGATCTGTATGAATGGATTGTCTCTGTTTGTCGGTAACGTTACTCTAGAAATAGGCTCGATCCCGATACCAACGAGAGATAAGCATGTGCTGTTCGACTCTTCCAACAACTCGCCACCGAAGATACTGCTCTAATTGATCTTTCTGCGTTCGCCGGCTTTCCTTGTGCTTGTAAAGTACTTGTTCATCGAAAGTTTATTTATTCCGGACTCACTCATGATTATCTCAGGGTTTCGCTCTCGACATGGATCTAGCAAATTTGTGCCGAAATCATATGTGGGGGATATCAAGTTCCAATTGTCATTTTTGACTTTGTTCCACTATCTCGATATTAGATTCAGAGTTTAGAGAGCCCACCGCGGTGGCCCTTCGTTCTTGTTTCGTAGAAAGAGGTACAAGAATGTCCTTCGGTTCCAATTCCGATTTTCTCTGGGCAGTCTCATATGCGTGTGTCGGCTATGTGGTGTACGTGTTTTTGGGCTCCTTGATGTTCGGGCCGCGCAAAACTACAGAGAAAGCTGCAGACGCGGTTTTGAACGATGACCAGGGAACAGGAAGCTTGCTCGCAATTGCCTCGAGGATTCTACCCGACAGCATCTTCAGGAGAATTGCTCCGCACGCAGTATCTACTTTTGCGTCGCAAGTTAGTGCCGACGCAACATTCTTAGAAGAAGACGGAACATCGAACGGCGCAGATAGTGACGAGGCAGCTCCCTCCACGACCAGCTCATCGCGAAATAGACAAGCTACGACGCTTCAGAAGTCCTCGCCGACGCCGAAAAGTAGGGGGGGTCAGAACTCGGACTGCAAACGCACGTCCAGTGTTCGCAAGCGAAAAGGGACGAAGAAGAGGACAGAGCATCCATCACCAGTTCGAGCAGGCGAATTAGACGAGCCAGAGGAAGTCGAGGATCAAGAGGGAGGACTGACTGGTGCTTCGGACACGAAGATTGGAACAACAACACGAACTTGCTCATCGAAAGGAGGAGCCAACAGCATGGTGGCTGCCATTTCGCAAGCGCTTTTCGGCTTGTCTTTTGGAAAAAAGACCGCTGAGAAGAATGTTGCGGACAAGGCGGAGGCTATTGTCGACGACGCGAAAAGCGGCGGTGTTGGTGTCGACGCTCCTGCAGGTGTCGAGCATCTGCGAGCACGTAAGTCGCTGCGAGCCGCCTACAGATACTATATCGTGGGCGGATGTCTTTCGGGGTCGCATCTCGTGTATCTCGAGCGCAATGTGCACGCTCTGCTTTACGGTTGCACCGGAGGATTCTTGGGAGTCGGCGTGCTGTTCGATCTCCTCTTTCTTTGGTACTACGTCCTCCGATACAACAAAAAACACCTGCATCCTCGCAGCCGACAGTCCCCGAGTGTCGTCCGTAACGCGATTTGTGGCATAGTGTTGACGGGTACTGAAATTGGATGAAAGCAGGAGTACCTGTTTGAGAATCTTTTTATAGAACACGGAGACGATGTTGCTGCAAGTTTTTTTTTACGACAGGCTGAACGTTCTACTAACACCTTCTAGATGGATCAATTATTTTGCTTTTGCTGATTTTCTTCCCGTGCATACTACTAAACAGTTGTAACTTACGTGGTGCTATTCGGCGGAATTTTTTTGTTTTTGTTCTGGGCACCGTTTGCGTACGAGTGGATGACGGGTACGCACCTGGAGGGAGGCTCCGCGGTGGAGGATCCTTACCGAACCCTAGGCCTCAGCCGTGGCGCAGGCACTAGTGAAGTGAAGCAGGCTTTCCGTTCGCTCTCGATGAAGTATCACCCAGACAAAAATCCGGATTGTTCTGAATGTGCCGAGAAAATGGCCAGTGTAAACCGTGCACACGCTCTAGTAAAACAGCAATTACGGCGGAACTCGCTCCTCGCAGCCTTTGCAAAAAAGGCGAGCAAGTCAACTGCATCCTCCTCTTATGAGGACGAAGAGGGAGAGCTCAGTACAACCGCGGACGAACCTGAGGCGGAAGATGCGGATGCATCATCGGGCGAGATGAACAAGGACACCAGAAGTACATCAGCTAGTAACCGGGACCACCAAGAAGGGGAGGATGGCGCAATCGATCCAACGAGCAGTGTGAATGAGACGTCGACGAAAGCGGGGAATAGAAAGAGGAAAAAGAAGAAGAGAGCACCGACAGGATGGGACCGAACGTCTGACGATCCACCCTCCTTTTGGCAAATGCTCGTGGATGGTTACAACTACGATGGCCCGCTCCTCATTCGTTCAAACGACAGTATCTCAATACAATTTGTTTCTTCATCGATGTTGATGATAGAAGGGGCTGGTATGCTAGCCTGTGTTACACTTCTTCATGGAATGGAATGGATAGAAATGTCTTCTTGTAGCCACACGACAGACTTTATTTTGATTTGCAGTGCAAACTTCCCAATCTCTACAACTGCAGATCCGTTCGTGAAGTACGGGATGAAGCGCCCTTTCCTCGAGAGTTACCCGTACTGGCAAGCGTACGAGGATAAATGGTCGAGCCTCTACCATGTGAATAAGGAGTATGTCGACGCTTTTATGGGGTGGCTTGACGAACTATCGGGTGGCAAGGTAACTGAGGCGACGCGAGAGGCGATGAGATCAGCGCAAGCTGGTTCTCGCTGATGACCACTACGACATGGAGATGGAGCTGTGAAAAATGCTGAACTTTTTACTTGATTATGACCATTCTCTCATGAGACACACGGAAGAGAAATACTGAAGAATATCTGTAGCTTCAGAATCTGAAATTTATTTTCAGGTAGGAAAATCAGGTGCCTTCACTCCTAAGTAAAACCAATCATGACACGCCCCCTTATACACGCAAGACTGCCCTCCTCGTCGTGGGTGAATGCTGGTCAGTGTGGCAAATTAGATACACATTTAATGACAGTGTCATCGAAACTAGAACATACTTGTTGCTTTCCCAAATTCATCAACCAAATTTTCAGCAGACAAGTAATTCGATGCTGAAACTTCTGCTAGAACTGTTACCAGAAAGAAAAGCACCCAAGACCACTGCATTTAAATTTCGTACTAAGACTAGGTCCCAGTTCAGACACAACCAGGACACTACCTACTGTTCAAAGAACAATGTCACGCTTCAGGACGTATTTTTTCATATTGAGAACATACGATGTGATAGTGGTCTTGCTAATCAGAACTCTTTGCAGTCGCACTTTTTGGGGACCAACGTCAACAACTTCAATAATGGCGAAGTCTGGGACAACACCACGAAAAAACGTGATCAGATTAAAAGCAAACAGCCAAAAACTCATGAAGCAAATGATGATGGCATCGCTAATCATCACCAGGATTTGTTCTCGAGCAAAGCAATGTTGCGCCGCAGCAGAACAGAAATGCGACGAGGCCCATCAGAGAGAATCGATGAGAATACGACCAGAGATCAAGCAAGACAACGAGCTTCCCTAGTAGAAAGAATCATAATAGAAGAAAAACAAAAAGCAACGTCCGAGATCCCAGCTCATCCGAAAGCATCAAGCCATGAAGGCTCGGAGACGGATCCTGATCGCGCTCTACCGTGTCGCAAACAGTTAGTGAGCGCCGGCCCTGGTCCTTCAGACCAAGCAAGACGAGTCCCAAAATCGCTGACGAATAATAATACTCGATTAAAAAACGCCATCACGAAATCAGTCATTGACGAAGGAGGTCGCGATGCTAGCCCAAAATCAACACTGCCGAAGTTCAAGCTTGAAAACGAAGAAGCGCACGAACCTGAAGAATGCCAGATGGGAGTTAAAGTGGCAACGGTCAACATGGGATCCTCCCACTTAGGTACGGAGAAGCTTGCGGCCGTTCTCAGAATAGCTAAGGTGAGGAAATGGGGGCTGGTGGTGCTAACAGAATTTGAGTACGTTTCTGACGAAGCACTTCGATCAGGACGAGCAGTGGACCAATATGGAACAAGGGAAGCTTTACTACAAGATGATCTCGCGCGCAGCCTAGGTGAAGACTCCTATGGGCCAAGGATATTGCACAAAGTGATGCCGATGGACAAAGCGCTTTTGGTTGTAACCAGTGGAGTAGCAGTGTTATTGGTAGATCGAATGCTAATAGATCAGCTCAACTATGCGATGAAGGCCAATCGAGACGGCGGTGGAACCAATGAGCCAATAACAGCAAGAAGGCGGGTTCTTTCTCTCTACCTCAAAGAAATTGTGATACATGCCACGTACGCGCCCACAACTGCAGCATCAAAGCAAGAGAAGAACAACTACCTACAGGCGTTAGAAGCAGCGGTGCGCGACTCGAGGCGTAGGAGAAAAGATCGTTGGAAGACCATTCTACTCGCAGGCGACATGAACGTGCAAGTCACTAGAAGACACGCACAGGAGGCGCCTGCGAATGTCGGAGAACACGTGCCACCGATAAACCCAAGGAGGGAGAGAGAAGCTGACGACTTAGTAGCACTTGCGCGGGCTCTCAATCTGGTACACGTGGCTTCACAATTCGAAGTACGAAGTGGTGACGAGGTAGATGCGCTAAGCTGCAGGGCAACATTCAGAAGAAACGGCCAGATGTCGGAGATTGACCACATCTGGATATCTGGCGCGGACAAGCACAGGCTGCAGGAAATAGAATTCGTTGACATGAATAGCCTAGTGCATCTTGGTGAGACCGAAGCGGGATTCGATCATCGCGCGCTAGTACTTAGCACTACGTTTCGGACACGAGCTGAACTGCACCTAGATGGCGCCGCAAAGAAAGCCTCGAGCATGGTTTTTGACCCTGCACCACAACACAACGATCTCGAAGACTTCAATCAAGAGCTAAAAAAGCTGACGGCAGAGGCAGGCGAAGAAATGGATCTAGAGCTAATGCGGCGTTACATGGCACACGCCGCACCAAGGTTCCTCGTTCCTCGTACAGCACCCCCAGCGTCGGCCGCCAGTGACGATTATGACCCAAGCAAAAAAACGCTAGCACAAGTTTGGGACTATCTCAGAGAGGCTGGAGTGGCAGTTAGACACTCAGGAATTGGGATCACACCTGACCAAGCCAAGGCGAAATACGACCAGGTAGGGAACTCGCCCACAACACCAGGTCCCTGGATACCGATCCACGACGAAATGTGCAATCTAGTGAAAGAAGCCCCCGCCTCAGAAATGCAATTTTTGTCGATGCCCATTACTCCCGAAGAGATCAAGGAAAACCTCAAGGCCATGAAGCTCGCGGGCGCCAAGGACGGCGATGGGCTATGTGTCCGGATATTTGAGTACCTTGATCAGGAAAGCCTAGCAATATTGGCGCGCCTCCTTACCGAGGCGGTTTCAAAAGAGGGAGCAATAGAAGAACTTGGTGAGCCGTTCAACACTTGCCGCGATATTCCCCTTTACAAAGGAAAAGGCCCCGAGAATGAGCCTGATAATTACCGCTTCCTGGTAATCTCTCCGGTGCTGATTAAACTGCTGTCGCGTATCTTTGGGGCGAGGATGACGATTTTTGCTGAGAGATCTCTTCTCCTTCCAGGTGAACAGTACGGATTCCGCAAACAAAGAGGAACATTAGGGGCGCTCACCTTGTTCTCGCGATTGAAGGAAGACATGGCGCACGCACGAGGGCAAGGAGCTAAACGATTGATCATGTCAATGATCGATCTCCGCAAGGCCTTTCCATCGCTTGATTGGAGGCTAGTAGAGGGCATCTTCTCACAAATGGGACTGAAGGAGACTCCACTTTGGAGGATGTTACATGCGACACACAGAGCAGCGCGGCATACCTTTGGCCAGGGTGTATTCGGATTATCTCATGGTTGCAAAGAGGGATGCCCCACGAGCCCCACCCTGTTCGTCTTGTGTTACTCAGTAGTGATAAGGTACTTTCGCTTACTGGTTAGTAGATCACAAGTAAGCGCTGGCATCGCGCTATTGTCAGAAGGGAAAGGCTGGACAGCCAGTAGAGAAACGAAAATCAAGCGCGCGCTCTTCCTGGATGAAGATCTGGAGCCTGAGGAAACGAAAAGGGGCAAGGCTGACGAGGAGGAGACCAAGCTAGACATGATTCTGTTTGCCGACGACACCACTCTGTTTGAACAGATGACCGAAGAACAGTGTGCGTATTTGGAAGAAGCCATCGCTAAAGCGGAAAAAAACAATCAAACCCCGCCGCACACGCCGCTAACAAAGAAACTAGCGGAGGCACTTGAGGGCTCAGGCATGAGAGAAAACGCAGCAAAACGCGCGGTCGCTGACATACTCAAGATTGACGAGCGAAATCTTGGCATGCAGACCTCTTCTCCGAACGATGTCAGCATAAAGATAGCCAAAGCTTGGCGCGCTTTATTTGGCTTAAGATCAAGGCTTTCCGGGCTAGGTGGCGTTGACGCTCATCGCAGGGGCATGCTAATTATGGCGGTAGTTAGGAATGTCCTCACATATGGGTTACAAGCAAGGCATGTCCCAGAGCAGGAGCTAGCAGAATTAGCCGAGGCCGAATATCAGATGATGGCAGTACTACTGGGGGTCCCCATGTGGAAGCTATGGAAAAAGTTGGTAACAAGATCTCAGATGCTATGCTGGATGAAGATCTCCCCGCTCAGGCCATTTGTCACCTACATTCGCTCTCGACACCTGGCACATGTGTTGCGGCAGACTACCAACAGTCTCGACAAACAGGCTTTAAACGGTACGTTTCTGCCTGAAAAGCTAGAATCAGAAGAGGGCAGGCAGTCTCACCTTAAATCCGCAACAGCTGACAAAACAATCAGCACCGATCTTAGAAGGATAGGCTCGATTGTAGCGGACTTCAAGCGCGACCTGACTGAAGCGGTCAGTGGAAAAGACGGATATGCTGAAGGGCTACTAGCTCCGTTAGTAACTGGCAAGGAGGCGGAGTATGCGTTCAGAAAAGCCGCGTTGCACGAAGTCAGTAGGAAGGCTATCATGTCCGCCTCCATATCAAAATGGTGCGAAAGTGGAACAGAGATCGTAGCAGCTGCTGAGTACGGAGTCCTTGAATTTAAACACTTCCACAAGAAAAACTCTGCAAACAGATGGGAGAGCATGGGGAGGAGAAGCAAAAAAGAAAAGGAGAAGATCGAGTGCGCCTATGATTTTTTCGCCGGAAAGCTGTCCCTCGTTGAAATAAACAATTCAAAAAGCAGAAGCCTGGAAATAGATAATTGGAGTGGGAAAGGAGTCAGCTGCTTCGGAGTAAGATCACTTTCCTCGCATAGCCCACCGCAAATGGACGGCGTGACAACACAAGGAATCCAACATCCAGGGAGCTACGCTTTTATGCTCACGAGTAAGAAGGAGTTATCGATGGAAGCAGACCTGTATAGTGGTGGAGAAACATTAGTGCACGCAGCAGGGGGTGTCATGCTAGATGCAAATACCTTCCCGGATGGAAAATACGCAATGATCAGCTCGCAGACTAACCATCCCCACTTCAAGCAGGAGCTAGAGATAAAACCTGCAATGCCGATTCGCGCCTACCTGATAAAGCCCAAGGGAACTCAGATGGAAGCAGGCGAAGATGCTACTACGGAGTTAAGGAAGTGGACCCGAGATGAGAAAATAGCAGCCATGGTGCCGGCAACTCAAGAGAATTGCATAGTCTTGTCCCAGCTAATGCTACCCGGAGGAATGAAGTACAAAATGCGATGGCCTGGTGATGTAGCCCTACTGATTTTAGCCCCCTGTGAGTCGCTGGAACTTGAAGAGGTGGCAAAGGAAAGGTCGCACCTCTCCAAAGGAACTTGCGCGTTATGTGGTTGGACTCCGCCCGATCTGGACTCAGCATGGCACAGGAGAACACCAGCGGAGATATCAGATCTATTCTGCGCGCACATCGACGAGCACCATGCACCAGTTGCCCTGTCGGCTCCTGTTCTCGGCGACAAAATGGAGCTAGTGGCGCGCCAGGAGCAGATGGAGAAATATCAGCAGCTCAAATCAGCAGCGAAGGCCGGCAGACTTGGTAGCTTTCGTAGGCTAGCCTCGGTAGGTCCTCGCAGATACGGGTGGAAGAGATATGCCGAAAGGTACAGCTGCGATTACTGTGGGCTAACCTTCCAGACAAATCTTGGCGCAATGGAAAAGCACGTGCTTGCGCACCAGGAGAAGCAGGTCATAAAGGTTGCGAAACTGGTGGTAAGAAGAGCCGGCAGGATAGTAACGCCGAAGCTGGGAGCAGTTCAGAGGGCGTGGAGACCCGAAGGTCACCTACTATGTGCCACGGCAGGGGCAGCATCGTTTGGACCAGACGCGAGACTTGCTAAGTTTCTAATTCCGCGCTGCGCATGGAAAAACGCCGCCACAAGAAATCAGCTGATCTGCAAGAAGTGCGAAAAATGGGACATTGGCTTCGACCCACTGATAATGTCCATGAGAATGCTGTCTAAGCGAGTGGATTTGCTGAGAGCACATGAAAGAAAATGCAAAGGTGGCAAAAAGGGAGTGAAAAAATCATGACACACAAAAACTAAAAAGATCATCCAAAGTCAATTATAAAGATCTAATTAAGACCTCACCGACGAAGAAATAAGTAAAGCCACTCCAGAAGAAGTAAACAAGTGGATAGTGATAGGGAAGATGCATCTTCAGTGCCACACGTCACGAAGACATCTCCAAAAACTCCTAATTCATAACTCAGTCAAACCAAAGTGTTTTTGTGAGTACGAAACTGTCTCTTAATTAATGGTCTTAGAAGCAAAATCCAGCAAGTTAAACTAGATCCAAAACAAGCTTAAGATAAAAAAGACGAGTTCTTAGGCACATACCTCTTGTTAGGCACATTCATTCATTCATTCATACGTAAGTATAGGGTGGTTGTAAAAATTGTCACTTTATCTATCTCTTCAAGTTCTACTTCTAATAATCACTAAATCTTGCTCCACTTCACTAAAACGTTACGTTCATTTCCACAGCCCTTTTGCATAGCGTTTTGATGACTCACAACTTGCTAACAATTATATAAACATGCATGTTGATTTTGAAATATTATGCAACAGTCTGCGTACACGCGATTCACACGAGCAAGAGTTATTAGACGACACCCGTTTTTCCCGAAGACACCAACACTTCTTCACAGTCTCCGACATAATACCGGGCAAAAATAGAAAGAACCCTTATTGAAGATTACTAATATGAACATGAATTTTTATCCCGAAAGAACTAACTTTGTAATCGTCTTGTCAGAGTCTAGCGACTAGAGATTTTGCAGCTTATTTCGAAGACGTCCGTAGCCATTTTGGCTCAAGGCCTCGTCCTTGTTGCCCGTTACCTACCAACCGCATAGTTAATGCCTAAGATCCATTGTCCTGGTACACGTATGGCTGCGCTCAACGAACAAGTCAATCAATCAATCAAACCATCAATAGCAAGATCTTCCCTGACCGGTTGGGTCGCTAATGGGGCTAGTTTCATTAGGTCGGACACGACTCGTTCTAGCTGATTATGATCCCAAAAAGATGCTGGAAAAGCGCAAAAATTGAGAAGCAGAGGAGTAGAAAAGTTAATGCAACACATAGCACATGACCAGCATCGGAATAGAAGACAAAATGAAAGAAGAGCGCGACTCCAGCTAAAGAAGAAAACTAAGCGAATGCAAATCGAGTAAAGGCGACAGGGCGGGGCGCAAATGGGTTTTGCGATTGGAATGGGCAGCCATTGCGCGCAAAGGCTGGAGCGTCTTCGTTTGGCCCAGATGCCCGACCTGCCAAGATTCTGTCCCCACAAACAGCCTGGAAGGACCCGAGCACGAAGGACAAGCTGAAGCGCCGAAAGTGCTGCAGTTGGGAGCTAGACTTCAACCATCTAACGATGATGCTTAGGATGCTATCGAAGAGAGGAGACATGAGGAGGGACCACGATAAATGACGCAAAGAAAAAAACACAAAAAAGGGAGGGAAAAAAGAAAGCGGAAAGGGAAGGAAAGGGCATTTTCAATTTATCAGAAATGATATAAAACATTGCATGCAACACCTCGCGCTAGGCACATTCATTCCTGCACTCTTTCACTCATTCACTCATCAGACAGTGATCAAGTTCTCGAGAAGATTTGTTCGTGAAAGCGTCTACGAATCTGTCGTCCTCGAGGGAGCGCTAACATTCTCTCAAGTTTGATGTCAGAAGCTTACTCGGTGCGAAGATAGAGCTTAGGCATTTCTTGTTGAGATGAAGCAATTTTGAGTCTCATGAGTGCCAGCTGGAAACCAGCGAGAACGCAGATTACAAAAAATCTCTCTGTTGAGGAGGTGAAATATCTGTAATTTTGAGGGGCAGAACAATGTGAGCAAGTGTCCCCTGTCGTACTAAGTGTCAACGATGTAGCGAGCACCACTACTTCTAATGCTTGCATTATTGCTATAAGGTTTGATTTTGAATGGAGTTTGGAGAGCTCGGATGAAGTGATTACTATTTGTATCTTGGTGATGAAATAACTGAACCATGTTCATCCTAGTGATATTTTGTTGCATCACAGCAAAAACCAGGTGTAGCTCACTGTGAACCAAAAGACGCCTTTCCCCATTTGCTCGCCGCAACTTTGCGGGCCTGTATATTATCGATTTTCTTAGTATAAGCAAGTATGTTAAATTGTGTACATGTCCATGTCGATCTAGTTTTTTCCGGAGAAGAAACCCGACTTACTGTTTAAGTAGAACTCAGTTGAAGATAGAACTGGCTCTGACTACTTTTCAAGACTTTGTTTATATGCTTCTATTAACTCAGTAGACGGCTACCTAAGGGATGTAAGATCAGGCTTGCCCTGATTTGCTTACGGTTGTCTTGTTTTCTCCTACTGCTGATCCCTATTGGTATCAAGCACATTGCTACTATCATATCACCTGTCGCCTGTACTATATTTTTTCGCCCAGATCGATTGCAACCTTCAGAAATTTGAAGTATTAACTATACGATCGTTTCTTTATTTGACCAAAGTGCTCACGCCGCGCCCTGTGCGGAGTTCGGATAGTTCATCTGGTGGTTTTACGTGTCCGCGGTCCTGATCACGCTTTGCGACTCTGACAGATATCCGAGCTTCCACGACCCCTTCCGACGCGTCTCCAAGATGGTGGACACATCAGCGCTGGGGGAGGAGCGCTCACAGTTCCTCAGTGACCGCATGAATCCGCTGCTGCACGATATGGTAACGGATCTCATCTGCCATCAACCCAAGGAACCAATGGTAAAAACTGCCCTTCGGATACCATTTCAATCATCTTTTGAAGGAAGGATCGAAGCAGAAGTGGTGAAACTGCCACCTACATTTCAAGGAAAACATATTTGTTAGTTGTAACCGATAGGCATATCCAAATCTAAATCGGATTCTCTAAACCTACCTAGAAGATGACGAAGAACGAACATCGTGTCATCCTAACGAAGTTGCAAATACCTCTTGATTTTTCTCTGTATTATCAAACAGGTTTTCATCTCCAATTGGCTCCAACGTCGACTGGGTCGTCCATCGGATTTCGAGATAGACGTCTCACGTCTCAAGACTGTGGCGAAAGATTCGCAGGTTGAGGCACTGAAAATTGAAAATGCAGAATTGACTCGGCGGCTCGATCACGCTGCTTCCCGTCTACGAGAAGGCACCTCGTTCTTACGTGGGAGAGCAGAGGGTGGAGCCAGTGCCTCTGCCTCACAGGAGGACGCCGCTCCTGCTGTTGACGGTACTGCTGCAGCGGTTGACGGGGAGGCCGCTGCTGCTCCAGCAGTCGAAGGAGAAGTGAGCGAGGAGGAAGATGACGAAACTGATCTGGTTGACGAGATCGAACCGAGGGTGCGGCCTAGAGGATTGGCAGTATCGGCAGAAGGGTAAAGAACAAGCGATTAAGCTAAGTAGACGAATTGATACTTGTTGAGGTGATTGGAAATATATGTCGAAGAGTAGAAATTTAAATCAGTCTAATCAAGAACATGTATTCTGAGTTTCTAGGAGCCACTGAATCATTGGAGTTAGGTATTCTCCTCCACGACATACACAGGGACAACAAGACGTTCCATCCGAGAGGCATTTTCTCGCCACCTGTACATCTCAAAGGCGACGAGACCAGAGAGCGGCTTGCAGAGGTACTTATTATTTCGGTCCGGAAGACAAAGACTATTCATCTTTAATTTTTTGTGTCGCAAGTTTTTCTTGATTTTCTAATACTGACCACTGCCTAGGTTATTTTAGCAACAACACTAGAAACAGACCACTTCCTGTCACAGCCCAGTTGTCCTCAAGCAGTAGTCTGAACACGACCACAAGTGTCGATAAATATTCCGATGATAACTTTTCCTGTACAGATCATGGAGCAATCGTTCCTTTTGTCGGCGTGCGACGTGGAAGCGAAAGAGGCGATTCTGAACGCGTTAGAGGAGGAGCAAGCGGGCGAGGGCGACAAAGTGATTCAGCAAGGAGACAGTGGGGACTTTTTGTATATTGTGGAGAGTGGCACACTTGAGTGCTACTTGAACCATGGCGAGGAAGATGAAGCCATGGTAAAAACTGTTGAGCCCGGCATGATCTTCGGCGAACAAACGTTGTTGCATAACCAAAGGAGAGCAGTCAGCGTCGTCTGCAAAGAGCCTTGCATGCTCTGGAGGCTTGGTACAGCCTACCTTTTTTTCTCTGTAAGATGTCACCATCCACGTTGTATTTGTCTCGACTACTTCTAGTTGATCACCTCGCTTCTCTGTGAAGAATGAATGATCCGTAATGTGGTTATTTCTCCTGGTTTTGGTTTGCATTTTCTTCATTGTAGATATTATCAACTCACGACGTTTGCCGCACGCCGCCTCAGAGACTTGATGGAAGTCCTCACGACAATTTCACTTCATAGAAATACTGATCTTAGAAAGTTGTAGGCTCATCTTGATATTATCAACTCACGACATGGCCAGATCGCGAGACTTACAGTTCGATAGTGAAGCAGAGCGCCGCGACGGAGCGCCGACAGCGGCAGAAGCTCTTGTCTCAGATTCCCATGTTCGCATCGTTGACAAAGCAAGAGCAGAGTAGGCTGTGCGATGGCTTGGTCGAAGTGGCGTTCGAGGAAGGCGCCCAGGTGGTAACCCAGGGAGACGAGGACGACATATTCTACGTAGTCAAGAAAGGAACGCTTGTGGTGATCAAGGACGGCGTGCAGGAGTTCATTTACACCACCGGCGACTTCTTCGGAGACTTGGCGCTCATTTTTGACCAACCAAGACCCACCACCCTTAAAGTCACTGCGCAGCAATGCGAACTGTACGCGCTCTCTCGCAGTGCTCTCGAGCGTCTCCTTGGACCCATGGTCGACAAACTCAGTAGAAAACTGTACCCATAATTATGGACCAGTTTTCGGTCGTCGTGTATTCACGAATCTCTTATTTGGGCGAACTGTGTACTCACAAATTTCTTACGTGGGCGAAGTTGGACGCGTCTGTTCCGATACTCGTGAACACTCTCGTTGACAGATAGTCCACACCGTGTGATCCTGACCTCTCTATGTTGTGCTGATGAGATGGAAGTATGACATGAGACGCCGCATTGAGATGGAAGTATGACATTGTATTTCTTAGTCTAGATGGGTGAAGGAGGTGCTAGAACCCTATAGAAAGCTACTAATGAAGCAGTCCACCTCAATCCTTGTGTACACATATTATGCCACTAACTCTCGGGCCATTCTAAGTAAATATCCTGTACATCGCCCGCGAGATGATGATTCCTTTATACGGTTTTTACGAGTAGAGATGTTGTAATTATAGAATCTTTAAATGTACCTCTGATTCAAGAACCTTAACGTGTTATAGTTCAGGAATCGCTTGACGGATCTTGACGAGACGTATCCCTGGTTTACAGGTAATTCGACCACAGTTCCAGCACTGTTCATGAGAGATGAATATCTGTGCTGAAGAGATTCACAACCTCCTTGATCTGTAGCTCGAGCGGAGGCAATTTTCAATCTGTCATCGAGAATCTTCTTAGGTTCTGCAGAACGCGAGTATGTCCTCGTGAGAACAGAGCCCTTAGAGAGAGCTTTGTATGCAGTTGTAATTTATTTTCTGCTTCTTCATGATCTTTCGCTTTTCATCTTCTTTCTTCTTCGCTAACAGGGTTCCTTTGTCTTTCTTTCAATAAATGACTCCCATTTCCCTTCTACTATTTGTGTAGGTACAATAAATATCTCTTCCCACCTCCATGCAAAATACATATCTAGTCTCTATCACGTCATTTTCGATGTGTACTCGAGCTTTTTTCTCAGTGGCACTTCATATTCCATTTCATGTTCTAAAATGCTAAGAATTCTTCATTGACACAGTTTTCCTTCGTAAAAACTATCGTATGTATCTTAGAAGCTACGCACCTTCGCATTGCCCACTCGAGCCGATTTGCCGTTTGGAAGTTGTGTTACTATTGGTGGATTTATTCCATGCCTCGATCGCGCTCCATACAGAAGTGGGCCTAGTCGTTTTCATTTTTCATTTCCTGTTGTTGTAGGTAAGCTCGAGGACCAGAGGACGGCGCGATGTTTGCAGGTGCGGGCACTGCTTACGCGGAGCAGACCTCTGAAAACACGGAGTACCACGTGGTTGTGCAGGGTGGAGGGAACTTTTTACAGCAGCAACGTGGCGGTCTGCGAACCGGTGTCGGCGGACGCTATGTCGACTATGGGAACCAAGGCGGTGGTATTATCACAGGCCAGGGCGGCCCACACGACGGAGGGGGTCCTGGCGCCGGCGGCGGCATGAATGCGTACGCGCAGTGGGCCAAGCAAAGGTACGACGCGGATTACTACGTGGTCCGGCATAAAGACCAAGACGACGCGAGCTCTGCGAGCTCCGAGCCCGACCTCGGATTTCGCAACGGCCTGCGCGTGATCCAGAAGCAGCAGGTCGCCACGCACCTTGGCTACGCCACAGTGTTGGTGATGGAGGACTGGTCTCTCGATTTCGAAGACGATAGTCTGTGGACGATGGGGGAAACCACTCAGACCTGCGTTCCGGGTGGGCTATGGGCCAGCACGGAAGTGACGCGGACCTACGGAGCCTTCTGGTCGCTCGCGTGGACACCCGACGAGAAACCGGTGCTGACACTCAACGGGCAAGCGTTTAAGCCCAAGCCGGGATCCTTGGTGTCCGGAACGATTGATCAGAACAGAGCGATGATCGAGATGCGCTCCAAGCATGACCGCGAGCTTCAGAAGATGAAAGAGAAAGCAGAAAAAGCGCGCGCCGTGCACGACATGAACATGAATGATATGAAAGTCCAGGCGGCACAAAAAATGCAGGAAGCAAACATCAAAAGAGACATGCAACAGCAGGAGCTCGAAATGAAAAAGGTACTTATTGCAATTTCATCTTTTGACGGTCTGTGCTCAGCGAACCCGTTTATTCCACTCCAGACTGATGCTCACGCTCATTAGATTTTGCGCGCATGTCTCAGTCGGGCAACGCCCGGCAGTTTTTTTAGCACTACTTACTTGTTGCCTCGAACGATATGTTCGTCTAGTATCCCTTGTTCGTTGGAACTAGAGAAACTCGTGTTTGGTCTCAGATTTACTCATCTGATGAAATCCTACTCTAGGCACAAGTGCAAATGGCGATGAAAGATCGAAGGGAAAATTTGCTCCAGGAGATGGAGCGCATGAAGATGGAGACGAAGCAGCAAATGCAAGCAGCAAAGTTGGAACAAGACGTGGCGCGTCTGCAGCTGAAAGAGGAGCAGCAACTGGCAAAGTTAAGGCCCATAGTTTCACAGTCGCACCATCCGCAAACCAAATCATCCGTGATTGGTTCCTTTTCCAGGTAGGAAAAGGGCGCCGCACGGAGATAGTCGCAAGTGTGCGACTGAGGTAGTGGGGTCTAACAAAGGCCGACGCGATGAAGCAGAATATGGGAGCCCAATTGCAGAGGGAGATCAATGTGATGGCGGCCAAGACGCAGGCCGAGAAGGCAAAAGCCAACCAGATGGCTAACAAGGCCTTGCTGGCCCAAAAGAAGAATGAGATAGCCGGTAAAGGGATGGGCAAGGCTGGCGGAGGAAAGGGCGGAAAAGCAGGTGGAGGGCTGGGTTCGGGGGGCGGCAAGAGCGTGAAGCAGTGTGCTTTAGATTATTCCAAGCTTGTGGACGCGGGGGAACGCAAATCCCAGCGCATCTGGCACTTCGGACAGGTGGAAATGAAGTGGGGCGGCGGCTTGCGTCAGGGCTGGGAGAAGCGTTATTTGGTTCTAAGGGACCGCTTGTTGGACATTTACGAGTCCGCGGACGGCCGCTTATTGGGCTGCTTCCCATTTGAATCCACCTCCAAGTTCGCAGCCTTCAAAAGTGATACCTGCTCCACCGAAGGCCGTCTGCTTGGCCACGAAAGAGGTTCGGGCTTTGAGTTTGACACAGGCGGTTACCTGGGGAGGGCCTTCTTTGACGTCCACGACATGAAGACGCTGACCACCTGGATTCATAAAATGGAAGACTGCAGAGCGGCGTGCAGGAGTGACGACAAATCACACGCCATTGCCGTTCAACGCATAGAGAAAATTCTCAACGCCTAGATCATATTAGTAGTTGATAAAAAAAAATCGACGTAGAGGTGGATCAGCATTGGCCCTGCACACTGTTATCTTGTGGAATAGAAACATCTACTTTATTAAGATCTTCTTGATGGTCCATCGCGTACCATACTGGCGGTGGAGGTTCGATGTTGAATAAAATCACTGGCAGAGTTATAATGTGGACTTTTTTTTTAACGATAGGAGTAGCTAGACTATTTTAGTGCGAGTCTTGCTTTTCGGGATCCTTAAATCTGAAGTTTGACTAGCATAGAACGAACGTGCAATTTTTTCATCGCAGCTACCTGAAGACGTAAGATACTGAAACAGATCTGACCTAATGATCTTCCGCATGCGAAAGAGGTGCAAACGCTTAGAAAAAGAGCGAATTCTCAAGTGGTCGTGGTCTACCAAAAAAAGAAAAGATGCAGCTCTGATTGTTGCTGCCTGCAGGCGGGTGCGTGCGTGCATCACGCGAAATTAGCCTTGTGCCAAGTTTCTTGTGAATGTGCACAGCATCCCTGAGGGACGCACACACATACAGTCAGGGGGGTTGACTGCGTTCGATCGGGGGCTAACACACAGTTTATCAGCGTACGTGATGGAAAAACAAGAATTTGAATCTGAAAATGACCTAGGCATTGCTTTTGCAGAACCTCGCTGTGGTACTAATCTTCATTTCGTTTTGTTGTTGACCTACATCGTTTCATCTAATGAGCAGGAGCCGTGTGGATACGTACAAATTATCAATGAAATAGCAAGTCTTATAGAAGTCGATGTTGAGCGTGCACCCTCGGCGGATAGAATACCATTCTGTAAGTCGAAGGGTACGCTGCTAAGGATATCTGGTCGAAACCAAAGAAGGTCATGATATCGCCAGAAGTAGTACTAGTGAGAGCAAGTGAAAACCAGAAGTAAAACTTTAGAGGAAGTTTCGCGCCTTGTGTTGTTGTTTACTTCAAAGTAAGAAATCTACAATGGGAGTGTCTTTTCAGTTCAAAACGCGAAGCACGAAGCCAGGCAAAAATGTGTTAGCCGAACTTGGCTTGGGAGGCCAGGTGCCTGCAAGCAGCGGGAAGCCAGGTCAGCCTGCGAAAAGTGGAGCGGTGGGAGGAGCAGGAAAGAAATCCAAAACCCCCAAGGCAAAAGCCGCTGCCTCGTTCTCTCCCAGGACCTTAGGTCAACCGGAAAAAAATGCAGAAGAAGGAGCGCTGCGTGCTGGAGATGACGGGGATTTAGACGTTACAGGACAGCCTTCAATATTTCCGAACGGGTTACCAACAGTGGCGTACAGAAGTTCGTCAGCCCTGGAGCATCACGCAAATGGCGCTTCCGGTGGAGGCGGGGGTTCCTTCGTCTCCGGGGGTTCATGCAGCTCGACAGGAAGATCAAAGCATGTTTCGAGCATCAAGGCAAAATATCCTTCTCCGCTTTCACCAGTCTCTCCTGCAAGGCAGGAAGGAGCCTGTTCACCCACTCCACCTGAACGCATTCCCGAAAGACTTCGCAGCAGCGTCACCGTTCACAATGCGGGTCCGGATATTGACGGAGAGTACGCCTTTGATTCGGTCCGCGGCGCATTCGTGCGGCAGCAAGGCATGCAGACTCAGCTCAGGCTGCGCAAGAATGTAGACCAAAGTGCACCGCTCGTGGGCAACAAGGGTGATCAACATCATGGTGAAAGATCTTCGCAAAGCAGTGGACCAAGCATGTTGCTGTCACCACCTCCGACAGCTACTAGCGCATTTGATGAAGACACGACTAGTCATCTTGCAGCGCAAAGGTGGGAATTTGTAAGTGATCCGAAGCATGTTGTGGAGGTACGAGCGAGTCCTGTCCTGCTGAATCCGTCTTCCGTAAAGGATTTGAGACCATCTTCTGGTGATCCTTCGCGGTTGAACTTGGATGCGGGTCTCTTCGGGCTCTGCGGACGCTATGGCCTTGCAGCGAGTGAGCCGAGCCAGGGGTTCTTTACGCGCGCCCAAGGGATCTATACTTTGCGTGCAACGACGAGGCCGCAGGGGTGGGCGGTAACAGTAGGCGAGCACAGCCAACGAGACAATGGAGCATGCTGGCTGCGCGTAGAGGTATCAGACGGGGAAACACGTATCTACGACAAACGTTCTCCGAGCCTGCTTGCGACGGCAGCTGCGGGAACATCCGAAGCTGCAAGTGACAAGACGACCACGACTGACAATCGACAGTCATGCGTGCCCGTTGTGTACAAGACGGAGTTATTTTCCGTCGGACCATCAGTCCTGTGTTTTTCGGTGCCCGTCCCTGTGATTCCTCTTGGGTTGCAAAATACGAGAGCGTCACCAGTATCGTCTCCTGCGTCAGGCCGGTCCCTTCCAGCTGGTGGCGCCTTGTCCTTGGCACCGGCCAAGGGGCAAGGCAGGTTTCCAGGTCCCCTGACGAGCAGCTCTATTAATCCGCAGCCCGGTTCCTCAACAGCGGCAACGGCTAATTCACTCGCCGCCTTTTCACCGGGGTCGATGAAAGGTGTTGGAGGCGGTCCGGCGAAGGCGGTTGGAAAGTCGCTGCTGGACAATCCGAGGGCGAATTTGCTGCAGCTTCGCAGTGCGACATCGTGGAGCCGGAGTGGCCTCAAGATCAAACCTTTTCAGTATGACCATTTCGGGGAGCTTGCCGAGAACGGTTTTGCTCTCTCCGATGAAGACAGCAACATGTCCGAAGCCGAGAGCTGCATCAAGCGCGATAATGACGAAGACGTAGCCTTAACTACCGACACGACTCTGGTTCCAGATATGGACTCTTTTTGGCTGTATCGTCAGCGTCACGGATTCGTATACGTTCCTCTCTCATCAAACAAAATTGGATCCGTATTATCGGGAACAGGCGCAGCTGCAAAGGCGTCGTCAGGCACTGCTCCACCCGGTTGTTGGGTGGCATCGGAACGCCTGCATGGGCAGGGCCCACCGGTCGCATCTGCAGCTGTTCCAACAACCTCATCTGGAGTTCTCGCGTCTGGAGGTTCTTTGGCGAAGCAGCAATTGTTGGAAGGTCTCGAGTCTCTACAGGCGGCTAAAAAGCGAAGAGCCGGGCTGTCAACTTTTGAGTCGCGACTTGCACGCAGACGCCGATTTGTAGGTATGTTGCTGGAAAAGCAGGTAAAGCATGGGATGCAAGCAAAAGAGCGACGTTTGCTGTCAAGTTCGCGGCGGTACTTGCTAAACCAGCAGGAGCGGGTGCGATTGCGAAAGGAGAAAAAGGAGAGAGAGCGTCTGGCGCTACTTGCCGACGCCGACAATAAGCAACCCGCCAACAAGCGCGGGCGCCGAGCCAAAGCGGAATCAGAGACGACCGCCACAACTGTCGCAGCAACAACTGCAACTCTAAATTTTGCTGGGTCCACCGCGGACCAAAGCTTGCTAGTACCCTCAGGTTCGGCAAACGCAGGTCAAGCAGGTGCTATTTTTCTTCCACGCTCGCTACCGTTTCTAACTGCGCAACGTTGCCGCGATCTGCTGTCGCTTCTGAATGGTGGCAAAGACGTCTCAGAGGCAGTGCGAGAGCGTGTGCAGGAGTTGCAACAAGAGAAACAACACACGGCAGCGGCGTTGGCCGCTCAGGCGAAACAAGCTCAGGCGGGGGATCAACAAGTTAGCAAGGGAGAGAACAGCAGCTCGGCTGACCCAAAAGTAGCAGGAACTCCATCTGATGCAACACGGGGAACATCGCCAACAAAGAGCGGGACAACTCTGGTCGACGCAGCTAAAAAAGACAATGAGAAGACGTCGCAATCGTTCAAAGTTCGACAGCTTGGAGTTAGTTCATCAGCTGGCTTTGCAAAGGAAGCACTTAGTTTGCTAGAGACGACAGGAGGAAGAACGCGGAAAAAACCGACGGCTTACTCGGTTCACGCTGAAATGGAACGCAGGCACGCAAACCTACTGTGGGGTACACGGGAGGAGCATCTTGCGCTAGGAGACCCGAGAGTTCGCCGGAATTGCAAGAAACGAGACGTTTTTGGACCTGCCGAGGCATTGTTGGCGAAAACTAGCGATGGCACTGCGCTCATGGTGCAGCCCGACGACGCGAAGCGGCGAGCCTCGCGCACCGCGGACCAAGTGGATCCCCGTACACTGGAGCGTCAGTACCGAGTAGAAGTTGTTTTCCCTTCTTCTATGGGTGCCGCCGCTGGCGCCGCCGGAGACGACAACAACGATGGGAGACCTTCTCGACTCCCGCCACTGTTAACGTCTAGTCATGCAGAGAATGTGTGGGATGCGCGTGTACGAGATCTGCGCTTAGAGGTTGCAGAAAGTGAAAGTGCGTATCTTGACGGAGATGGAGGTAACAGAGGAGCAGCAAGTTCATCATCTGAAACGATGAAGATTCCATCGTTGCGACCTGAGGCTGAGCACTTGGCCGACGGCAATGTGGTTTTTCGCTCCTCCGAGGCTGCGACGCAGGCACTCGCTGCAATATCGAAGAGAGCTGATGGCACTAGCGTCCCTCCGAAGGTGCAAGGTAAAGGAAATAAACGCTTTGTGTCCGAATCTCCCGACCCTTTTAGAATCGAAAGAGAACGTCGTCTTCAGCGAGCAGTGGCGCCGCCAGCTCCACCTGCCGACATGGGACAGTGGCAAAAAACCTTTGGTGAATTCTTACAGGCTGGATTGCAACAAGGCAGGTTCCCGACAGCACGTCAAACCTCTCAAAATCACTTGCGAGTCCGTTTCTTAGCACCGGAAAAAGGTCAGCTCTATGTCGTGCACCCTCCGGCTGGTCACGAGAACGGGTATTCCTTTTGTTCAAAACTAGCCTATTGCTATTTCCCTTTGTCCTGCTGCATAAAGTGTCGCTCCACTTGGACTCACCAGTCAGAGTAGTTTAGAATATTATTTCCGCTCTTAGACTTCGCTGGAAGTGTTGGAAAACGATGAATGTTATTCTGACTCCACAGCATCATCATGCGTACCGATGCCGAGTTGGCGAGTCGGCAAGTGTGCATATTGCCTGCGCGCTGCCTAATTCGCATTTTGGAGGTCCGCGGGAATCGGGCGAAGGTGCAACGCGTTGAGCCGTATCAAGAGAGCCACGCGGTGAATGCTGAAGAACAGAAACCGCATGACCGGCAGTTCCATGGAGAAGAAGTGAGATTAGAATCCGACGAGTATTTCCGGGAACAAGAGAAAAAGCGTCAGCAGCACTGGAAACGTGTGAAAGCTAGCGTGCGCCTTGGAAGAAGCGCCGATGCCAAACGAGATCCAAGCTCTGATCGCGGAACCCCGAGATCTAATTCCGGTATAGGGTCGCCTAGTTCAAACGCGGGTCTGAGTGGAGTGAGCAGTGCCGTGTCACGAGGTGGGAATGCGGCAATGCAGTTGAGCGGAGGAGCGCGTCTATCTGTGATTAAAGAGGAAAGCGAGCGTGGTGGAGGGCCTCAGGCATCTCCTATCGCGGCACAATCCCAAGTGTCTGGCATTTCCGCAGTTTGTGTTTCTAGCCACAAGAACCTGAAGCGGAATGCACCTTCAGATGATGACACTAAAAAACAAGCAAGAGCTATAGCAGATGAGCAGCGGGTAGAACATGCAGATGATGGGGCGGAAGAAAAAGAAGCTGCGCCAGTCGATAGTGACGACGATGCTGGGGTCAACAAATCTACGAAGGTGAAAAGGGCGCGGGCAGCGTCATCAGGTTCGTCTTCCTCGGACTCCGACAGCCTAATGAGAGAGTTTGCACAAGATATTGCCGATGAATTTTCGGACTTAGAGGAGGTCGCTGCAGACGCTGACGACGACAAAGCAGGCGCAGATGAAGCCGCGGCAGATGATAGCGATGAGAGGAATAAAGAAAGTGACACGAGGAAAAAGCCAGAAGATAAGAAGGCGAATCAAGATGAGACAGCAGGGCATGTAGAGGAAACACGGCTTGGAGAGAAAAGAATATCGGAGGAGCGCAAAATCGCAGGATATGGAAAGGTCCACCAGGAAGATAAGCTTGACAACCTGGACGAGGCGGAAGATCCGCGCACCAAGGCTAGAGCGAAAGAAGTCGCTGAGTCGTCAAGGAAGGCGAAATATCGTGGTTTCCATGCCGATCAGATTGAGGATGATGCAAAAGCTCTTGATGGCTCGGAGCGAAAAAAGCGGCGTACTACAGAAGAGCCCATCAGCCTACAAAAGGACACATCAATATCACTTACCACCAGTGTGACAGCCCGCCGCGAAGCGCACATTCAAGACTGCCGTAGCCTGTGGACAGTCTCTTCCGCTGTGTTTCGACACCGTCACTTTGATCCCGAAACCAAGCCTTTCTTTCGCATTCACACGAACCTGTGCAGTTCTTTGCAAAGCGCCGCAATCCAGGACTCAACTGGATGGGTGTCCTGGAAAGCAATTAAGGACGGTACTGTCATGGTACAACGCAAAACGCTACCTGAGTGGCTTACGAACAGTGAGTGGATGATCAGCCCGGTCGATATCAAGGTTGCGATCGATGCAAGAGGTCGGGTCATTCTAAATGGCCTACCACTCAAGAACACCGGATGCATTTCCGCTGTTGGTATCCTATGTAAGTAATAATGATCCTTATTGCATCTTGAAGGGCCTAGTTTATTTGTATGCCCAGGGAGTTTGTCTACGTGATACAAAACTGCCCACAACAGCATATTCAGCATAGTTGTTCGAAACGTATTTTTATCTGATTAATCCGTTGATTGTTGAAGAAGTGGAAATGAATTCCTTACCAGGTTCGCGAACGTTTCATAGTGACTTTCATGGTGAGTACAATGCTGAGCGGGACCAAATCGTATGGCTGAAGACTGCCGCCGCGCCCGTCATGCAGTGGGTGCGGAAGTCTGAGGCCTTTCAAGCCGAGGCGAGCTTGCCACTGGCACACGCTGCCGCAGATCATGAGAAACGGTGTCTCGCTGCCGTGGCGGAATTACCCGAAGAAGAACTCTTTGGGAGAAGTACTGCTCCTCCTGTCGTGACTGCAAATCATACAACTAGGACTTTTAACAAACTGACTGTACCTGGAAATCCAAGTGGAGCAGGTGGTGCTGCTGCGGGGGGAACGATTGGCGGCTTAACTAATACTTCTGTTCAAATGTCGACAGCGACGCGGAGTAGCTCAGCAACGCCCGAGGAAATAGAAAGGTGGAATCGGAAGCTGGTAGAAGGTCTATGGGAACGGGAGACCGTTCTGAAGGGAGGCGTACGCCACACTGAGAGGATTGCGGTTCATGACGACGGCAGTTTTACATGTAGGGCGATGTCTGGAAAGTTCTCGGTATCCAGTGACTATGGGATTTCGAGTTCCGGCCAAGGGCGCGGAGGGGCACTTTTTCGCTGCATTGCATTGCTATCTTCAGATAAAATGACACTATCATTCTGGAATAGCTCAGTGTGGTCGCGATTACGCAAACCGCCGACTGCTCCCTCTGTCAATTGATTATCATCGCAGGTGGGACGCCCATGTCGTCGTGTATTATGAAACGATGGAAACCCTCTGTTGACCTTTGCGAAGCCATAGACCCTTAAGATGATGATTGGTGATTCTGCGCGTTGAGGTGCTAAACGTCTTCGCTCCTGGAGTAGAAGACGGATCTTTAACTAAGACAAAGCCACAAGCTGGTGACGAAGATGAAGATGACGACGGCGGTTGATTTTCTAGCTGCATTTGGCCTCACTCTTAAACTTGAAGTCTGTTTATGTGGGTTCTATCGATGCTTGTGATTTCTGTCTATTGAGTCTGAGTGTGAATCAGAGGTTAGAGTGTAGTTTCCATATGAGAATTTGTCGGCCCCGCGTTGAAGAAAAAGCCTGTGTTCCTCATGCGAACGGAAGAGAAACTTAAGCGAGTCATCGATCTTCAGGTGAAAACTAAATTAGTGGTGGTCTTCGAAGGACAAAGATCTTCCAACGTTGAAAGCACGCACTGTTGGATTAAGTTTGATTTTTTCACAAGCATACTAAGGTATTGACTCAAATGGTTGCAATTCGCCCGCATATTGACAGGTCTGCACTTGTGTGCAGGTTTAGGCTAGGGCACGCGCTGCAACTTCGGCGCATGTACTGCAACAAAAACGACATGCATTATTATGAAGACATTGATGATGAACTCAACTGCTAAGGCATGAAGTGCTTATTTCTCATGTCCTGACGTTGTAGCTGTTGATGAGCCGACATCTGGAGGCCACATCGGCCCTGATATGTGCACCTTCTAGATCTCAGTTATGCCCCTGTTTTACCCTCATCCGGACTCGATGAAGAGACCGGGATGCCAAGTGGTTCGAGGACGAGGCGTGCGGCTGCTAGTGCGTGCTGCACGATGGTTTTGGCTTGCGCCATCATCGAGATCATCATCCACACCTTCGCCTACGTCTCCAACCTGCTCATTTTCAAGACAGTCACTTCACTGCCGAAAATGACGAAAGGCGGTCCAGCACGAACTGTCGGACCAGATTATCTAGAGCTTATGCGTTTTGGGTATAAAGCGCCGTTTTTCACAACTTTGTGCAGGCTAGTGTAGCATGTCTGGCAGTAACAGTGTTTCTAGTAGCGTTTCCGGTTAAACTTTGTGCAAAGCCGAAGTCACGAGCTAGTCAGGGGAGTCCGGGGGCAGGTTCGGATAGCGACAACAGAACGTTTGAAACGTTTGCACCAGTTGCGTCACAGCGCCCACGATGTCTTATCTTCGGAGTGCCCTTGCTGGTTCTCTCCGTATTTGTTCTATTCAACTTGCTGAACGGGTTCACTTATTTGAGCTCGTTGATGTATTTGCCAGCCTCAATAGCCGCAGCTATCCAAATGACGTGACCAGCAGTGAACTTGGTACTGATTGCATTGTTTCAACCAAAGATGTGCTACATCTGTGGGCGTGGCTGTCAGTGATTCCCATCATTGCTGGTGGAGTCATGGTAGCGACATAAGACCCGGCGTTTTTTCGGGAGGATACGATGATCCCGAGGCGAAGCATACAGGAGTTGACTACGAGTAGTATAGCCTTTGCGACTGTCGCTTTACTAACGAGAGCTTTGCGGATTTTTGCTATTAATTTAGTCGCTGGCAGATACGAGCAGAGTTTCCAACGGCGTAGGGACAGAACAAGCTCTCCTTTAAGTGGTTGCAGACACGAGCAGAGTTTCCAACGTCGTAGCGACGGAAGAAGCTCTCCTTCAAGTGGTTGCAGATACGAGCAGAGTTTGCAACGGCGTAGTGACGGTAACGGAAGCTCTCCCTGTCGAAGAAGTGCAGACAGCAGCTCAAATGAAGATGAAAAGAAGCTTTGCTGTGTGGGAGGGTGGAAAAAAGAACGGCGAGCTGCCCTTCGTCATGCCGAGCGTGGTGAGCATATTACATATGGATGATGTTGATGTTTTTCCCCTTGCCACACCATCGAGCCTGCCCCTTTTCCCCTTGAAAGGGTCTAGGTTATAGCGGAGCCTCGATGGTCTGCCTAGGTGGAAAAAGCGCCACTCATACTACAAGTGTGTTTGCCTCTTAACGCTCTGCTATACGTGACTCTTGGCATGATTTTCGAGAGGGAGGCGAACGGGCCAATGTCACAGGGGAGACCGCCGCACTTGGTGAAGCCAGACAACGAGCATTTATTCGGCTTGATCGGTTTCCTCTTGCTAGGGGGAATGTGCAATAGTGCTTGGATTTTGACGGAGTTTCGTCTCGTGGAGAAGATGGGATCAGATACGACGGCGATTATTGCGAATGTTAGTAGAACTGCCGCGACATTAATGGCAGTTGCTGTTCTCGGTGAACGGATGCAGTGGTGGCAGTATACGGGTGTCGGTGTACTGATACTGGGCATCATCGTACGATTCACTGTTGGAGATGTATACACCGTAGAGGACGAAAAGACAGATGTGCCACCGAGAACTTCTGAGCTGCAGGATCATAGCCAAGTTGAGCCCGTTTATGGTTCATGAATTTGCAGTTCTTACTGCTCGTGTTGGAGAGTACAAATGGACACCAGTTACGCTTACTCATCGTCATCATAAGGATTATCGATTCCTGACCAGAAACATGACTTCAGAAAAGAGATTCATACGTTTGAAGTTTTAATTGTCCCTTTTTATTTTTTACTTGCTTGGTATTTATGTTGAACGATGTTCTAGTTCTCTTTTGGTTGTTGTTGTAAAGACGTTGATTACACCGCCTGTTTGTTTATTCTTTATTTTCAAGGAGATCATCAACGAGTGTCAGCGACGATACCGATGAGGCAGTTCCAGACAATCCAGAGCAAACTTTTCGCTTCAACAGAAATCGAAGCGGAATTAGTTCGAAGACCGTCATCCTTTTAACAAAAAATTTTTTTAAAACTTTCCTTGACCACGGAAATTTTCTAACCCATGATTTTTTAAAAGACCTTTGCAATTGTGCTTTTTTATCATTTATTTTATAGTTGTACATTTTTTTTTTCATCTTTTAGGCCCGTGAGTGCCCTACCGTCTTGAGAACGGTAATTTTGCTTAGTTTGACTGTCAACAATCTCCCTTTGTCATTCAGGAGGACAATTTCTGCGTCTGTTTTTTTGAACGAAGCAATTTCTACGTCTGTCTTTTTGCGGTTGGGTTGATTTAGTGAACCGCGTGTGGATAGTCCCGACGTCCTAATCTCTACTCTCCAGATGGAATGACGCTATCCAGTTTCTAGACACATCGAAAAGTGTGTTCCCAGAAGATTTCTGCAGTAACATCGTGGAAATTCCTGTTTGATCTGCATTGATGTGGCACAAGTCGCGTGTCAAGAATAAAATTGTCAAATCCATCTGCATCGTCACGCGGTAGTACGCGTCATGATGGACATTTCTTAACACAGAATAAAAGTTGAATCTATCAAGATGAAAGTAAATGTCGAAGAAAAATCCTCTGCATGCGAGCCCATTTTCTTGTCGTGCACTTCCGACAGGTTCGTGGTGTCAAATCGAATACTATCTTCTGAAAAGCAAACGATTAGTGATCCACGCAACAAAATGATGAAGTTGATGAAGACCATAAAACTGCTACGACGGACCCTGTCTACACTATCCTACCAAGCAATTACGAGGATGTTGTTTTCTCCAGACCAGTCTCTTCTGATTCTTTCGTGCATACACTATCTAGCATATCACACTGAATTTTCATACAAGATTCCTTTCTTGTTATATTCTCAGATGAACAAATACAAAAGTAATTCCGCAAAAAAATTTCGACCCTAAAATTCTAAAGGAATATCGTCATATTCATCTTTTTTTCTTTAGCATAAAGTTTGCCTATTCGTAGGTAGAGCGCAGATACAAGGAAGTGGGTACATTTCTTTCTCTGTCAGAGAAAGTACAGCGGTAACAAGAAAACTAAAGAAGAAGGAAAGATGTCGTACCTCACCATCGTTGCCCCTGGGCGATTTCTTGATGGCATTGTAGTGTCATTCTTCGTGATGGTTGTCGCAGGCCTCTCGCTCTTCGTCTTTGGGACATTTCACCACTATGTCTGTATTAGCATGATTTATTTCTTTCGCTTATCTCTCTTCTCTTCAGAGATCGATGACGAAGCAACTTCTCTCCATGTGTGTCGGTAACTAAGAACTGCAGCACTTGTAGATAACTTTTTTCAAGGCCGTGCAATCTCGACTTCTCATAAAAATCCCCGTTTTACAACACTAGGTGTGTCCGAAGCAAAGAAACTCGGCATGGTAGCGGTGGTATTCGACAAGATCTTTCCAATGCCGGGAAAGAAATGGGCTTTTAACCTGACGCATACTTTGCTGCTATCGATTCTGATTAGTCTGCAGTCTATGATGCATCACCCCGCTCAAGATTACCTGGAGGAGAACGCGATCCTCCAGAAAAAGAAGCGCGAAAAGGCAGAAGCCAAGGAAGAGAAAGGAGGAAAAGAAGCGTAGACGATACTCGAATGGAGGTTTGGGTTCGCTCACTCTTCCTCTTCTTCATAAGATGTATGCAGAAGAAGGCAAAAGAGTAGTAGTTGCCGAGCAGCCAGAAAACTATGACTAGTTGTCGTGTACAACACCACGCAATTACAATACCTGGCTGGTTCGACGTTGAGAAGCCGGTCATGAAGAGGAGGCACGAGCAGGTTTCTCATACTCATACATCTGACGTGTAGTTTTTTGCAATGTTGAGCAGCTGTCAGGACCACATAGCACGTCATGGCGATTGCAGAAGCACGATTGCATGTCCTTCGCAGTCCCCCCAATCACCATACCTATCATATAGATCAGGATGAAACTAACTACATTAACTTACCAAACCAGTTTTTTTTGTCAAACCATGGGTTACACTCATAGACACTAGAAAACGAGCCACCTGTCAGAGGAAGAAGTCAGTTTAGAAAATGACGTTTTTTTCGAAAAAGTCAAAGTAGTTCTGTTGGCGAAGGACGTTGCTGTCCCGGGTACATACTTTCATATTTCCAAGTCCCTAGTTGTTTACAAGCCCCCCAAGACATGTAACAAGCGCACCCGCGCATAACAGGCCACGGCATATCCTTGAAAACGATAATGGTTTCAACACATTGAAACCAAATGCGCTACGGCAATTTGCTTTTGCCTTCAGGAAGAACACTGTTCTACCCCACGCCTACTCTTACCTAACAATTTCAAGGAAAAGCCACGATCATATTTTGAAGCGGATGAGATCAAAATCTAGGACACTCTTCGGTGACGTGAAACCTCCTTAGGATCATCGGTATGAAGTATCATCTGTCGAAAGGCCGATCTGAAATACCTAACCGTCGCGCCATTCCAAGACAAGAAATCCTTCTCGTATCGTTTCTCTAGTTTATTCCTTTTCATCGGTTTTCTCGGTTCTACAGGGTATGGCGTTCCACGTCCAAGCAAACCCGTTAACAACCCACAATGCATGCTGAGCTATGCAACCCAAAGACCAGACATGCATTTCGAAGGCAGGAGTGAGTATGTCATAATTAAGGTATGGTTACGTGAGCAGGATTGATTCTTCATCTCCAAGAACAAAGAGGGGGGTAGGATTAGGAAAGCTGACATAAAAAATGTTAATGTAGTTCTAGTTTAATAGTTAACTACTTAGTGCTTACGTGCTTGTTTTTGAGAATGACGACTAAGTACTTACTTGCTCGCACTTCTCTAAACTGCATAATTTCTCTGAAAGTTGCACATTTTGTTCAATTTAGCACTTTTTGCTCTCAACTTACATACTTTTGTCGACAAAGACAATGAAGATGCATACGGGAATAGGTTTGCTAGAGTCGAATTTCGTAGAAATTCTTGGTGGTGGTTCAGTACGGCTGCAGAGCACGAGTGGTTTCCGCTTTGTGGCAGAAGGCGGACCAGACAAAGGTTGTAACCGCACCTGCTTCTACGATCATTCCAACGGACAACACTGCGGACGATGGGACGGTAGGAGAAGTGATGCTAGTAGCTGCTCTTGGCCGTCTATGGTTTATCCACTCAGTCGCACATCGAGCAGCGATGAACAGGCTTTCGGACGTCTTCTGCCGCGGCATGGTGGAACCTACGACAATGCGACACGACAGAAAATGAGAAGCAGCTTTCTCTTTTGGTCCTCTCCAAAAGCGGATACGCCGCAGGACTGGGTAGAACCGATGGTGAATGGCTTCACAGAGGGAGGGAGCAAGTGCCAGTGTAGCACACTGCCGCCGATAACTTCTCTGAAGGCAATGAGCGGACGCCAGCGCGAGCACGCGGAAGAGGAAGCAGCGCAGGCAATGGCCTTACCTTTCAAGCACTTCGGAAAGGCAATCGAGAACTGGGACCAAACTCGCGCCAACCTATTTTTAAAACTCAAAAGGTACTTTCCATTCTAAGTACACAATTTGGATAGCTTATCGAATGACGAATTGCCTCTTTCTTCTTCAGATACCTTGTAACTTGATTAGAACCTATTAATGAAATTTTCGTCTTCAATTTGTACACTGCCTCAAGCATTATACTGCAGTTACAACGAGGCCCAGCGAGGTCTTACGGATGCGTTGCGGGCTCTTCTTTCAGGGTTTCGGCATCAGGCGGCGATCAACAAGCGATACAGCATAGTTTTGCCAGAAAAGCAGCTAGTCGATCAAGCCATAGACCAGTACAACAGAAGAATTGTGCCTCCTGCTTGTACAGTGGGTTTTACACTTCCTCTGCTCCCTGCCAAGGATCTCTCTGTCGAAGAATGATATCCGTTGGTTATTGTCATGTTCTGGAACTAGAAGACAGACTGTTCCTTTCTCCTAGTCCTACGAGTGAAATCCCAAATTTAACTTGAACGTAGTATTCTTGATGTTGTTCTCTAAATTGAAAACATGCAGATAGTTGCTTGGAGGGACGGAGTGGTTCGAATTTCTGTCACACTCTTGTCTGTCAAAGAGTTTGATATCGCATGTGCTATTTAGAATATGCTTTATGTGTCTGTTGAGAGAGCAAGCGATACATCGGTGTGGAGGTACAGTTGCAGTGTTCAACCTGGGAGAGTACTAATACTGATTCGTGTGTTTAGTGACGAGCACCCGCAGCGCATTGTGATTTTTAGAGCGACGCTTGCTGATGATGAGGATTATCGTAAGCATGGTGGGAGTTCGTGTATCTGTGGCAGTCCTCTGAGTTCCCTACCAATTCCACTTCTCACATTGCCTCTTCCAACTCCAACAGGACCCATATTCTGATTCTTGTACACCACATATTTTTGGCATCTTCCCCTTAATTTTAGAAGTTCTATGATAACTCGTGCTTGTAGTAAGTTCATGATTATTCAGTTGTGATTCATATGCTGCTTTTCTGTAAAATATTTTGACTTATTCACCATTGATGTAGAACTATTATGTTAGTCTTGTGATTTGGTTTTGCTATTTTACGAGTATGGTCCGTGGGATATTTACCTGGGAAGATTTTTGAGGAAAACACATTAGACATCGTTGACATACGACCTGTAACCTAGTCATTGGCATAGGCACTTCCATTTGCTGCTGTCTGTTTTCCTTCATCGGTCTGTGAACCCGACTAAAGTTTAGGGTAGATTTCGGATGATTTGACCTGGAGGTACTCTAACGGGCTTCAACAAGAGATCGGCTTTTATAGAAAGATTTTCAACAGATAAACAAAGGTTGCAGTGACGCTAGAAAAGTACATGGCTTTATGTCAACGAATTAGCGACGTTTTTATCTGGGAAGTTAAATTGCCGTAAAGATCGACGTAGCACTCACCATCCAGTTCAAGACGACAACTCGTGGTTTCGTCTAGATGTCGATTTGCGTTTGTCAACAGAAGAAAAAGAATAGAGAACAGGAGATTAAACAGCTGCTCGTACAGTTGTAGTGCCACAGAAACAAGTTGTTGAGGTCTTCAACTGCCGGCCACGACTTGCTTAGAGAACATTTTCCGGGATCCTCCACCGGAACAGACAAGGTGTAGTTTGGCAGAAGAAAAGAGGATGGAGATCGCTGATAGCGGTCCGCCCGTGGCCGCCCCATCAAAAACAGCGGCAGTCGTAGCAAGTTCGTCTCGTGCGACGAATACGACCGCTGCTAGCAGTTCGACGGAGCTTGCTGGTCACCCGGGGAGTGTGTCCTCGGCTGATTCGGCAGCGGAGCCTCCGAATTCTTTACCGCGCGCCAACGTCGGGAACTCCACGGAAATCGCGTCCAGCCGGTCGCGGTCGACCACAGGAGAGAAGCTGGATCGGGCTGAGAAGCTCGAGCAGCAAGCGGAGCGTCTGCAGCAGCAAGCAGAGGCGATGCAGCAGCAGGCTGCCGAGATCCAGAAGCAAGTGTTGAAAGAGCGCAAGTACGCAGAGCGAAGGGAATACGCCGAGCGTCGCGAACGCGAGCGCACTGCGGCCACTGGAAGCAATAGCAGCGCAAGCGCGGCTGCTGGAAGTGCGAACGGCCCGGGTGGTGGCATCGCCCTGAGTGGAGGAAGCAGTAGCGCTTCAACCGCGGCTCTCGCGAGCAGCGTTGCTCCGGGCAGTGGGCCGAGCGCCGCGACGAGTGCGGACGCCGGTATGTCAGCTGCCGGCGATAAAATAGGCGGAGCAGGAACTCATCTCGGGGGGTCAGAGCAGATCGGTGGAACGGCGCCTAGCAGTTCCGTCGTCGTGAACAATGGCTTACCTTCGCCAGTACACAATAATGCCAGCAATGGAGGAGATGGTAGTTTTAACAACTACGGCGACGCTTTCGCTGGAGGAGTGGCCAACATCGCTGGCTCACCGGTGGATCATAAGGGTGAGCGCTCCTCAAGACGAAGAAGGAGTTCCGAAGAGAAGAAGGACGGCTCTTCTTCCGCAGACAAGAATAGGGTACAAGAATTTGCCTCTAGAATTTTCTCTGTTTTGTTGTTGATTCGCGTATGGATTTATCTTTGTTAACAAGTGGCCTCCTCCCATTCTCCGCTTCGCATCGGGATAGGAGAGTAGTCAAAGTCCACCCTTATACAGTTATTTCGCTTAACGTAAGGGAAAAAAGGTTAGTCTTCCAGTTAATCCCACATAAAAGGATTTGCTTCTGTTGTTGCTTCAAAAGTGTTGTCTTGGAAGATGCCATCCTACCTTACAATAGAGAAGCGATTCGACTGTAAAGATCAAAACATTTTCTCTCGTTAGGCACCGGTCTCAGCGACAGACGAGAAGATAAAGTCAGAGCTGAAGAACAGTTTGCCTCCTGCAGTTTCTACGAGTCTGAAGGACTTTCGACAGATGGCTTTGCTCGGTGAGGGCGCATACAGTGCGGTCTACAAAATTCTGCGGCTATCAGACAACAAGATATACGCATTGAAGAAGGTACATGGTTCTGTTTTTTCTTGCGGATGGGAGCGATTTGTGATCGGCTGAAGGTGTCTTCGAGTGTAAAAGATTTCTTGTTGGTTCTCCATTCTTTATTTTCGTCGCTCCTCTTATTTTCAAGTCTGTCCTACGTTGATACCCATCTTTCCAACACACTGTACTTCAGGTGAAGCTTCCAACCTTGTCGGAGAAGGAGAAGCAGAACAGTCTCAACGAAGTGCGGCTACTAGCGTCTATTCAGCACGAAAATGTCGTCGGCTACAAGGAGTCATTCTATGACGACGCCAGCAGGTACATTTTCATGAATGCTGATGGTGGTGTAAATCATCAAATCTTCTAAGTCGAACCCAAATTTTGTTGAAGTGAATTACGCGAGCATGCATTGAGAACGAGTCGGGCAGTTATTTTCACAGTCGCGAAACATGCAAATGCTGACTAACGAAATTTCTTTTCGAAAAACAGGTGTCTCTGCATTATTACCGAGTATGCGGATGGCGGAGATTTGTTCCAGAAGATAAGTCATCATCAAAAGATGAGAACTTTCTTTCGTGAAGCCGATGTCTGGCACTGCACCTTCGGAATGTGTCACGGGTAATATTTTGTTAGACTTCTCTCAGCTTGAGCTTATTCCACCACGAAACTACTTTCAACGCATTGCAAAGAGGTGAGTTTTGACTTCAAAACGGTTCATGCGATCACAGTTTCGCTGCTAGCCCTTACAACTTATTTGCCACTATGGTGAGGCTATCTATCACTCCTACTGCTGCTAATGCCACACAACCTCTACCCGACATCATAGGTTGAAAGCACTCCACGAGCTGAAGATCCTTCATCGTGATTTGAAGTGCGCAAACGTCTTCCTTGGTAGCAAGGGAGAGGTAAAACTTGGTGACCTGAACGTCTCGAAGGTCGCAAAGCGGGGTCTCTGCATGACTCAGACCGGAACGCCTTACTATGCGAGCCCAGAAGTGTGGCGAGATATGCCTTATGATGCGAAAAGCGACATGTGGTCGCTTGGATGCGTCATCTACGAAATGGTCGCTCTCAGGTATTAATTACTATCCATCTGGTAGTAGCAGTAGTACTTGGAGGATGTTTCATTGTGTCCACTAGTTTCTAGATTTCCAAGATTTATGTTTATGAAGCCTACTTCAGTTTTTTGCTTTGGTTCTTTCTTCTTCTCAGGTAGGTAACGCGGCTTTATGCCGCCTGCCTCCTTAATTCACATTTCAATAACCACTAGGTCGCTATTAACCCTATATGTTACGAGCTCCCACAAGAATAGGTTCAAGAAAAACAACCATTCTCGAAAAACTTATAGGCCGCCATTCCGTGCTGATGATATGGAGAGTCTCTATCGCAAGATTCTGAGAGGGCAGTATCCCAGAGTTCCGTCCGTGTACTCACGGGATGTAAATGAGGTGATTGCCTTGCTTCTACAGGTGAACCCAAGACAACGACCAGCCGTGGATGTGCTGCTGCAGCTTCCGGTACTAAGAATTGGACAATATATATTGCCGATTAGATTATAATCATTAATTTTGATTTCGACTGATGCTCGTCATAGTACATAGAAAAAGAAGTTGCACAGCAACTAGAATAGTAAAGTGGTTGTATGAGCAATAAGTCTTCCGAACAAACTTGCATCAGGTGATGCAGCGACACATACATTACGACTCTGCGAGCAGGAAAGGAGGGCCACGACACGTCTCAACTGATTTGCTGGCCACGATTAAAATGCCGAAGGACAACAACATGGGCGATATGGCTGTCCAAATGCCACGACCAAGGTACTTGAAAAGGATATTATGATTCATAGATTTCATCAGCAGAAAAATGGCAGAATTATATAGCAGAACTTCTACATGTTTGCAACTTCTTTCTAAGCAAATATCTTGAGACAATCTGCTACATCGTAAAATTCCTATAGGTATGAGGACACGATCCCTGAGGAGCCTGAGCGTGAGGCGTACGCGAATTCTAGCAATAGGCGGTCGCGACAAGAGAAAACTAGGAGAAACAAACAGCCGGTCGACAGTTTGGACGCGCTAACGTACAACATTCAGCAGAGGCAACAGCCTGTCGCTGCCCAGCCACAGGAGTATGTCCCGCAGGATGGCTACACGGGAAGCCAGGGACCCTACCAGATGAATGCGCAGGTAATATTTTTCAGAGCATTAGTACTTAGATGTGTGTTAGCTGGAGAGGTGCCTACCTTGGAAGATGCAGTGCATTGGAATGGCCACTTTTGCTACATTTGATTCGACTTACGATTGTATGATTGATAAAGAAACTCATCATGCCTCGAGCTGTTCAGATTCTGAAAACCAAAACTTCCACTCTTTCTCTCTTTCCAGGGACCGCACAACTACCACCAGCCACGGATATTACCGAATCCAGTGCCGAGTCCAGCTGTCGCTGTCAGCAGCCGTCAGGGTATTGCAGGTAAAAAAGTTAGTCTGATTTTCATTTTCATTTTTTTTATGCATCCTGATTCACCGCTGCCAGGAAAGAAGCGCACTGGTGTGTTACTGATTTCCATTGATTTCTCGTCCTCTTTGATTGTAATTTTCTTATGCTCTTTGCATGGTTTACTTTGTCGGGCATACCGTAACATAGTCAGAGTGGCGACACGGTGCAGACAAGCGCGCAAGCAGCAGAAGTGGCGTGGCAAAGCTTTTTCTTTCAAGCCTGATTTGAGAGACAAATGACTTGAGAGACTTTCAAATGACATTTTCCCGTTGCGGCCAGGGACAAGGACAAGCTAGGGACACCGGTGCATTTTTCTGAAAACGACCATCACGAGAAGCGCAAGGAGTTTCAGGTCGAAGACTCGGAAGGTTTCCGCCCGGTAGTCTGAAAATGAAAGTTGTCTTGGCTACCGGATATAACCTGCCGGCGGCCAAAAAGTGAAAGTCTTGGCTGCCACCGGATATTCTAAAAGCTTTGCCTCGTTGCTGCTGCCTCGACGCTTGACATCGAAAAAAAATGAAAAAGTGTCTCTCGTAGTACTGGATGTGTGTTTGATGTTATTCTTTTCTCGTGCTGGTTTGTGACTTTTGTTTGCTTATGGAATGTCAGGTAGTGATCGTGAGAGAAGTGCAAATGGAGGAAGAAGGGACCGTCGCGAAAGATCAAGTCGGAAAGAAATGGAGTATCAAGCTCAGATTCAACGAAGACCGCACGGCGGAATTCACTTGGAGCCTATAGGAAATGGAGCAAGACCTGGCTCAAGAGCAAATGAATTTGGACACCCTCAAGATGTGTATGCACAGCAGAATAGAGGTGGAAGTAGGAGTGGCAGCCGTGGCGCAGGAAGTGGGGCCTACAATGGTCAAAATACTCATGCTCAATATCAAGGTCAAAATCATGGTCAAGGTACTCAGGGTAGGGGTTATAACAATCATGCAGCTGCTGCTCAAGGCGAATCCATGGTTTTAGTGAGTGGCGAATATCGTCCAGCATCGAAGCAAACTGGTCAGAGGGAGAGGCCTGGAGGAGCCCATGGATCTCAACAAGGTTCGCGCGCTTTAGAGGGAACGAGAAATGGCATGCCTGAGCCGCCACCTGGAACACCTGGTGGGCGGATCCCGAAAACCGACTTGCCCGTGTATGTGCAAGAGTACGCCGAAGCAGTGAGGGAGCGGGCAGCGAGCCGAGGCGGAGGACAAGCAAGGCCGCCCGCCATGCCTGTACCAGGCAGCGGGCGGCCGCCAGCGATGCCTGTGCCGCCCTCTGGTGGAAATGAGTATCAGCAGAGGCAGCAACTGAACCAGCAAGTGGTGGAAAGAGCTATTTCAAAACAGGGCAGTCGTCAGGCTGCTCAACGTACGGCAACCCCGACTTCCTCCAGTGCTGCGCAACAAGCCCGTGGACAAGCTCAACAACCTCAACAAGCCGTGTACAAATCCCAATATCAGGAGTATCAGCAACGAAAAGCTGCCATGGCCGCTAATACCTCAAATCAACAACAGTCTTCTTCCTCCTCAAGGCCTCCTCTTGCAGGATCCTCACCCTCCGGTGCCAGAGATTATATTCCAGATGCGGAGCGTCTGCACGCTGAAATTACCGGGAGCTATAAAAATTATGTGGGCGCTTACACCCCTCCAACATCCTTGGACCGAGCTTCTAGAAATAATCAACAGCACCCGACTTCATCGACCTCAGTCGCAGCAGGTGCGGCCGCTAGTTCTTCCTCCCATGACCTCCTCGACCCGCAGCAGTACCGCGTCCCCAGCTCCTCTTCATCCCAAAAGCCTCCTCTGCTTGAGCCCATAGATCCCTCAACAGGTCGTCCGGCGATCCAGCCGCCGTACAACCGACAGCCGGGCGCTTACGACGCCATGAAGCGACCAACGAACAATTACTCGCAACCGGGAAATGCCGTGGCCTCACATGGTGGACTGCAGCAGGTGCCTAGCAAGCGATACAACGGCGTGCCGAATCCAATGCCGGATCGGTATAACCCTGGAGTACCTAACTCCGCTAGCAATCTGGTCGCAATGAAAGCACCGGCCTATCATCGTGAAGACCGTTACGCACCACCCAGTGGCGCAGGAAGGTACATCTTTTGGAATTAGGATTTTCATTCTATCTTGTTGTAATCTTCTTTGCCATGTTTGTAGATTTTTTCCATCTGAGCATTTCTTTAACCACTATCGCTCGATTGAAACCTAATTACCGAGATCGTGAGCTCCGATCGAAAAACACTTTCTTCAATAATACTATGATGAACTATACAACAGGTATGAGAAGAGCGCTGCGCCGAATAGGTACCAGATTGGTGCGAGCAGACGTCCGCCAAATCGCCTTCGCGAGCAGTACAACCGACCGGGGCAATTAGCTCCGATGCGTGTTTTCTAGCCGCGCCGACTTCTAGAGACGCACGAGTAGGGAAAAAGCGTCGTTATAGTTCAAGAAGAGATTCCGAGTTTACAACCGCCCGTTATCGACGATAGAGCTAAGCTGCGACGATGCAGCATAAAAGCAAATTGGGAGCAAGTTTGAAGAGGTACCGAAAAGAGAATTAACTAGTAGTTCATTATTTGGGAAAAGCAGATACGCAACACCAGAGTTAAACTAAGTGAATCTTTCATCATCTATGAGAACCATTTGTATTTGCATGTTAGAAGCTTCGAATCACATTGAAATAAGAGGGAGTGAAGTTAACATAGTACATGTTAGCTTCACTTCAATGAAAGTTCCACTTGTCATGTTGAGTGCTTTATAGCCATCGATATCAGCGAAACTTCGAATGAAGTATAGAAAAATGATCTATGTTTAAAGGTAGTTAGGGAAAGTCTTGATAATATTCAGCTCTACAAGTCGCGTTCACCACGACTAGAAGTTGTTACAACCATTGAGTTTGTTGAGACATCATCGTAAAAAAGTTCCAAATCTGAGTGTTCATCAACATCGCATCATTCTTCTATACACCAGCAACCTTGAGAATAGAGACAACCCGAACCATGAGGAACTTGTTCATCTTCATCAGCAATCAGGAGCAACACACGCTATCCAATATTCAGAGAGTTCATCAACATCCTAAGATATGATAGCTGCACATAAAAAGTGCAATATCCGCTATGTAGTCGTCATTCGAGTTTTCTAGTTCCACAGAAATCAAGGCAGTGTTAAAGCAGTAGAGATCGTGCTATAGATTTGAAATACAGTTATCAGGTTCCTACACGTAGAGGGTGATTTCGAAGATGGCAGCTGAATCTAGAGTCATGGTATGTATAGAAGCTCTAAGAAGGTAGCCGTCGACATGAAACACAACGAGGTGTTGCGACTTTACTAGTAGACTGTCCATTGTTAAACATGACGAGCATAGACCTCGCGCCATAGGCTGGAGCATATTTTGCATAGTAGTAGATTCAGTTGTAGTTTTACGAGCAAAGGCGATAATGTCATGGTGATGTAAAAATGGAAAACAGCAAGCACTCCCATGGATATGTACGAAGGGTGACTTTAGTAGAGCAAAAAATTCGAATTGAACACATATGTGTTGGCTATTCGCCTACACCGCACGTTACCTGTTACTAATGCCATCATCGACGAATCACCAATATTTTTACGGAGAGTACGAAATCAAGAGGACGTAATCGTCCTAGTTATCTCAGGAGACCGCAAGGTGGATGACTATGAGAACCGTAAGGAAGAACTAGCGGCCTGCATAAAGTGACCTGAAGGAGCCGAACGTAAAGAAGGCTCAGGTCGAACGCCGTTACAATGCCGTTACATGTCCATGATCCTTGTATAATATGTATAGAGCGCGCTTCGCTTAGGCATGCGTCTTTACTTCCTTAATGATGCGTTGCGGGGCGAACAATGCTGATTCCTCTGAAGCATGATCAGTTACAGAATGACACTACTAGGCAGTAAAGGAATATCACATAGGAAACCTACATGCGGTGACTTACTCTCTGTAAATTACGTCATTGAAGAACAAGATGAAAAACTGGAGAAAGCATGATATCATCGATGGTCCACAAGTGGGTCAGTAATTAACTCATTTAGGAGGATTGTGATCATGATTGCGCAATCGACTCTGTCGACTGATCACTGCGAACGCAAGAACACTATTAAAGATTGCAAGACTGGGTTGGTGCTATAATCATCGAGTAAGCACATCATCCTGTGCTACAAAAGAGAAGAAAAGAATCACAAAAAATCGGCGAAACCGCACTGAGCTCTGGGCTGTCGTTTTTGATGAGCACGCTTCGGAGAAGCTCGATATTCATTGCAAGCGTGTTCCCTCAAGGATAGCGATTTCGGTCGTTGAACAAATTCAAAGACAGCGAGAGCGAGATCTATCGTCAAAAAGTTCCTTGAGCAGCAAAAGGACAACAATAGAGTTGATAATATTCAAAATCACTGCGTTGGCGAGAGCAAGACGTGCGCTTTGATTAAAGACACCCAAACCCCAAATCGCGCCTGACTGTTTTACTTTCGCTCGTTTTTTCGCTAGACAATTCCAACTTCAAGAAAAGACGCAGCGATGACAGATGCGGCTGCAGATGATATTGTTTGCGAGCCTGCTGGGCTTGATCTCGGGCAGGGCCAGGGCCTGGACGGTGTAGAGCCTGGTGAGGATCTTGAGGAGCTTACCCTACCTCTGGCGGACGATTGGCACATGCACTTGAGGCAAGGCGATATGGCCCGTGTTGTGGTACCTTTGGTCCGAAGAGCGGGCGTACAGCGTGGAATCGTCATGCCGAATACGATACCAGCGGTAACTACGACCGCGATGGCACTAGATTATAGAGCAGAGTTATGCGAACTCGATGACTTGGTGGACTACAAAATGTTGTTGTACTTGTCGCCGGACCTCACGCCAGACGACTTGCAAAAAGGGAAAGACAGCGGCTTGGTTACAGGTGTTAAAAGCTATCCACGCGGAGTGACAACAAACAGCGATGCAGGGGTGGAAAGCTACGAACAGTAGTATGAAATTTTAGTTTTTTGAACTGGTCAAGAAGATTGATTGTGGTTTAAAGAACAACGAAAACAGCATCCTATTGAGCAAGCCACATCTTTAGGAATTATAATTACTCGTTTTAGCCCATCCAACTTCTGGCACAGACAGGTACTACCCGCAGTTCCGGAAAATGGAGGAGCTTGGCTTAGTTCTTCATTTGCACGGCGAGGTGCCCGGGGAATGCGTGATGGAGGCAGAGGGAAAATTCATCGGCGAATTAGAGAAGCTTGCTCGAGACTTTCCAGGCCTCAAAATTGTGATGGAACATGTAAGCACGAAAGCAGCAGTCGAAGCAGTTCTTCGGTTGGGGCCGAACGTTGCTGCATCAGTGACTGCACACCACCTCGATATCACCATTTATGGATTTTTTTTCACCATCCTGTCCCTGTGAGAAGAAAGTGGAATCTCTCTAGAAGTCACGGGCAACTAGAAGATGCACTTGCATCAGGATAATGAGAAACTACGCCGTTAATGTATCGACCAGGTGGTAGGCTGCTGCCACTACTTCTGCAAGCCGGTGCCGAAGTTGCCGAGTGACCGAAATGCACTGAGGCAGGTCTTAATTTTGCGCTTTATTTCCAAACAAGTTTTTATAATTTTGATGATCATGAAGGACAGTCCTGTATGAATGCATCTCTTCTAATTTATCATCTTGTTGTTCGCAAAACGCAAACAGGTTGTTTTTTCTGGGCACCCGAAATTTTTCTTCGGGTCCGACTCGGCACCTCACCCACGGTCGAAAAAAGAGGGTGGCGTAGCCGCCGCGGGTGTGTACACCGGCGCGGCTGTCATCCAGTATCTGGCCCACATCTTTGGAGAGGCAAGACAGTTACATCGACTCCCAGACTTCGTGGGAACGTTTGGTGCGACTTTTCTAGGCCATCCGCTGAATCTTATGACTGGGCCGCGAATGCGCATCTTCAAAAAAGTTTGTCTTGTTCCGGACACGCACGGCGAAGAAATTCTAGGAAAAGAGAACGCAGTCGTACCTTTTCGCGCAGGGCAGGTGCTGGATTACCAAATAGAGATCCTGGACTAATAATAGCAGCTGTGAAAACCTAAAGATGCTCGATCAATCAAGCCTGCATTACAACAAGAACTGGGGAGGTTCAAACAATACGCTGACTTTGCTGCCATGTTTCGATCGACTGCGAGGACGAAGGGACAATCAAACAAACAATTAATGAAAAGCGCGCTTCTTGTTAGATTCTGCAATTTTTTATAATTAATTTTTTAACAATTTTTTACAAGCTTTCTCTAAAGCAGTCAGCTGTTCCTTATGATTAAAGGCATCTCGTGTTTGCGAGAAACTTTTTTAGCATCAGGAATACACACATGGATGTACGTAATATTACCCCAAAGAAAGGATTCACTAAGCACATTGTGGAGGGTGCCTGTAGTGCGCTTCGTGGTGTAATTTTTTTTTGTGAGTGATTCGACGTGTAGAACAATGACGCAAACGGACTGATAATTAGGGATTTACAGTGATAGGGACGGGTTGTTAATTACCCATACCCACAAATGCGAGTGGCGGCATCGTTATGGGAGCTGACGCATTGTTGCTGTGGGTGTTCGTTTCTGATCTTCTAATGCAAGTCTGGATGATTCTTTGATTGATGTTTTCTGGTAGTGCCATGTACGTCGGGAAAGATCATGGACGACCACCGGTGTAAGTATTTGCAGCGTCGGTTCTAGAAATGCGAGGGTGACGACGATCAATCGTGGCGCGTCATCGTTTCATAGGTCTCGTAGTATTAAACTGTGATAGATAAGAAGAAGAGGTTGTGGTCGTTGTATTCAGGTGTTATTCCTATAGCTAGGTATATTTAGCACGCGTGCAGAGTCTGACTTTTCTGAGGAGCAAACCACTCACTGCAGCGGCAGTTTCGGTTTGCTCAATTTGTATTCACAGAGGGCTCTTTGTGTCGTGGCTCTGCTTTATTCTTCGTAGCGTCAGTTTTTTGTTATTGGAAAAACCGTTTTATGCTAGTACATACATCTTCTCTCTATCATAATGATCAGACGAAAGGATACTAAGGAAAACGTGCGTATGCGTGCCTAAAAGGACGACGTGATTCTAAGTGAGTACTATTCACAAGACGCCGGCAAATACATAGCTGAGAAGCAGTAAGAAACAAACAACCTGTGAAAATTTGAATTGAAATTGAGCAGTGCAGGAAAAGAAGATTGGTAAACGATTGATTTTCATTTTGATATTCTGTTGAGTTGTTTTTACCAATTCTACTTCTACCACGTGGAAGTTCTACAACAACAAAGCATTTTGTTGAAACACTAATGCTAGCATCGTAGACTGAATACTGGAACAACTAACTACATCGATCATCACCAAAGAAAACGAATAGTCGGGTTTTGTTCTCGATCGACATCGAGCGTCGTCTGTTCATCGATCCGATTGCGAAGATGGACGCACAAATAGTGATAATTGCGGTATACGCGTGCCTGATCGTGATGATTTTGGTCATGGCGCTGATCCAGATGTGCGTGGCAGCAGCCAGGGTTCCCAAAATTGACGAAAATTTGCGGGCACAGCAGTACAAATTGACCATTCAGCAGCCGTACAGCAACAACTATCCAGGAGCAACAGGCACGACGTCTACTCCGCAATACAGCTTCATGGCCGGTCAGCAGCCACCTGTGCATGGTGGGCCACAAGCGTACGCAGCGGGCCTGGCACCAGGTGTCTATGATCCTCAGAACAACAGTCACGACCCAAGAAGCTGGCCTCAGAACAACAGTCAGCACCAGCAAGCAAATACAGGGGGTATGCCAACAGGAGGAACTCTCTCGCCAACGCAGCAGGGGCAAGCAAACATATTCCGGCCAGCTTTTCAGCCTGCACTCGGACCTGATGGCCGTCCGCCACCGCCGCAGATGAATTATGGTACAGAATTTACAGATTTCTTTTTTTGCTCACTTGATCTTGCGCAAATGCGCCATTGGGTCGCGTTTTTGAGTTATGCTTATCACTTTTCGCAAACACATTTTACTAGGTACGGTACCGCAACAGCAACAGGGGCCCATATATGCGATGTACTGAAGAGCATTAGCATCGCTTCCATCTCGCTGTGTCGCCTTCGGACATCTGGCCACATCATATTACATGCTTTGGTTCTCTTTTTCTCACGTAACGCTGTGATTCAAGTGTGATTCGTAGGGGTTGGCAGTAGCATGTATGTAAGTATCATCGATTCATATGGGGAATATGACCTGGGAGCGCACTCTGTTTCAGTTTTGTTCTTCACGTTGCTTTGCGGGGAAATTATAATGATTCATACGGTCACGACCATAAATATTTTTGTTCCAATCATCAGGACGGGCCGTTTCTATTTGGCTGACATTAAAGAGGAAGACATATTTGATATGCATCACATGATACTTAATAACTTGATTACATAGTAGATACTGGCGCCACCTACTAATCAAATATGCGAAATATGATGACTTCGGCGCTGCGCCGCTGTCTCATCGCAGATCCTCTGAAATGCGACACTTGGTAGATACAGTGTTGAGACGTAGCCAATGCACGTGATTGGGATGCCTACTTCGACGTCGATTTGTGCACGGGTAATATCTTTTTTGCCCACTACTCTCTTACGCAATATGCATGGTTTCGCGTGCGCACAGTCGACACAAAAGGAAAAACTGTTTCGAAAGAAAAGCCACTAGTGTTGATATTGTCCGCAGATAGAGAACTTTACTTCTAGATTTATCGGACATCGCCAGTCCACAAGAACATCCACTGCTTGCGTTGCCAATTCGACCAGCCTTTTTTTGGAAATGCTAGCTGGTCAAATTGAGGCCGCCTCGTGGCAGCAGCAAAGAAGAAATGGCTGAACCTAAACTTTCTATTGATAAGATGAGGTTTTGGCTTTGCTGTTTCGGCAGTATGACAGGTTCCTGCATCAAGAAGTCATAGGAAAGATATTGCAAATAGGTCTGTTACCACCTGCATGCAAGTCTGACCCGGAGACACCGGTGTAAAGCTAAAACACCATGCGCATTCTGGATGATGGTATCTGAATCATCGCTGAGGTAAGAAAAAGAAAATGCTACGACTTATCACGTTGCAGATCTTACTTTAGAAGTATTGCATGCCGGAGCTAAAAAAGGAAACTGTATCTTCCCCTCACTGTTTGCAAGTCGATGACTCACTGCTTTTCAGAGTTATCTCTTTCGCTTTGTTGTGGTCCGTGTACAATAAAGACACAACTGTTTTTTGACCATTTTTGGTTGTTCGTAGGAATTCCAGAGGACATGCTATTTTAGTTTAGTTTAGTTCAGTTCTAGTCGAGTTGTGCTGTTTTGATACTTTCCCGTGTAGTTGTCTTTGTTTTGAGACATTGTGTTGAGGCATGAGTATGGGAATCTTCCGATTTTGTTTTAGAGAAAAAAGTCTTGTTGAATGTGATGATTTTTGCTGTGAATAGAAGAAATAAAATCAATAAGCAAAAAATGAGAGGCAGATCGCTCAACGCTTAATTATCGGAACACTGACGGTTTGTGGAATCGGGTTTCTTCTTCCGCTAGTAAGGTGGCGGCCAAGCCGTATCAAACTCTACATCGCAGCGTTACATTGGAGTTCGGAACAATAGCACCACTTCCAGACAACAAATGTGGTGTGGTTTGCAACGACATTTGACAGCTGAAGGTAAAGAAATCGCGCGCACGCTGTAAAACTTGCAAGCGAAAGAAGAATGAAGCAGGGACTACTGTTGTGAGAATGAAGTGCAAGCTCTTCTATACTAGAGCAACGCAGACGACGAAGCAGATCTCTCAGCGGGGCTTCGACTCCCGTTTCTGGTGGTAGCAGGATACTCTCTCAGGAAATATATGGAGGTAGAGGTTAAAATGAAGATGAGTCGTGTTCTCTCCCGCGACCAGAATGACTGAAAGAAGAAAGATGTCGAGATCGTAGTATCTTCTGAGTAGTCTTCTGAGCACCAACTCTGAAGATGCAGCAGATTGGTCCGCCTACCTACGAACATTGGGACCGACCGGTCCGAAGTGTGGCGCTCACGGTAGAGGGTTTGTGGGACCTCGCACTGGCCCCGTCGCCGAAAAAGAGTTTACCACGCAATGCTGGCGACGATGAAGGAGAAGAGAAGCGTATCAAGCCGTATGTCGAGATTTACGTCGCAAATCGGGAATTCGAAACGGATTCATGTGCCCCAGTGCGGTGTGTGTTGCGCCCGCCACTTCCGGAAGCGCCCATCGGAGCTGGGACGTCCTCGTCTTCGAATGGGAACAGTTTCTTGTTCGGTCACAAACCATTTGGGCTCGGACCCGATTCAGCTGGAGCGCCTGGTGATCAAGAGAACCCGCACGGCAGTGAAGGCCCATCGCCAAGGTCAGCTATAGCAGCTATGGCCGCGTGCCCCAGCCGCGTGGGCCGGCGACTTGGCTTTCTAGGGTATGGATGAAGTGATTTTCAATCAAAGCTGCAAAATTGATGGTGCTTACAGGTAAATACGATTCGTTCTTTTGTCTCTCCTGTACAGTACTTCGATTTCGAATACTTACTAGATGATACTACCATCTAGAATTTATGTCCTTAGTGTAGTACAACCTCATAGTTTGTTCATTTTTTCGGTGGCGAGCAAGTGGAGTTGCTACGCTCAGATCCGGTGCACATCGGGCAGCGTTTCGAGATTCAATTCTTGACAGAACCATTGGAGATCCACTTCGCTGTGCGACACGAGCTTGAAGATGACAGAAACCCGACACTTGCTACCGCAAATTTCCAAGCCTCCAGTAAGGGGAGTCACGAGGTGCAGATTGTTGACGTGGCGTTGGACTCAGCCCTTCCTCCGAACAAATTTAGTAAGTTATGAAGGGAAGAAGTAGAAATGATCTTACATGCTCATCGTGATGGACCAGTGTAACTTGGTTTCATCTGTATGGAAGAGTAGTTGAGTCAAAAGGGCTTCATCATTTGAGTACGCATATTTTTTGTTCTTGTTTGCTTTCATTTTCGTCACGCTTCCAAGCAGAGGAGGAGAAAGCGACGGGCGGATTTGTGCGTGTTTCGCTAGACTATTCGAGTGACTTCGCAGCTGCGCAAGCGAGAAAAGAAGGCTACCTGCAGGACCTGGAAGCCGCGCATGCGCGAGACGTTGCTCGCGATGCGGAGGCCGGCGAGCGACGCACGGTGACCGGTGCGAATGGTTTCGGCTTTGAGGCTGGTTTAGACGAACGCGCGATTCGTGTCTCCGGACCACTAAGGGAGCTGAAGCAAGGCGACCCCATCCCGGATTGTAAATACTTGGAAGCTCGCTTGCGGGTTCGCACTGACCGTGATGGCGTTGGGATGGTGCTGGGCTGGGTCGACCCCGAGAGGGGCATCCACGCACCCCTGTGTGAGCCGGATACTCTGCGCGGAGTGCCGCCGGGCTTCGTACGAGTTGCGTTCGATAACGAGGCCTATCACCGGAACATGGTGTCCAACGTTCGCCTCCAAGCTCTACGACTTGATAGCGCTTACAGTGCTACGAAAAGCAAGCGGGATAGGGACGGCGAGGACAGGCGCTCACTCGAAGAACGTCTCGGAAACGGCAAGATGGCGGCATCTGCGAGTAGCGACATGCGGGGGGCTGATGGAGTAACACGAGATCAGGGAGGAGCGGAAAGTAGCACGAGGCGCATTTCACGGCATGACACGCGGCGTTCGTCGTGGACTTCAGACATCAGCAACGACTTTCTTACAACCAGCGACGCTTTCTTCACACGCAAGCCGCAACCCACAGGCGAAGCGGTCGCCATAGGGCGTTTTGTCCGAGTGCGTACAAATATCCATCCGATTCGCGGTTGGGGTATGGTCACTCCGGATGATGTGGGCCTCTGTGTGCTGCTCAAGGCGCGGCTTGCCTTTTGTGTCTTCGCGGAGCAGCAGACGTGGCGGGCATTCGTTGATGAATTGGAAGTAGTGGAGGTCCCTCAACTGATTTTTCTGCGTGATCGGACGCGCCCGTCAATTCGCCGTGGGGCTACTGCCGGAGTGATATCATGCACACCGCAGCCGCAAGCAGAAAAGGATCCTGCTCTCTTATGTGTAGAAGTAAATTGTGCGCGATCGCTTTTATTTGTCTGATTTTGATTGGTACCTATGTCGACATGCATATGTGAGAACTTCCCATGGCACCTGTCATGGATTAGTACTGTCCGTTTTCTTTTTTGCGTTTTATCAAACATACATGATTTTCATCAAATTGAGACGAATCCCATCTTCTCTTCAATCTTCGGGGCTGAGAAGCCACGGTTCGAGATGCAAGTAATGGTGTTCCAGACCGAGGAGAATCAAGACGGCAACGTAATGAATGTGACAGATTTGGATGAGGGAACCCTGTGGGCACGGGTTGTGAAGCCGCGACGCTCGTCCATTGTCTATGACCCTTTGGAACTAGCCACTCGGGAGGAACTGCGCCGTCGAGTGTTGCGCTCCCCCGGGCAATCCTCCGCGGCGCCGCCCTCAGGCTTAGCGATGTCAGATGTGAGCATTGCTCGTCCAGGGCCGCGGGAGGATGGCCTCGAGGAGTTCCCTGTATTCGACGGAGATCCGGGAGGACAGGGTCTGGAAGAGATACGCAATAGCAACAACGACATCGGAGACGACCGCTATCCTCGAAGACCAGAATATCAGGATGAAGATGTAAACATGATAAGTTCATCGGGGGGACCAGCGCCGGATAGTGGACTGCTCGATCGCCGAATGAGCCAGATGCGCATGAGTCTCAGCTCAGTGGTGATGAGTCCCGCACTGGGCTTTGGAGGTGAGCCTAGATCAGGAGACGCGGCTGCAGCATCACTGCCAGAACCGCCGCGAGGACAGCAGCAGCTCGGTGGCGAAGAGCAGCAACGGCTTGGCCCTTTGCTGGGCGGACGACACGCTAGTGTAGCTTCGACAGGTGCGGACTCGGTTTTCGTCATGGAAGACGTGGTGATGGCACGGCTTTCGTCGTATCGGTCCCGCGCGTCGGAAAGATTGCCGTCGGGGGCAGTTCCGGATGAACGCGACCGATTCATGCAGAAAATGGAGGAAGCGCAAGCAGCGGAAGCCGGATCGCGACTGCCACCAAATGGTGCTTCTGCTTCTTCCTCCAGCAGCCGAGGGGGACAAGGCGGCTCCGCAAATGGTGGCGTGGTGGTCGGTACTACGTCTTCGTCCAGCAGTAGTGGCCCCAACGTGCCGCGCAAGGGGGCTGCTGCCGGAGGTGGGAATGCCCACGATAGTGGTCCGCTTTCGTGGGTAAGGTCGCAAAGCAAACAAACGTCGCCGCGTGATGGAACGCCTAGGAAGAAGCAGGATGTTGGCAAGAAGGACTCTGGAGATCGGTTCCTGCCGCTTGCTGCTGTTGAGAATTTCCGCAAACTTTTGCGGCAAAAACCGTCCGAGTGGTGCGCGCGATGGTGGACATCGCGAAGGGAACTCGGCAAGCGTCTGAACTCGGACTTCACCGGTGATTACTACTTAACACTGGAAGACGCGACGAAGGCTGTTCTGCAGACGTTCGAAGTACCGCCATTTCAGCACAGCGCCCTGCGGCGACTACTCGCGAGACGGTGGAACTGGCCGCTGTCGGAGACCGACCTTCTGGGCTTCGGGCAATTGCGTGAGGGAGATACCGCGTGTCTCTGCAACACTCGCGGCACCGAATTAGAGTCTGATGGCTGCGCGAAGGACGGAAGGCTTGTTCGCGTGCTCGGACGTGTCGAGGACCGCTACGCAATTGAGATCTCACCAGACCCCAGTGACGGGCCCCTTGCAGAAACAGCCGCTGCACTCGTGTGCCGAGAAAACCTAGATACTGTTCTGCCTTTGGCTTTAGACGAGCCGCCCCCAGAGGGGCTTCTTCGCGTGCGCGGAGCCGGAGGAGCCGGACTTTCCGTTAACGGGGACTACTACACCGTTGATACAGAATCCTATCGTGGCCGGCCAAAGTACAAGAACCGCGCAACAAACGCTATCATCTACTGGGGTGGTTTTTGGAAGATGAACTACTACGACGACACTGCAGGATGGTACTTGGAAGCGATTCTTTGACCATAGGCATTCTAGTTTGATTCGTTCTCGTCAAGCCTTACCATTTATCTTCACCAGTCTATTCATGATGGTATACCCATTCTTTGATGAGCAAGTTTTGAGCCTGGTGCGTTTGATTATGCTCGTGACAGGTACTATGCTATGGAAGGATCGATGAACGCGAACGAGCCTCCTGAGGGCCAGTGGACGAATTGGGGGTACAGTGGAGGCCGCGCCTACCCGTGCCCTTTTTTGTCGAGGACGATGCCATTCCCAAAGCCGACACGCGCTATTGAAGTTGGTGACCGTGTCGTTCTCAAAAATGACGGCCCACAATCCAGCAGTTTCCTATCAGAAGCAATTTCGCCGCGAACACCGAGGAACTTCTACCAGTATTTTTCACCAAGAGACGTGGGTGAGGTGACCGGCATCGTTGACAACAGTAGTGAAAACGTAGACAATGGCTCGAGAAATTATGGCACTCGTATTCGGACAATGTGACATTAACCAGCTTTTCAATCTGACTAATGAAAATGATTTTCGTCTTTGCTGGTGTACAAAATTTGTGGAAGGTCCATTTGCTGGTCGATGTTTTTTATAGGAACACCTGAAATAGAAAATTGAAATTCTTGTTGATGTGACCATCTGTATGTTGGGATAGACTAGAGAGAGAGGTCTTTTTCTCTTCATTGATCCGTGGACTTGCGCATTCGGAATCTACGCACGGGACATTCTCTGTGGATCAGCGCGGCTGCTGTGACGCTGATTGGCGCGCTCACACCGAGTGAGGTGCTCGAGCGCAGGTTTCGTTGTGGCGCGGTCGAGACTTTTGTGGCGTGGATGATCAATCAGTTCACGCATTTCATAGCGGCTGGTGAAGACATGGACTTGGCTACGCCTCGAGCTGGCACCGCCGGACCATCGGGGAACGTTTCACTTTCGGCTCAGGAGCGACGTCTCACTTTCGCAGACATCTTAGGAGACAACAACGACGCGACCGAGGAAGGCGACCCCACTCCGCAGTTCGGGCGAAGGCCTTCTGTAGATGGCGACGGGAACGGTTTTCCCACTGGCAGCTTAGACCTCGTCGACATACGGCTGGAGCAGCATGATGCAATGTTAAAAACAAACTTCCTACTAATTTTTTCTGCTAAAAAGATACGAATGTAGATGGTTATAGATAGATGCCTGCTCTAACAAAGGACGAAAACGGTGGTGCGTCACAGTTCGAGAAAAGTTGCGTCAGTGAGGCAATGAACGAAATTGATCAATTGAGGAGACGTTTCGGATGGCCCAAATTGAGCGGAAGACCAAGACCAGCCGAAGGATGCCCCGAGCTAGTTTTTACACGACCGGATCCAGATGCTGCGTGGAGGGCGCGACTCTTTGAGGACACTTTTGCCAGAATAGGTTCTTTCACATTTTTGAACATCGTCTCTGTAATTTCGAAGCTTCATGCTGCGCAGATTATCATCATGTGTGGCATTAAAAATGAATACTTAGCTACTTGATGACTAGTATCATTCTTTATGTGCTTGCTGTGATTGAGGACTACACTGTAAAAAGTTGATCATGAAAGCGCCACGACATTTATTTTGGCTAAATACCTAGATGAAAGAACATCTTGGCATTGATTTTGGAATTGTCATGACACAGGATCGCGTTCCGGGGAGTTCTGGCAGCGCGGCTTCATGATTAAATTCCGTCAAGATGTTGGTATTGACTGGGGTGCGGTTACCAAAAGCTGGGCAAATTTGCTGTGCGGAGAGATGTTCCATCCAGAAGCTGGACTTATGGTGAGCGGCTTGTCGCCGGATGATTTGAGTAGTGGAGAGAATCTCAAGAGCAGCGGCTTCTTTCTGCCGGACTGGGCGAGTCGTCGACTCGGTCGCGGTGACGGACTGTCTAGGTCGCTGTACGAATTCATGGGTCGGTTTTTGGCGTACTGTCTCTACATGAACTGTCGGATCGAGGCGCAACTAGGTTCTTATGTCTACGCGTGCTTACTGGCGGATGGCTCTGGGGATACCAAATCGGGTGATAGCAAGTCACGACCGCGTCGCGCCCACCCGTACGCGCTCGTGCGAGAAAGAACTGTACTAGCTGGAGGAGAAGCTGCGCCAGCACGACATGGTAAATCGAGCGCGAGCACATCCTCCTCGTCAAAGCAGCCGCAACATGGAGAGAAAAAGATAGTCCCGTATGCGGCAGTCCTGCAAAACGAGCGGGAGCTGTTGAACACGCTTGCGGACGACCAACTTCCGGGTCCTCGCTGGAACTCTGTGTACGACTGCCTTGACGATTTGCGCTCCCTCGACGCTGTCAAGGCAAAAGGTTTGGCAGATCTGCTTGAGTACCCGGATGCTGATGCGGTCGCTGATGTTTTCTGTCTAGATTTCACCGCGTCCTACCTCTTCATGGGTGAAGAAGTCCCTTTTCTACTGTGCGAGGGAGGCGACACGAGGGAGGTGACTGGTGACAATCGCGAAGAGTACGTGCGGCTTCTATGCAAGTTTCTGCTCAAGACCAGCTGCTACAATGCCCTCTCGTCCTTCGTTCGAGGCTTTCAAAGTGTCATTCCCAGACATTCCTTGCGAATGCTTTCCCCAAAGCTTCTCGAAGGTAAAGAAGGACTCTCTCTTTGACTCCCTCACTCATTTTTGACGTGATAATTTTGAGGGGGAAGAAGTCAATAAATGTGTGTGCCGGCAGATGTAGATCGAAATTACATAAGCGGTGGGCAATACTTGCTTCTATCATGAACCTTTCGAGTTTTATGTTTACAATCACAATCTCCACTTGCTAGGTATGATATGTGGGCAGAGCGAAGTCCGTGATAGTGACTGGGCGGAATTGCGAGGTTGCGTTGTGGTCTCGGTTTCGTCGAACGCGGCCGTCGCGCCTGACCGATCAGAATTTTTGCGACGCACCTTCGTCGGGGAGTGGCTTTTCGAAGTGCTCCTGGAAATGGATCAGTCGCAACGACGCAAGTTACTCCAATTTTGGTGCGGAACCACTCGCGTGCCCACTGTCGGTTTCAAAGGACTGCATCCCGTGATGAACGTCGCAGTCCTCACGCAACTGGGACAGAAGATGCTGCCGCAGACGCACGTGTGCTTCCACAAACTCGACCTCCCAGTATACAGTTCGAAGGCACAGTTGAAGCAGAAGCTCTGCCAAGCAATTGAGCTGTGCGGGAACGCGGTTACACTAGAATAATCGAGGAGCTGGGTGGATGAGGCTATTTTCTCTGCTGTTTCCACAAGATTCCGACTATATTAACGTTGACAATAAAACGATGAAAACGTTCGCCATAACATGTCATCGTTTCAGTCATTCAGCTGATCAAATTTGTGTACTGGATATGAATTCAATCCGATGACGAAGCAGGTAGTAGCTGAACTACAAAGATTACGCAAACGGTTGCCGGGCGATGGGAATGGCACTGATTTTGATGAAGTATTAAGATTCCAACTCGGCAACTCCTGCAGACAGCGCAGCGACAATATACAATAGTACCCCAGATTACACTTCGTTCAAGCAAGGCTGAACACAACCTTCACAATTCTTTACTTCGACTCTTTCAGAAGCAGTTTGATTCTATAGTCAACAACAACACGACGTCTCGTTTTGTGACGGGATGAAAATTCCAAGAAATGATGCCACCCACTCTACTTGTTTCTCGCTTTTTTGCGAGTGACAGCATGCACGTAGGAAAACTTTTGATCTGGACTTCATAAATGAAAATGATGAGGGCTGTCTTGGGCTCAGGAGTCGAAGAAAAAGAAGCACAGAGAATCAGGTTCTGAAGGGCCTGCGCTCTCTGGCATCGACAACGTCGACCCAGCAGTGATGTCATGGGTAGTGGCGGGGTTGTTGTTGTGCCGTACACCGAAGATCTCTCTTACTGTGGTGAAGATTCATTAGAATTGTTAAAATTAGTAAGATTGGAGGTGAAAAAACTGAGAAAGCGAGGTAGAGAAGAGGGATTAGTGTATGCAACATGTTGCTTCAGATGACGTCTTGAAAAGAGTGACGAAGTGGTCTTTCTAGTAGGAGGGTAGCTACTATGCTTATGTATCGAAGAGTTCGGTTATTCAATACTGGCTTCGAAGAGTACGCAGAAGAGGAGATCCTAGCACAGACGATCCGATAGAATAGGAGGGACGATCTATGTATGAGATTTGCCTTGACTTTTGACTGTAGATGGACTTCGCTTTCGGTCAACGAATCTGTTACTGGGAATGTCTGTCATGAAATCGGATGCGACTTAGTGTATCGACTGATCTCTTATTTCTTCCTTATTTGAATGCCAGGTTGTTTTGTGATCAGAACATTTTCCCTCCCCAGCCTCGATGGATTGAAGCCTCCTAGCTGTATTTTCTTTTTTGGTAGACAGAGGTGTTGCAAGTCAATGCAAGAAAACCTACACATTTTCCTCGAGTTCCTGTTTTGGGTTTTATTGATACTCAGTGTCTCCTACAGGTTTTTCTTGGAAGCGTCATCGATGCCATCCTATCTGAAAAACATAGAGGTTTCTACTTACGGATATTACATGCGATAAACACATTTCATCGTTTTACTTTGTACAATACTTCTGTGTTGAATAGTATCTTCGATATTTTTTGTTAGAGATGAGCGGCGCAGAGGAGGAGAAGATGGGAGGTCCGTCTACTACCGTGGACGATCTTCAGTGTGAGCCTGTCGGCGGTGGCGTCGACTCTAAGACACACGGCTCTGGTGAAGGTGAAACCGAAAAGGTGTTTAACTATGCTCCGGATAGTTTTGAAGATGGTGTTGTCCCAGAAGGCGCCGTCGGAACCGACGAGGAGAGCACGGTCACACCTTTGCCGTGTCCAGCTGCAGTCCCCGGGCCCCGCGCACCCGAGAATACACCTGCTCGATGGTTGTCGCTGTTGCGGTCCGACCGCGCACCCGTAGCCAAGGTGACGCCGGATATGGTCGATTCTCTGAAACAGCAAATGTACCAGGTCTTTCCACCGAGTCCAATCGGAAAATCAGCGACGCCAGGCTTGCAGGATCCGGCGCGCTCGGCCGCGCTAGACCGCACTAACATTAGGGCTCATGGTTTTGAAAAAATAGGTCACTTCTACTCTTGAACAACAACCTGGGATTTGTTATCTTGACCCTGTATGAAAATCAGCCGTCAGATATTCTCAACATCTACCGGAATACAGTAGCAACTGATAGACTGCCACTGGTGACAAACAACTTCTAAAAGCGAGGCCATAGCTAGCATAGAATCGATGGGCGGAGACGGATGGGAGGAGGCGATTAGGGCAGAAACTGCGAAGCTGAAGCAGGGTTACGAGGAACTGCAGAGACTACAGCGACAGGCAAGTGTAAAGGAGGCAAGACTCATGGCAGAAATCGAAGAAAAAGAAACGAAATGGGAAGGTAATACGACTAAAGCGAAGAAACACAGAAATGTCTCAATGAAACAAGGACTAGACACCCCCTCTGATTCTCTAAAAACAGCTTCATCATCCATGAAGAGAAAAGTTTTTCTTTGCTTCTCACATCCACGAAATGTTAGTTGGTTTTCTTTTTGACTCCGATTTACGACCAAGTAAGACCAGCAAGAATATGAAGTTAGTAGGTGGTGCTTATACATTTCTATTCAATTCCGCCAGGTGTGGTGAAGGAGATGATAGAAAAATACGAGGCTCTGGAACAAGTGGCGGAGGAGCGACATCAGCGCAAAGAGATGATGTGGGAGACAAATCAGAAGTTGCTAGCCGAACTGGAGGAGACAGCGAAAAAGAAAGACTACTATGCAGACAGCTTAAAGTCGTTCGTCGGACGGAAATCGACATGCGCAGTCTGTGCATATGTGAAGTACTGAAAAGTGAGAGGTCATAGTTTTCTTCGAAAGAGGACTCCATTATGGATAATGCTTGCAACTATTAGTTTTACACTTGTAGTATGAAGCTGAAGGTCATTGATAATTTTATACGCTTTTGCATCCCTCTGTCTTGCTCTCGTGCTTTCTCACATCGACCATAACATTAGAAACTCTACTCCAGCCATCACGAGAAGATCCTTGTTGGGTATGAAGAGAAGAACGAGGAATTGGTTGGCAAAATCACGACGCTGGAAGGAGAACGGAGTAAAGCGGTCAACGATTTACTTGCGATCCGCAAGCAGTTGGAGTTCGAGCATACCAAATATAAAGCGATGGAGCACTCCTGCCGCCATTTCCGCAAGAAGCTAGAACAGTTGCACGAGGACCTGAAGCGAATAGAGTTACGAGTCCTACCTATCATCTCGTAGATACTTCCTTTTTGGCCAGTAAAGCTACTTCAATATTAACGTTCTATCTCAGTTTAACACGACATCCTCCTACAGTACAACCGGTTAATCAAATGGAGAACCTCTTTCTAAGAAGTGAATTCAAGGCCCGCGTTGCGCAATTGGAGGAAGACCTGAAAATGGAGAAGAAGAAGGCATGGCAGTATGCAGATGAGGTGGAACCACACTTGGAGGCCTATGAAAAACTGAAGCCCATGTATGCCGATGAAGTCAAACAGAATGCAGAAAATCGCGATCAAATAGCGTTGCTCGAAGGAGAGAAAGCTGATCTGATCGTCGTGCGTGACGGGCTAACGTACTACATACTCAACCCAGTATTGTTGTTTTCACAGGCCGCTGTTTCTTATGATTGTAACCTTCATCATGAATCATCATCATTTACCCTCTTGAAGCAATGACATCACCGATGTTTACATTCATCAACTTTCCATTTATTCTCGTTCTATAGCGCGGATTTGTCTGCAACGGCGGAGAAGTTGGAGTTCACTGCCGGGCGACTCGAGGTGACCACGATGACTTTGCAGAAGGCGAAAGAGACCTTGCTGAAGAATGTGCTGAAGGGTTGGCTCGTTGACGAGGATCCATGGGAATTGCCACGCACGATCATCCAGGTGTGGCGCGATTACGTGCCAGACCTACGAGAAGATAATCGTGTTTGGCGTCTCGAAAAAGCGCACGAAGTGCTGAAAGTTATGACTTACCTTGTGCATGAAGTTCCAAATTGATGTTTGTGAGTTCGACAGCATTCATTGATAGACTGTATAAGCTAATAGATAGGGAGAACGAAAAGATGCCGAAGACCAAATCCAGTTGGATTCCCACTGTCCTATTGAGAAATACACTTGGTGCAACAGACCGATGTTTCTAAGGCAATCGAGCACAGAGAGCTGGAGGAAGTGCATGCGAAAGAAATGGCAGACTACGCACAGCTACAGTTGGACCATGCCACTCTTGTCCATGAGCATGAGGTTCTCAACGCACAACACGATGAGTGCACGGCGGCGCTTGCGGCCGAGAGGGAAACAACTTCGCAGCTGCGTGCGGATCTTGAAGCGGTAAGTAATACAGCAACTTGTTCTGATTATATTCATCTGTCTTCTTTTTTCTAGAAGATGAAAGACTATATGATTTGTTTTCGTACGGACGTAGCTAGAAGTAGATGTGCCAGAATATCTCCTTCGGACATCGTTGAATGTGTCTTTCGTCTTTGAAATTTCTGGCCATCATTGCGTGTGTCTTTCGTCTTTGAATTTCCTTGACAGACTTCCAGCTACTTACTAGATTCATTGCCCTCTCAGCATTGTCTTCGTTTCATCACGACGTCAACTATGAACTACTACAGGAGACGAAGAAGTGCGCCGACTTCCAGTTCCGTTTGAATCAGACGTGCGATTCTCTGGAAGACACGGAGAAGCAACTACACGACCTGAACGTCCTCTTCGCCCAACGCGTGAACAGCCTCTTCGAACTGGAGGAAGAGGTGAAGAAATTGCGCGCCGAAAACGACCGGCTCTGGGAACGCCAAGGCATTACAGTATGCGACAAGCACTTCCTCAAACCCGTGTGGCCGAAAGCCTTGCTCGCAGAACCTGTGGATGGATCTGTTATGTCTGACAAAGAACAATGACGATGACAGTAGGATCAGATTAGAAGTACACCATTTGCAGGTGATCGGAAATTAATATATCGACAATACTTCTAGTTGTGCACTTTTATTTGGAATCCATGTGCATGCAGGTTCTTCCCTCCACCAGGATGATTGATTTCTGTCCCGGCCCATAATCTCCTCTAAGAACAGCGCGTCTCCGCCGAATTACAGTTCTGGTGTCGTCCCGCGGTCTGCCGCCGTGATGTCTGGTGTCGTTGCGGCCGATGCAGATGCAGGCAGAAAGCCGAGTAAGGAGGGCGCCTCGTAAGAAGCTTCGTCGGGGCACTAATACGGAAAAGAACCAAGTTCCTGCATATTCATAAGGTGGAACCACATTACCTACCACGTATTGCTAAATGTTAACGCATAGAAATAGAACGGTTTTTTTACGCATACTGTTTGTATTTTGGGGTGTTCAAAATTGGCACTCTAAAAATTACGTAAAATGAAACAAAATAGGTAGATCGGGAATACGCAAGAAGCATTGAAAAAAATGAAAAATACCACTGAAATCATAAAACGAGCTTACTGGGAATGTGTATCGAAAATTGGAAGGTAGAAGTGCATGCAAACTCATATCAAACTGTCAAGCATAAAAATGTGTAACACATAATTAGAAAACTTTTAGACGGGAAAATATAATCAAGATTACAAGGGTCCGTTATTTAACGCAACATGTATCTAAGGTATTTGGGATTGAACACGCATTGAAAAATCTGTCACATCTATGTATAGGAAAACGACGCAGAAGCAAAGTGTACTTACCTACTTGGAAACTTCTTGGGAAAAAAAGTCATGAATGCTTTATTTCGTGCTATTTAGTACATCGTCGCTGAGGAGTTGAACAACTCAGAAGCGTGTTCGTATTAGAGTTATGGGTTGCCACTTGAGTTTTGTTGAGAGAAGGGTTTCCATGCCTGTCTAAATTTTACGAACGACCAGAGAGAAGTTGAAGAAGTAAGGAATGAGCATACTGCCTTACCCACAAAGACTGATGTGGTGTTGTCAATAACGACAGAGAAAAATTGATGGAAACAAATGGACTAAGGTGAACATCGCTGAGGGGGAAAAAAAAACCTAGCATCCTCGACTGACCGCTGTGACCCCATTATGCTTCCCGGAGCGATACCTAGATAAGACGAGGCTCTCGAAGTTTTATCTTTTTGAACGCATAAAACATGCTGTTGATTCATTCTCTCCATTTCTTTGCATTTTTTTGCACGTCCCCACCCCCAAACAGCTAAAGACTAGTTCTCGATCAAAGCAAAAAGCTTTTTTCTCAAACGATAACTAGAAGTAAGTCTAAATCATTAGAAGAGCTCCTTCTTTCTCGAAAGAGCTCCTTTGATCTGAGCTAGAAGCTAGGAAAGAAATATCGAGCGCATACATTAGATTTTCGTATAGACCGACGTTCAAAGAAATATTATTTCCAAAAAAGTTTCAAAAAAACAAAAAAATACAAGGAGCTAAGAATATAGGGAAAAACTTGTTTTCGGTGAGATTTATTTTTTCTGCCGACAATAGTGAGCATCCTGTACATTAACCAGCAGTATCACCTGCTGTGCACTCAAGACGAGCTAATTATATTTAACTGTGTGTATTCGGGCTGACGCTGTACCAGTCAGTGTCGTAGTTGTGGGGTACCTAGGCTAACCTCTATTTACAAGACCTTCTCCTTTCTTCTCCCACAGCGAACAAAACAAGAATGCCTTTGGGTTGTGTAGCAGGGTTGTCCGACGCCCGGTACCATGCCTTGGCGGATGACCTGAAAGTTTTGCTCACTGCTGATCCGAACTATGACGACGGGAATTACGGTCCCGCATTTATTCGTCTCGCGTGGCACTCGAGTGGAACCTATGACCCCGAGACCGCAAAGGGTGGATCCAATGGTATTCTAAAGACCGCTTCTAGGTTTAATATACGTTGACTATGTATTATGCTAAATATTAATGGAGTCGTTGTCCTTGAGCAAAATCCTCAAAGTCGGCATGGAAGTGGCATTTTTCATTGATAGCTGTCCTTAAAACATGGATACTAGATGTGATCTACCCGAAAATTGATACACCAACAACTTCGGTTCGTTGACAATTTATTACTAAATCAAGACTGCTATACTATAGTGTAGAAATCAACTGTTAGCCCTTCGTGGTCGACAATCCTCACCATATGAATTTCAACAAATTGGAGGTGCGACGATGCGGTTCGAGCCTGAAGCTTCCTTTGGCGCTAATGCAGGTCTCGGAGTTCCGCGTAAAATTTTGAGCGATTTCCGTGACGCAAAATATCCCTGGGTTTCCATCTCGGATCTTTGGATCTTGGCAAGGTAGTCATCGCAATCTTCGATGAAAATTTCTAATTCAACGACAACAAGAACAACATTTTTTGTAGGTATGCGTATTGTTTTTTTGTTTATGTTCCTTCGCTACTTAACCGCATCCGAATCGAATTGTCTGGATAAGGATACCCCTTCTTGAGCAGATGACGTGCTCTCTAAAGAGATTAATTCTTCTAATCATACTTGACGAAAGATACATGATGAATATGATTCCTTCTAAATTGACCTGTAACTCATCGTCTCAACTGCAGTTACGTTTTCCTGGAGTCCTCGAATGGTCCAGTGATCCCTTTCGCTCCGGGGCGCATTGACGCCTTGCAGTCGGAAGTTGAGAAGATGCCGCCAGACGGCAACCTTCCGGATGCGGAACAGAACAAGTTTAAGCACTATCACGATTTCACTCATTTGATTTCTACAGTGGGTTTTCATGATCTCTTTCGTACTGTCAGCTGAAGTCAAGGTCAAGGACCTATCTATGTATCTTGAGAAATAACTGAGGAACCCAAGGGAGGGAAGCCCAATGAATCACAATCACTTTGAGCGTAGTTTCACCTAAGAACTTGGGAGACGATTTAAAAAGTAACATGGAAGCAGAGCAAGCAGCCTGCATTGCGCATATTCGCAATATTTTTGGCAGAATGGGCTTTTCGGATCGTGAAATGACGTGCTTGATTATCGGTGGCCACGCTTATGGACGCTGCCATCCGGATCGGTCTGGATACGCAGGAAAGTGGATCAGCAATCCCGTGAAATGGGGCGGACGAGAGTAATGTTTACTTTACATGTTGATGAGTAATCAATGATTTAAATGTTGCAAATAGAAGAAGAATTCACAATCCTCGGAACTCATGGTCGTGATTTGTTACCTATGTATCCTATAACGCGATTACCGCAACAAACATGGCCATATTTAAGGTACTGCATGTTGTTGCAAGAGCCGGCGTTGTGGCGCGTTGTGGACGGCAGGTGCCCGATCGCCAGTAACGACAAGGTGACCGGCGTATGCCCGGTGTCGGGACAGAAGCAGTACGTTGACAAGTTCAACAAGAAAATGATGCTTTTTACCGACATGGCCCTCATCTGGGACCCCAGTTTCAAGCAGTGGATCGATACCTACGCTGCTGACGACGCCTTGCTGAAGAAGGATTTCGGCGTGTACTTTTATGGGTCCGACTGGAACTAAAACTAATTCATCTTCAGGAACAAACTAGTTCATACAACTGGAGATGCTTGTCACGAGATACGAGAATTTAGTCACAACTAGTACTGGAGATGCTTGTCAATTACCTAAAGGACGAAAACATAACATTTTTGTTCATCGTTGATCTAGCAACGACCAGGTAAAGGATTCATATCAACCTGCTGACAATGTCAGAGAGTTTGAGGTAGGTCAACATAGTTCATTGAGATAGGGAAAAAGATGAATTTCAGGATGACATGTTGTCTATAATATTCTAATTTTGCAAGAAGCTGACCGAATTCGGACATCCTACAGCTGGTAAGAGCGAGGGATCTCTGGGAGACATTATTATGGACGCATTGCGCAAGCTCGGGGGAGTGTGCGGCGCTATCTGCGGCGGTTCTGCGAAGTAAGCAGCTGAGCACGAACGAAAGAAGCTCTATCCAAAACCTGCTATAATTGATTACAGAAGTAGAACAGTTCTATTTCAGAATCGCACGTTTTTTGGGATATGAAGGGAACGGCGACTTTTTAATTGCATAAAGATAGCTCAAGGTGATTGTTCTTTGTCTCTCATGAAAGGAATGAGTCATGCACCTGGAGAAACTTTCACTAGTCGTGAGATTCTCATTCTTTCATCATCGTCGATAATATTTTGATACGTGGTAGCATGGATTTGTAGTTGGGCATGAAGACGATGTCATACCATCTTCGGAGGAGGTGATTTGGGTCGTGGGTTCACCCCACGTTAAAAGAACTTGGTTTCTGAATTTTTCCTCTAATCTCACTCAATAATTTTCGATTCCTTCCTTGTGCAGTTTGGAATCGAAGTGAGTAGTTATAATTAAAGCAGGTTCACCTTACTTTGTGAAGGCTTGTGAAGTGCCAAGTAGTAAGAAGTTTTGTTACGCGAGTGCGGAGGAGACTCGCGTCGGCATTCATCCAACTCAGGGGAGCAATCATGCAAGCGATATTTTAGATACTGACTTAGTAAAGTGTAGTCATTCTGTTTGTGTGTATAGTCGTTGAATAGAGCTGATGCAGATGATTGAAATTATACAGGCCTCCTTTTCTGCTTCTCCCTCGTCAGTCGACCTATCACACTGACCTGTGCCTTCCGTTTGAGGGACAAACTACTACTGTCACAACTGCGGAAAAAGTGATGGTCCCGCGTCAGGTAAGATGGAGCAGGGTTGGAAATTTTTGCATATTGGTGCATCGTGTGTAGAAAAAAAGTGGGTCACTCTCACTGAATCTACAAAAATTGCTTCATCAATATTGAACAAGTCCTTCCCTGATAATTCCGATCATTTCAATGTTCAATTTTGCAGGAGGATCTTTTTAGCACTCTATCCGACACCACGGATATCCCTAAAGTAGGCCTCATGAAAGATGTTTTTCTGTATTATTGGTCATCACACATCACGGCTGTGCATGTGTGTGCTCTTGGGTCAGCTTTCACTTGTGGTCTTAGCTCTGATGTGGCTACAGAGCGCCAGTCACATCAACGACATTCATAGATGTTGAAGTGCTTGATGTTGATAACTTGACTTTTTCTATCATGAGTGAACTCAAGGTTGATGGTCTCATTTTTTTCTACACCTGCTTGATTATTTGCATATAGGTTCGTGAACAACAAAGATGGACATTGATGTCTTCTGCGGAACAGCTGGATGAGACTAGCTCACATGGAGGGTCTATGAAAATGCGTGTCGTCTCTTCATCATGGCGGAGACGTGGCAATGAGCTTCTGCTTCTACAGTGAACTTTCTAGAAGGCCAATCAAAGGTCTGTACATCATAGCTGCGAAGATTCGCGACGGGGAATGCCGATTTTAGGTGGATCCGGTCCTAAGTATCTTATCCTAATGTTGTATTCGTTCCCGATGAAAAAATATTGTTCCCCTCTGTCTGCTAATCTTTGTGCTGTCGTATAAGCTTCGGGAAGTTTGTCTTAGTGGTTTAAATGATTTCACAAGGCTGGCAATTAATTAGTCTATTTTTAGACTGTATCGCGACTTTTCTCTCTTTGTCTTTGCGTCTGCGAAATGTATGCTTTCTCTGCGCCCACCCGAGCTGGTGCGTCGAAGGTTCGAAAAACTTGTAATTAATTGTAATTGAGATGTGAACTTTCCTGGGATGTGAATTCCTAATGTCTGATTCTCGGCGGTAGTAGAGCTCCGTGAGCAATTTTTTTTTATATTTCCTCCTCTGGTCGTAAGGGTAAGCGTATTTGTTGCTTGGATCAGAGAGATACAGCATCATGTTGCTGGATATGGACAAAATCGACGGATTGCTAAAGTCCATTTCCGCAGCTGATATCACGAGACTTCCGGATGGCCTCGCATCAGGTGGAACAAAAATAGAGCAGCTGGAGGAGTTGGGAGTCCGTCTGGACCAAGTGTTGCATACGTTCTTCGTGGAGTGGCATAAAGCGAGTCACGACGGCCAACTGGAGCACTTTTGGACGAAAATTCCAAGTACTTAGGTCGTCATGGACCGCGTGGCCGTGGGAGAAGGCTAACAAAGCCATCAAGAACATTATGCGATGCGATCAAAAAGTTCAAGCACTAAAGAAATTGATGTCAAATGTTCTTCGCTCACAATGTTGGACTTTAAGCTCTCCTTCTTCTGATTTCTCATTCGTAATTATTCTCATGGTATATCTTTGCGCACTCGCACACCTAGACGGATCCGTGCACTGCTCAAACGTGTACAACAATTAGTAGAAAGCTAGCATCAACATCATCAGAATTACTTTGAATTCTGCTCCTTATTGTTCAGAACCTGAAACACGAAGTCCGTTGCCACCGAATTTCAGGTGGATGTAACAACGACCTTCGTTGTGATGATAGTGGGTAGATACGATAGAGCAAGGAGATGCAGTAGACCTACTTTTTCTTTGATTTTCGTCTTTCTCATATTTGTATTCAAAGCGCCGGAGGCGAGTAAGGTAGACCACAAGTTCCACGACGAGCACGCTGTTGAAGCTGCAGGTGTGGGAAAGTGGTGGAATGGTGGTAGGTATGCTTATTTGCTTCCTTACGTTACTAGTGGCCTAGTACCGGAGTGAGATGAGATATTGGGCAACAAGAACTCCCAGTACGAGATCAAATTCGCCGTGGTGTCGCAAAAAGTGACAGAGCCTCCGGACGTGAAATCGGCGAAAAAGTCGATGCCGGGCGTACGTAGAGGAGATGGCTTTGGAGACCTATTACAGACGCACAACGTACCTGTTCTTCAGTACGTCGTAATTGATAAGGCGAAAGTGGAGAAGAAGCCTGATCTGCGACCGGGCTTGGATCCAATTAGTTGGTTGTCGGTGCGTGGTGAAGACCCGACTCCGTTTCGCAGTTTCAAGGTATAAATATGGTGGCTCATTCATGTTCCAGAGAGGTTCTCGTGTAAATCAAGAGTGGAAGGTGGATCACAAGCCTGGGGAGAAACTCACAGAGCGCAACCAGGAACGTGACACCGACCACGAGAGTGCATCGTTTACAGAGACTCGCGCTGCCGTCTCCAAATGGGGATCGCGTGTCGCGCTCAAAGCGCCCGAAAGCAAAGCTGAGGCCGAGAGTACTTACATTTTCCCTTGTCGTTTTGTTCTTGGATGGTTTAAGCTGTGGACACAAACACGAACATGCATGTAAATCCGAAATTTCATTGTCATGGAACATTTTCTCACGAGGTGAAAATTGTGGAACTTGATGCTACAGTATACCAACCGGTTTCTACAAATGAATTCATCCTTCAACAGGTGTGACGGGTATCGCTGTAGGAGTATTTCACGTTGCCGCCGGGTCTTGTTTCGCTGTGCCGTTGGTGACCATGCTGATCTTCTTTCGGCGCCGCTCCCGCTCAGGCCCTCGTATGTCGCGCAATAATATGCAAGAGGCATTGGGCGTGCTCAAGAGTGAGTACGGCTCCCTTTGCTAATGAACGCGGCCTCACTCCGGAGGCGTTGGTCGACATGCTGAAGGTGAGAAAAGAAAAGTGAAGATGAAAAATGTGACACAAATAAGTGTTCGTTACTGTATGCCGACTCATTTTCTTCCGAGTCTACCAATCTGGTGATACGAAGTTAGGCATATAGGTAGGTCGGATTTCTTATAAAACAAACGTGAAAGACAAAGAATATGGAACATATGCAGCGGAATTGTACTTGAGATTCAATTCGCTAAAAATCAAAATATCACAAAAATATGAACGATGTAGTTGCTTTGGTCCACGTCTCACTGTACATACAAGCTTGCAGCTGTATTCGTGCATTCTTATCGCTTAAATGACTAGAGCTACGGTGCCGAATGTTATCTGTCAGATCGAAGATTTGGAGAAAAGATTCAGAATTTATTTGTATCTATGTTTGAATATCAATATGATTACTGGACATTGAATAAGGGAATTTCTGAGCGAATTACTCAACTATGATAAATTTTTTTTAAGTCAGAAGATGGCAGTCAAGGGCATGAGGAAATTAGACATGGTCTTAACTGAAAATGTTGTTCAATTGATCTCAATAGCTCTGTGCGGCAGTGCAGACATCTTGCCGCCAGAGCGGTCAGATATCTGTATCATCTTCGAGCTTGAGATTGATTTTGCTCCAATGCCAGAAGAAGGACCTACTCACAATTTGCATCAAATTAGAAGCACAGAACGTCATCATGCTACTCCGCATAATTAACTTGCGTACCTAGAAGCGATGACTATAGTTTTGCGCTATCAACCTGATTGTAGTAGACGCTTAACCATGTCTAATGTGACGAAAAGTAACCGGCATAAAGAGATGCTGTCATAGGAAAGAAAAGTCAGGCAGCAGAAAACTCTGGCGGGAGTGGCTCTGATGTGCCAGGGGGGCGCGTGCAAGCTACCTAATCAATGCAGCAGAGAACACTTCACTCACCGTCGCTCAGCACCAAGTGCGTGGACTGAAGAAGACAATGATCGGCCCGATGAGCACGGTCACGAGACTGCCGTAACACCATTTTCCTAAAAACGACGCTGGACAGGTCGTAGCATAGCCACAAAATGAAAATCGAAAAAGAGCATGAAGGTGGTGCGCATCAAGTGCGGAGCCATCCCAAAGTCGAAGAAGAGTTAGGGTGTTCGCTTGTTTTTAATCCTGTTACAGCGAGGTTGAAGCTTGGTGCGGGGTCACCAAATTATGGGCTCCTTCTGCTGGATATTTTGCCGAACTATTTAACTGTGCTCGTCGATGCTAGGGTTTGCAACATAGGTTGCTTTCAAAAAGACAAAGAAAGAAATCAGCAGCAGCACAGTGCTGCTTTTGATTTCCTTCTCTGTCTTTCTGATCCAGAAACCGTAGACAAGACAGCGAATCTTAGCCCATGAGTCGTGAAAACAATACGGGAGAGAGCAACCTCGGGTTCTTGGTTAACATGTAGTCTGGCTAGTGTGCGGTATTTCTGTGAATTTTGTAGACAATGTCTAGGCTAGCGAGGTGAATTCCAAATGGAAAGTCTGTTGTATCTGGACATCATCTCGCCAGATCGGTATACGTGATCAATGAGAGAAAGCGGACAACGTGACTTTCTGTACCCTTTGAGAGGTGTACAACCAAGGAGTCTGTCGCGAGATTGGAACGATAGTGAGGTTTTAGCGTCTGACACGGAGCGCATTCTAGAACGGCAAATTCATTGATCACTATGCCGCCAGGATAGCATTCTCCATGTTTTGTGAAAGGCTGTGTATCTTCGTCAAAGTTCTTATTATTTTTTATTTTCACTTGAAGCAGGACTCAGTCTTACACTTTTTCTCTCTCTCTCTCCTACTATTTTCGTTTGCCCCTCGACCTTCTTGGGCTTCTTCGACACGCGATACACTTTCTGGTCTACCCTAAAAATCGATACCGTCCAAATCTTGTCTTAAAAAAAAACGAAATAAGTAAATTGAAATCTCTATTTTGTCTCTTTCGTGTGCAATACTTCTTCGTTTTATCTTTTTGGAAAGAATCGATAATCATTCGAAAATGGGTTGTGGTGCCAGTAAGCCAGCTGCGAGCAGCTCCGCTGGAGCTGATGCTCCCGTCGCAACGCCGAGCGCAGCCGCGGCTGCTGCTGCGCCGGCTGCTGCGGCTCCTGCCGCTGCGCCAGCGGCACCAGCAGGGTCTCTGGATCTGGCCAGGATCTTTAAACAGTTCGACACCAACAAAGATGGAAAATTGGATAAGAACGAACTGAAGCGAGGCCTCAAGTCTCTGGAGTACTACACAATTGATGACTGACTTTATCTTTTTTGAAAGAAGCTAATTTTATGCAAATCCTAGGACGCCTGCGGAGGATCGATGCTGTAGCATAGACAGTCTTCGTTCGTAGGTCGTCGTATGTAGAAACAATGCAAGCGAGGTTCTTGCGTGGCGTGAGCGTGTTGCATGAATGATAGTTCTCGATAACAAACTTGATTCTTCGATGAAATGCCTTTTTCATCAGGTCGTGTACTTACTCAACAAATTGAAAATTCGTAAAAATAGGTTGAACGATTTGGACATCAACGAAGTGATGCGAACCATGGGTGACGGCAAGGTGATCGCGCAGGACGAATGGGAATCAAAGATGATGCCGCAGATTCAAGAAGCCTGCGCCAAATTTGTTGATGCGGATGGTCACTAATCTCTAACACCACACTTTCTTGATTAAAGCAAGTATCTGATCGTGGCACATATCTTGCGCATAATATTTGTGCTTCTTGCATCTGAAGACTCGGTTCGACATAACACAGGTAAGAAAATAGAAAGACAGCATCAAAAATCCAAAACAATTTACTATCAGTGAAGCAAAATGACAACTGTATTTTTGAACTGAAAAATGATTTCTATTCGTAGATTTGTGGCCGAATGTGCGGTCTTATGCGCCCCCAGTATGTAACTTGGATGATTTTTATATAGGTTAATTAATTGTTTGAAAGGTTGGGGGCATATAGTCCTAACGCAAAAAAAAAAACTCTACGGATGCTACGGACAGCACTATCAGAGACGCACACGTGACAATGTGAAATGATTTCTTTCGAACCTTCTACTTGTACAGGTGTGATCTCGACGTTCCGTCCGGTGTTGAATATTGCTAAAGTTTTCCAGCAGTTCGATTCGGATTCCAGTGGTAAGCTTTCAATGGATGAAATGAAGGCAGCTTTTGGCGCGTTGAATCTTGGGGACGACGTGATGCAAGAGATCTTCTCGAAAATGGACACCGACGTGGACGGCGAAGTGGACCTCAATGAGTGGCGAAAGAACCTGGACACCAAGATGTACCAGCGCATACATGCTGCTCTGGATGGAAAGGTTAAGGCTAGAAAAATTGTCAATCATCGACCTGTAGAAGTTCCGAATCATTTCCTGAATGCTGGCAAGAAAATGAAATGAGGTCTTGCTTGAAAAATTGTGAGAATGAAAGATTCGTGTCAATCGGACGACCGCACTAGTCACAGGTGTTTTAGGATGATGAGAAACTACTTTTTCCCTCTTCTAAAATTGGCCTGGTTGAGGGTCTCAGCGCCGACCACATGGCGAATGCTGCAAGTGGTAAGAAGGGAAAAAAGAACAAGAAGGCAGATAAAGAGGAAGAAGCTCCAGCTGCGAAAGAGGCTCCAGCTGCGGAAGAAGCTCCAGCCGCGGAAGAAGCTGCAGCTCCAGAAGCGGCGCCAGCACCTCCAGAAGAACCGGCTGCCGAGGAAGCGCCAGCTGAAGAGTAAGTTGTCCGTCATATAAGGTCAGCATGGACTCTGCATATGACAACACGCATCAAAGAAAATGCGTAAGAATTTATCTTTTACAAGACTTGAGATGGTATGTCATATGTGATAAGTAGCTAAACGCTTAAATTCGTAGAAAAGTGAAAAATGGCATGCACATTAATTAGTAATTCGAGAAGCGTGCCGCGCTTGTTTGTCACATATGCAATTGTACTGTAAAGGGGTGAGTAGAGGTTGAGTCAGAAGTTGCTGACTACTACGTGCAGCCATGTGATTTTCCGCATTGTTTGCTGCTATGGACGATCTTTCTTATTTTTTTCTGTCGAAGATTACTTAGTTGGTGATTCATTGCTCATCAGTACTGACCATTTCTTTCTTGTTTTGACGATAGAATGATAACCACTTAGTAGTTTAGATGCTATGAGTTTCAATTTCTGGCTTACCATCTAGTTCAGTGAACATGGTTGTCGCTGGTGATGATATATTGAGTCAAACATTGTTCACGGTGTAGACTTGGTTCAGAAGTGATTCCACAAGAGCACGGTAAGAGTTTTCGTTTTTCATAGTATTTGCATGTACTTAGATGTACGTAGATGGAATTAACAGAAAGAAGATGTATAGTCATACGGCTTGTCACAACGATCGAAATATAAACTAATTGCTCAGGAACAAGGACGCCAGCGTGCATAGACAGTGCAGCGCCCATATGCCTCGAAGCTTAGAGGATGTGTGTTTTGAGTTCCGGTGTGACGATCTTGTGGCATTGGCTGCAATATGTCGTTTCCCCACCAGGTGCGGTCGTTAATCGTTTCCTTCTTCTATGATATGGCAGTAGAACAGACTATTAACATCGTCGGTTCTGGTGCGGTACTAAGGCAGATTGTCAACATCGTCGGTTATAGTAGATTAGTAGGGCGGACGGACGGAGAACATCGTTGATGGTGTCACTCCACCTCTTCTTCTTCTCGTAGTGGTTCCATTTTTCGCCTTTCCCCGTCAAAACAAAGGAATAAACGTTCACGTTGTGATGATATGGACTTCTGGTGCCTTCTAAAAACTCGGTTAGTTGATCCACTCTCATATTCTTAGAACATTTGTTTCTTCAACTTCTAGTAGCGATCACATAGAGACGACTACCCAAATAATTGAATAACGTTTTACTGCTATGGAACAAGAAGTGGGGGCGCAGAATAAGAGAAGGATGCTGGTATCGGTTTAAGAAAGTTTTTGGGGAGAATATAGACAGATAATGATCGCTGCGTTTCAAGAGTTCGCAGTGAAGCTGGGCATCGCTCCACCGGAGGGCGAAGATATACCTTTCTCGCGTTTCCGGGATGCCACATTTAAAGCAGATTCAGAAATGGTTGCCGCAGAGAAATGGACGCCAGACGTGAAGTTAGGAGCTCCGTTGACACCACCCGAATTTTCGGCCGCGACCGTGGACAGTTTGGTGACGGCCGCGAAAGAGCGTGCTAGCGATGCTGTCCGTGGTGCTCTGGTGGGTCTCCAAAACGGCGGATCCTCGAGTTCTTCCTCCGGAGCAACAGAGACTACGCTACCAGGCCTAAGCAACACATCAAACGCGGTAAAAGACGGCATCAAAAATCATGTTCTTGAAACAAGCGCCAGTGCATCCGCAGGACGCATTGCAGCAGCGCCTCTGCAAAGTAGAACGACGGAATTGGGGCAGCTTTTTACACCTTTGCAGAGAATGTTAACGTCAGCAAGACTTTTCGTTTGCGAAAGTGTTCGAAGCGCATTATGCTGTCTGGGCGCTGGCGTGTTGTGTGGCGCTCTGTTCATAGTGGCAAGGGAACACTGGGAGCGTGTTTTACGCTTCAAATGGTTCGAGAAAGAGATCCTGCGCTACTTCCACAAGAAGAACATATTGATAACCGGCGTGACAAGTGGTATTGGCGAAACGCTAGCCTACCGCTTGGCTCGGTCGCCGTATCCCCCGGCCGTTTTGTATTTGCACGGGCGACGTCCAGAGCAGCTTGACACCGTAATCGCACGCTGTCGGGAACTAGCAAATCAGCAGGTCGTGGCTTCTCAATCTCAAATGAATGACGTCATGAAGACTGCTGGTGGCGAACAAGGGTCTGGTGGTGCGTCGTCGATGAAGATAGAGCCGATTTTGTGCGATTTGAGCGACCCGGACCAAGTGTTTGCAGTGTTTAAGCGTGCCTTTAAGGAGCCCTCAGAGCAAGAGACGGCAGACCTTGCCCAGTTACTCACGATTCCAGCACTGGCAAACGACCCAACCTTTCAGTCCGTGTATGCGGCAGCGAACCCCAATCCGGTGGATATTTTATTTAACAATGCCGGTGTGTCACAGCGCGACGAGTTATCAGCGCTCGACGTCGCACCGATCCGACATATCATGAATACGAACTCAATTTCGAACATGCTGATCACGAAGGCGGTGCTGCCGCAACTCCTCCTATCGGGTGCGAAGGGAGAGAAACAGTTCATAGCAGTAGCTGGGCAGCGCGACGCGCAGCAATTGAGCGGGGATCCGCGGAGCTCTCCATTAACGTCAACTGCAGCTTTGTCATCCTCTACACGACTACCAGATTCATCGTCGGGGGAGCTGCAAGGTGAGACTGGCAGCGCAGAGAACTCCGTGGCATTGACGTCGAGTAAGCAAGCAAACCGTGGTGTTGGAGCTCCTGAAGAAGGACTGTCTTCATACACCTCAGGTCTTCACGCATCCAGTTCTTCTACTCCCTCAGCATCTTCAACCAGCCTCCACGGACCTGCAGACAAAACGCCTTTGCAGCGCTTCTGGCAGTGGACGGTGCGACGTCGCTGCGGAGAGTGGTACACGGATAGCGAGCCGATGCGTCATTCTGCGCATATCGTGCAGGTACGTAGTATGCTCCGTTTTTACGAACTTATGTCACGTTATAAACTCATACTCGCTGGTAAGAGTGGAGGTATGATTTTGGTTGTTAACGGAGCAACGACCGATCTATTCAGACACACAGATACATACGTAGTTCATTTATTCTGATCGACGAAAATCCAGATCGGAAAATCAGGTCTCTTCCTTCGTAGGGCGAGTGGCTTTTGGTTTCCGTACAGTGTATGCAGCTTCGAAGTTTGCCGGTAATGGGTTTTATTCGAGTCTGGCGGCAGAAGTTTGGGATAAAAACGTGAGGATTCACAATGTTTTCCCGGGTTTTATAGCCACAAATATCGCGAAAAACGCCCTCGTTGGCAAAGGAGAGGCTTTCGGTGTCTCAGACGCGAAAATTGAGAATGGACTTCCACCCGAAGAAGTCGTTAATAGGATGCTGGCAGGGGTAGTGAAGATGCTTTGAATAAACTTGTTAGATGTAGGTGTTCGTTGTTCTCTCGTCACAAGTTTGATATCTTCACAGGAAACCAACGCGAAACTCTTGAAAATGATGATACTTCATGATCAACAATCTCGTGCCGGATATTGCAGTTTGAATGTGCATTTCCATTTCAAGGATGCAGTAATCGAAAGAATCCATCACGACCTGTAATTTGAAGGTGTATTTCGAGGATTCAGAAATTGAAGTACTGAATACGTGGTGGATGCGGGTGCAAGCGCTGCTTTCTCGATGGAGCGGAGCCATGCACAGGTATTTTGCGTTAACGAACTACCGAGACCAAGTTCGCATGGCTGAAGAGGCTCGCGCTAAGGAAGCATCGATGAAGCGGGAAAAAAGTCCCAGCAAACGAACAGGTCGAGCGACCGTGTCATGTAGTGAAACTGGTGGAATAGCATCATCATCATCTTTATCATCGGGCGACGGTTCTTCTAGTGGTCCTCTTCACGGGACTCGTCGGCGCTCAGTTGACATGCGTGGTGGCAATGAGGGAAAGCGAGCAGGAAGCACCGATATGGTCCCGCCGTCAGTAAACGCAAGCGAAGATGACGATACATCGCGGAAGCCGGGAGAGGCGGGCCCGCTGATGTTTTATATCGCGGGCTCTGAGTCAGAAATAACGACGGATTAAATGAGATGCGGATATCGTTTTCCAGAAGAAAATGGTGGCGAAACAGAAAATAAATGTCTACAGAACGATGTGCATCTGATTTTGCGGGGAGGCACATGCGTTGCTGACTCTAAAAAGAAATTGGAAAAAGTTCTTTGAAAAAGAAAGGGGTCCATGCGATTTTGCTGGAGACGCAGAAATACAAACATAGACTCGATCGCGAAATGAGTATTTTTGCGAACATGGAACAATGGATGCAGACGGAAATTTTTTTATTCGTTGATACGCTGCTGTATGTGGGAGACGCGAATTTTCCGTAGCATGATAGATCCGCACCAAATATGCAGAGCTTTGACTATAATACTCTTACTGCATCTGCAACTTTTTAACCATCAAACGACCTTCCTGGTGAAAAAAGCAACAACCTAGAAGAGGATGACAGAGTGAAAGCTGCAGTAAACAAGCTTTAAAACGTCAATTTCAGTGTTTAACATAGCAATGCAGATTCAGATTGTTGTGTTTTTTGAATAAAAGGTCTTTCTTTTTTATTTGGAAGATAGAGTAAGAAGCGTTGGTGTAGTTCTTGTCGGTTGGTGTCGGTTTCTGTATTGCTTCGGTGTGTCTATGTTGATATCCTTATTTTGAGAGAGCATCCATCTCTGAGAGAGTAGATACTGCTAGTTTTCAGCAAACAAGACGATAGCAAACAATGTTTGTTTTTTCATAATTCGGTCTTTTGCGGTCTTTTTTTCGGGATTTGGACCTCTATCGGTTAGTTCTGATTGAACCATCTTAGAAGTACTGTGTGAGATATCATTGTTGGACAAGCGTGCACGTCCTGGCCTTTGTTTTAGATTTTATTTCTTTTTACATCACTCAAAAAACAGGTGGTCAAGTGTGCCGAGCGAGGTAAGGATGTCTCGCGTGCCTAAGTCGGTTTTATTTATTTGAAGGATGTGAAAAGTCAAGACATATAATTCCGTTTTTTTCATGGTGTGTCCAGTGCGTAGTGACAAGTATGTCAAAGTGAATGTAATTAGTTTCTCGACTCTTCAAGGACAGTTCATATTATCTGTCGTGTAAAGGTGAAAAATTAGAATCAATCGGTGGATATGACGTTGATTAATTGTTATGAGTAGTCCCCAGCTGCAGTAGATATCTCGACTAAGGCTTGGCTTAGAAAGTGAAAAAGAGATTCAGCAAGCTGCAGGAAGATCACTTTTTCACATGATTCAATAGCCATCACTAACAGCTGTCGGAAGTCCATTGAAAAACAAGCTCTGTTTTATCTTGTAATGAACAGGGAATTTTCTAGTCCTAGTTCTGTTGTACTCCTGCCTGGGTGTTTTTACAATAATTTTCAGATGAAGTGTTTTATTTTTAGTCAACCGTTATAATGTCGTTTATGTCCACCCTCGCATATAGTTTTTTTAGAAGCGGTCACTCAATCATTTATGATCAACAATCGTCTGGATCTTGTATCATAAGTACAACGTCGTACACTACTAGCAATTTTTTTTATGATTCAGGAAATTTGGACCACATTTGTTAACCACACACCATTATTAATGAGAGTACGAATGACCATCACAAGGTAGATGATAAGAAGAAACAGTTAAAAAAGTTGTTGGATAGACGGATGAAAAGAAAGAGTGTAGAAGGAATGAGTCTCAATGACGGGACGGCCTAGTTTGGCATCTCGGGTGGTTGAATCTTTATCAGCGATATTCTTTTCGAGTCCCGAGTTGTCTACACGAAGCAACGAGCACACCGACGAGGGGTTCTCCGCGGCTCTTTGCCCAGGAAGTGCTCAAGTAGAGTGTGAAGGTGAACTACAAGGCTCGGGTTCCGTTCTTGAGGTCGACTCCAAGAAGAATGGAGAGGTTGTACCGGTAGAGGGAGGAAGCTTTCGTCAACCTAGTCTGGAGAACGACGTAGAAGTTGTAAAGGAATATCTCTCTGGGGTTACAAAGTGCGAGCCCTCAGGCGCCGCATTGCGTGCGGAGTATAAAAAGGGTTCTCCAAAACCGGCGCTGTCAACTCGCGCGCTCTTGCGGTCGGCTACTACGTGTTCCACTACACCTGGAGCGTCGAGCAGCAGTCTCGGAAGCGTTGTGGAAGCAGGATTTCAGCGTGGAATAATCGGAACTAGCGGCGCTTTTCTCAACGGGAGCGCGCCTCCGGGCGGGAGTAAACAGTCAATTGGAAGCGGCTTCTCGCTATCGTGTCTCGGCGGCAGCCCGCGGAAAGCACGGAGGATTTCAGGTGTTGAAAACACACCTATCGAACACGCAAACACGCAACAGGGGAATAGCCCTTTACGGCCTACATCGGTCATCAATAGTGGGCAACTAACGAATTGGTCGCCTACGCCTATTAATATCAATCCACCACCTACCTCCACCAGTACAAATACGGCAGTGGTAAAGACATCCCCAGCTCCTACCCTGCTACAGTCTTTGACCTCCGCGAACAGTACTACAGCCCGTACTTCGCAGCAGTCTCTTCAGGTATTTCGTGCTGAAGCGGGCTCTCCTCCAGCACTAAGCTGCAGTTCCTCCTTTTCCGAGCTTGTTTCGTCGGTAGAGTCGACAACGGGCAGTGAGATGAAGAAATCAGGCTCCTCCGACATCAAAAAGGAGACCAGCACCGGTAGTCTCGCCAGCGGGAGCACACAAAGTGGCTCCAAAAAATGTCGCTGGATACGAGACGTCTCCAAAGAATACCGGATTCTTGATGAGGTATGATGATAAATTTGACTTCACCCTCTCAGAAATCGCAAAGCTGAGTCATTGTTTGAAAAACTACTTTGGATTACTTACCAGTTGGAGCTGGAAATCATAAGCCAACAGCGCCCCTAAACACGTGATGACCACAAGGACAAACCTCCAGTCCCTCAATTACCACAGTTGCCTTAAACCCGTGATTACCGCAGATACCCTAAACGACCGCGTGTATAATTAGTCCACTCTCTTGGAACCGCGAATTTCAACGTCACCAGGTTATGCCATCAACACACAGAGGGCAGGCAGTCCATTTCGCTACAAGGTTACGAGACGGATTGAAGGTAGTTGTGAAGATCAGAGAGAAACTAGTAAGTTTCAAAGATGCCAACGATATATCGACGTGGAAAACGGCGATGGAAAACTTGCTTAATTGGCAGGATTCCTTTGGAGAGCACATAGCAGGTCACATTATTTTTCAGTCTATTCACATAGCATTTCTTGTCAAATACTTTACTATTCTTCTATTGCTGTGCCTTTTACGACCTTTTGAATGAATAGAAAGTATATATGATACGGTGGCGATCGCGCGCTCTTTTCCGCGCTGCTTTTCGCGGATTTTCGGGGTGGAAGGTGTCAAAACTGGGCGCGGGCGTCCCCTTGCGCTTCTCAGCATGTTCCCCAGAGGCCTCAGGGCCGCTGCTGACCCTCGCAGGCTGGAGGTCTTCGGTGTAGAAGGCCGCCGAAGGCGGCCACGGTCTCAAGAGCAAGCAGGCCGATGACCAAGGGCCCGGAGGGTACAGGCCACACGGCTCAGAGGGTCCAGCCTTGCGCCGTTTGTCGCCTTCGGAGGCCTTCCACACCCGACGCACTGCTGCGGCGGCGAAGCACATAGGAGGCCTGTGGGGTACATGCAGGCAGCTGGAAGGGAGCGGAGGAGGTCCCTTGGGCCCCTTTTGAAGCCTTCCACCAAAATCGGAGGCCTCTAGGGAACACTACATGCAGGCAGCTGGAAGGGAGCGGAGGAGGTCCCTTGGCCTCTTTTGAAGCCTTCCACCCCTGGCCGACGTCGACGGGCATCCACGGCCCCCCCTACGCCAGGGGGGGGGCGCTCCCCTGGACCCTGGAAAATATGAACTAAAGGTGTCTCTGAGACTTCTTGGCTACAGGAGGGCTAGACATGAGATACAACGTGATCATGTTTGTTGGCCATCTGATCTGCAGGGTTTTATCAACACGGAAATCAGGTTTATACGACTTGTTCGAGGATACGACGGCGTACTATGTCACGATGGAGTTGGTCAATGGTTTGGACCTCTTCGAGTTCATCCACCATGTAAAGATGACAGACGACGCAACCAAGCTGTTGTTTCTGAAAAAAGTGGCCTACGAATGCATGCGGGTACTTCTTCTATAATTTGGAGGAAAGACCTTACATTTGTACTTGTGTCTCTACGGTGACCAAGAAGGGTCATATCAGAGGCACTCACATGACATTCAGAGTTATCAAGTAGGACGTGTTACTCGCCCATAATGCTCAAATCCACCACCACTACACTTCTTCACATCAGGCGCTTTGTGACTACGAGGCGCTTTCTCTCGTGCACAAAGATATCAAGCTCGAGAACGTCGTGTTGATGGATACGCAGAAGCGAGGGGTGCTCAAGGTACCGCAACTGATCCACGGATCTTCCCCCTTGGTCATCGTTGGATTCCACTACTGCTGTTGAGTTTCGAAGCAATGTGCAACTAGTTGTAAGTACTAAGTGAAAAACTGACACTATTGTGATGAAGAAGCGAGTTGGTGAGCATGTTTGTGGTTGTTCTAACGGCTCTCACATCCTCAATCTAATCCTCGTAGGTGATCGACTTCGATACTGTAGAAGAGTACGGCGAGGACACTAGAGTCTACGATGTCATGGGTACCGATCAGTACATTGCGCCGGAGTCATACTACGGCTACTACACGACTGCTAGCGACATCTTCGCCCTTGGTAATCTTGACTGGTTTTAAATGGTCTTTTCAGGAATACCTCTTGAGTATCAGCTTGACAAATTTAACGTTTCGCTCACGCAGTTCTACAGGAGACTCAGTATGGAAGAAAGAACTCGAATTTCTTCACAATATGTGACACAGAGCATTATCAACTTACTGAATTAGCAGCTACAATATGTACATACTTAATCATGTCTGTAGTATTCCTCGACACAACATCATGATAAAAGGTGTGATGTTGTACAAGCTGTGCACGGGCTCTTTCCCCTTCGTAGACGAAATTTTCGACGACGAGGCGGGACAAAATTACGTAGGTCACCCGAAAATGCGACAGATTCGAGGCAAGTTGCGGCTAGCAAAAATCGATTTTACTACGCATCCCTTTTTTCACTACGACAAGCAGGTGAAAGACTTCATCAAACGGTGCCTCGTCTTTGACGTGCATCGGAGAATGACGGTACGACTACTTTGTACTCGATTCATGATTGCAGTACTAGTTCTTGTAACGAATTTCCATGTAAACGGTTGCACAGTTGTTTTACAGCGCCGGAAGAAATAGTTAGATGCGGACATGTCTTCGTCCTTCAAACAATATTCCAGACCAAGCAAGCGATGGAGCATCCGCTAGTGCGAAACTATGAGGAGGAGGCGTTTCATTTGAAATGGACAGACTTTCGAGCGAAGAAGCACTAGATTCTTTTTCGCTGTCGTCGCGAGGCCGGGGGAGGGCTGATGCTCGTTATGTTTTGCTAGCAGATAGCTACTTACGTATGAAGTAGATGGCTAAAGACCTATGTATATTCGAAGGTATTTTTTAGAAAGTGATTATCGATGACCAAGTTAATCAAGTATGGTGATGTTTACTGTTGGTAAGTTTTTTGTATTTAAATTAAATGGTTTTTGATAATTGGGTGTTTTGCGATTCAAGTATAGGCGACCTCGGAAAAATTCCTCGAAGTTTTTTGGGTTTAAATTTAAAGTGTTCACATTCCTACCAGACCATAGCAAGATAGAAAGAACAACAAATAAACGTGAGAAATCGTGGGTAATGTAGGTATTTTTCTTAAGTTACATTCAACAGCAAGGTGACAATATGAAGTGTGGTCGTGGCTCCCGACAGGGTAAAGAAAAACTGTATATTTGACTATTCTGCATCATAATTATTATCGTTTGTTCGTGAAATTATGCGAGTCGAGTATCTATTCCAATGAAAATTCTGCATTGCCTTTTTTTAACACGTACCATTCTGATTAATACGGCAAGGAACAAATAAAGAAAGTCTAAGTCATTGAGGCAACCAGCATGAAAATAGTGATGGGACTAGTAATCCTCTATTAGATGAGTAGTCGAACGACATGAGTTAATGCAGATACAACTCTTCACTAGTATGAATAAACTCCTTCTGGCTAAGATCTAAGAAATTGTGTTGTTTAGTCCAACTTTTTTTTTTGGCGGAGCTAGCTTCCAGCGAAACGTGTTTCGCGAAGCGGTGCAGCCGTTTGCAAAGAAGACGTGAAATGTTTTTAGTGGCCCTATCGGTGTGTCATTTTTTTGATGTTGCAATGCGTTTTTGCAGATTTGGGTACATCGTGTGTTTCTGTCAATGACGTTGAATGAATTTTCAAGATTCTTATATAACTAATAATGTGTGCGCGCGAACATAATAATAATAATGAAAAGCGGCCCCTGCAGGTAAGACTCGTCTGTGCTATGCAGCCAAAAATGAAGAAAATGTGATGAATAACTCTGAATATGGGAGACGAGAGATCAAATAGTCCAAGTTCTAAGTTTATCTACGAGTTCCTTGTTCGCGAAGGATCATGTGAAGATTTAGGTTTTTTGGCGCCAGGACAGACATGATGTACAGTTCCTGGCTGCCGACGGGGTGATACACTTTGTAACACATAGCGATAGTCTTTTTTGGTATATATTCATATGAGTGTTTTTTTAGGTAAGATTTCTCGTGCAATGGGAACCGGAGGGGAGGCATGTGCTTCCTTATTACTTTGTGTAATGTATAAAAAGAGGAGAATTTTCACACGTCGACATGGATCTGCATTCGGTCAACTACTAGCCAAGGACCTTACTACGAGGACCGTTCACCTATGAAATCGCCGCGGACTTTGCTACTCGATTGCCCAGGAAATTGGAAAGCGGTGGAAGCTGTGGCCGTTACTGTGACGAGTCTCAAACTTACGGCGACTAGTCTCGGCGTCACTGTGGCGAGTCGCAGACTTATTGTGACTGGTCTCCGTCCTGCTGTGAGTAGTCTCAGTTTTTAGTGTGGGCGATTACATTAGTTTGAAACTTACTGTGACCAGTTTCAGACTTACTGTGACTAGTTTCAAACTTTCCGCGACTAGTCTCAGGCTTACTGTGACTAGTCTCGCGCCCACTGTGACCAGTTTCACCCAAAGAACTTGCTGCGACTAGTCTCAGGCTTACTGTGACCAGTCTCGCACCCACTGCGTCTAATCTCAAGCCTGCTGTGGCTAGTCTCTGGCTGAGTTTGTCGGGCTGTTCGAATCTTAACACCGTCAGAACCTGGCGCCTGTGTATTCTGATGGCGTTAAGATTCGAACAGCCCGACAAACTCAGCCAGAGACTAGCCACAGTAAGTCTGAGGGAGGCTAGTCACAGTGAGCGCGAGACTAGTCGCAGCAAGTCTGAGACTAGTCCCAGCAAGCTTGAGAGTAGTCGCAGCAATTTGGAGACTAGTCACAGTGGGCGTGAGGCTAGTCACAGCCATCTTGAGACTCGTCACCGTAAGCCTGAAACTAGTCACAGTAAAGCTGAAACTAGTCCGAGTAAGTTTGAGACTAGTCGCAGTAGGTTTGAGACTAGTCGCAGTAATTGCCACAACTCTCACAACTCTGACGCAACTCGTCGCAACTTCCACAGCTTAGAAATAATAAAGTCAAACTTTTGCTTAGGTGTTTGGTCTTTCTAACCTTATGTATCACTACGTCGTATTTAGCTCGTTGGTTCCTTAAATGAGGAAGGAATGGAGCGGGCTCTATCACTGGCGCATCACCAGGGGAGGCATATCTCCAGTTTTTTCGTGAGCATTGCACTGACGCACCTAGCAAGATCGAAATTCCTTTTTTGCGGAGACCAAGAGCATTGTAGGACTAGTTGTGAGAATTCGTTGATCATCGACTGCGACTGATCCAGGATGTTTGGCGCACGAAGCAAGTGTGGAATCAATTACAACATCAAAGGTCAGCCGGCGCCTTCCCGGTTCTTCTTTATGATGTTAAGAGGCTTGTTCTAGATGCTGGGAGTAGTTTCCGTGGATCATTGGATGACTGAACCGCAATTAAGGGGTCGGTGTTCAGCTCGGTCGATTCTGTCTTCATTTTCCTCTACAGATCACCTGCTTAGCTGCTGTCCTCTATGAATGTCTGTGCCAGGAAAAGAAAAAGTGGATCAGTGACCTCAATTAGATTTGAGACTGAGGCCGTTGAGGTGTGTATTCTCGGTTCAAAATCTTGGTTCAATCCGGTAAGCGATGAGAGAATGCGCCTGTCGGTAAAGAAAATGTTTCTGACGGCCTCCCGGCTTGCTCTACAATCTTTTTCGAGACTGCTGCAAATGGTCAGGCACGGTTTTAAAAAATATAGGTTTCTCATTCTCCTTGACTTTTGAAAGTTGGAGGATTCTCTGAAAAAGCTGAGACTGCCTAAATATGCTCCCTTTCGAACAAAAATGTAACAGCGACATACAACCATGCATATACATGGCAACTATACAAAAAAGCATTGGCGTCGAAAAAAGAGAGAGAAGATCTTCTGCTTGCGGCCGCCGCTATGACCTCCAATCGAGCCGTTTGGTGCCAACTTACCAAGTAAACTAAGCGATTATTATTTTCGATCTTCACTAATCAGAAACACAGCAGCACGGAGACAACAGGAACCATGACAGACGAGATTGTTTTCAGCCCTACGCGGTCGCCCCGGCTGCGGTTCGGGGGAGGCATTGCGGGGCTTACGGCACTGGGTGACAGGATGAATAAGACGCTAGCTGAACTGAAGGAGGGTCGCTTCGACGCCGTGAAAGGCCATGAAGGCGTGCAATCTCTGCAGTCAAAACTCATCCGACTACAGGACCACTTCGACGTAAGTATATTTCGTCCCCCATACTTAGACCTTGGATTGTTCTTGAGAAACTTTGATTTACTAGCCTTCAAAGACTGGTCTAGACTGTAGTAGACCTTAATTTCCACACGATCGCTCTTCAGGATAATATAGCGGAAGTTCAGCAGAGCATAGTCGAGCATGCCGCATTCTATGCGACGAGTCCGCAAGTGCTGGGAGGCATGATTAAGTTGACAGAGGTTCTTGGTCTCGCCTCCGTCTTGCTCGCGCAGAAAGCCGAGGCAATACAGGAACTGCTGGATGCTGACTTGGCGCCGCTGGAGCAACAGTTCCAGCAAACACGCGATAGATGGGAACAACTCGATTATGGCATGTACTTTCTGTACTCTTATAATATATAAGATCAATTTGAATGTGTCAATGTGTTTCGAGATTGATCATTACTAGAGCACTAGTTCTAGTGGAGTACGACTAGTACTCATGATTCTTCTTGGACTCGCTCATCTAATATATGGAGGAGGTGGGTCACTACCGAACGCAAGTCAGCACAGCGCTTGAGAGAGGCAATAAATACGAGACGGAAGTCACGCAGCATCTAAAGAACGCAAAGGAAATAATGCGAAAAAAGCTAGTCGAAGAAGTAGATAGGAAAGTTGCAGGTACAGGATATTGTGCTGGGAGTTTAATAGTTTTTTATACTTCTACAACAAAATGTAAATGATTGAGGAAGAAGTGTGACTTATGACACTGACCATAGTGATGATAACTAAAACAGATGTGACGTCAAGAAATCGAGAGTTGCAGCGACAGGTGAAACAACTTGAATTTCAATTGAAGCGGCATCAGACAGCAAAAGCGATGGGTTCATCGACAGTGATAACGAAAGCGCATGGCTCAGGACCGGTATTTGTTTTTGTTGGTTATGCTGCTGAGTTATGTGTCTGAGTTTGCTGCAGAAAGAAAAGTGCAGCAAGCGATGATGCTGATGATTAGTTCTGAGCTTGTTGACTGGTTCTGAGCTTGGAAATGCCACCTTTCATCAGCTCCGGTTGTATTGAATAATAGAAATTACTCGTGACTTCCACCATACACAGCCGGACAGCGCAGCCTTGCGAGGAATTGAGATGGTGGATAAAGTTAACGAACTAGAATCCCTGCTCGACACGGAGAAAGGTCAGATGCTAACACCAATGATCAAGGATGCATGTAATTATTTGCGGACACTCTTAGCGATGAAAGATGACGATGCAGGTGGAAAAAGTGCCGCTTCGTCAGCATCAAACGCTGTAATTCAATTTGATGAACGGAAACTCGCTGATTTGTTTAGACTTAGACACGCCATACCCTTCGACCATTATGCAGATTGGAAGATTGTGCTACGATTCCTGAGTAAAAAGACATTCAAATTTCTTCTCCGTGTTTTCAGAAAGCGAGAGCAACAAGTAGTAAGGGACAGGCGCCTCTGTTTTATAGCGACGGTGAATTATCGCCAGAGAGGGCAGGAATCACACAACTGCTCGACGATAGTAGTATAAGGCCGCCACCGGTTATGCTGCGGCCTGGAGGAGGTGTGTCTATTATGCCAGGAGAGTGGTCCCCAGTAAAGTATTCCCTGTAACGCATGTAGTAGACCTGAAATTTCTAGTGTTTATGCGTCGTCAATTTTTTTTTTTGCGTTAAACCTTTTTCTAGAAAGAAGTCAATTCTAATAGTTCGAACAAAGTCAGATTCTAATTCTAAGTGATACAACATAGATGCTTGTCTGACTTACTAAAAGAACATATGATCGCAGTGCCTCTTATACTGAATGAACCCATTTTCATACCATCAAAGAGCTCCTCGGTTTCGCACAATCCGACGAATGTGATAATGCAGCATTATTACAACGGTGCTGGAGGAAGTTCAAGCAGCTCGAAAATGATAGACCCGCAGCCAGATGATTTGAGGCATCCAGAGCAGGGATATTCTGATTATGGCGGTGACACAGCCGTTACATGATAGATTGATTGGGTATATCAACATCATCACTAAGCAGCTGCGAAAATAACCGGTTAATCTTCCTTCGTCTGACTACTTAATTACCTGCGCATCGATCGGCTTCTTGTGTTGTCAGATCCCCAGGGGGCGTCTGTACCTTGAGACGGCCATGTGGCCACTTCACGTTGTATTAATAGTTCGACTTCTCACGAACCCAGGTGATTCACTTTTCCTGTTTGATTTTTCTATTCTACCAAAAAGTTCATAGTGTGCAGCAGCATTCAGGCTACGGCAGCGGGCCGGGCGGACACAGTTTCAGTTCTCAGTTCGAAAGTCAGCATCATTCGGCGCAGCTAGGCTCGCCAGCTGGCTCGAGTGTTTATTCACAGTCGCTACGTGTCGGCGCACCGTCTGGCGATTATCACCGCGCTCTAGGGGTCGACCGCTATGCACAAGCAGCAAGCGAAGAAGAAAGTGTCTTTTCGGCACCGAGGCTAGGTTAGTAGTCACGTTGATGTCGGAATTAGAAGAGAACTCCTTGTGTGAAGACGCAAAAAAATGCTTCTGTAATCGATACGTAGCAGCTTATTATGCAACTCATTTAGACGGAAGTTCAAGTCGATTCTAGTCACCATTGCAAGGTACTCGGCTTATACTATCTACTTGCATTGTTGATCAAGGAGAATTATACCATATAGCTTTCGGCGTTTTTTTTCATATTTGAGATGATAGCTCCTTCGTAGACCTATGATTACAAGCAGCAGTCCTGCACTGTAGCAGGATTTATTTGATATGCTGCCCTTATACTGTTTCATTTTTCCTATGATCGAACTCTCATCGACAAAGTCGCTCTCTTCGAAAACTACATACACCATTGCGCACATTGTTGTTCGAGTTCCTCCTTAAATCTAATGACGAGCCCCAGACATCGGCACTGTTTTGGTTTTAGAAAACAAGACACCGCAGGAGAAGGAGGACTGCTCTCTAGTTTGCCGTCAGCATGATAGATAAATCAAGCATCAGCGCTGGGATGTGACAGACATGTCTGGACAAGGTGTACCAGCTTTTCTTGTCAACAAAAAGAAAGAGAGGGACTACCGCTGAGGGTGTTCTGGTTGCAGATGAAATTTTGCAACTTCTTGATCCGACCGCACTTACCAAATTCCTTAGCGACCTTCTGAAAGTGAGAGAACGCTGCACCTCTTGAATTTCAAATGAGAGGAGACACTGCTTCAGCGAGTGAAAGAAGGTGATGACCGAGGCCGGGAAGTTCAACAGTTTGCGCGGGGAACACGAAAAAGGACCATCAAAAGTTTGTTGTGAAAAATTATAGGGCGGACCAATTCTTAAGATCTATATGGTCTTGTGTTTCGGTTTTCCTAGGTTGTTCCTCGATTGTAGTTCGAGACGGGGACTCTGCAAAGTCCTTTGCGTCAAGAAATGACGAGAAACAAAGCATTAGACGCAGACCCAGTGTGAATGTTGCGATCCCGCTCCATGCTGTATTTTGAGCTGCCTGCTTGGCCTGTCGCTAAAATGACGCTGCAGCAGTGAAAGTCTGGCTTTGTTGAGTTCTCTGTTGCTGCAAGGAAACAGAAGACCCTTAGCGATTTTTGCCGTGAGGATTATACATCGATCGGATAACGATACTCCACCATCGCCGGCTAGCGTTAGCGATCCTGCGGTTTCTGTCGCTGGTCCATCGGATAGAGCGTCCGGCGTCGCATTGGCTTTGCTTTTGTGCGCGCGGAAAAAATCGTACGAATCGGCGACACAAAACTCGAGCAATTCGCCATTAGTAGCACTCTCTGGAACGTGGGTCCGAAGGTTAGCGCGCGGCAAGCCTCAGCGCGTAGCAGCTGGATTCGATTCAGGCGTCCGCTGGACTTTGAAAGAAAGCAGCTTCTCGAAACAAGAGGCGTAGGCAGGGTTTCTCCTGTGGTCTGCGTCCAACAAGACGACACTTGTTCCCGAGGGCTCCTTGTACGTGAATTGTACTTTCCTCGCGATGAAATAGGACCGCTGCTTCGCTCGTGTTGAAGCGGAAGGCACGAATACCGGCAGCGTAGCAGATTGCGCAAAACTAAGAAGAATGCCTGCCACCCAGGCGCAAAACACAACTCTTTGTTTTGTGAGGACACGAAGAGAGTGAATGTATGAATGAGAAAGTAGTCCTATATGATAGAGACTCAGAACGAGGCGAAAGAGGAAATGGCGCCGACCAAGAGTTTCTTCAGCAGACAGCGTTTGACGCTGCTTTGATAGAGCATCGTTGCGGGCTACGCGAGCGATCGATCACCTCAGGCTTCCTTCGAGAAGTCTCTGTCGACACGCGGTGAAAGGAAGGTGGGCCGACGACTGAGCAAGAGTCTCGCCTAGCATTGTTCCTCAATCAGCATCTCACGAGCTGAAATCAGAACTAGAAAAGTGCTCAAGAAACTACCACATACAGAAGTACAACCTCATAGCGCAGAACTACGACGTCAATCAAGGCACCTTCTTGAACCAGTGAAGCGCAACGAATCTGCTAGACATTGGTTAGTGTGTCGAAGGCCCCTCGATGACGAGTCAAGGTGATCACCTTTCTTCGTCGCGGCTCGGTTCCCCCGCAGGTAACGGTGGTACAGTGGCCCACACTGGCATGACGCGGCCGAGCAGCGGCATGTCTGGGGGAATGATGAATGGGATGATAAGCAACAATGGGATGCTAGGTTGTGCAACCTCTTCTTCGCATCCGTCACCAGGTTCTATGCTAGGTGACCGACAAGGTGGCAGCATGATGAGCAGTGGCGTAGGTGCTGGTGGCATAATGGCACCTAATGGAGGTGGTGGCGCTGCTCCTGCTCTCGGGGGAGGTGTTTCCTCGCATCCACCTGCTCTGAAAGGAAGTAATCCGCCAACAGGGACTGGAGGAGGAGGTGGCAGCAATGTCCAGCTAGGCCTGACAGCGGTTGGCGGTGGTAGTATCAGCAGCAGCGGCCCGATGAGCGGCAATGGTCCTGGGCTGCCACCAACTGGAGGCATCGGCCCCCACGGAGGAGCAGGTCTCCTAGGGTGCGGTGGTGGTTCCGGGCAGAGTGCCGTACCACCTGGGAGCAACCTGCTTCCTGGAGGTGATGGTGACAATGCTCTACGAAGCCGTATGTTTCCTGCTTCTAGTTTTCCTGCGAACGCCAGTAGGCCACCACGGCCCGCGCCGATGCACGCCAGTGTTTCATCCTTTGGAGGGAGTGGTGGAGGAAAAGCGCCGCGCCCTCCGATGAGAGACAGTGCACCCAGTGGGATTTTTCCACAGGCATCGAGTATGCAGCAAATGAGCGGAAACATGCAACTAGCTTCGAACGGAATGGGTAGTGGCATCAGCGGCGTGAATCCTGGAGCAGCGCATCTTCCCCCACATGCGATCAACGGCTTGGAAGGAGCCGCATGTCCCCCGCACAGCTTTCCGCCACAGCACCTGAACCCCGGAGCTGGAGCGATGCACCCGCCAGGAAATACGTACTCTGGACCTCCGAGTATGGGTAGCAATGTCGACGCGCCAAGCATGGGAAGTCACCCTCACGGGCTGTCTGCGGCGCCGGTTTCTGGCATGACGGGGCCACCCGGTGGCGGGTCCGTGTCGTCGCGAGGCGGCTACAACGTAGGCCCAAGTGCCGGGAGTAGTCGCTATCACGACGCTTACAATCCGGAGCCCCGGACCGCGGGCGACCGGCGGACGGACCACTACACGGGAGGAGGAAAGGAGCTTCATATGAGCGGTTACGCCGGGGGAGGCGGCGGAAAGGATTACCTTGGATCCCATGGCGGCGGTAAAGACTACAGCGAACATCCGCCACGAGGCAAAGGCGGAAGAAAAGCACGGAACAAAGGGGAGCACGACTACTACGACTATCGAGATCGAGATGGGGCCCGAGGAGGCGACAGAATGTATTACATTCGTGTAAATGTTACTCAGACCACCCAGGACGTTCTCGAACAGTTTGCTAGCTAGCATGGAAATCGAAAAACCTATTGAATCTTATTCCTGGCAGGTCTGGTGGCCCCTTTGGGGACCAAGGCGGCGGTTACGGCAGCCGTGGACTCAAGAACAACATAATAAGCTGTCCAAAAAGACCAGTGCCGCTGTCGGCTCCGACGCTTGTGGTTCCTTGGGCAGCGCGACCGAACGCCTGTGCTGATCTTACTTCGGATGAGGATGACGAACTGCTGGAGATCATGATGAGCCCGCGTCGCAACATGCAACTGCGCTTGTATCATTTTTTTACAAAATAGAGTAGGACGAGTAGACTACTGGTTGTTGTTATTCGCCAGCATTGATGCCACTCTGCGCGGTCAGTACTACTGTCTTGCGTGTTCGTTCGGTGGTAACAAAAATATGTTCTTGATAAGATCTGAAACACGGCGGAATCCGCGACTTATTACTAGCATTTTTTGAACAACAACAACCTTTAATTGATTCTCCAGATACTATCCGCAGGCAAGTATGTCAGCAGGTTTCGAGCAACAGTTAGACGAATATGAACGGACTGGGAGAATACCACACGGGACAAGTATGCAAACCATGGTAGGCGGAACGAATCCTCGTAAGCGCGGTGAGCCTCTAAAGCTGACAGCTGAAGGGTACAAATGTCATGTACGAGTACAATTTGGGGAACTGCTTTGGTTTGTGAGACACCTTTGAAGAACGAGGAGTACAAGCACGCATTGCAACTACACTCTACATCAAGTAGTACCACTAGACTAAGTAGTATTGTAGCAATTCACCTGTCACATGAAGATGTGGAAACGAAATATCTTCAGGGCCATCGACTGGGAGACTGACCGCGACCGAGGTGTGCCAGAGGATTACAAAGAATTTAACGGTCACGCGATATCGCAGTTTAAGCTTGACGGTACCAAACTCAAAACTTATATATTAGTAAGAAGTACCCAGCAGCTTCAGTTTTGCTTTGGGTAGCCTGAAAATAGAAAGCCTTCCACCTAGGAGCTTCCAGCGGTGTCGCCCGCCGCAGTCAGTACCGCCGCCAAAAGCAGGAGCGCCGCCAAAGTCAGTACCGCCGCCAAACAAGACAGCGCCCCCGCCAAGGAAGAGGGAGCCGCCGCCCCCTCTGCGACCGCCGGGCGAGGTGGTTGCTGCGCCGCTGATGCTGCTAGCCGGGGCGCAATCGTCGCCGGAAGACGCGGGGGAAATCGGAACCTTCTGAGGCCCTGAGTGGCGAAGGCGTCGAAGCTTAGAGCTCGGACCTTTTACCCACACAACCACGGAGCGCCTTTCTCTGACTGCAAAGCCGTCGCGCGAAAGCGCACACTTCAGAAGTGACGGGGAGGCGCGCGCCGGAGGAGCGGCAGCGAGCTGGGCACCCACGTAGCTAGGGAGTGCGTGGATTGCTTTCATACATAAGGCGGGGAGGATGAATGCCGAAGGCTAGGAACGCTGGGGGGCTGACGACATGGCGGCCGGCCTCTCATCTTCGGAATATGTGGGCATGAAGCTGGGGCGGTGCTGCCTGCTGATAGCGGAGGCGCCTGGAGAACCAAGCATCTTGCAGGCCCTAGCTGCGTTGCCGTCTTCGGGGGTCGTTGAGAGGGCCAAATGGGTGACCAGGTGAACGAGACAGAAGCAAGGGAAGCACGCAGGGGAATAAAAAAGAGAGGAAAGCCCCAAAGAAATACGGGTGACATTTTAAACGGCGGTCGGGGGGGGGGGCGACGTGAGTAGCTAGAGGGGTCGGCGCCGCTGTCTGCGACACGCTTCTATTAGCATTTAGTCAAAAGCTCTAGCGCTAGCCTGGGGGTGTCTTGAAAGTCAGCCCCCTCCTCCAAAGCGTGCCGTTTGTTAATGTAATCGCCTGAAGATTACTTAGCTCGGTGCAGGGGTTCGCCTTCGCTCACTTCAAGGCTTACAATCTAGTCTTACCTCCTTTCGTCTTCAATCATTTTTATTATTTAACGTCGCCAAGTTTATTAGAAAAATGTATGATGTCAAATGTAACGAATGTCGTTGTCTATCTCTATTTTTAAGAATGTTGATTCTTCGAGAATAGAACTTTCAGTAGTTTGAAAGCGAGGGATAGTTCTTGTTTTAACCACATTCTGCCACTCTATGTGTCCCTATTCTAGTGTTGTTTTACTATTCTGCAAATGCCAAGTGCATCAAAATACCAGGCGATGAAGACTCGCAGCAAGTTGTCCCGAGGGGCATGAAAGGACAGGGACGGCACAACCATCGAGGAGCGTACAACTATGATATTCCGCCTATGGACGGAGGAGCGTCCTACTATATCGGCCCACAGGATGTTAGCCACCAGCTTTCGTTTTTCCGAGATCCTGGCTTAGATCCGAATCCAGGCACTGTGTGGGAGTTATACGAAGACAGAGGCACAGTACCAAAACTAACTTATATATTAGTTTGAATATGTCTTTGCATTGTTTTTTTTTCATAACTGGGACAAATCCAAGTCGTTGTTCTTGGTAGGTCGATATATTTCAGATGTGATTTAAAGAATTACAAGGAAGATTCAGCTAGTAAGTTGTCTAGCAGGTGAATGTTGATTGTTGATTGACGCAGGTGTCGATAATCTCCGATCGCGACACCGTTACTTGGGGAGCCGGCCCGACAATGGAAAACTACTTAGAGCCATGGCGATACGGTCTAGGTGGCTACGGCTATAGTACGGGCTACGGTGGTTACCGAGGCTACAACAGCGCTTCCAGTGATACCCGCGGCGGCGCAAGTATGAGCGGCGCTGGAGGCTCGTCCGGAAGCACGTACGTTTTTGTTCATTTTCGTTTCTAGTTCGGGCTCTACTGGAACTATCATATTGCACTTACTCTAAATTAGAGTTAGAATGTTCAATATTGGTTTTTTCATCTGAGCCTTATTGGTATGGTTTGTTTTTGACCATTTTGCAGCTCCTCTTCGTATGCTCGTGCACCCGATACACGACCGCCTCGTAGTGACCGAGGTGGAGATATGCGCAAATCTGACGTGCCTCGAAAAAGTGAATACTCTGCATTGCCACCCAGGGAGGATCAACGGGTACTGAACAGTACTACGTATTACAAGGATGCATCCATCTTCCTTGCATTTAAAAAAAGTTAACGTTTTGATTTTCTACGACAAAAGAGGAGTAGATTTATATTCCGGAGAAGCCTCTGTCTCTGACACTGTTGATTTTAGATGAGCCGACGCCATCGACGCCAATGACATGAGACCCACCCAAGGCACACAGTTTCTACTAATTCTATTCAGCAGCAGCATCAGCAGCAGCAACAACAACAGCAGTGGACGAGCTCGAGTCGAAGAGGAGAAAACCCAGCTTGGCAAGGGCGTTCACGGGAAAGTGGCTATTCGCGAGAGAACTTTTACGGCGGCGGCGGCGGGCAACAGGACTACAGTTCCGGAAGACCATCTACTTCGTCGAGCGGCGGTTACGGGAAAGGCCGAAAGCAGTACCCTGCTCCGGAAAGCAGTAGCACGCTAGTAGCAAAGGAACAACTTAATACTAGTAATGTTACTGCAGAGCGGACCACCAGCAGCCTGGCGTATCAGTAGCAGGTGCACGACTTTAGTAAGTACAGGTCGGACTCGGACGAAGGCCCACTGAAATCGACCAGTCGCTATCGTTTCTTTGTAAATTAGGAGAGACGTCGGCGTCGCACCTCCGCAGCGCGTAAGCACGCGCGGCACAAACGTAGCTGATAGTGTCTCGCAGTTACGCGAGTGTCGGAGATGCCAAAACATTGCCAGTCGCTCCAGCTGCGTGTCACCAGGGTCTACTCAGGTATCTGCGTGGTCGTCGCCATAAGATACTATGCGTGTTGAGGTTGACACGAGTCTTCATATGCCACGATCGCATGTTGATAGTCACATATCTCACATGCGCAAATACATCTAGGAGTTCTGCCATTTGACCTCAGACTTCCCGAATTGATCTGTGTCTTTCTGAGAATAATCCACTGCCTTCGACTAAAGCTAGTCCCTGGCTCCTTGTTGCGTCACTCGCCTAGCTGAGAGAAAAGCAAAGACGAGATCCTCTAGATGTCGTGTAGAATTGATCCCGATTCTCGGAGTCCACATATAATTTCAGCCGCGCGACATCATCAGGCATCACGAGTCCTCGTAGTGGAATCTTAGTAGGGTTGTTCTTCTCCATAGCACGAGGACATTTAGGTTTAGCGAGAGAGAGAGAGTGGCGTTCTTGTTAGTGTCAATGAGAAGATTCAGACAAGAACATAGAACTCAGTGCAGTGGGTCGAAGCTATAACTTTAAGTACAGAATAGAAGGCAGACGAGAGAAGAATTCCGACCTTTGTGCGACTTCGACGAGGAACAATCGTATAGCATGAGAGCAAATGAATTTAGTTCGGTTGAATCTCATCAGAAAAGCTGGAAGCAAATGAGACAGGTGCGAATGATAGTTCGTATGGATGAAGGACATAATTGTGATAGACGTACCCCGACCAAAAAGCCCGCACGCTTGTAACGTTTGCCCGATGTTGGAGTTGTTAGATTAATCTCACTTCTCTTACTCTCTCATTAAACTCATAGCGAATCAAGATATTTCAGTTGCATGGATGTGCAATGCGGCACCAAATTATGATACTAGGCTTCTTGTACTAGTAGTAGTATGCTGCCTTTGCTTTGAATAAGATTTCAGCACCAGTATGCGCCGCTAATACAAATTCCTTCAAAACTACTGCGAGAGTAGCTAGCATGTGTAAGCATACGGCACGAAGTCAGCAAGCTACATCCGACAAGTGTGGTAAATGTAAACTTGGATTGCAGCTGCGCTTGCATAAGTCTATGATGCATTATGTTGATTGTGCGTAGCTGTGGTGACTCGAACCTGTGTAGGCATGGCCACATCAAAATTTGCTATTATTTACTGCTGCAAGAAAAGTATAATTAAACTTTAACTTTGACTTCATCTTTTTTGCCGCAAACAATATTCTGGGTGAGATGATGTCCTTGTCTTCGTCTACTCCATTAGGGACTGTTGCGGCGCAGTCGTCCTCCGATTCAAGAATGTCCAGAGAGGAGGCATCGAGTACACCGTCAAGTATAATGTCAAGAGGTGCAAAGGCGGGACGGAGTCAATTAGGCGTGGTCTACAGCAGTTTTACCAAACCTCCGATATTAACGCCCGATCAAAGTTTGTACACAAACTTCAACGACTCTGAGCAGCAAGGGTCCTGCATAAATAAAGCAGTCGGATTCAGCTGGAAAGGTTCGGATTCAGCGATCGAGGGGAGTAAGAGGACTAGGAAAACACGAAGGAGGAAAAGCCAGGCAGTCGCGGAGGTTTACCGTGCCTTCGGCAGTTCACGCGATACGACAAGCAAGAAAGGTGTACCTGGAGGAGTTTTTGAAGCCGCTGCAAGCGGGAACGATATTCAAGACGGGAGCCGTTTGGCGCTTGCCCGCCCAGTCTATTCACATTTCTCACGACCGACTGGGAAGAAGACAAAGGACTCTGCACCAGCACGGTCCTCCAAACGCGCACAGACACAAGTAGAGGCGACGATTCTACTGCCTTTGCCCACGACTACGACGACTCTGTGTGCTAGCGATAGCGAATCTACAGGTCACGAAGTCCCAGCACACGCATTCAATTCTTCCAACAGAGGAGAAACGCATTATGTAGCCGACACTTTGACGAGTATCCACGTCGATGCTAGTCCATTGAACGCCAATGCTAATGCTTGGTATCCATCTTCTTGCGTTGAAGATGTTGTCGAGACATTCAGTCATGAACGGATTCTTTCGAGTTGTTCGAAGTACGAAGTGCCCAGGAGCAATCAGGAGTACTGGCGAAATTACGAGCTTGGACAGCAGGAGCTCGCATCGATGGAAGCCTTTACAGGAGACGGACGGGGGTACAATATGAACTCGAACGGGAATGCCTTGCGAAGTTGGGACTTGCACCAAGCTTGCGACGAATTCATCCAAAACTTTCATGACCAGGCCTCCTTAATGGTTGAGCCGAATTTTCGTCAGTTTATTCGGCTTATCAAAGACAAAGACCAACAGCATCAACTTGTGGAGGCGGCAGCTGGTACAACTTGCGGAGAAAGCGACAACATCGGTGATCGTAGACTCGATGCGCGAATGTTTTTGGTTTACGAACCGCCAAACGGGTTGCGGCAGCTTCTCGCTTGTCTCTCTCTGGTTTCCACTAATCATGCGAAAGCCAGAACCACGTCAAACCGTACCCAATTATCTAGTCAAAGTGCGCAGAAGCTGTTGTATCTGACAAATTACAACACAGTCCTGCCTCCCGTGTGCTTCATTGGCGGCTTCACAGGGGAAGAAAAAACCAAAGAAAAGAACGTGAAGCAAGCAAAAGGAAAGTTTGGTGATGGTCTCAAGTCCGGCGTCACCGTTTTCGTAAGGGATGCAGCTAACCCACCTGTGATCCGCACTGCGGGTCATTTTGAGTACCAGTTCGAGATGGACGTGGCGAAGTACTTCCACCATCGCGCGCAACACAACCAAGGCGTCAAAACGCTGCACTACAAAGTTGCTCGCCGGAAAGAATTTGATGCGATGTCTCCCGGGGGCGCTTCATCAACTCATCAGGAAGGAGTTTCCAACGACTTGTTGGCCTGCTGCCCAGAAGGAGATACTCTGCTTGCGTCTGTGGATTTTTTTGACAGTGCAACAGACACGCAGGTTGTCCTGGACGTGTCGAGCTTTGACGTCGATTTGACGCGTTACTTGTTTCTCGACAGGAATCACAAAGAGGCTCTGCTCCCCTATCGTCCGCCACTGTGCAAATACGAGATTCTTTTCCCAGGGAATCGAATTTTTAGCAGATGTTGGGAAGATTATAACGGAGCAGAGCAGTATGCAGGGGAGGGCACGGAGACCTGTGTGTTTAACCCGAGGGCGAACAGAAAGAATGAAGTGTATGCTGGTCGCATTTATGTTAAGGGCATGCTGGCGGTTGGCGTTCCAAGGGACGGCGCTGTCCTTGAAAGTTCTGATTCAGGGAACCGACTGGGTACTCGATTCGGGAATCAGAAGTTTGGGTACAATTTTCTGGACTACGATGTCCAAGTCCGAGACCGGCACGAAACAATCTCGGAGCGGGATCGCAAAACGCACATTTCTGCCGCGTGGGCGGCGCACCTGCACATGACGCACCACGAGGAGCGGCGGAACGAATTGTGTCGATTGCTCTTCGAGGCACTGCGGCAGAATGGTGATTGCCTGGAGGCGCAGGCCATTCGCGACTCGAGCGAGAGCCTAGTTGTAGCTGTGCAACATCAAAAGGCGCCAGGTGGAGGTGGGCAGCAAGAAAGCACTGCCAGAACTAGCGCAGAGCGTGCTGGGCGGAAGAGCACGGATGGCGAATTGGTGAAACAGTACCTGATGCAGTACTTGTCCAAGGCGCACCCACGCGAGATTCCTTGCATGGATGGCCAAGAGTCGATGAAACAGCTTATCCGGAAAGCTGGTCATGAGCCGATGGTTCTTAGCCCAGCTTTCTTTCTGTTGCTGGAGACCAGCGGGCTTTTACCGAACGTCCCCGAGCTGTTTGAGAAGCAGAAGAAGAGGAAACTTAGTGAGGCTTATTCGGTAGATCGGCGTGTCAAGCCATGGCCGGTTTTACACGCGCTGCCAGAGATTCTGGAAACCGGATTCCGGACCTTCTTCCCGAATCTGCGACAAGAACACTTCCGCCTTATCGACGTTGAAGATCTTCCTGAAGAGACGGTGCTATTTTCCGGCCTCGGCATTTGTTCTTTCGAAATGAATGGTTTTCTCTACGTGCCGCTGTCTGCACATGCGCGCAGTGGAGGAGGCACTACGACCGCAACGAGCCCGCTGAACCAGGTCTACACGGCGAACGAAAACAAAAAAGTGCATCACCAGAGCACTTGGTGGTCCGAGGACATGAATTATGTGCTGTACTCGGACAACGGACGGCATTTCATTATCGAAAAGCGTTTCTTCGCGAACGCCCAGCGATATCGAGTGGGCGTTCCTTATGTAGCTACGTGCGAGAATCAGGAGTGGTGGAGGCCAGGGGCTGTGTGGACAGAGCGCATTCCTACCAAAGTTTCCTCTGGTGAGCAGAAGACGGCGCAGCAAGGTGGCAGCGGCATTGCGGTTGTGAACAAGGAAAACAGCAACGTTTGTTGTCTGCCACAGACTGGGATGAACTCAGAGAGGATCTTGGGAGACATCATGATAAACGTTCATACTTTTCTAGCACGCGAGCGTCTGTTTTCGCCTGCGACGCCAAAGGCGAGCTATCTCTCGCAGGCGGAGGCAACTGCAGCGCTCACGCGTGTTTCCCTGTTTGTGTCTCAGATAACGCAGGAAATACTGCGGCATTTGAGTGATCTCCGCCTGCACCTCTCACGGCAGCAAGCTGATACAGTCTTCATGCAGGTGATGGAACAAGTGTACTCGACAAGCGGCGTTCAGATCGCAGAGCGGCGGAATGAAAGAGTGCCGCAGAGCACAACTAGTTCCTCCTTTGCTGCCAGTAATATTTCTGATGCCGAGCAGGAACAAAAAGCTTATGAACACAAAGATGAACCCCGGCCGGTGTCGCCTCACTCCCAGAGTGAAGCTGGTGTTGGTGTGAAACACCAAACAGAGGCGGTCCCGCTGCGTGCGGCCACAGGAGTCTCGCCTTGTTCCGTGCCGCCTCAACATATTCATAATACCCCTGCATTTCCTACGCCTTTCCCAGTGTGCGAGAGGCGCACAGTGAAGTCACCGGAAATCAAGGGCCCGCCGTCTCTAGCAGTTCTTTTGCCCGAAGCGTGTAAAGCCGTGAGAAAGAAGGTCGCTGAGGTCACCGGACCAGGGCTAGCAACACAGGAGCAAAAAGCACTCGTTGGAGATCGAATAGCCGAAGATTTGGAGAAGTGTGTTTTGCGGCGGGCGTCGCACTGTCCCGACGAAGCTATGTTCGCCCTTCTTGGGGATAAAGTCCTCGACCTCTTTCTCTATCTTGGGTGCGCGCGGAGCAATGCGAGTCTGCCACTCTTGCAGGAGGACGGTGAATTTGTTGATAAGAATGAAGAAAATCAGCATGCTTCTTTCGGCGAGCATGCTCGGGTGAAAATTACAGTTACTGAAGCAGACAGGCTTCGGAGCCTTCTATTTTTAAGGCAAAATTTTCTCTACAGCCCTTGGGGCTATTTTTCAAGTAGGCAAAATCACACGTGCATGTGCTCCATGCTCTCAAGGTATAGTAATTGCATGATTTTTGCGTGAATACAAAATAGCTTTACTGAGTGCGTTGAATAAGAGAAATTTTGAGGCGTCTAATTCCCAGCCGCAGAAACTTGTCTGGCGGTAGCGGAAATCGCGAGGCAGCAGAACGCATTGAGGCAGAGGCTGGTCGGCGACTGTTGGCTTTTCAGGGAGAGATGATTTGGCTTGCACTCTGTCGGACCCTGGGCCGTCTGGAGATACCAGACCCGTGGGGAGCGCAAGATGGTTCTTCTACACGAATAAAGCAGCAAGCAGCAAGTGCATGGTCATCAAGGCGGCCGTTGCTGGCGATGATGTCAGGAGCAATCTGTGATGTGAGCTTCGGCGAAAAGGACCCATCAGCGCCGCGCGGGAGCAGCGACGAAGGGCAGTCTGTAACAAGCGTACGAACGGAGCAAACGCATAATAGGAGACGGGCTGCAGACGGACGTGAAGCTCCGCGACTCCCAAAGTCGTTTTCACAACACGTCTTGTATTTTTGAAAGTCTCTTTTGGCCGGTATGTATAATCTCACCCCTATCCCTGATCGCTCTCATTTTTTACACCTTCCTTTTTTAGCTGGTGATTATTTGCCACGTCCCTCTTCGTGATTAATTGGACGAGCAAAAATGAGCCGTGCATCGTCAAAAAGCAAGAAAGCGGATTGCTTGAATAGATGTTCGTCTCGAGAGAATGAGAGGTGATTTTAGTGCTATGGATGATACTTTACGGCGCGCTCAATCAACATCCCCATTTTTCAGGGTCATCATGCCACAAAGACGTGACCGCTGATGTATATTTGGCTTTTATGACTCCTCCACATCATTTTTCGTTTTTTTCTTTCGTCTTCTGTGTGAAGTTTCGCAATGTTGTGCCCCATGATACAGTAGTAAGTCAAAGATATGTTTTCAGTATTGCGCGCAAGAAAGCTTTAGAGTTTCTTGCCGATAGGATTGCTTGTAGTGTTGAGAAGGATTATCCATTCATTGTACTAAAGTTATATGCTTATAGCCTGTAAGTTATCTTTCTTCATCGATAAATCTTAGTTCTCCAACTTTTCGCATCGTAATTTAGCATTTTTCCAAGCATGGGTACAGTTTTGAAATTTATTTTGATCTATGCAAATTTGTAGCGTTTGTCATACCGTTGTCCAGACGATACATTCATTACAATCAATATGGGCGGTGTCGTTCTTGCAGAGGCCGGGGCCCAGAAGGAGCATCCGGCGAGAAAAAGCTTCATTGCTCACAATTTTGGGCGGCCGCTTGAGTCCGGAGGCGTCCGGCAAAGCATTTTGGCATTGAACATGAGCGCAATAGGAGGCGGTTTGCTCACACTGTCGTATGCGATGCGCCTTACAGGGATTGGACTGGGTTGTTTTTTAGTTATTGTCGCGGGACTGGCAAGCGCTTATAGTATCCAGATACTGATGGAGCAGGCAGCGGAGACAGGCTCCACACAGTATGGGGAGTTGGTTGGGAAGAAGATGCGAGGTTGCGGCACTGCGTTTAATATCGTGCTTTCCGCTTACGGCTTTGGTTGTCAAGTAGCTTACTCGAACTTTGTCGGCGAGTTCACGTCTGCTCTGTTTCAAGTGATGCTTCCGAGTGTGCCGATCCTGCACAGAAAAGACTTTGTGATGTTCGCTATTCTTGTAATAGTGATCCCCCTGACGGTTCCCCGTAGCATCAGCGCGCTGCGGTACGTCTCTCCGATCAGCGTTGTTTCGCTCATGTACACGGCAGTACTGATCATTACGCGCACGCCAGAAAAAGTGACGAGCAATGTCGTTAGTACTACAATGCTACCAAAAATTGTTGATGTTTCATCTCCTATTAGTTACCTCTATAGTAGGTAGTTTCAGTCCAGTCGGTATTGAAAAACCGACTGCTGCCCGATGTTTTTATTTGGAAATATCTATTGCTTCTTCTCGTATTGACGTTGAAATTCTAGCACCATGACACGATATCAGGTGAACTCAACGTGTGGACAATCGATTGGAATTTTTTCGTCGCTCTGGGAAATTTTATCTTCGCGTACAATTGTCATTTGAACGTTGTGCCGGTTGCCAGCGAGTTGCAAATCGCGACAGATGTGAAGATACGCAAAATTACTTACTCGGCTGTTTTCGTCCAAATGTTTTTTTATCTCTGCATCGCGCTCGCAGGATACCTCAGCTTCGGGGAAGCCGCAAGATCAGATATCTTGGCGAACTACGCCGTTGACGACCCCAGTGCTGTCGTTGCAAGATGTGCACTAGCGACCACGTTGACCCTCGCGATGCCGATCGGCCTCAACCCAACCATTCGAGCCTTCTTGGCCGTTTTTGACGCAGCTTGCGAAGCACAAAAAGACAACTCGTTAGAAACTGGCTCCCTAGAGGCAGAGTTGCTGGAGCGACCAAAGAAATCACTGTTCGACAATTGGATTGCAAGGCTACTCTCAGCGATGCTATGTACTCTTTTCCCATAGTCCTTGATGTCGTCTTTAGAGTGTTTTTCAGAAGTTGTAATGTGGATTTGTTCATCATCAACTACACCGAAAATCGGAGGATCTTTGTCTTTCATGCGTATTTTCATCACAACGAACTGATACGACAGATACAATAAGCGCCGCCATAATGGCGTGCCTGGTGGGTGACCCCTCACAAATATTTGGGCTAACAAGCGCAGTGACAGGGACGCTGATGATGTTTGTCTTACCTGCCGTCTTTTGTGACAACTTTCGACTTCCGGTCATCGGACTTTTAGTGCTCGGCGCATTGAACGGGGTAGGCGCAGTCGTTATAGTCTTGCAAGGCAGCGGAGTGCTTCCAAAAGCACCACATTGATGCAGTTTATTTTGTGCTCTTCATTAGGATTTATCAAGAGTTCAGCCGCTGCATATCACAACCACGCGAATGCCCCCCTCGAAATTAGCGCAGCTTTTTTATTTAAGAATAGTTTCTCCAGCCTCTTCAAGTCGTTGTATGCAGAGTAAGTCAAAATGTTCTTCCAAGAATCTCGTCAATTGCTTCGGATACTTTCTAGAGCTTTGAAGATATTACTTACACGTGTTCCCCTACAAAAAATTGTTATCACATTTTTGACCCTCGCTCTGATTTAGTCTCCAGTTTCGCATGATTCAAATTTAATGTATTTTGATTTTTGTCTTGCTCTTTAGCATTTTCTGAATTATCTTGATACTACCTACGTACTTGTTCTAGGTAGAAGTAGAAGTAGATCTTTCCACCGACCATCTCTCGTTAGAGTAGCGCAAGTTGAGCCGAATATACGCGTTGGTTACAACTTCGATTCTTGTTTCACAAGCTTTCATAAAGCCTAAAAACAAATTTTGCTTTTACTAGGAGGCGTATAATAACGTACAAGTTGTATTATAGGTGGTCCGGTGTGTCGTACGTCCAATTAATGTACGAATAGATGATATCCCCGACCGCTGCACCAGGTGAGCATAAGATTAGAGCAGAACACTAGAAACCAGAGACACTGAGGAAGTGTGAAGGGCTTTCGCCTTTTCAAGCGTAGGAAGGAAAAAGTCAGGGAAGTATAGGCCGGCGCGGCTCTTGTTCTTTTTATTTGTGTGTTGATTCTAGCCAGTGCAGGAGTATTGTCGGACTAGACGACAGGCAGTTGAAGTCGTGGTCCATGCTTGTCGTGAGTGCTAGAACACTATGGAAGCGAATCAGAAGAGTCAGTGTCCCGGCATTAAACGAGCAGGAGAAACCTGAGTGTGTGACTCAATTGTTATAGATCATTGCTTCTTGTTGATCCTTTCGGGAGTTAAGGCGTTATGAGTGAGGTCATTGTATAGTTGTTCATAGTCACCAATGAAAGAAATTTAGATCATCTGATAGAAGACAATGAATTGTTTTGTTCTGCAACCAAGTGACTGACACGTAAAAAAGTATAGAATGCAAATTATTGCGTGACAAAAATATCTGGTTTTCGGAGTGCTCTGGTTGCGCCCCTTGGCTTTCGGAGGTAGGTTTCTTGCTCGTTTCGACCTAGCGTGTGCCCGTCACCAAAGCCGCGTGGACTAACCAAACCAGAGTGAACTACCGAAGCCATAGTGGAAAAAACAGGATTGATCTAGCAGCATGACTGTGACCGCCACTACAAGCGGGGCGCCGCCCCAGGTTGTGGAGCAGCCTCAGAGTGAAGAACCGAGTGACAATGACGAGGCCAGTCCCGTCGTTGCAGGTCAAGGATTCGCCTACACGGAAGTTTTATGACTATGTATCACCAGGTAGCTCACAGTCACATAAACGTTCCAAGTAGCTGGTATACTATAGGATGTTGAAATGAATAGCCGGAAGAAGAATGCTCAAGTTCTTGCGCTGCTCCACTCGACCGAGCAAGGCTTTTTTTGGAATTCACCGTTGCTGAAGCTAATCACGTTTTTTTTTTAGGTGAGCATCATCATTGACATTGTTAATCCACATTACATAAGAAGTTTATTGCCATATCCTCTTTTCGAGCGGTGCGTTCTCCTCCTCGAATTTGGCGAAGAAACTTTTTTGGGCACAATTTCGTTAGGCCGCTCACTTCCGGGGGGGTGCGGCAAAGTGTGCTGGCATTGACTAGTACAGCGATAGGAGGTGGCCTGCTCACATTGCCATATGCAATGCGGCTCACAGGAATGGGTCTCGGATGCCTGCTCTTACTCGTTGGCGGACTTATGAGCGCCTACAGCATACAGGTACTAGCAGTTTCGTTGATTTTTGTAGATTTACGCCTGCTGAAGCAGGAGGCCCACTGCGGCTGGATTGGCTTGCAGGGCGTGTGTTGTGGGTTTAGCGGCAGCCCTCAGTTTAGTGACTAACTGCTCTGCCCATTATTCGGTAATTATTTTTGCTACTAACTTCTAGGTATTAATGACGAAGACAGTCGAGACCGGCGCAATGCAGTATGGCGAGTTGGTCGGGAAGAAAATGCGCGGCTGCGGCACCGCTTTCAACGTACTCCTGTCTGCTTATGGTTTTGGTGTTCAGTTATGGCAGCATACCACGAATGCATCCTCGGCAGCGTGCTTCTGTAAGTAGCCAGTAGGAGATGAGATGCAACATCAACTCAGGCATTGCATCTTTAAGCTAGGACAGAAGTGACAGGGCGGTGGGTGCATCCAAGCCCAAGGATGCTTACTCTACGGAAGGTGGATTCATTCATGTGGTAGGTCTAATTTAGGTGGCATATTTCAATTTTGTCGGCGATTTCCTTTCGTCCCTAGGCGAGGTACTGTTCCCATCCGTGCCATTGCTGCACAGTAGAGAGTTTATCATCTTCGCCATTCTGCCGATCGTCGTTCCACTCTCGGTGCCAAGAAGCCTCAGTTCGCTGAAGTACGTTTCCATCGTCGGCGCGATTGCACTGGCCTACACGTCCGCACTCATTATCGCGAGAGCGCCGGGAAAAGTGACGAAAGATATTATTGGTATTTCTACAAGATAAGGTGGCCCACTGGTTTCTTGTTGATAACCGTGCATTTACTCCCGATTACTTTGCTCAACTTCACACTTCATACTCAACAGCCGAACTGAAGGTGTGCGTTATTGACTGGAACTTTTTCATCGCACTGGGAAACTTCGTCTTCGCATACAACTGTCATTTGAACGTGTGTCCGGTTGCCAGCGAACTGGAGGTCGCGACGGGGCCGCGGATAAGTAAAGTGAGCTACACGGCCATCTTTATGCTGGAAGTTGTTTTTCCATCCTCGTGAGACGAGAGCATCGATTTCGTCTCCGGCGTCTTTTCATCGGGATATCTCTTGATCCTGCTTTGCTTGCGTTGATAAAGGTCAATACACGGAACCGAAATAGGGACCCGCCCTGCCAGATGAAGACTAGTCCAGCCAACAGGATGGAAAGAGCAACATCTTTTTTCATACCCATTGTCCAAATATTTTTCTACATGTGCATTGCAGTGTCAGGATACCTCAGTTTCGGCGAAGGTGCGAAATCCGATATACTAGCGAACTACGCAGTTGACGATCCCAGTGCGATTATTGCGAGATTCGCACTAGCGGCTACGCTACTGGTATTACAGTTCTCAAGCTTCATTTTCGTTTCATCAATATTCATATTGCTACGTACTGGGTCTTGGGCTTCGATTTTTTCGTACACAAAATAGACTAGATCACGGCAAAGGATGGGGTTCGCAATGATCACACATGAAGTTCGCACTGAGACATAGAATATGATCATCCCAGTTCGCATTGCCGATAAACCTGAATCCGACGCTTCGAGCTTTCTTGGCCGTCGGCGACTCATTGAGAAAAAAGGGCGCGCGCAGATCTCAAGGTGAGAATGGGCTCCTAGAGCGACCAAGGACTAAACTCCACGACAACTGGGTGGCAAGACTCCTTTCCGCAATGCTATGTATTCGAAGTTTGTAGATTTTGTTTATGATTTGAATTTTGTGATTCTGATTTCGACGCTTTCGACGGACTACGAACTTGAAGATGCATCACTGGTATGTACGTCAGGATCTATTCACAATTACTTACTTGCATGGACTAGTATCAGTGACCAATAAAAATGTCCTGATATCTACCAGATACAATCGGCGCCGCAACAACCGCTTGTGCGGTGTCGGACCCGTCCGAAGTAATAGGGCTCACAAGTGCTGCGATTGGCACGCTGATGATGTTCATCTTACCTGGATTCTTTGCCGGTGATTTTCGCCTTCCTGTGATCGGGCTTTTCGTCCTAGGTTTCTTGAATGGTTCGGGCGCTATCGTTATGATTCTGCAGGCTTTCGGCGTACTGCCTAAAGCACCAGCATGATAATACGAACTTACTTACTAGAAGAACATCTGGCTCTGGAGGATCTACGATGTTGTAGAAGGTGCAGTTTTCCAGGAGGTCGATGTTCCTGAAAGAACGTGCAGTGCGGGGATGCTGCACAGAGGAAAAAACTTATGTCGTCGAAAAAATAGATTGAAATTTTTTGAGGAGATGCGGGCGTCTTGAAATATCTTACGAAGGTATGGCTCTTGCGCGAGCTGGGAAACGCTTTACGATCCGACGACAACATGTTGTCTTGACCCTAGGAAATCGTCTCGGATGACGAGATAGTCAATTTTCCAATGTGCAACAAGGATACGATAAGGTTGCTTCTGACAGTTCCTGATACAAGTGTCGCATGACATCCTGAACATCACACAGCGAGGTCACTCTGTAGAACAGAGAGCAATTAAGACCCGGTGGAGAATGGTATACTGTCAATGGGTAGAGTTGGAATGGAATAGGTCATCTGAGGAAAGTCAGAATTCTTTTCGGTAGCATTCAGATCCATGTACTAGGAATTCTCATCGGCAGCAGTAAGATCCAACACCGCAGGTCCATTTCTCGGTATGGAGATCGGTCATAAATCGGTTGTCGTGGATTGGAAAAGTCAATTCTTCACAGACTACTACGACGTTCTCCACTCCTGTGGGCAACCTCCGTGTTAGCTCCAGTCTATCACTCCCAGACGGACCTAATCTAGCAGTTCCCGCAGTAGACCGATAATCAAACTTATTCATTATTGGATTGGGGGCACGAGTAAGTGCTTCTACAAACCAACATTTTGTATCCAACGCTTGAAATTTGTACCTCTTATTAGATTGCAACAAGTGAGACCACCTCATGATCAGCTGCAATGTTCTTGACTGATTGAGATCAAGAACATTGTCAAGGATTAGTACGTATTACACAAGTTTTTGTTTAGATTCTTCCAAGAACCGATCCTAACGCTAAGACACGAAGGAAGAGCATGCCTTACCTCAAGATGCACAGCAATGCGGTTTCGATGTTCTTGTCCTCGTTGACAACTAGGTGGTACTTCTATGGCTACTTTCATCTTTTGTTCGACGAAGTTGCATGCGCAGATTCGCCCAGGCGATACCTAAGATCACGCGAATGGGAAGAAGAGGTCGGAAAAACGTCTCCAGAAGACCTCCATGTGCAAAATGAAACGAGGAAATCCTTTTTGCGAAAGTCTCGTCGTAAGCAGGATGAAGACGAAGCAGTGAGCACTAACGGTCAACGTGCCGCGGTGTCAACAAGTACTAGCACTACCACTACGAGCGCGGCACATTTGACAACATCGCAAGTGTCATCAGCCACTCCTGGATCTTCGCGCAGCAATTCGCATCTTGTTGATGAGGCAGTGTCAAAGTTGCAGCAACCGGTCGCTGTACCAACATGGAACATCTCAATCGCCGACTCTTATGCTGCGACTAACGAAGCGACAAGCCCGACTTCATATTCGACACCGCGTTTGCACGAGCAGGAGGAATCAACAGCAGCGGACAAGAACCATGTGGTCAAGAACATCGAAGGACAAGGCAAATCAGTGGAGGACGACTCAACCACGACCGCAGGAAGGGATCCTGCAGGCTCTCGGAAAATGCAAGGGAGGATGGCAGAGCCTACAACCCAATCCCAGGAAGACACGAGTGACCTCTCCGATAAAGACCAAGCTTTAATCGCACTAGAAGCTGCTATTTCAACGGGATACCAAAGGTACCTATAATAATTCCTAGGTTCTTTGAGTGAGTCTGTGCATCGATACTTTAGACACAAAAGAAGTACTTGCAACGTGCACTGGCATTCTAGTTTTCTTCAACAATCCAATTTATGTTATATGAATATGTAATAACATTTCCTCTTCCTCTGTAATGTCTGCGAAAAATAACTCGAACATGAACATCAGCATCTGTACTAACATGCGGTTTGAAACATTCTGGGGGAAGGAATGCCGTACGAGTTGCAACGTGATCTCTGGTATCGCGTTGCCGCAGTGGTACCAGTTTGAGAACAGCTGCGTGCAGTATGCTAAAGAGCCCGACTGGGTTCCCCTATGCGAGCAGTTCTACAGTTGCATATTCGGGTGCGACATTTACGGTGGAAGCCGGGAACGCCTATTATATGCAGAGTACTACTATGTGTATAAGTTGATAACACCACCTTCTACTTAGGAGACGTGGTTTGATGTTGTGGCAACAGCAGGATGGCTTTGAGGTATAAACGTCGCTTCAATAGGCATCAGCGACGATGATACGTAGAAGACACAAAGAAATACAGATAGGATATTTGAAACTCGAACTCCATGTTCATTCTTTGAGACATGCATTTTCTACTGCTAATGCTCGGGTATAAACCTATTTCAATAGAGGATCGATACTTGTTTGGTAAACATTATGGAACTCTATGACAGCGAACAGCGTCGGTACCAGCTAGTATCAAAGTCGCCTATTGCTTTCCTGCTTCAAAGTGAACGATGTGACGCGATGAAATGTCGTTCTTTCTGCGCCAGAGACGTTTTCCGAGGCTGTCATGAAGTGATGTTTCGACAGGACTGCGAGTCGATGCTGAACCGTCCTGGATATTTATCGGGAAACCAGGGGGCTTGTCGCGTGAACTGCAGCAACGCGCTTGGACGCACGGTCGGCGTCGTTCCGTTCGTCGTAATGATTACGCTCTCGCTCCGCTGGCTCTTCTTCTGAGTTGATAAGCTGAATAGTTGTTGATCGGTGTGGCATCCACATACATAAGTTTAAGTACCTGTTTTTCTTGTTGCGTCATGTTGAGGCATATATTTAGATTTATCCGCATCAAATCATAATCGTTGTATCTACCTCCCATTTTTCTTGAACTTCTCGAACGTCATAAAAAATCTATCTAACTACAAACTATATGCTACAATCATCATCTTGAAATTTCAAGAAATTTAATGCTAGTACGTAGTAGAGCGGTTGCGGGGACTCCCCGGAGAAATACTAGTTTCGTATAAAGGGCGCGACGCGAAAAATTTATCTCTCACATTCATCATTGTCTCTCATGTAACATCGCTTTTTGGCTTGAAAGTTATTCCACATAATTGCGCGTAAATTGCATAGATGAACTGTTAGAGCACGAAGAACACTTGACTGAACGGTGGACTTGTAGACAAGTAGGCAAAAAAAAGAAGATGACTCACGAGGAAAGAGTTAGACGATCTATCAACAGTAAAGACAATGCATGCAAATTAATGTGGAAAGGTACAGATAAACAGCTACAGCCGCTTGTCAGGGTGCTGCGCACACACGATAGATGGTTTTAGTTACATCAGGAATTCGATCCCTGCACTAGAGAGAACGAAATAAATAGGCCAACCTGGTGCAAATTGATCTGTGAATATGATCTCACTCTACCATGGCTGTATCTGCTAGCATCTCTGTGCCTCGTGGAACATGATGCTCGTACTTCGGTGGTTGCTTGCTCGACGTACCTTGTCTGCCTTGTCTGTTGCGATCATGCTTCGAAAGAAGCTCGTCTCGGTAAGGCCCTCTGCAGCTAATATCAATCTGATGATGTCCTGGCCTCGAACTCACAGTATTATCCCCAAAATTTTTCTCGTCTTCTCACCACTCCTATCATTTTATCCAAAGCATCTGATATCGTTATAGCTAGGTACGTTATCATAAATTTGCTTATATATTTAAATATGTTCAACTAGCCTCCACAAGCTTCGCCCGGCTTCAAGTTTAGCACTTTCCTGCGGCCTCCCGCCGGCTGCAGCCGCTAGAGTAGAGACAGCCCGCGGGTGAGCTGTTGCACCCTCCGAATTGACTACGACAAGAGCCGAGCGCCGGCGGTGGCCGCCTCAGATGCGTCGACTCATGTGCAGGGCATTGCGCTGCCTTTAGTTTTTTTATGAGATTGCCGGGGGGGTCATGCAAATTCTTAAGAATTTGCAAGACCCAACGGCAGTCCAACAAAAAAACCAGAAGAGAGCCACCAGACACGCACAAGAATCCGCAAGCCCCAACGCACGCAAACGCCTCGCGGTGGCGCCAGGCAAGAACGAGGGGGCGACCTTATTAACGGGCAAAACAAGAAAAAGCAACGCGTGGCCGCGCTGCTTGGGTCTCTCTACGCGCTTACACCTGGCGGGGCTTCTTTGTTTCGTCAGATGTCTTTCGTCAGAAACTAACAGACGGGCGCACTTCGCGGGGGCGTGAGGCGTCGCGCTTCGGGCTGTGGCTGAAGCCACTCGTCTGGCTGACGTCTTTCGCCAGGATGGAGACTGAGGCCCTCCATCAGGCTGATGCCGTTCGTCAGGCCAACGCTCTACGCCAGGCTGGCGGCTTTCGTCAGGCAGGCCGGCGCCCTTCGGCAGACGTCTCTGTCTCTTGGGCCAGGCTGAGGCTTTTCGTCAGGGTCGGGCGACGTCTCTCGTCAGGCTGGCGCCTTTCGTCAGACTGAAGCGCTTCGCCTGGCTGACATTCTTCCCCGGGCCAAGACTCACACTCACGCCTTTGCTCAGGTTGGTGGCTTGCTTCAGCTTGGCGCCGTTCGTCAGGCTGATGCACGGACCAGCCAGGTGGCGCTCCTTGCCAGACCGGCGCACTGCTTCGCCAGGCGTCTGCCTTGCGTCGGACTCGGAGTCGGAACAGGCTGAGCGGGGCCGTTCTTCGGGCTGCTCTGAGTCTTTCTGTCGTGAGCTTGATTCTGTTCGTCGGACTGACGTCTTTCGCCAGACTGACCGCGTTCGTCGGACTGACGTCCTTTGTCAAAGGTCTTCGCTATCGTCAGGGGCCCGCCTTTCGCCACAGGTCTGGCGTCAGTTTTTCTGGCCGAGGTCTTTCGTCAGATGTCTGCTGTCGCGGGTCTCGTGTCTTGTCGTAGGTCTTTGGTTCAGCGGTCTCTGGTCCGTCGGTCTTTGGTCCAGCGGTCTGTGGTCCAAGGGTCGCCTGTGGTCCGAGGGTCGCCCGTGGTCCAAAGAAAGTTCGGCTGTGCTCCAGAGGTCGTCTGTGGTCCAGAGGTCGCCTGTGGTCCGGCGGTCGTCTGTGGTCCAGCGGTCGCCTGTGGTCTGAAGGTCGTTCTTGGTCCAGCGGTCGCCTTTGGACCAAAGACGTCGCCTGTGGTCCAGCGGTCGTCTTTGGTCCAGCGGTCGTCTTTGGTCCAGAGGTCGTCTTTGGTCCAAAGGTCGCACTTGGTCCAAAGGTCGTCTTTGGTCCAACGTTCGTCTTTGGTCCAAAGGTCGTCTTCGGTCCAACGGTCGGCTTTGGTCCAGCGGTCGTCTTTGGTCCAAACAGGGCCGCCTTTGGTCCAAACAGGGTCGCCTTTGGTCCAAACAGGGTCGCCGCTGGTCCAAAGTAGATCGTCTTTGGTCCAAAGTAGGTCGTCTTTGGTCCAAAGTCGGTCGTCTTTGGTCCAAAGTAGGTCGTCTTTGGTCCAAAGTAGATCGTCTTTGGTCCAAAGTAGATCGCCTTTTGGCCAAAGGTCGTCTTTGGTCCAAAGGTCGTCTCTGGTCCAAAGATCGGCTCTGGTCCAAGGGTCGTCTCTGGTCCACAGGTCTTTGGTCCAAGGTCTTCGCTCTTTCGGCGGGGGGTCATTCGACGGCTGTTTCTCTTGGGACTTCTCTCGCCAGCTTGCGCCCCTACCCCCGTCGGGCATATTTCTGGCTTCTTTTCTGGTAGTCTGCCACGGGGCCGCAGCGTGAACTCCAATGGGAACACGGTCGGAGACTATGGGGATTGAGAGTGAGGGGAAGGGGTAGGAGGCTATCGGGCGGAGTTTTGTGGCGGTGATTAATATAGCCTAATAATATAGATTAAAAAGTGTAGATCCTTACAAACCCACGCCTCAATGAATAGAAGTCGTCACTTGATGGCGCGTCTTTGTCTCAGATTGCCCCCGTCCTAGAAGGTATATATTTGTTTACTGTGAAACACTTTTCTTGGTTGTCTATGCATGTAAGTCGATAAGGGGCGAACCTATTTACGCAAACTGAAGAGCGTACTTACATCGTGGGTCTTTTAGCATCCGTTTTAAGTTGTATTAGCAGGTGATCATGTGCGCATCTCGTACCTGCCTCCTTGCGTCCCTGCCTGCTGCATGGGCTGCAAATGAGGCAACGTTTTCACTCCGTGCACCTATGAGTTTTCCTGGCGATCTGGCGCTCAGTAACAGCGGTGCGTTCAGCAAAAACACAACAACTGCGGTAGCATCTGGCCGTGCTACGGAAGTTGGGAGCCAGACGGGCTTCGGTTTCTCTAGAGAAAATGGTAACAATGACGGTGGTGGTGCGCAAGAGGACACAATGCATCCGGGCGATGATGCCCGATCGCTGCAGATCCTGCTAGAGACGACGACAGAAGCCCCAAATTAAGGAGCTTTTACAATAAGGACTGTAGTACAGGTGCCTACAACTAACTCTTGTGTCTTGTTGGAACTTCAGACCCTTGACGTGGAGGTAGGCGTTTCAGTGCTAAAACTTTTCTGATAATAGCTTCTCTAACTTCAACCGATGGAAAACGATGACGGGCGTTCCTACTATTGCGGCGGCGTAGAAGAAGGATCAGATCACGAGCGAATGTGCCTCACCTCATGCCAGAACATTAATCAAGAAGTTGCGCCTCAGTGGTGTTTATATCTTTTGTCAATATTCTTGTTGAAGACGGCTTCTCCTTCGCAAATAAGTACCTACAAATCGTTTGGTGTGATCGCTTGCTTATCTCTGGCGCAATTTTCTGAAGACAGATGCAGATGTGGAACAAACCGACACACGCCATGGCGGTCATTTGTAATGATCAAGTAATAAGTTAGGCACTTACAGTTACAACTTGCTGCTCATACTCAGGTTCCAATTTGATGACTTCTGTATCCGGCAAGCGCACACAGCTGAGAAGTGGTACAACAGTGCTAACAAGGATTGCAGACTGTATTACGAATGCCAGTATGGTTGCGAAGTCCATGGCGGTGACAGGATCCGACTGCAGAATGCAGGGTACAACCTGTTACTTCCCCCTTGTAGTTTCATGGGCAACATAGCTTTCCCGAAACGAAACAGAACTCCCATATCATGACAGTGCTGATTATGCTATTGCTAATATCGTCCAGAATAATCATCTTCTAGTTGCTGGAGGCCGCCAGGAAAATTTTAGGCATCCTGCATATTGATTAGATTCAAATTGTCAGTATTATATTCTTGCACTACCTTGTGACTCCTGTAGGTAAGAAGTAACCAAAAATGGATGACACTAAACAGGGGCGCGTATCGAGAGCGGCTCGCGGCAGCAACGCAGATGGCAATCACGGAAACGATGAAAAAGTGCGACGTTCTGAAGTGTACTACAACTACAGAGGGAGTAGAAGTAGGACTTCTTAACTATGAAGAAGATGAATAATCGTAATCCGTTGTCGTAATTAGTAGACATCAAAGTTCTGTTGATACAACAGTAGAAGTCTCATCCAAGTTAGCCTTAGCACAACCCACGATAATGAATCATCACACAGGTAAAGCCTACTGTGCGAAGGCGGTATTCTATACCTGTAGAGAGATTCAATTCCGGTCCTTTTGCTTGGGCGAAAAGGCTGCTTTGGACCAGGGACAAGGTTGCGATGTGATCTGCAATTCTGCGCTCAGGCGCTTAGCGGGCAGCAAGTGGAGTACCCTTCTGGGGGCAATCGCGATCTTCCTGTATCTAGCGATGCAGGATGCTCGTCGCCGCTCGTGATGACGATGCGTTGTTAACAAGATGAACATACTTTTCGATAGTGAGAAGATTAAACTTTGTAAATTGTATATTCTTGTAGTTCTTAAATTCTTTCTCGCTTAGATCTCTGAAAAAGAAAATTGTATCCAAATTTTGTGTGCACGAGCACCTATTCTATCTTTTCTAATTCGTAGCTGCAATATAATTCGATCCACACATTCGATCATAAATCCATTTACTCAGTAAACCCAGTATTTCCTCAGTTTGAACTGCATAGTCATAGATACCTATCACATTCCTCATATTTTGTTCTTTCAAAATTCGTTGATTCACACTGTAACGTATGCACAGATGGAACACATTTCTATTAGCGCCTCCACATGACTACATGCACAATTGTGAAAACATAAGACATCAACTCCACCTATACACGAATGATTGGACGACGTAGCTCTTGAACAATAAATATTGTTCCATAAATTTTCTTTCAAGATTCACACACCCATCTCTTCATCTTGAGCTTTCTTCTCGATATTAGATCAAGTTGGGTTCGTTTAAAGAACTACTGCGGGAGCACGGTTGACTAAGCTTCGAACAGCATTCGCAATATGCCTACACGGAAAACACGACACCCTCATGATAAGACCTGGCTATTTAGCTGGTACTATGATCCCTTCATAAGATGAATCAGCCAAAAGTAAAGCGGGTGCATCGTGGAAGACAGAAAAACTTATAATATATGTTGTGGCTTGAACAAGAAAGGCCCAGAAGTACGGCACGGGTCCAGCCCATCTCGCAAGCAGACCCGGCTGTGATGCTCGGGGGAATCTTCAACTTGTCCGTGACAAAGGTTTGTGCTAGTCAGCGGATCCGTCTAAGTAGTTGCTAAACAACTTATTCCTGAGGTTTGGTGCTAAAACCTTTTGCTGTAGTATATTTCAAAGCAATCTTCTTGAAAAGGGTTCTGCATCTACTGTTAGCCCATCCTCTGCAGAGGATGTTAAAGAGAGCGCACTAGCTATCTCCCAATTGCATTTCGGTTCATGATGATTTTTGGATGAAGTTGAAGTAAGAGGTACACAATCGACATCTCTTAAGATGATGACGTCCACGACAACATGCTTCGAACACTTGCCACGGAACTTTTACGTTTTCCCCACGCTATTATTTTTGGTTTTCGTCCTTCCGCTTAATAATCATGCCTTTGCAGTCTTTTCTCCAGGCACCCGAGGGTCCCGTGCTTCAATCCCAAGGGTCGTAAGTCTGGATGATATCCTCGACGTTGGTCTCGAAGATGCAGCCGAGCGACGGCGAAAAGAGGTCCGAGACCGGCTCGTGGAGCAGATTGGGGAACTGCAGAGCCAGAATGCGAGTACTATGGACCCAAAGGACTGGGAGACGCTCTTTCTGCTGCAGCAACCAGAAAGCATAGTAAATGGTCGTAGCATACTTGATTCTGCAGCTGATGACTCAGATGACGGAGATGGCCATGTACATAATAGCTCTGGGGACGTCGGCGCACACGCAGCCTTGTCCAATAAGGATGGGAACAGTGACCTTCATGGAGAGGAGGAGGACATCGACGAAGATGATGCGTGGGACTCGGAGTTTGGTGGGGAAGTCGGCAGGAATAATGAGATTGATACAGCTTCTCTCCACTACAGCTTCAACAATCCGACCGCTAGCGAGCGGCAAAGTGTGGAAATAAATCCAGGTGCATTGTCGACTGCAGATGTAACTACGTCTTTGATCATGCCTCCACCTTCTTTGACAATGACGACAGGATCTGCGGGTTCTTCACGAGATGTGCGAGGATCTGCGGTGCCGGTGAACATCTATGGGGCAAGGAGCTTGGGAAGTGGCTCTACATTTGATGATCAAGGTCGTACTACAACTGGCGACGCAAAACGACAACATCCACGACAACGGGGCCCGTTGCTACGCGCGCGCCCAACAGGACAAATAGCAGTGATGGATGACTACATCTATGAGAATCAAATATTTAATGGAGGGCGAGGGCCGATAGGCGGAGATCTGCCAGCGGCCCCTCGGATAGGAGATGAATCGTTGGAGGTGCGCGGCGGTTCCACTGGTGCCACACTATGGGAACCTCCAGGCAACCAGACAGACGGCGGAAGTGGCACTATGGTCTTCGTGGATTCGTTCTCACTGCATGGCGCACGTTCTCCACTGGCAGGAGCGCGCGACCAACACGAGGATGGACAACACCTTCAAGGCTCTGAAGAAGAGAATACTTTTGATGTCGTGGACCCAGCAGATTTTGAATCTGCTTCCGGGGTGCAAGAACTAGCGAGTATCCTGGATACCATCAACCGTTCGCCCCCGCCCTTGCTTGTTGGTGACACGATAACATCGATTGTTCGGAGTGGTGCTAGCACGTATCCCTTTCGTTATGACAAAAGTTATTTCGTTTTGTTGATGAAGCTCATGCTCATGGAAGCCAATAATGTACATTTTATCTACAACCACTACGAGTTGCGTGCGTCGTCCTGTTCAAGATCAAGAAATGGTTTTATGTACAAAAGAGGCTATGTTTTGTATGTTCGATGTGCGTCTTTCATTTGCTACCCGTGATCGCATACAACGTTGGAGGAGACTACGACCAGTACCGTGGACACAGACGTAGCGGAAATAGGCATGGCACTACAGCTGCTGACCTGTTCCGGAACGCGAGCAGCGGCATGCTAGGGATGATGGACGGCACTGGAGCGCGTTTTGCGCGAACGATTCAGCGTGTTACTGGCACGCAGGTGAATTTGGGCATGACGCCGGGAGCAGAGCAGCGGTACTACGTTCCTGTGGACGTAGGGAATCACGGTTCCCAGAGTCTGATTGCGACAGAGACTGGTAGCACACACCAGCATCAGGTGGCTTGTACAAGCGCTACAGTTGCAAATACAGGGGGAGGGAAAGAGCAGCAGGCTGTGACAGGAGACGGAGAACAGCATCCCGATATTCGCATTGCGCTTTCGTCAATTCTTCACCTGCTAAGCAGCAAGAAAGACAAACGAGTACCTCTAGCGGATGTTTTGCAACCTCTAGTGCATCAGGCTGCGACCGGAAACACGATGGAAGCAAAGGAGCGTAATCGCGCCGCGCAAATTCAGCCAGCGACTTCCGGAGAGGCACTGCGTCGTCAGCTAGCTGGATGGGCCAGAGACGACTCGCTTGTGCGAGTCGTCAAAATTTCACTAAAGATATGACAACTACTCAACATGCTACAAGACTTTCGATCACAAGTGTATCATGATAGTGAGTCGCGCCATTGCAGTGAAGCACTACTGCAATCTTGTCAGCATATTGTCGAGAGTTTCGACATGTTATTTGCGTTATGCTCATGACAGGGTGTATTTCTATCCTCTTCCCTTTCTAGTGCTGGCAAACCCCACCTAGCTCTAAAAATCGTCGGCGACGAGAGCTGGCTCGTGCCTTTTTCCGCCAAGAAGGGAAGAGTGTCCGTGGAAGACGAGTTACAATATCGCAAACACGAAAACGCAGAAAGACTAGAGCACGAGCATGAATTCGCTAAAGCAGACTTGGGGTTTTGCGTAGCGCCTCCGAACGAGCTGCATGTCTGGCGCGAAATCAATCCGGTCTTAGTTTCGTCGCTCGACGACTACGCAAGTGGCATCCGTGCTATGGGCGCAAGGAATGTGCATCGCACTGGTGTCGCAGACCTGCAGCATACACCAGGGCAGGACCATGGTGGGGAAGGACGCAGCACCCGTGCCGAGGACACAGATGCTGAAGAATCTCTGCGGCCACGGGCCGCCGCATCTGCGCGAAACATCCCTTCTTCTGCGAGCGCCAAAACCGTCCTTCCGACCGCATTTCGAGCGACTCATGTGATGTTTCAGAGGGCTAATTCGGTATCTGAGGCTGGTAGTTTCCCCGGTGGGTATTCGGCGAGCGGCACTGGAGCAGGTCCAGGTTCGGCGACAGTGAATGGTTCGGCGACAGTGAATGTTCACCGAGTAGCCGCTGAGCCGACACCGGCTGCTGCTCCTTCGAAGTTCTCACCTCAGAGGCAGTGTCTGCTTTTTGGTAACGACAGGTCCTTATATGCGAGTACGTACTACCAGGCTTTGCGTCGCGGTGCTTGGGAAGATTGGCACCAGTACCAACACCTTAAGAAGGCGGGAGGCAAACTTGTCAGCAATTTAGGGATCGGAGCAGTAGTCCGACCGCCGTTGAGCCCACCTGGTTCCAGCTTTCGGCGGCATGAAAAGCCGAAACAGAAACAAGGATCCTGTGGTACGATCTTCGGGAAGATTGCGGGTGCACTAACCTGTCGAGGGAAAGCGCCTCGAGACGAACACGACGCTTCTCGTACTTGGAATAGTAGTATAGGGAAAATCGATATCATCAGTGCACTACTTGCGATTTCAGTATGAGGCAGTTTCAGTGCTCGCGAGCAATCTGTGATTTTTGATTCCACTTAGCGGTAGTTGATCTTAATTTTTCTTTGCAGCCCGCGAGCTCGCTGTCTTGGAGGGTGCTGAGGCCGAGACGAAAGCAATTGAGGAAGACCGCAAATTTTTCGATAAGGATCATCCCTACGCAGAGGGCCACGACGGGAGCGTGCTCTTGCGCTGGTGCGATCCCGAGATGTCCTTGAAGTTGGATTTTGACGATTATGGGGTTACGATGCGCGCGCGCGTCATCGGCCATGTGCTCTCGCGCGTTTTCGACTTCCTCTCGGGTAGCTTGCGTGTCCGGGCACACGTTCCGATCGGCGACGTCGAGTGTTTCTTTAAGAATACGCGCAGCGTCGTTATAAATAGTTTCTCCGAGGCAGCGGCGCAGAAAGTGCGAGAGTACTTCTCGGTGGAGCTCTTCGCGGGACTACAGTGCAACCTACCCTCCCCCTTTCCAGCAGCGGTGGTGGACCTGTTTTGGAAGCTAAAGCTCGGGCCCCATTCGGATGTTTTAGAGATTTTGGAGGATTCATTCTCTGCATCGCTACAGAAAGAGAAAAAGGACGGGGAACTGGATAAACAAACCCCTCTAGACGAACCCGAAAGTAAACCGGAGCAGCAAGAGGAATCCGATTATGCCGCGTCTGTGCACGACGAGGGGGCTCCCGCAAATCGCCCCAGCGTAACAAATCCTGTGGCGCCGAGCAGCGCAAAAAGACCCCTGTCCAGCACTACCAATAAGCGGTCTGGACTTCGTGGAGCCAACACGACCTCTCATAACGTAGCTGTCCAACTCGCTGACACGACTTCTAGTGACATTCAATACGAAGCTCGATGGAAGCACCGGGAAATAGCACACTTGGAGCGCATCCGCAGGCGGTTGCGCAAACGCTTGCACCGGCGCCACGAAGATGTGGGCGTCTCTTCCGAGTTCGATGTTGGTCTTCGCGGAGCTCTGTCGGTCGTGAGCGCTATTTTCAGCGTGCGCGACAAGCTGAAAGAGGGCTACCGAAATTTCGTGCAGGGCGGTTTGCACAAAGTCTTGTTCGAACGTCTGAAAGATCAAATTCGCCATGGAAACCGTCTCAGAGACTGGCTCCCCTCAGTCGCTAGTGTCCTAGCTCTGCGAAAGCAGCACAGTCCCACAGATTCCTTGACAATGCTAGGCTTGACATCTGCTGCTCAACACGTACGTCCGATGGAAGTGGAGCATCGGGGGTCTCTACCATTGGAAATGACTATGTCGTCGGAGGAGCAAAAGAAGCAGGACTCGCAGACGGGAAGCGGTCGTCAGCTGACGGCTTCAGTGGGCGGCAGGCGTGGCAGTCCCACGAATGGTGCGGAAAAAATCGGCTCAAGTACCCCGAAGAGTGGTTCAGCTTCATCTGCGGATGATCCTAATGCCGGAAAGCCAACGAAGCGGGTGTACTGGGACTTGAGTTCGTGGCCCCAGTTTGGCTCTGAATGCACTCTCGGCGTCGATTGTTCCGACAAAATGCCGCTGATGGATCTGCGCATTGTCGACGTGCACCCTGCGTCGCAAGCGAGTGGATGGAGGCCCTTTTCGTCACGACACGGAGGAGGCGAGTACGAAAGTGAAGTCGTGCAGTTGCATATCGGTTTTCCGGATTTGCTACGGACGATTCTTGAGAGCACGAACACTCTGCTGAGCGAGTTTCAGCTAGCGTGTCAATGGAGTCACGTTCACGATATGGTGCTCAGCTTTGGGAATGGCAACCTGGTCCCGCCGACGCGGCGGCAGAAGAAGCGCGTTACGATTGTCAGCAAGCCAGAAGAAGTCGTGTTTTATCGGACCCCATCTTCACAGTCAAACGCGTCATCCCCGCGGGGCGTAGTCAAGCGGATAAAATCGACATCAAATGTTAAGAGCAGAACTCCTACGAACACTGACTCCAGTACTAGCGGCGCAGATAATTCGTCTGTTGGCCACGTGGAGGCTCGTCAACCACGAATTCTGACGCGAGCTCCAACTGGCGCAAGGGCAAACGGCTTGACGCGCGGCGCAAGTCGAGCGTTTGACGACCATTCAATAGAATTGCAACGCCGTGACGAGCGAGAGGCGGAGCTCCGCAAATGGGAACTGGAGCAATCCGTCGAGGAGACCCGAGTTCGGGCCCGCAGGCGCCACAGCACTCTTTTGAGAGACGATAGCAGTTACACTCCTTTGGAGTTTGATATCACGCCATCATCTGCATCTCAAGCAAGCCCTAGGACTTCCTCGCCAGCGGCCGCATCGGCATCACCCTCTTCAGGTACTAACGATACTAGCACTGGTGAACACGTTGTCCCCGCAACTCCTCGAAGACCTGGGTCACCACTCTCGGAAGATCATCGTTCTGGTGCTTCACCGACAACGTTTTACGCGGCTCGCGCAACCGCTTTTCCAGTAGCATCGTCTGATAATGCGACCCAGCAAGCAGCGGAGGACTATCTGTGGAGAAAACTTGACCCGCAAACGGGAGGACCGCGCATGCCAAACGACGCTCGCTATGAGAATGCAGTAATTCAAGAAAGACTTAGTGAATACGTGAAGGTGAAGCCGGAGCCGTGGTTGAATACGCCACAAGGATCGAGCGGAGGACAAACGAAGGAGCAGCGCGGTTCTTCAGGAACATCAGAAAGCACTTCAGAAGATCTTACTGCCAACGATCATGTGTCACCTATTGGTGTGGAAAAGGAGAAAGAGGAGGAATCTCCGCTCACTCCTTTCCTCGCTTTCAAACTCAGCGCAAAGTGCAGCGGATTGAACCTTTACGGTTGACTCTATCAATACTTATTTGATCAGACCGTAGTAAATTTCTTTACAATTGACGAAGAAGTTTTTCCTCCTAAGTCAAGTACAGGATTAGTAAAGTTGTCACACTCATCATACAGTTGATATTTGAGCTTGAATATTTCCCCACGACACCCTTCTTCTAAAAGATGTTTCGGAATTTCGCGGGGGTGACCGTTGATGCTAGTTGGGAGTTTGCACTAGCAAAGCGTGGATCGGAACCGGAGTTACGCCTTCTTGACTGGTTTGATATCACGCGTTTGCGATCCGATTTCGGATGGATGAAAATGCATCCTGAATTTCCTGTAGACGGATGGGTGGTGAGACAGTTGCGCACTTTGCTCCGCGAGCAAATTCTTGGCGAAACAGCACTGCAGTTGCAAGAAGCGGTCGCGAATCTCAGGGTGAAGTAAGCAAGGTCTAAGACGGTACGTTTTTTCGTTTTGTTACTACTTCAAACGACATAACAAGTTGGTCGCATACTGAAATGCTAGACAAGTACTTAAGTAAATGCTTAGAAGCATACTTCGGATATAAGAGAGAACCTTGATTGAGAACAAATAAAATATTATAGTAGATCACAATATATTGGACAACGAACAACAAATCGGAGAGTCTACGGTGAATAGCTCCCTCACTCAACGAGACATTCTATTTTGTTGATAAGGAATACGGTCGTATATAGCCCTTCTATTTTCTCTCTTTTCTTGGCGCTAGTCAGGAGTTCGTGAGTTCACTACGTAGATTTAACTTTTAGAATGATAAGTAGGTCTAAATGTTTTAGTAGTTCTAGTTACTTGGTGTTGACTTTATTTTGCGAACAATAGAAATACAAGGATCAACACAAGGTCAAGGACAAGCCTTCAAAGTCTGTCGAATGCCAAACGCAACAGCACATAAATGCACAATTGCCAAGAATCTATGCATATTAAGTACAACACAGGTGCCACATCATAGACTACAGGATGACGATACAGACATAACATGGTCAATAATGCATAAGCATACTGACATTAAATGATCAATACTGATATCCAAAAGGAATGCGACTCATTGCTCCGCCTTAGACCGCTGCAGTCTCCCTTACGAAATGAAAACTGAGATCTCTTCGCTGTGTTCAACCGCCTTCTTGCAAGGGACACACGCTCGATTGAACTGTTGTACCCGAGGAGTAGCCGGTTCAGGATTTACAGAATGAAGAACGAAAATGAAATTGGGTTGCGGAGGATCGATCCAGTTTCTGAGCTTTCAAGAAAAACATCGTGGGAATGGGGATCAAACGTTTGCAAAATTACCGAATGGTCCGAATGCTTGTACATCGGTTCCTTTTGATCTTTCCAGCAAAATAGGTGAGTGAATATGACTGAGGATCATTGTTGTGACTCGGTCTTAGTTGCTGTTCCCCACCCTTGCTTTCTATCAAATTAGTGGCAATAAAACCACGGCATTTTATTTTCAGCAGCAGCAGGCAGAACTAGCGCTAACTCATTAGTTCGTACGATATAAAGTGTGGCCAATTCCTTGTTTCCATGTGAATTTGTTGAAAGATCCACCTAGATGATACGGGACTCGCCCACAACCTGCTTCAATTTCGTTGACAACAAGCAAGATGTCGAAGCAAGAAGGCGCATCGCGTCCTAGCCGTGTCCTGCTCTCCGGCGATGTTAGTGGGTATTTACACACGCTCTATGACACTGTTGCAAAGCAGCAGGCACGAGTCGGGAAGTTCGACTTGCTTTTTGCGAGTGGTGCTTTTTTGAAAGCTCCGGCGTCCAATGATGGACCAGGGACGACCGAAGATGAAACGGCCCGTGAATCTTCTCAACAGTATCTGCTTGGCCTGAAGGAGCCTCCCGTACCGACATACTTCATCGACAGCGACAATGAGCGGTTCATTGAGGGATTCGCGAAGGGAAAAGAAGTCAGCGGCGCTGGGACTTCCTCATCATCTAGTGCACCAAATGCAGCTGCGGAACAGAGAAACAAGCTTGTTTTTTTAGGGTCACACGGCGTGAAAACGTTGGAGCCATCTGGACTAAGAGTGGCGTACTTAAGTGGTCGCTACGACGAGCTCTATTTCGAGGACGAATCTCAGGCATTTCATGGCGCGTGTTACACTAGACTCGCAATAGAGCAGCTGAAACGGCAGGCCAAGATCGCGGATGACCGAAATCAAAGAGGCATAGACATTTTCCTCGTCTCGGAGTGGCCGCGTGGCTGGCAGAATAAGATCTACGACAAAAGTGAACTGCCGCCAGACGAAAGTGATCCAAACACGTCAGCAGAGCCGGCACTTGCGGATGTTTTGCCAGTATCTGAACTGATTGCCGCGCTTTCACCGCGATACGTCGTGTGCAGTGGCGGCAAAGACCTGTTTTACCAGCGACCGGCCTTTCAGACTTTGCGGGCCTCACACGTGACGCGTATGTTGTGCCTCGGAAAAGTAGGTCCGAAGAAGGGCAAAAACCGCAAGTTTTTGCATGCCTTGCAGCTGAAACGAATAGGCGATATGAGCAGCGATGAGTTACGAAATAAACCGGACAACACGACGCCCTTTCCGTTCCACGCAGGCGACAATTTAGCGGGCTTGCAGCGAATTCAACCGCCCAAGCGAAAGGGGGGAGGAGACGCCGATGACGCAGAGGCCGGAGAGGACGAAGACGGTCGGAGAACAGGAGACGTGCAGCTCTTCGTTAGCAATTTGCCAGCGGGACTTAGCGATAAAGTATTCTTGAGCGCCATAATAGCGATAGCCTCTAGTTTAGTTTGATGATGATATGGTCAACATCATCTTAATGAGTCAGTTTGTGCACTAAGACTAGAGACTTCTTTCTGTCATGGTGTTTTCTACTTATATATATTTATAAACTTCTTTCGTGTTTTGATATTGGAATCAATTAGCGACTCGAAGAATCTTCTTTACGATCTCAGAACCTGCGTAAAGCGATGGAAGGAGCCTTGGGATCAGGAACGCTGCTGAAATTGAAGGTGATGCTGAATGAGCACACTGGGGAGTGCCGTGGCTTCGCATTTGCTACTGTCGCTTCCGACGAGATCGCGAAGAAAGCGCTAGAGCTGAATCTGGAAGCCGGTGGTCGCCAGATCCGGTTTGACTACAAACGGGAGAAGGCAAATCGCGGCGTGGCCGCCGATGGCACGGAGGAGACCGTCGGAGGAAATGAAGAGCCACGAGCAAAACGGCCCAAGCGTTGCATAGTGGTAGAGCCGCATGCCGATTGCTGGTTCTGCCTGGCGAATCCCAAGTTCCAGCGGCACATGCTTGTATCGGTGAATCCCTATGTCTACGTCGCAACAGCGAAGGGAGGTGTCAATGCAGGAAACCTTATTCTGCTCCCTGTAAAGCACATCCCGAACTATCTGTCCACCTTCAATTTCACCGAATTTGAGCCCTTAGCAGACGCAATCGGGACGCAGGTGGCGGCAGTGCGGCAGATGTGTCTGGGCGGGCTGCCGGACTTTTTAGACAGTAGCAACGGCCCGTGCGACCTGATTCTTTGGGAACGGTGGGTGCCGATGCGCATGAACCACATGCAGGTCCAGATGGTTCCGGTACCCAGATCCAAGTACGTGAACTGGGCAAGACTTTTAGATGCGTGGGCGGAGAAATATCAGCTGGACTTCGAGAAGATTGGTTCCGTCGTTGTCCCGCACGTTTCAGATCAGCTGCTTCAGACCGCACACGCGAATACAGGAGGCCAACCGTCGAGAATCAGCAGCAACGTGAGGAAAATGCTTGAGGCAGTGGAGGACCCAGACGATGTGCTGGACAAGACGAACTCCCACGGTCTGCGCCAGTTGCTTGATCGCAATGCGTCGCGCTTCTTCGCCAACGAACCAGAACGAAATCTGCAAAGTTTGCTGGACATGCCCTATCTCTACCTAGAGCTTCCCGGGGACAGCACGGCGCGAGGTCGAAAGATGGACCGCTACGTTTGCTACGGGCCAGGGAAAATCCCTATGAACTTCGCAAGAGAAATGCTATGTGACGCTCTAGACTGCCCCGACCGCGCTGATTGGCGGGATTGTCAACTCGACGGTCCGGCTGAAAAAGCACATGCCACAGCGCTAAAAGATCGCCTTGCCCCCTTCCTCCCGAAGGAGAAACCCTCCAGGCATAATTGATTTACTAATTTCGAAATCTTCCAGTACTGACTGTGTCAAGATGTAGAGACGTATCAAGCGCTTTTTGCTACCGTACCGTCCTGCAACCGTGCAGATGGGCTTATGACATTTAGGGCCAGGCGCTCCAAGTTTCGGTCGTTCTCGTTTTCAGGTCGGGCATTCGCAAACAGAAAAATGTATAGATATTATTGATAGCTGAGCGGCAAAGATTCCAAAGGCATCGGCATCGGAACTAGCTAGCAAATAAAATTGCGGAAATTTTTTATTGTCGGAATATGCTTTTTGCAGTTCCGGTTTCTCGTCACGTCGAGAGCTTCTCGTATGCTGGGTGCTGAGAGAGTCAAAGTTATACGACCCCGTCTCCTCATTCGTATTCGCCACATTTCGCCACATTTCCTCGGCCGTCGAGCATTTGAAAGAAGTGTAAATAGTGGCTTGCTCATTTCAGCAGAGAATCACGAGAAGCAATGTTCTCATCTTTTGTTGACCACTCAGAGATCTTTTCCCAAAAAAGTGTATTAGAGCAACACGGGTGTAACTTTGCCCTTGTAAACCAGTCTCCTTTTGGAGTGTGACGCATCGCAACCGTCATAAGAAGAGGCGTCTCATTTGTACCAGTTGAAAACAGGATGGTCGTTTCCCGAAAAGGCGCATACACGTGTGGCAGAAGGCCACCTAGCTTCAAATCCGGTTTCCAGGCAGATCGCCGAAGGCGGTGGCATAGGACTTCCCGGGGGCTTGTTTTTCGGCGAGCCGTTGCGGCTGGAGTAGCACTAAACAAGAGAGATGTCGTTTTAGTGGCCGAGGGGCTAGGGCGAACCCCCTCGCGCGTTGGTCAGCACGTCGGTGGAGCTCCAACAAAATTCCATCCGGGTGACTCGGGACCGGAGATGATCGTAACAGACTCGGAACGCGGGAGTCAACGGGCAGCATTCATATCAGAGGAAGCATATGTTGACGCCGCTTTGGATTCGAATGCCGGTGGTAGATCATCTACGGACGAACGAGCAGACGAGGCGTACCAGAACGATCATCTAGTTTTTACCGGTACGACTCAGGCATCCCCTCGTTCATCGTCATCATCTTCGAGGCGGAATCGAGAACCAGGAGAACAGAAGCCGCAGAAAGCGCGGTTGGTGCGGCGTTCTAGGCCAGAGTCTCTCCCGCAGCACCAAATAGCAGAAGAGAGAGACGACCGCGTGTCTAGCGGTTCTACAGCGTTGTCACTTAGTGGTAACAACGTTGGAACTTCTGAATCGAGAAGTAGAAGACTCGGCTCAGCTCGGGTCCATGCGGCGATAAACAAGAAGTCTTTTGCCGGTATCGAGGCCCATTCAGGAGTAAGCAAAAACAGAATAGTGAACGGTCTGTCGAACCTAGGTGCTGAGGTTCTGCCTGACGACGATGGCCAGTTCTCTCTTTCCGACATCACAGTGCAGCACGTTGTGAGCTACGGCCTAGTGCTGCTCGGTTTCCTCATCGGCAGTTACTACTACTCACGGCTTGCGCGGATCTTAGGGGCGCACATCGCGGGTCCGCTAATAGAGGAAAAACAACGACCTCCACCACAAGGGAAAGTCCCTCGTCCCTCTTCGCGACAACCTCCTCCGCCTCCGTCTAGCAGCGCAGTCCCAGCAGCACACCGGAGTGCAGGAAGCACTGAAAAGCGGCCGTCTGCAACGAAGGCGAACGAGAGCGAAAAAGGCGCGGCCGCGGGAAGTGGTGGTGCCGCAGTGTCTACGAGATATGGTGAAGCTAGTAGTACTAGTAGCGACGCGAAGAGGGTGGCTCCACCGCCTAGTACTTCGTCGGCAACTGCTGAAGGAAAGAAGCCCGCAAAGGCGGAGGGCGAGGCATCTGCTGAAGAAGCCCCAAAATCGGAGGCAGGATCTTCGAATACTGCAAGCGCAGGAAAGGGTGCAGATTCTACGGAGAGCGCAGGGAAGGGGGAAAACCTGGCTTCGATGGCAGGCGCCGCTTCAGCCGCAGATTCCATGGCTTCAGGGGCAGCCGCAGGCTCCATGGCTCTAGGGGCAGCCGCAGGTTCGATTGCTCCAGGCGCAGCCGCAGGTTCCATGGCCGGCCCAGGGGCAGCCGCAGTCGAATCAGTTGGTCCTGACGGCGCGTATGAAGAGAATACAGGCTCGATTGCTGCAGCTGCTGGTCAGGAGTCCATGGCTGGCGGACAAGCGGCAGAGTCCTTGGGTGCAGACGCGTATGGGAGTTTGGAGAATTAGTGTCAGATGAAGAGCGAGAACGACAAACAGTGAGCCTTCGATGTTTTTCTGTGTTGGGCTTGAGACGTTGTCTTGGACGACTAAATGTCGTTTTATCATAATCCAAGATCTTTGTGTTGCATATACCTGCTTCATATTCTTGTCTGTACGTGAATTGCTGATTCATCGTTTGCGTAGATACAAGAATCGAAATTCCTTTCGTGCCGTCATCTAGTGTTTTGTGAATTTACTCCTATGTGGTCTGCGACTGTCGTTTTTCAAACCAAGTGTTCTTCAGCTCAGACTAAGTGAAGAGCTGCGCTGATGTGCGTGCTTCCAGAGGATTTGAAAAGAGGAGTCAGGAAGCCGCGCTTTCTTGATATCGATATGGATTCCACAATAAGCAACAAGGAGGAGGAGATCTTCTGAGGCATGGTAGCTGCATAAGACTGCAATACGTAAAAAGATTCCACGGACGGAAGTGTAGTGAAAAAGATGTCCTTGTATTTTTACAGGTATACTATAGAAAATACAGTCGATTATAGTAAAGCGATGTATCACCAGGCTGTACTTATCTATCATAAGACTGAAAATTTTTTATTTATCTTGCAGAAGATGGCGTTAAGAATAAGGTAGAAAGCGTAGCTACGAAAGGAAAAATGGACGATTACGAGCGTGCACTGCTGACGCCCCGACTTCAGTACGGGGGTTGGTTTTTCGGCTCGCTGATTGTAATTGCGGGTATACTTCTACCGTTCGCTTATGTGGCAGTTAGGAATAAGCACACGCTGCCCCTGCTTGACATATTCAAGAGAAGGTCATGACAAGGCTGGTGCCTCTTGCCTGGTGCCAGATATAAGACATTTTGTCGCGGTGAGAACCCGCCCGTTGTGCCATACGGAAATGAACGAATGAATTGCGCAACGTCTCTAGAGACGTGAAACAGTCACTACCGTAATCGGCTCTACTTTCAGTGTAGGGCGGCACCTTCGAACATGAGGTGGTGGCTCTCTTGGAACAGCGGAAAAGCATATGACCATCTACAAGCTTCTAATGTGTTCTGAGTCGTGACAGCATATAGAGAGGGAAGCAACTATCGGAAGACAGGTTTGAGAAAGATGCGACTCTGTAAACGAAAATTCTCTAACTAAAAGAGCGAATTTTGAAGCAGAAATGATGAACATCTTCTTTTAATTTTGAGATTATTGGCTGTGTTGCATAGCGAGGATGTGAGAGACCCTCATATTTCCTGTGTTTCCCACAGAGAGCAAACGAGGTCTTCCACACACTGGTTTTACTGTTACGACTTTCCATCATCTGTCTGAGCGAGGGAGCGTCACCCGTTTCCATAGACACGAGAGCTTCCTCATCACAGCATTAGATTACCTTGCTTCAGTTGTCCTTTTCAATCAATCAAGAATTTTGATTTTCAATTTTGACATTTATTTTACGCAATGGGCCAAAAGCTGACATCAGGTGGGGTCATTTTCGTTTTCGAAAGATCAAGACATCGCGACGCTCTATTTCCAAAATCGTTCCAACAAGAAACAGCTAAAAAGCTTCTTATCTTTCTGGTCGTCATCTCAATCCTCAAGTTGTAGTTAAAGAGCTTCTTATGTTCATATGTATGGTTCTTTGGGTTCTGGCGTAGAAAACGCGTTAGTTGCTGACGACGTAGACAACGCTTTAGACGCTGAAGACGTAGAAAAAGCCTTAGAAAGCGCGCTAAGTTCCTCTGAGGTAGATAGCGCACCAGGTTCTGACGTAGAAATAATCGTGGTTGATTCTTCTGACATAGAAAGCCAGGCTTTCAAAAAAATGTCGGATAGTGGCAGTCTTTCTGGTTCTGACAGCGTGCTGCGCACGCAGGGGCAGATGCTTGGTCGCGTTTTCGCTATTGCGTTGTACAAACGACGTGTAAAATATACGATTCTGGGTATTCCCGAAGAGAAGCACCTGATGTGCGATATCGTTCTCGCGGTGGTGCTGGCCTACTTCATTTTTCCGGTAATGACGGCACTCATCTGGTGGGTAGTATTTGTACTCGTTGCGCTCGTTGTTGGAACTGCCGGTGCGGCGGTAATGAATCTTATACTTATATGTTCCTAGGTCAGTATACTCAAACGCAATCCAGTTTAGAATCGTTTTGCCTGCAAAAGTTGAAAAAGATATGTATTCAGATTCGTCGACCCGGTCGGTGTCTCCGAAAGCCAGACTATGATACTAACTCCAACGGTTGTACATCAAAGAAAAGCAGAAGTTTCACTCATGTTCAAGCAAGCATTTCCTTCACTGCTCAAACTTCAGGTTTACAGCCCGGATAAATTTCAGGAAATCCGTGCACAAGCCCAAGGATACGTTTCTCACGTTCCGACTGAGGATGTTGTGGGGGCATTTGCCAATTTAAAGACAGGATTCGGCGAAGGAGTAGAGGTCGGCCGACGCACTTCCGTGAGATTGTCGCAACCGGGGGAATAAGAAAGGGATGTTCGAATTGGCTTGTGTGATTATTAACTTATCGTGATAATGCCGCAAAATTGCATCGCGTATTTTGAAAGTAAAACGAAAAATAGATTAATAAACAGAAAACGAAATCAAAAATGACTACTTGTTTGTCTACAACAGATAATGAAGAAGTATGCCTCAGTGAACAGTGTAGTCGCGGCAGTGCCGTATTCGATTTTGATCAGCATCCGTGGTGAACTTACTGGTGTAGCAGGAGTTTCTTTAGGTATAAATACGCGTTGAATTTTTACTTGAGCAGCTTTGTTTGTGAATTTTGGTCTTTCGTTTCTTTAACGCGGATATCTGAGAAAAATTTCCAAGAAAAGTAGAACCGATTGCAACTTGACTGAAAATGCTGAAGAAATGCTAGCGGTGCACCCGGCTGGAGAGGAACATCAAGCCTCGACTTTGCTTTGTCCTAACAAGCGCTCCGATTTTTCGCGACGCTGAACAGGTTCGGGATCGATCCCCAGCCACATCGGCTGTGCCAAGACCCACGTGCTTCAAGGAGCACCTTGTATTTTACTAATCAATGTGTACGCACGAGTGCTGCAGGAGTGACTTCACTCGGTGCCACAGTATCAACTCGAAACGAATTATCGGAAAAATCTATGAGAATAGCGGAAGCGAACATTGCAGAGTTGTAGTAGTAGCAAGCGAGCAGATATTATAATAGAGCGCGTGAGAAGCACCTCCTCCAAATAAAGCATGGCACCATGAAAAATTTATAATATTTGCGTCTTCTCAGCCTTCTCCTGTATGTTAACCTTCCTGTAGTTAGTTATAGTTGTATACAAAAAAAAGGGACAGAAAATGCTGCAGTGAACTCAGTAAGTAGTACGAAAATTGAAAGCTTTCCGTCCGTCTAAATTTCGACAATGAAGAAAAAGAAACGGTCGTACTCTGTCACGTCTAGTGGGAAAACAAGAAGAAGAAATAGAACAAGGTAGGAACAATTTTCTATCAAAGAGAAGTGACGATTGATGGCTCATGTACTAATTGGAGGTGGAAGAAAAAGAATTAAGTAACGGAACTTGTACTACCTTAAAGTGGGCGAAGGAGAGATAGGATTCATCTTTATTGGATTGTAGTATCTTGACCTCCTCTAAGGCCAAAAGATGTCGTTTCGTGAACTGCGAAATTTTTGCGAGATCATGCGATCTCTGGGATATCATCGTCCGATATCCATGGAAAATTTCCGACAACCGAATTTCGAACTAGTGTTAAGGGAGCAGTTTTTCGTAAATGAAAGCGTATCAAGGTGTCCGATGGATGTTTCTTCGTTAGAGCACAGGACTCACACGGGAATCCTCGAGTAAGGAATCTTGAAGAGATACGTAAAGCCTAGGATGTGAAGTAATATATATGTTGAGGAGCTCTAAGCCAAGCAGATCTTTTGGATTGGATTCTTCATCGCTACGATTCGTCTGCTGCGGTTCCCGACGATATATCGACCGAACAATGCCGCGTGCATTTTCTGACAACCTGTTGTCGGTTAATACTAGACAAAACGAATATAAAGGTAAATCCGCGGAAGCTGTACGGGGCGGATGGATACGCGGTGAAGGAGCTGTTAAGGTACTGATCTGTGTTCTATGTCGTGGTTCTAATAGTTGTACGAGTAACCGTAGCTCCGCGAGCTACTTTCAAAAATAGTTGTTCTTGCATTCCTACGTCGTTCGTCTGCTCTGCACTGCCAGGGTAGCGCAAATGCTATACGACGCTCAGAAATCGATAACGCAAAATCTAGCGAGCGAAGCGGAGATGGAGACGAGCGCGTTTTCATTATCTTCAAAGCTGCACGACTTGAAGTCCACTCGCTCTCTGTGTTCCTCGATAGTAGACAGCGGAGCGACCCTCCACGAGCTACTCATGAAAGAACACACCAATCGGGAAGAGAGACAGAAGGCGCTCAGGTATCAAATAACTCTCCTTCGTTGTCCTAGAGTCACTGTCTTTTGTGTGGCGACCTGCTTTCATACTTTTCGTCCATCAGCATCGGAAGAGCTAAGAATAAACATGATTACAGGTTTCTCGACGGTATATCCCGAAATTTGGAGAGCAACAGTGAGCAGGAGATTGTCGAGCGCAGTGTGACGCGACTATTGAATACACATACAGAGAAAGTGACAAGTCTCAGGCAGACGGTCGACGAGCTCTCAAGGGACGAGAAGAATCTCGAATCAAAAATCAAGAAGAAAAAGCAAGAATTTTAAGGCAAGCTTAAAAGGTCATGGTAGGTCGTGGAGAACTACTAAACCAAGTATATTCAGTTAGAGCTCCTACTTACTTAGATTTTTGAGAGGATGCGCGGCAGCATTCTAGGGGAATCGCGATGCATGTACGGGGGCTCAGCCAGGTAAGCATAGTTACACCGTTGTCACCTCTAAGAACTGGATCGTTGTAGTGCGCGATTAGGGCAGCTTACTAGCGTGCGGCCTGCTTTCATGGACGAGTACGAAAAGCTAGAGGAGGAGCTAGCGAAGGTAATACCCCTGGTGAAGGGGCATGGAGGGATAACTGTTGTAACAAGAACACAAACACGAAAACTTCAAAACTTCTGCTCTGTACTACTACTACTCATCGTCATCTTGACAACAACTCTTCCTTCAATCACGCAGGTTTACGACAGCTATGTGCAGAGGTTCCGGAATCTGGATTATCTGGAGTACGAACTCGATCATTTGAACAAAGAGGAAGAGGAGAAGATGGAGCAGAATGCAAGGGAGTTGAAGAGACTTCAGAAACGCCTGCGGGAAGAGGAGTGGCGCATGCTCAGAGGTTCTTTCTCTTCCTTGCATGTTTATAGTCACCTGCTAGCTACGATTTTTACAATCAACATGATTAGTTTTTGTAGCTAGAAGCGAAGAATTGAGCGTGCCCTCTACGTGCACGAGCATGTGCAACGGAGAAGTCTAGCTGAAATAGCCTGGAGGCAGTGGTAGAGCATGCTCTTTATTGTACTTACTATAAACAAAGGCGACGAGGATGGCGACACTTCCGCGAGTAAGCCAAGCGTTGCTGCTGTGCAGCGACCGCGAGCGAAAAGCCAGGTCACAGGGTCTATGCTTGCCGTATCGGAAGGATCGAGTGAAAGTGACGACGGGAGCTCCGAAGCCATAAGCGTCGGAAGGAGCGAGTATTCGTTCTCAAACTCGTAGCTACAACGCATGCTGATCTTGAAAGAAACAGACTTTTTCTTAGTAAATTGCCCATGATAACGGGGACGTGTGCAACGTTCTGCACCACGCAGTGTCGTCTAAGTAAAAGCAGCATTTCAACCATCAACTTACACTTCACCTCTCAGGGGCAGCGACCATCCGCTTAGCATATCTGGATCTGACGATATATTGGAGCAGTCAGAAGAGAGTTCTCCACGTGCGGGTGGCGGCGGCAACGACCACAACTTCTAAGCTCGTTCTTTCGCAACTTTGCTTCTTTTAGACACTTTTTTTCGCGCGCGCATACACATTTATAATTCTCTTAGTTTCAGCTGACTCGCTATGCCATCGATCAACAAAATACGAACTTCTTGTTTTTTTTTTCGTACACAACAACTAAGTTTGCATTAGACAAGCAAAGAACACAGAACGTTACCACAAATGACGCAAGAGGCGACGAGCCTCTCGCGAACGTTCTTCATGATCATGAACTGCAGCGGATATTACACAAAAAAGGCTATGCTTTTCCTTCATGAGTTACTGGAGATGGTCAGTTTTCGATGGTGTCTGAGTTTTCATGATTCATTTCACTGTAGGTGTTCAGTGGCGAGCCTGGCAGGTGTAACTTTCTTAGAGTCATAAATCAAAGGTAGTTACAACAGGAGCAAGATGTTGACGGCGTCGTTCTTGCCCGTGCTCATCCTGTTCTTGCTCAGCGGGGCGGGAAACACGCTGATTGCATCATGGATGGACAAGATCTATGTCGAAGGGCAGAAATTCGAGCACCCGTTCGTCCAATGTTGGGTCATGTTCTTAGGTGAGGCCAGTTGCATGGCCGTTTTTGCCGCCAGATACGCACTAGAAAAAAGACGCGTCCAGGCGCAAGGCGACCAACCAATTCAGAGCCCATGGCGGAAGGAGACGCTGATGTTTGCGATACCATGTACTTCTTTGGCAAGATCACGATCTAAGTTGCAGATTTCCGTCACAGGAAGGTCGTGGTTGTGAAGATAATGTGGACAACTTGGATATTTCCTCAGAAAAACTACAGCCAGTACATCATCATTTAGTTGCTCTGTGCACGTAATTTTTGTTTGGTTCTCCAAAAAAACTCAGGTTGTTGCGATTGGTTCAGCTCGACGATGGTCTACATCAGCTACAGCTACCTTCCGGCGTCAGCGGTGCAGATGTTGAGGGGGAGCCTCATCATATTCGTATCTCTATAAATCTTACACTGAAAGATGGAAAGTACTTAATAATTATTCGCAGTATTTTTATAGATACTAGTATACCTACTGTGCTTGATTGATCCGAGTTTCTGAAAGGCCTCTGTTCCACCTTCTATCTTCCGTCAGGTCTGCCTGATTTCCGTCTTTATTTTGAAGAATAAGCTTTACTTGCACCATTTTGTTGGCGTGGGTTTAGTCCTTGTCGGAATTTGCCTAGTGGCCATGAGCAGTGTCCTCGCCGACGACAGCGCCTCAGCGGACGGACGTAGCCCCTTAGTTGGCGTCTTTATATGTGTGACAGCACAAATTTTTGCGTCCGGAATTATGACGAGTGAGGAGTACATCTTCAAAACGGTCCCGAATATAGCGCCGATACAGGCGGTCGGAATTGAAGGCACATGCGGAATTCTGATAGGAACGGCAATACTTGCGGTGGCACAGCTTGTCGGCGTCGATAATGTGAAGCTTGCAATCTACGAGGTGTCACACTCAGGCCAGGCAGCAGGGTAGTCAGCTACTCAGTATCTTCATATAATCGTTCTTGTCACGCTGCGAGAATGAATTTTCGAGGCTCTTCTTATTGGCATCACCTTTCTCTGATCGGAAGAGCATGACCATACACTTCTAGCAGAAAGTAGTGCCAAACGGCACCTCCGCATCCTTCTGCCTGAATTTCAGATCTTGCCTGCTCCTTGCGTGTAGTATAGCGGTGTTCAACGTGTGCGGACAGAAGATTACAAAGCATATATCAGCAATGGCGCGCTCAGCACTCGACTCTAGCAGAACTATATTGGTGTGGATAGCTGAGCTTGCCTTTGGCTGGAGAGCATTCGCCTACGACACCATTCCGTTCTTACGGACGAGCTTACAACTACTAATCTATCACGGAGAGTGAAGGTCGAGCTTTGGGCTTTCCATTTACATTTGGTTGTATCATATTTATTACAACTACACTGCTCGGACAAGTAGTAGGAAGAATAAGTCTAGATGAAGTTATTTTGTTCCCTTTTCCTTTCATATCTTTGGGTTCAGCCATTCGGTTTCGTGTTTATCGTGCTTGGGCAGGCATTGTATTTCAACACCATCAAAGTGCGCAGGCTTATGGGCGATGAGGAGATCGCGGAGATGGAGCGCAGCTTATTGTCCGCCGAACAAGCAGAACGCAGTGGCAAGCAACGCGATATCAGAGACCTCGATATCGTGTCCACGACAACAGGAGGAAGTGAGTTGCAAAGTCAAATATAGAAACGGCTCCTCTTTAGTATACTCGTACGGATTAGGAGCAGGGAGGCCGAAAAAAGTGTAAGAAAGCACTCGACGCTGATTTGTATTTTTGACATTCTGATAACATATTTTGTCGACACATGGTTTTTTTTCCGGGCAGCGATTGATTCCTTTATTGTTCATGTTTGTACTAGTTGTAATGGCGCATTCTTGATCATTTTCTTGTACGTGCTAGCATTTGGTTTAGTTTTTTGCTATTGGAACATAATTGCAGTCCGCGCTGGTTGTAGAGCTGGCTTAAAGCATCACACTGTGGAGCTAGGCATCATCGCAGAGCTCCTAGGAGATATCGCTAATATCGTGTAAGCAGTGCGGATGTGATTGATAGAAGATGCCATGTTAGTTAGTATGTCCTTTCTCCTGGTGGTCGTGGTGGTTTTGGATGAGTACAGATTTTCCGGTAGTCCTGCGATAGCAGCTATCACTCTCGAATAGAAGTACTTCTACAAGCGAACTGGTTCTGATGAATCCTTGGGGAGATTTTCGACATTTTTGAAGGATCGATGAGCATCAACACTCCGTAATGAATTCATATATTTTCCGAAAAAAAAATAAAAGATCAGCGACCACTGTCTCATGATCATACATGCCGTTCCTGACAGTTCTTGCAGCTAAAACTCTACTCATCACAAGCGATGCTTTGAATTTTCATGACGAAAACAGATCTTTGATTGAGTAAGCGACATTTGCTTGTGAGCATCGAAATGTTTTTGAAAGAACGAAGTTGAATATGAATTTTGATGGATCCAAGTCACAAAAGATCATGACAAAATGAAGTGATCCCATAATCGTGCTGCAGATCCTACAAAAGCACGATGATGCATGATCACGTTGTAAATTGAAACACAATGGAGAAGTTTTTCTGTAGTATTGTGCCATATTGCTCCGACTAGTTCACAAATGTCAGACTCAGAGAACCCAAAGCGAACATTAAATCGAAAGTTTCCCCTCATAATCCAAACTTTAGGCAGCCGATTGCAGGATTAGGTGGAGTTGTTTGTCTAATTCGTTTGCTGACTTGCACCCACTTTTTCTAGTTTTTTGGAAGCTACCTTAGGTAAATCTTCCCTGAACTTCTTTACTGTTTTATTGCGATATCTATGCTATTCAACGGCATCCCTATTGCATCCCCAACGACTTGTTCCTGCATCGTCTCTCGTTTCGCTGCGCCCAATTCCACGACCACCTTCGAGTCCACCACCTGTAACTTCTGCGCAATCATCTGGTTCCTGCATTGACAAATCATTTTGCACCTCTGCTTCCTGTTGTTCCTGTCGAACAACTACGATAACACCCAACTTACGACTAGTACTTTGCATCTACAAGAAGACGCAACAAAATGCCGAAGAAGGATAAGGTTCTCTCCAAGAAGGCCAAGGAACGCCTCGCCAAGGATGAAGAGGCCAAGAAGAAAGCTGCTGTCACTGCCGGAGATGCACGAGAGCAAGAGAAAGCTGCGGTCTTAGCGCAGGCGGTTATCACTGGAAATCTTGCAAGCAGAGCTGATTCCCGCGATCTTAAGGTCAGCGAATTCTCCGTCACGACATTCGGGAAGCAACTGGTACTTATAGATATTAGTATTCATCTTGTTGTTATACTCTTTTTCTGAAGCTTGGACATGGATATTTGACTCTATGTATACATAGTACCGTAATACTCTTGTTTAGGCATTAGATCAACATCAACGACATACAAATGATAGTTGTAATGAAGTGAAAGCAACAAGCATGGGGTCTTACCTTCGGAAGAGCGTATTTTTTACTGTGCAAAAAATGGAAGGTCAGCTTAAGGTTGAACATATCAATAGATGCTAACCACGCTTCAAATTCATTGTGCGTTCAACAAACTCAGGTCGCCGACACAACTTTGGAGTTGAACTTCGGGAGAAAATATGGACTCATTGGGCAAAATGGCAGTGGGAAATCAACAATCTTAGCAGCCATCGCTGCAAAAGAAGTGCCAGTTCCCGACATCATTGATATGTGGTTCTTGGATTGCGAGGCACCGCCAAGTGATATGAACGCAGTCGATGCAGTCACAGCGAAGGCAAAGGAGGAAGTGCAGAGGTACTACTTATAACTGTTTGCTTGGTTAATTTTCATGAGCTCCTACGAATTATTTGTATTTCATGCTTCCTCTTTTTACTTTCTCGCAACTAACAGCACTTTATCGATGATATTTATAGATACGTAGAACCGTGCTAGTACTACCTACATCCTGCACTTATTACAAGATATCTCCATGCTTGAACCAAAAGACGTTTATTCAGAAACAATGGACAACATCCTCCCCAATTATCGTAGGTTAGAAGAGCTTACCCTGAGATTGATGGAAGAGGACCCGGAAGGAAACGCTGATATGCTCGACCAGATCGGTGAAAAGCTGGATAAAATGGATCCGCATACGTTCGATTCTAAGGCATCAGAGCTCTTGCACGGTCTTGGATTCGGACCGAAGATGATGCAAAAGGCGACCAAAGATATGTCCGGAGGTTGGAGAATGCGCGTTTCGTTGGCACAGGCGCTTTTCGTAGAACCGACGCTGTTGATCTTGGATGAGCCAACAAATCACTTGGACTTGGGTATCATTTACTTATTTAATATAATATGCTTACTTGACTTTTTTACTTGCTTGGTGGAAATGGCATCAATTGCTTAGGCTTCTACTTGGTTGTGATGTTGATGGGATTTGCACTCAGAAGTAGGGTGTTGTCGGCGCGTCGCAGCTTCTGAGCCGAAGAAACAATATGATAAGGATATGGTGGTCATTCTCATAGAGGCATATTTCTCTCCATTTTTTTCAGGTGCCTGCGTGTGGCTGGAAGACTATCTAGCGAACTATCCGAATACCCTGTTGATGGTGTCACATTCCGAGGATTTCCTCGACAACGTGTGCACAAACATAATGCAACTGACACACGACGGAAAATTGAAGGTATAGCTAGCACAAAAAGATGAACCTTCTGCTTCTGTGATGTAGAGTCATTGTGAGCACTAGTAGTTGTACGGTACCGTTTCTTGGGTTTTCCCGCCTGTTTGCTCCTCACGCGCAGCTTCACGACGCTGCTGTAAGGTTCTTGACAGACAAAAAATATTTTCCCTCTCCTCCTCATCTAATGGTCATGATCATGGTTCATCTCAGCTCGTCTCCTCTATTGCACAACAACTACTAGGTGTGGGGCGGCAACTACAGCACTTACGTGAAGACCCGTGAGGAGATTGAGAAGAATCAGATGACCAAATACAAGAAGGAACAAGACGACATAAAGCATTTGCAGGATTTCATCAGAAGTTGTGGTACCTATGCAAACTTGCGAAAACAGGCTGATAGTAAACAAAAGATCATCGATAAGATGACTGAAGCCGGTTTGACAGAAAAGCCAGTCGCAGACCCAAAATACCACTTTCGCTTTCCAGACTCCGAAAAATTGCCCCCGCCCGTCCTCGCCTTCGAAGATGTCTCATTCGCCTACAGCGGAAAAAGACAGGTAATACAGACGATACTAATACTAAGATACATGCTCCGTGGATTAACAGAAACATGTTCATTATGATGATCATGATGTTTTTGCCCACTACATGAGTGAGACCGATGTCGACGTTCAACTTGCTTTACATCATCATCATCTACATCGTCATCTCCAAACAGGACTACCTGTACGAGGGTCTCAATTTTGGTGTGGATTTGGACTCGAGAATAGCACTCGTCGGTCCGAACGGTGCGGGAAAAAGTACGCTGTTGAAGCTAATGCGCCGGGAACTCGACCCGTGTGAGGGAGAGGTGAAGCGCCACGGCCACTTGCGCATTGGCCAGTACAACCAGCACTCCGAAGAAGTGCTCGATTTGGAGAAGAGCCCGCTGCAGTTCTTCATCGATTTGTATCCGGATGGCATTACGACGGATAAGGGAGTAGTGAAGCAGGACACCGACGACTGGCGACGCACGCTCGGCCGATTCGGAATTTCGGGACAGTCCCAGACCAGAGCCATGAGGACCATGTCGCACGGTTATCGCACGCGCGTCGTCTTTGTGATGATCTCCCTGACGAATCCGCATATATTGTTGTTGGATGAACCTACGAATCACTTGGATATGCAGTGTATCGACGCCCTGGCGGACGCGATCAATGCCTTCACGGGTGGCCTTGTTCTCGTATCCCACGACTTCCGACTCATCGGTCAGGTCGCGAAAGAAGTGTGGGTCTGCGACAAACTCACCGTCAAGCCCTGGGACGGAGACATTAAATCCTACAAAAAACACCTCAAGGCAAGCGTCACTAAAAAATAATTGTACTTCGTTCCTCTGATGTCAACTAAACAGCATGAAGATGTTGACCACAGATTTCAGATGAAGACCAAGTTGCACCAGAAGTATTACAAGCAGGGCAAGATGAACAAGAAGAACTACTTGTATCATGACCCCTCAAGAAGATCCTCACGAAAGACGTCGTGGCAAAGAACCCCAGAAAGAGCAGGAGTTGCAAGTGGCACGGGCTCGAGGATATTTTTGACCACGGCGGATTTTAGTAATTTGCATATTTGAAGTTACAGTTCTTGAATTTTTTGGTTCTCTTTCGCAGACGACACTCGTTTGTGTCCCGAACTGCAAGAGGCTCGAAAAGGCGATGTACGCAGAAGGTCAAAAGGGCGTCGAACGTGTGGAGAGGTCGTTAAACACCTAGGTCGTGGGGACATCTGCGTCTACTTGAAGGACGACACTTGCGTGAGTTGTACTTAAAGGGTCCTCGTGATTATGAAAGTATCTATAGGGTGCTGCTTATGCTTAATCTTTCGGAATGAATGAGTTTAAGTTTTTTTAGAATACCATAGGATTTATGTGCTGAATCTTGGCGGGCTCTTGACGCCAACAAGGTTATAATTATGTTGGTTTGCGGGGGCGGGAGCAAATAATTTTTTCAGTGCTTCTTGTGTTACAACTTCTCAGTGTTTATATTATGCTTCAAGGTTACGACAACTTCGTGTTGAAAGGGCAAGCCCTTCTAGAATACTGCGAATACTTAGCTGTGTTGTAGTCGAGAAAAGAAAAAGTTTCTGGTTCAAAAAGCGGAGTCTGTCACTATGTTGTGGTCGTTTACATACTGATGAGGTTGTGTTCATGGTGGCGTTCGGGAGTCGAGCTTAATGCATGGAAGCTGAAAGACATGTCAAAAACCAAGGGTGCTTCCTGCTGGCGTCGGTAATCTTGGAAGAATTTTACATGCAGCATACCAAATTTGAAGTTTCAGGCCAGTTGCAAGCAGCTTCTTGTCTATAGAAGCAGTCGGTACTCGGTAGCAATTGCGTACAAACTTCTTTTTCGTAAGAAGTTCTGCGCATTCGCCTAGAGCTGCGTATGATACATTCTATCTGATAGATGTTGGTGCATGTTTTATGTTTTTAGCTTACGATGAGGTCGTTTGTTAGCAGATGTTGACTTCTTCTACAGATCACTTCTACTGTGTCGTCGTAGAAGTGTCTCACACAAGCATGCGGTAATGAACTCTTTCGAAATGGCCACATTGTCTATTTTCTGATATAAGGAGGTAAACTAGTATCTATCTTCCTCGCCACGCCATTTTTAGGGAAGGATGCATGTTGAAGATAGTACTTGTTATATCCTTCATGTCAGAACAATCTTCCGTAGTTCGTTGGCCTCCTGCACAGGTTGAGCTATCATTGATCAAAACACCTTAAACAAGATCAAGACCTTCATACATGAAATGGCTGAAGAAATTTCTTGTCACAGAAACACTGTCAGACCACGTCTCTACGGTCACTATGAAAGGTGATAACAGGGACATTAGCATGCATGGAAGTTCAGTATCATTGCTAGACAGACGTTGACATATTCATGGGGCCATTATGCCTCAGGGGTACGTTGTTCTTTAGAATGAATGTTTAGGACCAAACATCAAGCAAGCTTGTACACGATATGTCTTGGATCTCAAATCTTCTTATTGCAATTTCGATTCGTGTGTTGTACAACCAATTTATTAGAGGTTCATACATTCGGATGAACTATTGCTCACTGAAGACGACCACCTTGCATCACTACCAGTCGCCAGCACTTGCTATTAGGGATAGCTATCTATCGCAAATCAGTATCAGTTCTGCAAGGTTTCAGGGTAACCACACACCAACTTCTGCCGATCCGGTGCTCAACGCGCAGGGCTGAGGCGGGAATCCCACTAATCCTCCTAACATTTCTTGAGCTACTTGCGAAAGCAGTTCGGGGGCGCTAAGAAGTGTGTAGTTGTGCGGGAAAAAAAGCCTCCCTCTAAGCCTAGCTGTGCATCCACCTAAGAACTACAAGACGTGCGGAAGATTCTACTTGCTGGAATTCTCAAGTTTCTTGTGCAGCGTATATCTAGTATCAAGTCTATCCCCATCAGGCTACACCCGATATAAATATTTGCTGTTTAGTCCACAAGATTGTTCTTTCGTCATTGTAATCATATCTCGACATATATGCTTGTAGTACTCATGTTGTATCATTGTTTGTAGTAAAAATTTCTAGCAATGGTTCTCAGTTTCATCATCTTGAATGAACATCATTCCGTATATGCTGCAAACATCGGACTCCTCGAGACGGAGATTGATGAAAGACTCACCTAGAAAACCTCATACTTGTGGAAAGCTATCCAGACTCTCGCAACATGGACAATCACATCGCTACGAAATGAATACTGACACCAGCAGAAGGTGAGGATGAGAAGAAATGCCTAGTACATACTGATTCAATTTTGATGCGCCTCCGCTGGGGTGAGGCTTGAGTCACCGTTGATACGATGAGAGTATCGCCTCGGGAGAAGAGCTGAGCGCGATGCAGCAGCGTGTTCGTTTTCGTTATGCTCTGTCTTCTCCTTACTGGGAATCTTTTGCTTCGATGTGCTTGCACGCAAGGTAAGAGAACTGCACGCATGCAAAACTAGTTTGAGACTGCACGTAGTACATTCTACGCTTCTTGTTGATACAGTAGACTGTCAACCATGATTCTGTATCCTGTTTCATGTTATTGCTGACCTTACGCAATTAGTTTTGGTCTTTGTGCTTTTTTTGATTGATATTTGCGGTTTTTCGTGACTAAAATTCTCACTGCATTTGTCCGTTTTCGTTTGCGTTGAATTTTAGAATTGCCAAAAAGCCAAGAATAAAGTTCTGTGTGTGATAAATCAAAAAGACCGACAAATCACAGCGCAGCGAGTGGGAGTTACTAAAAAGAGATCAAGAAGAAGAACAAGAATGAAAGATAAAAATGCAAATCAAATTTGCAGCAAAGATGAAGAAACAAGTAGAGGTCAGGATCAGGCAAAGAAGATCCTCAAATCAGGCGAGAATTAGCAGCATATTGTCAAAAAATGTTCCGGTTTGAAAGACAAAGAAACTACTAAGAAAATGAAATGAAAGGAATTAAGCTGACTACGTTAATGCAAATAGGTCGTCTTGATCCTTGTGAATCAGCTTTTCCGCACAAGAGAGGCAATTTCAACATCCGCCTGAATTTGTTTTAATAGCAGTTGTTGTGCTGGTAGTCAGTCCGAGTTATCGGACCTAAGGGAGTTCGGGGGATCAATCTCTGATCAGAATTATCATCGCAAATCGTTGCTAAGTAGATCTTTCTTGTAGTTGAGGTACCTATTGTCATTACACAGCTTCTCGCCACTTATCTATCATGCCTGCTCTGGTCATTCAAGAAATATTATCAGTGAAATGATGCACCAAAAATTGTTGAGGTGACATACAATTACAAACACTTGATACAACTTATCACGATGCTTGTAGGTTCCTCGTAGTCCCATATTGATATTTCCAACTCGTCTAGTTGTGGTGAAAGTATTTGTTATCTATCTGATCTCTTATATGTTCTACCATCTTTTATTTTATTTGATTCTTTTTTTCGCTATCTAACTACACGCAGCAAGATAGGTAGAAGCAACACCGTAGTGGATTCTATATTGTTGTGAATTAAAAGATGATCCACATATTCAAGGATCAAGAGTGATACCTTCTGCACTCGAAGACTAGAGAAGACCTGTTATGAGTTGTTGAGATTTCTGAATTAGAGTTTTCATGTTTCTCGCTGTTTTCATGATTCTTGAACAGTATTAACTTCTAAGTGCATACATACTGCCCACGCACAAATAAAGTTCTCCTACATTCATTTTCTAGGCAAGTGTCCAGCAGGTGAGTTGAGAGTGCGCGTCTAGGGAGATTCTACTCTTGCACGACGTGTACTAGTTGTCGTCTTTGTTCAGATACCTTAGAGACGAGTGACGAAGACTACACCTGTTCCGCAGAGAAACGCGCAGTGATACGCGATCGTGTGGACAAAACCTGCACAGCATTCTTCTTCATCTACAACGCTACTTATCATCCACAACGCTACTACTCCGTTTCTTCTTCATCTACAACCACTGGACCCATATCATTATAAGTACTGCAGGACGAAAAGATTCGTCGAATGGTGTTGCAATAGATGCGTCCCTGAGTCACTGGAATCTTCTAACACTCCAAGACTTTTAGCTTCTACTACTTCTGAAGTACTCGCTCGAGCAGGACGAGCAAGACAAAACAAGTTTTGACAGAAGGAAATTTCCGCGTTCACGCACGTGAGCAGGAGGAGGCCGTCTACAGTGTAACAACTTTAAGATCTGCAACAAGTAGAAGAGGACTCTTCGATACGAGGTAGAAGAGATCACCGCAGCGAAGATGCCGGAGCCAGACGTGAACTCAGACGACTACTACAAGGTCCTTGGTCTCGAGAGAGGGGCCAATGAGAAGGACATAGCGAAAGCGTACAAGAAAGCCGCACTGCGGTGGCATCCAGACAAGAATCCCACGGACAAAGAGAAGGCAGAGGAGAACTTCAAGAAAGTAACAGAAGCGTACGAGGTGTTGAACGACAAGGAAAAGCGGGATGTGTATGATCGATTCGGCAAGCAGGGTCTGCAGGGCGGCGGCGGCGGCCCCGGACCCGGCGGACCAGGAGGCATGCACTTCACCACGGGCGGCGGTATGTCCTTTCAGAACGCGGAGAGCATCTTCCGACAGTTCTTCGGCAACATGGACGACAATCCATTCGACGATATGGACGGTTTCGGAGGGCCACCCGGCTTCGGTCCGCGCGGATTTGGACGAACCGGAGGCAGCTTCGGGGGCGGCATGTTCGGCGGCGGTCCCGGAGTCAACATACGTTAAGGCTTACTTCTTATCCTCATCTTAAGGAGCATCTTTGCTGTATTTTTGGAGGGAAAACTTTGTGAAAGATGCGCTTGAAGATGAAAATGAATACAGGCGAGGTCTAAATACGGATGGGCGGCATGCCCGGCGGCATGAACGGAATGCCAGGCGGCCCACACATGGGCGGCGGCATGAGCGGCAGTAGCCGAGGCGGCGGCAAGGGCGCACGGCCGCACGGCGGTCCTTCGGAGATACCGCCAGGCCAGAAGGTCACAGTAGTGAACGTAAGATCACAGCCGCAACACAACGATCAGCAGGGCACGGTGCGGGAGTACGACAAAGAGAAAGCGCGCTACATCATCGAGCTGCAGACTGGAACGACGCTTTCGCTGAAAGCAGAAAACCTCTCGCTTGAGGTAGATGGATGTGTGATCAAGGGACTGCAGAGCAAAGCGGAGCTGAACAACCAAAAGGGCAAAGTCCTCAAATACGATGCAGAGAAGGACCGGTACACCGTACAAATTTTCTCATCGAACCAAGTGATCGCGGTACCCGTCCACAATGTGGTGCTGCCCAAGGGCACACCGGTGCAAATTGTAAATCTCACTGGGGCGAGTCAATACAATACCAAATGGGGAACCGTGGTCGAGTATGAGCCACAAGAGGAAAGGTATACAGTGCAGCTTACGAAAGACAGAAGTCTCAAAATAAAGCGGGGTAATTGTAGATGCGCTGGATAGAGCCAGCCACCGCGCAATATAGAGGGGAATTTAGTTGTATCATAACAACTGACTGTAGTACCATTGCAGAAGTCCTCACTGGGACTGGTGTTATTTTACAATATATCGGAAGTACCACAACGAACGGCCATCGTGTATCTTCAACATGTTGTTTTTTCTTTTCATCACGACGCTCACCACAACGTAAATTTGATTTTATAAACTTAATAGGTGCAAGATTGGACAAGAAGCAAGTTAGGTGAGTTTTTTATTTGATTTAGTTACCGCCTCGAATGAAAATTTGAATTGCACTCGTCGAGCTGTAACAGGGAGGAGAGTTAAAAACCGGTTGTCGGTCAGCCGCCTCGAGGTCAGCTTTATACTTATAAAGTAGTTTATGGAAATTGAAGATGACGAAGAGCATTGAATATCGGAGCGGCAAACTTGCTTGTTGTCAGGAGTTATTCGATGCACGCTTCGCTTATGATTCCATGTAGTCCCCGACTATGAAGATGTTAGATTATCCCGTCACGCAAACCATCCTTCAAAGACAAAAACACGTTGGACTTACATGATAAACTTTTCCGATGCTTCGTCCTTGCCCATCGTCTCTAGCGCTGATTGGCAGAATAGAAGTTGAAGCATCACTTAATAAGAACTCTTCTTGCGCTTTCTTGATGTTTGGCTAGTAGAGTAACCATGAGGGCGTGCCGATTTAGGTTTCGGCGTATTGATTTGCTAGCAGCTAATTTATTCCTTTGGATGATTGTTCATCTAATTTGAGAAGTCACTTGTTTCTTGTGATGATAGACTCAACATGGCACAAGAAAGATCGGGTACGAGGACATGCCCAAATAAGGAGGCTTCTTGTTGTAGACCGCCAGGAAGATCAATTAGGTCTGCTTGTCGTGACACACCAATAACGGCGGCTTTATTCATCTTTCTGTTTGATTTATCTACTTACATGATAATCCTAGTCGGCATGACTATTTGAATAAGCTCCTAGTCTTCCTTTTCATCGTCCTGATGTACTAATAAAAGTATAAAAAAATGTTTTTATATACTTTTTTGATCGATCATAATATATATTGATGATGATGATCGCGCCATTATTCACCGCAATATTCCGCGGATTGCACAGCGATTGGATGCCCTAGGAGAGACAGAGGCGCGTCTGCTTAGCAGGGGTTTGATTGTTGGACTAATTGAATAGCCCACGTCGCACAGTAAGAATTTCACCTACTTCTAGGAAGTGAAAGTTGTGTAACTAGACAGACACAGTGATATGATTTATCGGCATCCATTCTCGTTGAGCATCGGTTCGGAATAGGTATGTACTTATCAACATATTTATCAACTGATTGTTGCCAACAGCTGATGATTGCCACTTGTGAAAGCCTTCCTAACGAGGATAAATGTAGCTTAACAAGGAAGAGCAAAAATTATTATAGTCGATCCTAATCCTACTTCGTCTCTGGCCCTGGACAACTCCAAAGAAGTTGCTTATACTTATATCAAATTACTTCATAGTACAACTACAACAACACGGGCGGGCCACATCTCGAGTAGCAAGGAGAACATCATCTTATGAATAACTTTCAGCGTCTGCTTGCTTCTATCTTTCTTATTTTGATTTCACTACTCCCATCGATGATGAGACTTCCGATTTAGTCAAGTAAATAACATACCACCCGCCGCCCTTCCGTTCCCTGTGGCAACTACATGCAGAATCCTCTGTCATTGAATGGCATATTCTATCGCGTGAAGTGGTCCACCTTAAACTTGTATTTCTGCTCCTCCTACACCTACCACTCATTATTCTTTCATGCATGTACTTCATTACCTAACGTCCGACGCTCTCGAAAAACAAATAGTGGGTACAACTTGTAACTATGCGTGCTGACGCTGTGATTTTACAGCTCGCTGCCGTTTTAGGATGAACCATATCACCTAAGATGACCATGACCTACCTGCTCTCGAGTGAGCAGGCAACGTGTGGACCGCAGCTCAGGAGGATGCACTGTACGATTTAAGATGATGTAGCAGCATCTACTTTTATGAATACGAGTATAAGTAGATCACAGATTGCTCGAGTGAAACTTCAACTCCTGTTGGGGGTGAGGAAACAGGCAATCTTCGCAATGCTATATTTACAGGTACGCACACCCAGGGTAGAAGGGTGACGCTAGGTACATTCAGGACGGAGGGGAGGGGGGCAGAAGGAGTAGAAGTAGAATGAAACTGCATCATTATCTCGCGGCGCCAGTGGGCGGTGGCGATCGTGAAGCAACTTCATTAAGGTGGGTCCACGCATGACGGCCGGCCTTTCTAGTATTTGAAATTGCCACTAAAGACATGACGCATCACGGAAGTAGGAAGAAGTAGAAGACCTCAAAGACGTCCCGACCTTCACATGCAAAAGCAGTGAGCAAGCTGTTTTATTGCACCAACTAAGTTTTATGCTTCGGAGCAATCCCTATCCCATTTACCTGATCAAGCGGAAAGCGATGGTTGAAGAAGGAAAGTTGCATGCCAACTCCTTCTTCTCCATCCGAGTAGGTCGGGCTTCGCTGCGGTCATCATCCTATTGCTGTTGATGTTCCTTGGTTGTGTCTTCTCTGACGGTCATGATCTTATAGTTGCCTTCAACGATCAGACAAAATTGATTCAACAGTCTCGTCTCGGTTGCGATCTGAAAATATTGTGTTGAGGCTTGTCGTCGTTGTATAGGTCTAGAAAACGGCGGAGAGAGATAGAGATCTTCAACAGATATTTATCTGTTTGACCTTGCTACAATCCGTAGTGTTGATCGTGTGACCCTCTGTGCGTCTGTTTTTTTATCTTCGTGGGTGAGTTGTAGAGTATCTGGACAAGTGTTGCTATCAATCGTCTGATCTTCGCAAGAAAAGTGTTGCGAATGCTATCAATCGTATTTGTGGCAGCGTGAGTGAGTGAATGAAAGTATCTACCGCGGTGGAGTTGCACGAGTTGAACATGATCATGATGAGCGTATTCTTCTGCAGATAAGATTCTTGTTGTGTCTGAAGTAAAACGAGAGGGTCTGTAAGCACGAGGGTATGTGGTCGCGAGTTTATTGTCTGGAGCGTGTGCGAGCTAGAAGATGCAAATGCAAGTGTGAGTGTGTTCGGTGTGTTTGAGAGTGAGTGAAATTCTGTTGTTCAGAGAGAGCAAGCTTTTTAGCGATGCATTCTTTCACATCACTGAGCTGTCGCGTGATAGCTAAGACGAGTCTGGTGAGTGACATAACTCACTGTACCAGTTTCCTCCACCAATTTCATCAGTAAATCAATCAATTTCTTCAGGTCCCTATGTGTAATGTACCCAATGCGCTATGTATTAGTCAGTTCAATCGTCCCCCTGCATTCTTTCCGTCATGCTCATGTATGTTGTTAGAATTCCTAGATATTTAGTCGTTCACGACGATTTCTCTTTCTGTATCTCTGTTTTGGTCGGTTTGTCTTTGTGAAATATCATCGTAACTACACCTGTATCCAGTGTTTGATTCATTGCAACTTCATGAAGTTGTTATCGATCTAACGACCTAGTAGATTACATCGTTACTTCGGAGGACAGCACTCCAGATTGTGTACTAGCTAGTAATGGTACTCGAGTCAGACTCTGTTGAGCATCCTCCTCTCAGGTACCTCTCCACTACTATTCAAAGGTTATGACAATTTTTTAAGCGTAGTTACTAGGTTGTGATGACACCGAAGCTGATCCTGAATATAGATTCCATTCTCATTGCAGAATTAGCATCGTAGTAGAGTAAAAGGTCAGGATTCCGATCTTCACCATGGATAGTTATAGTTACTCGTCAGCAGCGAGTGCAAGGGCCGCTTCAGGGCCTGAGCCTCTTCTGGATGATGTAGACTACTTCAGTTCGCTTGTCATTGCTTTTGTTGCTATTGCGACTACCATCATCGTGTTCCATGCGCAGTAAGAATGTCCTAGAATATATTACTGATCCAAGAAGGAGATAGGCTAGCTCTACTAGTACTAAGTAGAAGAATTTTTACTTCTAAGAAAGTAGGTAGAAGTACTAGAGCAAGAGCAAGTCTGCTACTGCCTTGACCTTGATTCCTCTATCGAATAACCTGAAGTAGCTAGAGGTAGAGAGTAGAAGATAACGCAAATGTAATCTTTCTACTCAAGTTTGATTTTTTGGTAAATGTGAGATCGTAGCGTAGAATCCGTATCTTCTAGGATTGTTTAGTCTATTTGATGAAGCCTTGTGGTTTATCCTATCTGAAGGGACTACTAGGGAAATGCGACTGAGTACTCCACTCTCTACTCGGGCATGTACAGTTTTGTTTATTAATAATGATCCATTTTGTTTGATGACTATGCTATCGCATAAATGTGGAAAAGTTCGACGGAATTAGCTTGTCCGAATAATCAATCATATATCGTCTGTAGAACTTTCCACCGCAGGAATTTTTTAGCGGTTCCGACAAGCGACAATGTTGCGACGTTTGGTGACCGGCCCTAGCTTTCTGATCTCGGCGCATCTCGGCCTTCTTTTTGCAGTGTCATACGTGGTTCTATTTTTGGTAAATGTCTTGGACTCACCGGCAGCAACACGTGGCGTTTTTGACGGTGAAGTGGAAACAAAAGACGTATCTCTATAGATACATACATTGAGGAGCAAGAGGATTTCATCATTAGACCGCTTTTCTTTTTGCATGACTCGACTCATCAAGATCATCGTTCTTGAGTTTTTTCGTTATTACTTGGCGAAGTTATTCTGAATCAATGAGTAGATCATAATTCAGAGTTGAAGAGTGATGATCTCACCAGTAACGAGGGAAGAATCACGTTGAGATGAAATTCGTTTTCAACATCCTTCCTCCTCTATCAAAACAGCTTTGTGGGGTGGCGTACATCTGGAGACTGCGAAGCTCGATTAGCGATGTCGCATCACACTTCGGAAAGACAGGTAGCGATCATGGCGGCTTTTTCTCCGCTATGCTGGAGAAAGGCACAAGCCACGTTGTCCTTAGCCGTGACACTGCTGGTACTCTATTTTTTGGTGTTATGGTGACATGATCATAACTTTAAAGAGCTTCGGAAAACGATCATTTGAGCAACATATAATTTTTTCGAAGTGAAAGGAGCAAGAGCAATTGAGATATTTATTTATTTGAGCAGGTAGTGGCAGTTTGATCAACACGAATCTTCTGGAATAATTGGTATCCTTTATTTTATGCGAACACGACAGGTGCACCGAAAAGCAACGATCGGGAAACGAGCCCCTGGTGGAGCCTGCGCCGCTTGATGTTTGGTGTTGTCCCGGAACCTCCCCGAAGGTCCAAGACGAAGCAGCGTACTACCGGCAAAAGCACCGCAAAGCATGATATCAAAGCAGCAAATGCGACCTCAACAGGTCTTTACGGTAGAAGAAGCCAAGAAGAGCCGACTTCCGACGAAAGCACCAGCACTGCTGAGGAGAGCTTCGAACAGGAGGTGTTTTCTTCGGTTACCAACAATGGCAAAAAGTCATTCTCATCGAGTGCAGGAGTCCTAAGTAGCACAACAAGCGCAACTGGTTCGGCTTGGGCAGAGCCTGAGAAAACTACGAGTGCTCTCGCAGGTTCGTCGTCCAGTACTAGCAGCTTCTTTCCTAGTGGATCACGAGCGCCGCCGATTTTCAATATTACGGGTCTTGTGACGCTGCCGGAGCTCGATTGGCATATTGAACGCACGGCGAAGGCCTATGACTGTTTTGATCGCACCGTGCTCACAAATCGGCGCGAGCCATTGGCCGATCTTTGCGCGACCATGTGTGGCGTGTACGTCGACATGGAACCAGCACCATTTTATTTCAACGCTGCATCGATTTCGCTTCTTCATCGTACTTCATACAGATTGATAGATTTCAATCTCTGCATTCAAATGTCGACATTAGTCAAGGTTTTCGAGCTTTTACGATTAATAAGTACTACAAATGCATCTGATAATTGCTCCTGGTTTACTAAGAGCTATGTAAGTATACAACGTCCACATAACGTGATAATATTTGCTTCATCACTTTTTACCAACAAACTCCTCTCCAGATCTGATCCACCTGGCTTTGGGGGTGTGGTTGCTCGCACTTAGCGCGCGCATCGAGATGAGTAAAATCACAGGGCAGGATACTGACCAGTTTGTAGGTCCAGTGCGACAAAACGTCGCTTGCTTTTGGTTCTACGTAGCGCTAGACGCCTTTGTCCGGTATCAACATCTGCACCAAGAGGTGGCCTACATGGGCGGTCGAGCCATCTTCTTGACAATTTTTGCAGTGGAGACAGCACAAGCAGGATCGTGTTGTACTTATATATACTAAAAGTTCTTGCAACTACTTTGATTAGAGTTGACAAATTAATATGTTGACTACTTTGATGAGCATTAGAGTTAGACGTTGTTGAGCCGGCTTGATTGCAGTTCGCTTCCCAAGGTATTGTACCATACTTACGCAGATTGATTTTTATGGAGTACAACTCACTGTAGCTGTACGAAACAAAGCACATCTTTCATAAACATTATCACAGTTTTGCTGGTGACGTGCGCATTTATTTTCTGCATCTCGTTTGGGTTTCTGATTGCACGACTGTACATGACGGTGACCGGGTGCGTTAGATTTGTCTTTCGCTTGGCGCACTTTGTGTGCTTTCACAAAACCTTGAACGGGAAGAAGTTTGTGTCAGCACCTTGCGATAACGAAGATGTTTGTGCGATTTGCCTCTGTGCACTGCACCCAGCCGGGCTGTGGCTGCCTCGATCCATGTCGGACGCTATTCGTAACGCGCACGAGGACCACCGACTGCAGAAGCACTACGAAGACGCGAGGAAAGCGCGTCTTCAGTGCGCACTGGAAAATGCGGAGAAGTTAAAAGAGGGCTCTCCTGAAGAAGAGGAAACAGACGCTTCGAGAAGGAGGAAAAATATTCCTCGGCGGATGGGCTCTGCGCGAAATAAAAGGAGCCCGACTGGGTCGCCCATTAGAAAGCGCGCCGGCTTGTCACAATCACAAACGCAAAGTCCTTCCCAGTTCCAGCGAAATGCTTTGGAGGACGAGGATGAAGACGATGACGATCTTTTAATCTGCACTGAAGTCGGAGAAGAAGACAACGACGATATTCTAGCACCAGCACTATCAACTGGTGGCGGTACTGATGCGCTGGGCAGCACCTTTTTCTCAGCAGGCTGGCCGGCTGGAAATGCTACAACAAGACTGACCCGAACCGAGGTTCTATACCGTGTTGCTGAGCACGCTGCGGCGCTGGCGCAGTCCTGTGTTAGGAGCGTTCAGATGCGAATGCGCGTGTACATTGCTGGAACCGTAATTGTCTTCGCGGATATTTTCCATAGCACATTTGCGCAGCGATCTACGTTTCGAGCGTACGGGATACCGACGGCGGACCGTATATTAGCCTACCTCGGATTGGATTTGGCTGGCGCAGAGGATGAATTTCATTCGTCCTGGGGAGAACCCGTCGAAAGCTTAAGTGGTTCTGTAGATGTCGACGACGATGATGATCAAGCTAACAGGTCTAGAGGCAGACGGGGTCGTGATACTGTGCGGCTCCACTCGTCCACTACTGGAGCAGGAAGCGCCGCATCTATGCCGTCGATAGAGGAGAAAGACGCCGGTGCTTTAGCCCGAAATCTTGATGCTGTCACGCCGCCGCGCCGTCGGGACATGCGTGTAGTTGCCGGAGTCGTTCCAATGGGCGAGGGCGAGGCAGAAGGGCACGACGAGATAACGAGTGAGGACTTCTTACGTAGCCGCAGAGTACTCGATCTTCAGCGAGATGATGAGCAAGCTGAGGAAGACGAGTGTGAGAAAGGTGACTACAACATCACGTCAGGGCTTTCTCAACGTCGCGGAGCAAGGTCTTCTACGTACAACAACCCGAGTTTGGATGATCCTCACCAACGTGATTTGCTTTTTGGTGTGAGGTCCTTAGGTTTAGTCGATCCACTGCGCATGTCCCAAAGCCCGCTCGACGACGACACCATGAGTAGTCTTGGACGACGGCACGGCGATTTTCGTACGAGCTTCCACAGTCAAAGATTCCGCAAGCAAAATGCGCTGCTCAAATTGCAGGAGTGCGGACACCTTTTTCACTACTCTTGCCTCTCAGACTGCTTTCGGGAAGCGAAGTTTCGCAAGAAGACGAGCTGTCCGCTGTGCCGCACGAACAATGAGCGGGTAGTTTGGCGCACGCAGAGCTTCGTGGATCCGCAACAGGCGCCGCAGCCCTGGCGTCAGCAAGTCGCCACGTTCGGACGCGAACTAGTCGAGTTTCTCATCCAGGAGGTGGACATTTTGTATTTTGGTTTGATGATCTATATCTTCCTGATTGCGTTTTCGACCACCATCTTGCTCGAGTTCTTCCTCTATGCGATGGCCCAATTTTCGAGCATGCTGCGGTCGCTGAATATGCTCCTAGAGGGCGCGTACGAGATGCACCAGATGGGAGCCGCACCGGGGGTGAGCATGGCGGACGGCAGTGCGCTTGATACTACGGCGCACCACGACACGCTGCTGGTGGGTGATCATGGATTGTCTGACGACTCCACCACTTCTTGGCTCCAAGGGTCTTCGCCGCGTGTGGCAAGGCCAGGAAAGCAGGGACGGCAACCGCGGCCAATATCAACGCTGCACACGACAAGCACAGTGCGGCGCGAAGGGCGTCCGGGCGCTATCGCTGGTGCTAGTGGTAATAGTGCTACGCTACCAAACATGCCGCCCCGTCCCCGTCCCAGTTGGTCTGTGCAGTATATTGCGCCCTGGACTTTGATCGGCACCAAAGACTACATTGGTATGGGAGGCCCTAGCATGTGGCCGCTTCCTCCTTTCACTAGAAGGCGACCACGGCCCCCACAGCGCAAACGACTACAACATCAGATGGCGCACAGTGCTGTGCCTGACCACGCGCGTGTAAACGATAGAGAGATGAATAGCACCGCTAACTCGACTTCCTCCTGGCGACTCCACGACCCGTTGGATAGAAGCGCCAACCCTACACAGAGTCACCGAGGCGCTAGCGGCGAGTCACGTGCTGCGTCTGCACGGTCCGTCTCTCCTTTTGGCGACTCAGAGACTTCCTCAAAAAAGCAAGAAGGGGTTGCTCTTGGAGAGACACCGCGTGGTAACCCGGCTTTACTGGAAAGCAGTGACGACACGCGTCTCAACGTGCCGCTTTCACTTGACGACAATCCCAGGACAGTTTTCGAAAAGCAGGATGATAATATCATTTCCGTTTCCTTGTCGGGGTTTGACTACGCGGGTGTCGAGGAGGAAGGGGCTTTCATCTCGAATTTCGCGAAACAAGAGGAACATGTAGAGGAGGACTTTTTCGATTTCGAAGTACTCGAAAGTACACAACGTAGTAGCAGGCGGCATTGGATGCCCGTGCTGCCGGAACGAGTTGTGAGTGAAAACAATGCTACTGCCGGGTCGTTTCGCGACGGTACGTCAAGCAACCCTTTTCCTGGTGAGGTCGTTGAAGTAAAAATACGAGATAGCACAGCAAGACGGGTGCGAGGTGGGAATGATCGAGCACAAGCGCCAGAGGTGATAGAAAGCGCTTCAGTGCTTGAGAAGTCGGATGCCAAGCGCGAACAATCGTCAGCTAGCGATGAAGGGGTTCCTGGCGTGACAGGCGCCTGCCGACAAGATGAGGATCCTCTGCGAAGAACGTTCTCGTCACTTGCATCCCCAGTATTCACGAATTTGGGGAGGCTGCTGTCTGCCTCCGTCAGGTATTGGCGTTATGATGTGCCAGCATCCTCAATGGCTGATGAAAGCGGAGCACTCGGGCACAGTGGGGAAGATGAGGATCTGGTAATGACCGCTGAAGAGTTCTTTACCTTTGATTGGGCAGGTGAGGCAGAAGCGCTTGCTAGTGCTGCGCAAAATAATCCCGAGGTAAGCATGCCAAGTACAAATAGCTACGACAGTAGAGCAGGTGGAGTAGAGTCTGAAGACCGCTTGATGCCGGCGTCCGCCGCTTCAACAATAGGGCGCGGAGAGCGCATGGGAGCCAGCACCGCTCGCGGGGAGAATGCAGAGGTTCTTACGGAAATCAAAAGCCCGCAGCAAGCAGCGGAATTGAGTGAATCAAAGAAGGTCGTGTTACGTGACCAGGAGCGGGTTTTGCGACGGCAGGGCGCCAGGCAGGCTTTGCGAGAGGGCGCAATTAGCCAGCGAGTTGCATCCTTTTTCAAAATTTCGGCTACACCAGATAACAATTCTTTTCTTGCGGGAGGCGCTAGCTACTTGCAGCAGAAGTCGCACGTGGTTGACAAGGAAGTAGCTGCGTTCCAGCGTGGACGCAGGTTGAACCCAGTCAACAAACGACCTACGCTTGAATGGCTAAGTAGCATAGTGAGTCAGCACTTTGGGAATTTTTCAGGTATAGACTACGCGGCGGGCGGAAATAATCTTGCGCGGCGGACAGCATTGAACCTAACCTGGACGTTGTGGGATGCACACCCTAACGCCACTCGCCAGGTGGAGTCCCGAGGATGGCAGCGCGAGCGGCTGGACTCCGTCGCTTTTATCGACGTAATTGAGGAAATCCTATTGTTCCGCAATGCGACGCTTGTGACACCGTTCTTGCGCTATCTTATAACCGGAAAGGTAGACTCCGGTGCAAAGCACGCCTTTGTGAAAATGGAGAGAGAGGGCGGCGCACTCGTCCTTGAAGCCTCTCACGAGGAGCAGACAAGAAACCTAAAGCAAGTGCAGGAGGTGAACGAAAAGTCGACTTCGGAAACGCAAACATACGACGAAGATTATTGGCGGACTTCGCTGGTAGCTGACTTTTTGGATCACAGAGCTATGGCAGCGCTCGCGTTGCAGGACACTGATAACACTGCGATTGTGGTGCCGTCTCTTGAAGAGTTCCACTCTGAATCTGAGTCTGCGGGCCACGAAGGAGGCGATCAGAAGGATTCGGTCGAGCGGCCTTTGTCCCTAGGGTCTGAGAAGAAGCGTGCGGTTTTGGATTCTGCACGGGAAGCGTTTCTGCACGGTTGTCTCCACGGTCTAAAGGAGCTAGTTGTGTATCGACCTCTATGGATACTTGCGCTCTACGGGAGTGGCACCATGATCATGAATGGCGATGAGCAGCCTAGCCAAACGCGGCAGGAGCTGCTGAGTGGACCGACGACTGAGAACAATATCACAGCGGGTGGCGCATCAACAGGTGGGGCAGCGTCGTTCCACGCAGCTCGTGACCGAGTGGAATCGGAAGCGGGCGGACCGAAATCCACTAGTGGTGGTTACCGCGAGGTGAGACCAAGAGCAAGCGCACACGCTGTTCGTTACGAGACAAAGGGAGACGGCGAAGTGCTCGAATCAGTAGCGCTGTCGGGGTCTACCGCCGTGGCATCCAACGGCATGAGTACGCGCGCTTTTCTTTGGTGGGTTGCCGTGAATTATTTCACGAAGACTCAACTTTTCTGCATGTTCATGATGCCGGTAACGTTTCTTCTCGTCGCGTTGTTGCTCTACGAGTACCGCGAGTTTTTGGAATGGTTTTGGCGTCGCCTGGGCTTTCTCTACTTGCGATGCTTTGGCGATCGATTAGACATTCGGATTCGCATCCGCGCCGAACAGAGCCCAGCTTCGAATCCCGCAGCTGTTCCTGGAGGAGACGGATATAGTGCGCCTGCCGGGCACTCCTCGGTGCAGCTTACTGGTTCACCAGCAGCAGCACAGAGGATCCAAGCAGGTCTGACAGGGAACCGCAGCCACATTGCAGACGCACTCTTTGGTTCGGAAGAAGCCCCAGATGCGAACGAGTTCATGGATGGTGCAGGAGGCGAGGCTGCTGTGCCAGTAATCTCTGCTGTCCTCGATTTGCAGGACGAAGACGAGCATGAATACGTTGACATGCTTTCCCAACTGCGGGCGCAACGCGCGGCTGCGCGCGCTGCAGCCGCGGCCGCAAACGGCGGAACGTCAGCTGCAGGTGGCAGCATGGGTGTAGCACCAGGCACTGCTTCTAATAGCCCGACATTGGCTCAGACGGGACCAGTGTCGTCTTCGAGTAGCATTAACGCACCACCACCAGTGACAAGTGATCGGTTGCCAATAGGATCGCTCACTAATGGCAGCCCAAGTGGTTACAGTGTCGGCTCTACCACCGCAGCTGGCGCGTCCTCTAGTAGTGCTGGCACATCACAATCTTTGGTGGGAACACCTGCAGGGGGTAGCTTCCACTTAGGAGCGACCACTGGCGCCCCGGGTGGAGCAAGCGTCCTTGCGGGTGTCTCGCCTTCGCCCGGCAGCTTGTTGAGCACCCTGCTAGGCAGCACGAGCGAGCAGATCAACCAGGAGCTTTATTTTGGACAAGCCAGCAGTGATGGCGGAAGTTCTGACGGCGACAGCCTGGACGATGCTGGGGAGGGTGCACTCGAGTTGCTAGGCAATGCCCTCGATGATGCTTTGGGTGTGGGGACGGGAACCGACCCTGCACCAGGCCCAGGCGCCCAAATGGCTGCGGGTCACAACAATTTTTTTGTGGTCTTCATCTTCACGCCTTTCCTGCATTACGCTAATGAGGGCGTCAAAATGCTCATTTTTTCACTCACACTTCTCGCGGGGCTCGCGCGATGGCTGCTGGAAGCCACTGTGCAGGCGTCGGTAGAAGTTGTTGTCGAAGCAGTGAGCGCTGCCAATGCCGAAGTCCTTCCACTATACTTCCCACCCAAAAGCACACGACGCATTACCAAGTTTGCCCGACTCACAGTGAAGGATTCTATTCGGAAATACCTCTGCGCGCACAGAAAGGGAGCCGAGGAAGCAGAGGAGTCGAGTCCCAGCCACGTCAACGCGAATAGCATGATCAGACAAAACGGCCGCAATGAGGACGTGGCGGATCCTCCAAGCAAAGACGAGTCACCGCAGTTCTCCCAGCAACCCGGAAGAGGCCATTTCCGGCGAAGTCGAGACGGTAGCTTTCCAGCCAATTTGCTTGAAGCAGCGCGTATGATCTCCTTCGGCGAAGAAAGTAACGCAGATGCTGCTCTGAGAGCCAGAAATGGGTCCACCAAGGGGTTCGAGAGTCATGGAAGCTATGCCAGCAGAAGTGTCTCGGAATCAGAAGCCGGGAGCACTTCCGAGGGTTCTTCATCGACTATCTCGTCCAGTGATAGCACGCCAGTCGTGCATACTCCAGTACACGAATTGCCCTTCGATCATCCGGAAGCCATGGCTCTGCGTCGGCGCGCGGCTACCTTTGGAAAGTCACGCCGTGAGGTAGACAAAACAAGAGATCATAGGAGCTTAGGACGTTCGGTTTCTGCTACAACCCCAAGCTCGTCCGATGGCGGTTCTGCACTGCAGGACTACTCTCGTGCAGGCGGTGATGTCGATGTGGAGGAGATGTCCATCGAAGAAGAGGGCGGTGGAACGACCGAGGTTGGTGTGATTGCGCGAGCATTTGCGCGTTTGCAACAGGGTTTCTGGAGTGGGCTCTTCGTGTGCCACTATTGCGTGGTGCTTGTCTTCCTGTTTACACTGAAGGTCTTGCACTTCATTTTTATTCGCGTGGTGCTGGTCCAGATCCTGTTGCGGCCGCCCATGTGGCTCTTTGGCGCCGCACCTAGTTCAGTTCCGCGGAGCTGGCGGCAACCAGCCCCCGAGGTAGAATACGATGAGGAAGGAAGCAGTTCCTGCTCCGAGAGCCAGACCGAAGTTGAGGAATGTGAGTCTCCTGCTCTCATCGCGTCTACGCCTCTGAACTTGGGCAGAAGTCTATCTTGGCCTCAGGATGAGGTGTCCTCAACCAGAAGAAGGCGAAGGCGCGAGTACGACGATGATTTGATAAGACCTCGTAGTAGACGCAGCAGTCAGTGGTCCTCTCCGTCTTCGCAGCATATCGTGGATGCGCAACAACACGCTCTGATTCCAAGAGTGTACTATGTCAGGGCGTCTGCGGAGGAAGGACTGGCTCGTCATAGGGCTTTGCTGGCCGGGTGTGTTCGCGCAGTGTCATCGCTCATTCGCCGAGCTGTTGCGGAATGCTTTCGGTCTCGCGAAGACGAGAGCCGAGGACGAGCAAGCCGCTTCATCAATCTGGACGACGATCATGCCTCCAATTTGGGTGCACTGTCCTCGCCCGGAGACGGCGAACACGACTCTCGGCGTCTGCGGCAGCATAGTCATGGAGACAACTACTCGGCTTTCTCTTCTGATCAAAACGAAGGACCGCAGCAGCTTCTGCCGCGCATGAGAGGCCGCAGACGGCGCGATGACTTAGTGCTCGAGCCGGCGCACGGGAGCATCAGCTCTATGTCGGAGAGGAGACTGCGTTCAGGAGAGTCGTCCTCAGAGGAAGACTACACCCCTCCACTCCTTTTCCCAAACGATGAAGAGCCTCCAATGACCGGGGAAGAGTACGCGGGTGTCCTGAACGAAATTTTAGATGCAGAAGAACAAGGGCTGTCCCCTCCGGATCCGAATGCGGATCTCGACCTGGGCCTTTCCATTCGCGGTGTCATGACTTGGGTGCTTTTTGCCCCAGTAGCGACAGCGATCGAAGTAACCTGGATTTTCTGTGTTCGATTCTGGCGTGCCTTTTCATGGTTCTTTCGATGGACGTCGCCTCGTCCGGCAGGACTGAATCCATCGGCCCCCGGGCAAGGGAGTGATGCAGCATTCGGAGGCCTTTCACCTAGTACAGCAGGAGACAATCACAGCATTACAGGTCTGCAGGCAGATAATATCCATGGCGCTCCTGAGCAAGGACCCAGCAATGTTGCATCTCCAATGCCCGCCGGTCCTCAAAGTTCGGCCACGGCTGAGCAAGCTGCGCCGGCAGTGATAGGCATGCCAGACCTGCTGTTGTTTCCTGTGGGAGAGGAGCGCATGGTAGGCCCAGGGGAGAGTATGCTTCGGGTAGTGTACGCAAGAGTAGACGCTTTTGATCTGACGTTCGGACGTCGCATGCTCTTGGCCTTGGTCTGCAGTTACCCACTGGCATACTGCATGGTTCGCTGGTGGCTCGCGAGCAACCTCATCTACCTCAGCTTGCTGCTTGGACCGATAATGTGGTAAAGACGCAGAAACTGACATAATTTACTGTTGTACGTAGCATAGTAGGAAGAAAGATGAAGCTGAAGCTGAACAGCATCGAAAAGAAGTGAACGGAGCAATCATACTAAGTATGCTGACACCATCATGCATTTATAAAACAGAAACAGACTTTCTCTTGATTTGACGTTATTGCCACGAATAAAACTAACCAGTCGATTATCCTTGAAGTGAACTTCATTTTTCTGTACACAACGCAATTGGATTTATGTGGTTCCTATCAGTACCAGTGGTCTAGACAAATTGTACCTACATTTTTTGAATCAAGAAGCACCTTCAAAGAAATTGTATCCTATATATAATACATCATGTTATCATGATTTTTGGTTCTCGACGTAGTGTATGGCTTGACTGTCCTTTCCATGAAAATAAGTTGGTGTATTTCTGAGTGGTCATAAAAATGTAACTATCTTTGTGTTATAATTCTTGTACTATACGTATTCTGAGTGAACGTGAAGATTCATTCCTGTAATTATAGAACAGCATGATGAACATCCATCAATAACATTCATAATAATGTAAACATCCATGATGATAATTCACAATGAACAAAATCATCCTCGAGCTTTTTTCTGTGGTTAACATCTTCCTCAGTCCAAACCCAGTTCCTCCTATACATATTCCTGTCATCCCTCATCAACCTCCTGGCTTCCTCGGACGTGTCCGTTTTGTCGGATGCTCCCTGGCGTATTGGCTATTGGCATAAGGTGTTCACACTTTTCGCTCTGACAACATTTATGGTAGTGCGGTATCACCTCATCGGTGACTACTACAAGTCTTCATTTTCGTAGCATATGAAAATAAACTTCAAGTGAGAAACAATTGGATGCACGATGTCAACCACAACCACAAGCACCGGAGCATCGTAAAAATATAAATATACATAGTACTACCTCTAGTGCTAGTTCATTTGTTGTATCATGATACCGCCTGGCATTCGTTGCAGCGTGCATGTTGCATATTATCTCTGGTATGGCAATCCAGAGACGGATGGCAAATGGATGCATTGGGATCACAAGACGTTACCGCACTGGGATCCGGCGATAGACCGCAAGCACCCGCCCAAACGGTGGGAGCCGCCGGTCGAAGCGCATAGTCCATTTCGTCCTGCGCGTGGTTTGTACTCCTCTGCAGACCCTGTAACTGTCGTTAAGCCTTGGCGTGAGAAGTTTTAGTTCTGTTGCATTTGGCTGCTAGGATGGTCATGCTGTTGCATACAAGGAGATTGTCTGCGAGAGACTTGCCTAAATCATGTCTACTATCTAGGCGAGTATCCCACGACCTTGATCGAGGACTGTTTATCCCGCCTTGATGAAACCAATAGTGGAAGACAACCCACAGGTGGAAAGAATGAGCATGGGGAAGGAGATAAAACATAAATCTCCTGTTAGAGTTAGTAAGAAAAGACAACTGCGGCTTTAATTCTGATGCACATTTCGCAGAGCTGGCATCGATGGGCATAGACAGTGCGATGTTTTCGTGGTGGGGAAGATCGAAATCAAGTGCAGTGACGAAGCGCGACGACGCGGATAGCGGCGCAGATACTGATCGCCTACTACCATTAGTGCTCGCAGCCGCGAGAAGACACAAAGTGGACGTCAGTTTCCATATTGAGCCATATGGCGGTCGGTCACCGGAAACTTTCCTTGATGATGCGCGGCATCTCCTGGAGCAAAAAGGCCACGTGGGAACAGCTGAGTTTGCACCACATGGTGGTGGAGACGTTGTCACGTTTTTCGTGTACGATGTCTCAAGCAGACATACGCCACCTCCTGAGCGTAAACGTTGGAAGCTCACTTTTGAAACGCTACGAGAAGAGTTCAAAGGCCTGTCGTTCGAGCTGGTATTTTTCTGTCTCTGGATGGAGAACCGAGGCGACGCCGCTTTCGTACGTGAGGCGGGCTTTGACGCAGGCTATTCTTACTTCGCGGCGACGGGATTCACGCCAGCGTCATCACCGACTAATTGGCCTGGAATGCCTCGCGATCTTTTTGTACCCTCCGTTGGGCCGGGTTATGACGACTCGATGATTCGACCCTGGAATACGCACAACATTCGCCCAAGGACTGGAAGCCAGTACTTACCTTAAATATAATGCTAGCTCGAACGGTTCTTTCCATGACATTTTGACTCATCGACGCCGTAGTGCTATTACCTTGATGGCCCCTCTTTGTATTTTGAAGATGGGGGGGACAGATAGTGATAGAGGGAGGCTAGAGTATACTTAGCTAGATGGCTGGAACCAGATAGGTCGCCAGGAAGTGAGAGGGTGTGCGACATGTGCAACACACACTACAACGCAGCGGAGTGGTTGCTGGGGAGCTGCAAGCACAACACAGCGCGGAGCGGTCTAGAGACAAGAAGAGACAAGACGCACACACCGACCAGCTTCGGCGGCGAAACTGGAAGCGCAGCGCCATCAGATGAGCAGAAGAATGACAGGAAAGGGAGAGACACAGCCGGGCCTGGAGGGTTTGGAATCGGTGGGGCCACTTTCGTGCTTTGCCCGGGAATGGCTCGGGCCGACTGCTGCGCCTCTGTTTTGCCCTTTGTCGGAATTAGTGGGGTCGAGTTGCTTACTCATGGAATGGGGTGGGCCGATGTATGAATGCTGTCGCCCGCCCTCGTCGATGGGGTGGGCCGTGCCCGATGTCTTGAATGGGGTGACCTTGATAACACGGGGCTACCGCATGACGGCTCAGCTGTATCAACTGCCGACTCTGTGATTGACAAGAGGTACTCAAACAGAAAAGAGATCGGAAAAAAGGGCTACGGGGGTAGAAATGTCTGATACATGAACGTGAATAACAATAACAGGAGCAAGTTCTTGTGCTCTAGCTAGTTGACCTCTAGTGCGACTCCTCCGTAGCAGCGCTTCTGAGAGGTCTACATCGTCAGGAACTACCTGAGCCCAGTGAATACGAATCTGTAGAAAAGTTAGGACTGTTAGGCTTAAGTGCTTACTCATATTTTGTCCTGTAATGTTGATGTGAAGTCTGAACTAGGACTAGTTCTGGATGTTGATGTATGAGTCACATAGTAAAAGTAAAATGAAGATGAATGTTCTTATAATACTAAACAAAAATTAGAAGGTGGCGCATTCCATAACTTCTATGTAATAATGTCTCTTAGTAGATTTGTGGCCGAATGTACGGTCTTATGGGCCCCCAGTATGTAACTTGGATGACAATAGTTGAACGTGTTGATTGATTGCTTGAAAGGGCGGTGGCATATAGTCCTAACGCAAAAAAAAATCTTAGGTGGTTCTGTGAAACCGCGACAGGGATACACACATGACAAATGAATATTCTTGTGATCGTATATTATCTTGCGCCTATGTCACAGGTACTATGATTCGATGTGGGCGTCAGCGATGGATTTTGATATGGTGACAATCACAAGTTACAACGAATGGGGTGAGGGAACGCAAATTGAGCCAGCCGTACAGTACGAGTCACCGAAGCCGGGTTCTAACGTCCACTATGTGCATTATCCAGATAATGATCCCAATTTTTTTGTAAAGAGAACTCAGGAATGGGTTCGTAAATACAAAGCGCATTGTAGAATACGATGGAACACGAACGAATTACTAGAAGAAGCTGGTGAGGGTGCGGATGTTAACATTAGAGGAGATGATAGATCTGTACGACAAGACGATGAAGACGACTTGAAAAAAAGTAAGTTGAACAAGAATGGTAACGAGCTTTGACGATGGAAGCGTCGCTGTGTGCAACCAAGATCCCTTGGACCACATCCTCAGCAGAGCAAGGTCCCTCGAGCCCAGAGGTTTCCGTGGAGATTTACACGACAGAAAGCAGTTGCTCCCAAGAATCCGCAGTTCCCAACTCATTCGGTACTAGTATTGTGTCGGTCGATGTTGTAGTCCATCTGTATTTCCTAGATCAGACTTTTCCGCAGAAGAATGTAGAAGGAAGTTTTGCTTCTACTTCAGACGTAGGCTAGGTAGTACAACGGCCTTGATGGATGAGGTTGATGATGATGGCGGTGAACACATAAGCAATTACACGAGGACTCAGCTGATCTCGAGTGACAGACCTATTATAAAGCAGAGCGTGCCTCACCGCAAAACATTTGGAACAAACGACTAAAGACCACTCTGAAGCTTGCTCATACCCCGTGATCTCGAGCAGACATCGCAAGCTCAACTTCTGGTCCTTCGTCAACCTCTGTCACACAAGTCGTTAGGTGTTACACCGTGTAGTTCTTGTTGGAGGAACTCAAATTTATACGTAGTTGCTGTACAAAAAGCATCTGAAAAATCTTAAGAGACAAGAACAAGTGCTAGTGCTAGGCACATGGCCGAGTAGGCCTCGCTCGTGATCGTGAGCACGCTGCGCGTGTTTGAGATGATTTCAAAAGGCCGCAGTAGGAAGAGGCATTGCCGTTGAGGCAAAATGCCTGGTCACCTTCCCACAGATACGCGCTCGCCAGGCTCTACGACGCGGTGGTTTTTATATCCGAGAAGGCCTCGTCGTTGGGGGCAGAATCGAGCAAAGCGCACAATGCGGAACCGGTGCAAAAGTGACGATTCTATTGAGGTGTATTGTCAACACTCAAATACAGGAAGAGCACGATATGTTTTCAACAATTATCCGCACAGCAGCAGACCAACAGGGCCAACGGGCGACGCCAGCATCTTCATTCAGTACTGCCCGTGATAACTCTTCGTTTCCCATGATGCTAGCAGAGGGAAGCAGCAACCCGCTCGTCGCTGCCTTTTCTCTAGACAGCCACAGCAGAGGAGATTATCATCGAGAGGAGGAGCAATCGTCATTGACAGCAGAGCCAAAGAAAGTGTTGCGACCTGAGGCACGAGGAAAGTTGGACGTGTCCGCGAGTGAAAAGAAACAATTAAGTACTAAATGATAAGATGACCAACAAGATGGAGATTGTGGTCAACAATGAGCCAGACGAGGCCAGTTTTCTAGACGAGGACCTCCTAAAAAGCAAGGCACGCGGGGATCCGACTGAAGAAAGTGAGGCAACGCCTGTTGCTCCTGTTGTTGAAGCTTTGAAAGATAAAACAAAGGCTGACGTCTGTAACACGAAAAAAAAGACGGAAAAAATTTTGAGATGCTAACTTCCAGCGAAAACATTTTGAGGCGCAAAGGAAATGATAACAGCGAACCCGAGGCTGACGCCGAACAATGCTGCGATTTGCAGTGCGAAACCGACGTCGACACTCTCTCAAGTGAGTGCGAATTTGGGTCGACTTTTCTTGGCGCGAATCAATGTGTGCAAAGACCGCGCGTGCACAAAAGAGGACTGCTGTTCTGCCGCCCTGCTACTATTATTATGGATTGATCTGTTCGCGTTCTAGAGTTTGAATCAAATAAAAATGTAGATCTAAACAATAGGGCAAGGAGTACTTAGTCAATTACGTGTTGCTAAAGCGACTTACGTTTGACTGTACGAACGGGTTAACGACCGTGCCATCCCCGTATAATCTCTAGCTCCGTTCTTAAAATCTTCGATCTGTTGCCATGGGACATAACAACGTCGCCTGGGAAGATATGATCTCGATATTAAGAACGCCAAAGTGGAAATTGATAAGTTAAGTGATCCTGCTTGGTCCCATACCTTATCCTAGGCCACATAATTCGTGGCTCATACATGTGTGGGATCCCCAGGTATTGAAGGATGTTTAAGATCTTTGATTGGCTCTTTGTACCAAGGACACTACGGTGGTCCTTTAAGCTCAACTAAATACAAATGCGTGAACACGTAGCAGATCAGTTTGCGGAGTGTTCACCAACAAGCGAGAGACGTGAGAAAGATCAATGTTAATTATCTTGGCTGGAGAAGGTTTGGGATAATTATGGATTGATCTGTTCGCGTTCTAGAGTTTGAATCAAATAAAAATGTAGATCTAAACAATAGGGCAAGGAGTACTTAGTCAATTACGTGTTGCTAAAGCGACTTACGTTTTAATTCCCCACTAACCCACCCATAATGCCTGGAAGGTCGGCGCGCGTCCAAGCCTTGGTCGCTGACCGGCAAACGACAACGCTTGCTTTTACACCTTTTTCAGAACAGTTGCGCGAGGCTTCGAGTACAGTCAAAAGACCGACTCGTTCTAGCCCCTTGCTTAGCGACAATTCCGTCCGTGTGTCCACACTTGGAGGGTTAGACTCAGACCAAAAAAGAGCTGTTGCAGATAGTCTTGGCCTCGGTGCCGACTTTACACTGCGCGATCAAGTACTACAAAAATTCTCTTGCGGAAAAGATACCGATGCGAGCGTAGCACAACCCCCGCCTACAGCAGTCCCACCCCCCCTTGCTACGGAAGAAGAAGAATTAGCAGTTCTAGCACCTCCGCCAGAGATTTTGGACCAAGATTTGCATAATAGATCCATGGAAGCAATGGCTGCTATTCTGAACAAGGAAGGAGTTGAGAGCATCGCACCGGAACAGAGTGACGCTGGAGCGAGTAGTTCTAGTAGTATTCTAAAGCAGACTAGCCCAAAAGGCCATGGACGCCACTTCTCACGCGGGATTGTGCATAAGCCAGGTGACGCTTTTGCTCCAACCGCTAGACGCATTGGTCCGGGAGAGCTGGTTGACTGGAAGAGCGCACTTAACACTATCCGAGAGGACGTGGAAAACCATCCTCATAGGCTTCCCGATACAATCCCGCTGGTGGTGACCCAAATCAAGTCACCGACAAGATATGTTGATGATTTAACGAACGAAATCGCGGAGTTCGACTTACAATCCCGGCTGTCGGCAACAACAATTAGATCCTACAAGTCGGGGTACAAGAAGTATGTAGAGCTTATGCTCATGCTAGGCAGAGATCCTCATCCACGATATATCGAGGTCAAAGGAGTTCAACTTTTAGCACAAGCCTTCCAGAAATGCAAGGACTTTAAGCGATCCAAAGCCCAGAACATGGAATACGTCAAGTGTTTTGCGGATCTGATAAAGACCGTTGACGGTCCAGTTCGGAAATCGTTTTTGCAGATCGCGAGAATGTTTTTGCGTTCGGCGCCTAACCAGTTTCAACAGCAAGGGATTCGACTTAGGCACATAATGACCTTAGTCCTTCATTTTACCAGCGCCCCGTTGGCTACGATTCAGGTGGGATCTCAGAGTTTTCAAGCAGTACCCTTTCTACGTTTCGCGATCTTCTGTTGGTTTTTCATGATGAGGCTCGATGAAACGTCGACTTGCGAGAGGAGAAGAGGCAGCAATTCAATTATTCTGACTGTTGTCTCGGCTAAGAACAACCAATTCGGCGTCAGCAGACAAGTTGTCGAATTAGGATGTGCATGCGGGCATTCTCCTTCATTGGGGATGGATTTTATCCAGATATGCCCCAAGTGCTGTTGCCCGGAAAAAGACTTCCTCTTTTTTGCTAACACACCGCCAAGGACCCTTCTCAAGCTGATGGAAGGACTGCTTCAACTAGCTAACATTGCTAATCCTGTAGTGCAGTTAGGCGAAGACGAATATAAGAAATCGATCATGTTGCATTCGCTGCGGATAGGTGGAGCACGCTCTGCTGCAGACGGCGGTTTAACAGATTCTGAGATTCAGCAAGTGGGCCGGTGGCAGTCCATTGATAGCATGTACAGATACCTGGGAAATGCTAGAGCCCTGCCAGATGATGTTGGCCTACGATGGCCCCTGAAGAAGCCAATTTTATTCGCGCCGAGAGATTACTCCATTGGGACAATGAAGCCTCATAGCTCTTCCGTAGCGATTAGAGGCGAGTCGAGCACCTTCTCTTCTTCCAGTAGCCAATACGGTGCCTCGAGCGAAGCTTGGCGTAGTCGACCTTCAGTGGCCCCCTACTAATTCTCCCCCTTTATAATAAATAATTCTGGTCACAAAGGTGCGAATCAATCAACACAGGCGGTTTCTCTAATATTGTTTACGTTACGTTAGTTTTATACTATCTTTTCTCTTGTTTCTAGTTTCGTACTTTATACACTTCTGCGTTTATATACTTTCAAAACAAAATGGACCAACAACAAGCGGCTAATGCCGGTATACTCCCGGCGGCACCCGGGCCCCAGGAAGGTGGTGCACTAGTACCTCCAGCGGCTGCAGGTGTAATGGGGCATGGCCCAGGAGCTGCCGAAGCACCAGGAGTTCCTCCGTTGGGAGGTGACTTGGGTGCCTTCCCGCAAGATGCAGGTCAGCCGCAACCGATAGCTGCGATGGCATTTCCACCAGCAGCTCCTGCTGTAGTAATGCAGCAGATGAATGATAATATTTTACGACAGCAGGCCGTTCAAGAAAACGAAGGTCTGGGCGTCCCGACTGACGCACAAGTCATGCTGGTCGTAGAGCGGTGTACCCATCTTCGCCATAAATGCACACCGGCACAGTATCTGTTCGTGCTCAGGCAGCTTCAAGCACGAAACTACGACCGATTGATTAAGCCCCCCGCAAATCTGAACCTTTTCCCCCTGGCGCTATTGGCTACCTTTCGGTGTACCCAGATTATCAACGACGCTGATGCCAATGCACTACAAGAAACGATGATGAAAGCCGTGGCTGGATCTTTCGACCCAAAATCCGACGAGCAAAAATTGTCTTTGGAAGCGGTGTACGACCTGTTTTACTCGATACTTAAGGTGAACCTCGCTCATCCCACACCTGTTGCCGAAGGGCCGAATTTCCAGCAGCGCCAACTGCAGGCCACCTTAGTAGGAAACGTTTTTCCGGACCTGGTTTCTCAGATTGCAGTTGAGAAACGACGCGAAAGCGTCGAAGCTGAAGCCTTGAAGAAAATGAGAACTGAAATAGACAAACTAGTGCGTGAACAGGTGAACCAGCGAACAAGGGCATTAGAAGCCGAGATCAGATCCTTGAAGTCGAGGAAGCCTTCCCCATCTCACAAGGATGACAGACCGGTGAAAAAGAAGAAAAGCGACGATGAAAAAACTTGTTTGTTGTGGATGGAAGGAAAGTGCCAAGGCAAGTACTGCCCAAATAAAAACAAACATGGAGGAGATCTTAAATTGCTGGAATATCTCAATAAAGCATTCCTGCAAGGAAGGCTAAACTCGGATCAGCTGAAGAAATTAGCTTCAAGCTGACAGCCAACATTCCAAAAAGATCAGATACAGAAAGTCTCTTCCTTCATCCCCCCCCCCCATGAAAAACCAAGCATGAAAAATCTCTATAGTTACTAAAAGCTATTCTCTAGTGTGGTCAAGCGAACGTTCATGCATGTCATATTACACATCCCCCCGCTCGTTTACTTTGCCTTCCCTTGAAGTAGGAGCGATACTACCCTTGGATTGATACACAATGCAATTTTTGCCCAGTTTTTGTGAAACCCCCCCATCAAATCCTTCGAAACTGCAACTAGACGGTGACCACGCCTTGTCTGCTTGTAGTTTTATTAGACTTTCTGCTGTTCCGTGACCGTGCCTCGCACTTGGTCTTTGACCTCTGTAATAGTTGAGTAGAGTGGTTTCATCTCGCATGACCTTGCTCGACTTGACTTTATTTCAGCTTTTCTCCAAAACCCCTCAACAGGAAAAGACTTCGCAAAAGCTTTCTGTCTTACCTAAACGGTAGCACCTCACCACAAAATGAGTATAGTAGAAACTGATATATCTAATCTTCGTTTCTCGCAAAACAATATTTCAAAGTTTTTCAACAAAGGGCCTTACGCCGGTCAAAGTATCTTTACAGCGTTGAACTCATTTACCCACCGTAGAGACATAGACCTTACAAACGACTTAAAGATTCGAGGCTACTTCATCGGCGCCACACTGTACACAGCGAACAACAGGACAGTGGCCGCCTTGCGGAGCCTGCAGAAGAAACGCGGGTGGAAAAGTTTGCGGGTCAAAGTCCATGTGGTTTCATTCCTAGGCAACGAGTGGCGTCACACAACCACGAACGAGGGAAAGAGCATCGCAGTCCGAGAATACTAACGTCCACAATAAGTGCTAGCGCAACAACTTCTCCCTTCTGATTCCCTTTCCCCCCCCACCTGATAGCTTACATCAAGATGGACTCATTTGATCAAGAAGACGAACCACCACTGTACTACGCCCCAGTCGATGAGGACGGGGCACCACAGTACGACTACGACAACCCAGATTCTTTTACTAGGCTGCAGCAAGAAAAGATCCTTCACGAGCTCAAGCAACAACAATGGGGCCACTTCCTGAGGCAGTCTCATCTAGAACTACTACGTCTACAAAGGCGGGCATACCTAGAAAAGAAAGAACGCGGAGACTTCGATAATTTATGCAACGAATTGAGATCGCAGCTGGATTTAGATCTGACAGCGGCCAGCAATGGCGACCTGCCTCCGGCGCTGCATGGACTAATAGTCAACAAAGGTTCCACAACCAACAATGGACAGCCAACATTGTCACTTCCAATCGAAAGCCATCGCTCGGATGCAGATGAGATAAATGCAAAACGAAGAAGAGCGTCGTCCGAATTCCAGGATGGTACCGAAGGAGGGCGCGTAGATATTAATAAAGTAGACTACTCGCTATTTACCAACCCTTTCTTCAAGAAGCTCAAGCAGCAGGCTGAAAACGCTAGGTCGGTGGTCGCGGGTAGCTCATCTTCATCAAAAGCAGTGCCAAAACATTTCATCCAGTGCAAAGCCGCGTCCTACCAAGTTTTCACGAAACCCGAGATTTTGCAAGATGTAGAAGAATCCATAGGGAAACCGACACTAGCTCAGCACCAGTCTCGACCCGTTTCCCCCTCATCCATCTCCGAAGTCAGCTCGCAATTCTTTATGTCTTCCACCGAATCAGAGAAAAAACTGGTCCAAGGCGCAGTGAACAGCTGGAAGCCAGTACTCGAGACCGATGCAGCTCGCGATTATGGCGCAGGTCCTACACTGCCAGACTACTTCACACCAACCATCACAAAAAGCAAAACTTCGCTTCCCGAAGAAATAAACGCCGAAGCTACGCGACTGGCGTCATGGCTTATTGCGGAAGAACATAGTCTCAGGACGAAAAACGCAGAATTATTCAGCAAAATGCCTCCTCACCTTAAAGTCGTTTACGATGGCAAGAACTTCGCACTCGCTCACCGGCTACTAGAACTAGCAGTATCTATCGCCAGGGGTTGCGACGCCCTGGTCGACAAGAATGCTGAATTCATTCTCTCATGGAAGCGCAAAATGATTAATGGCATTTCCATGGATAAAGAGGTGGAACCATGTGGCTTCTGGAGGATGCTGGACTCGGACGAAGTCGAGGCGAAACGCGCAATCGCTGAAGAGGCAGCCAGAAGATCGCGTATGCCTCCAGACCACAATCACTGGGCACCAGAGGAGGACATTGAGGTCTTGTGGAAGCAGTACTTGAAGATGCACAAGAAAGGTTTCTGGCAGCCCGCTCCAATCTCGTCCGTGACGGCCGTTGGAGGTGCTGTCCCGTTTCCGGTTCATCAGCCGACTCCGGAGAACCCTACCAAGATTCGCACCTGCGTTGACTTAAGAGGCCAGAACAAGCTTCAGGTAGTGAAAGAGCGCATGCGTCTCTTGGGTTCCCGCGCATCCATCGAACTATCTTGCGCGTTAATGTCCGAACATGTGGAATGGAAAAAACGACATCTCATTTTACAGAATAAGAAAGACGTTAAAGAGGATGTGACTACGGAGAAGTCAATCAGGCAGCAACTTCTTCGAGAACACCAGCAACTCTTCGACAAGTCGCAACCTGAAAACAAGAAGATCTACCGAAACCCAGTCAGCAAGCCTGACCTTAAGTACAGCTTCGTGCCGGCCATGGCAAAAGCGGACATGGAAGGTTACTACTTCCAACACGGTACGGAAGATCCAAGCAAGAACATAATGTTCTACCCCGTCCCCCACAGCGTGCCTGATTCTCACCTCCAACCGGATTCCATCCAAGTGTCATCGAAACCAGACAATCAAGGACGTTTTCGCAGATGGCAAGTGACCCCATCTACGGTGGCTTTGTTTGGGGCACTCTCGAGCGTTCACGAGTGCGTTCATACAAGCGAGATTCATCAGCTGATTATAGTAGTTCTACTCCAAGTACTCACCACTGCTTACATAGACGACTTTCATCCGCAATGCAGACCAGAATGTATTACGAAACAAATCGAATTGGTCAACCTTTACTTAGGGCTCACAGGTTGGTGGCGAAGTCCCGAGAAAGACGATCGTCACCATCGCTTCCAGAAATCGATCACGGTCCTTGGATTGGCCTACGAGATAAACCCGGTTAATCTGCGTAGTTTCGGGCTGAAGATATCAGTTAGCCCAGACAAAATCAAACGTTGTGTGGAGTTGGGTGATGCGCTTATTCGCCAGTTCGCTGAGAATCGGGTCGAGCTGTCTCTCGTCCTTACCTTTAGAGGGCTGTTCCGCCACTGCGCATCATTAGATCGCCTCAAGATCTTCATCGCGAAAGGGGTCGATTTCCTAGCAGACAACTTCGCGAGATGCTTAAGCCAAACAGCCGAGAAAAACAGAGCGTTGGCCTCGATTAAGCTGATGGTGTGGGCGCTGCACCACATTAAACCGCTGCACATAAACCCAACTCGAGTTGACAAACCCGTCGGCCATGCGTACTCGGACGCTGCCCTTGAGGACGTGCAAGGTCTCAACGAGAAGTTGAAACGTGGGCAGTTCGACAACCTCCATGATCACAAGATGTCAATTGGCGCTTACATCAACCTCCCACAGGGCGCACGCTTTTTCCGCTTAAAGCTGAACTCATTGCCCCGCTTCCTCTCCGGCGAGTACATGCACATAGGCATATTGGAAGCGTTAGCAGTGAACGTTTCCACATTCATTTGGGCACACCTTCTCCGAGACTACTTTCTCATTCAGCACGTGGATAACTTAGGCGACGTTTTCGCGCTATGCGCGAACAGCACTAGATGCCCACGCACTCAGAAACTCAGTGCGAGCATCCATCAGAAAATCCAAGATTATAATCTCGATATTTATTTTACTTGGATCTGCTCGGCTAGAAACCTAAGTGATCCCCTGACCAGAGAAGAGCGATTTCGAGCCTTTACTGATTTCTTCTCTTTAGCAACCGAAGAACAATTACACGCTGATTTCATCATTCAAAACCCACACCTATGGGGCGTCGCCCGTTAAATCAAACATCTCTTTGTAAAATTTTTTCCTCTTCATAATTCTTTAGTTATAGGACCCCCGAGTCATAGCGCTGCTAATGACGAAAACGGAGCCTCCTCCCAAGGATCTCACTGGCCTCCCCCCATAGTCAGTGTTGTGCATCCAAGTAAAATTTCACTTCTTCATGGAAATTGATAAGTTAAGTGATCCTGCTTGGTCCCATACCTTATCCTAGGCCACATAATTCGTGGCTCATACATGTGTGGGATCCCCAGGTATTGAAGGATGTTTAAGATCTTTGATTGGCTCTTTGTACCAAGGACACTACGGTGGTCCTTTAAGCTCAACTAAATACAAATGCGTGAACACGTAGCAGATCCGTTTGCGGAGTGTTCACCAACAAGCGAGAGACGTGAGAAAGATCAATGTTAATTATCTTGGCTGGAGAAGGTTTGGGATAATGCTGACTAAAAACGTGAATACTGCTCCAGGCGAAGTGACGTTCTTTCTTACTTACACGAAAGATGTACCCTCTATTGTGATTCAATAGATAAGACAACGACAGCAAGCCCTAATTATCCGCTCCATCCGATCCATCCCGTCCTGGATCTGCCACCCCTCTAAATTATTCGAATATAAGGCAGCGCAACGAGATCGACAACCGACGACACTGAGAGTAGAAAAGACAAGCGAAAGTGGAAAAATTCAGATTGTGACGATTTTTGTAGCCTAGAAGTATCTCTGTCATATTGATATTAATTTTGGTATGGAGCCAAAAACTGCCATGATGGCTGGAGGTGGCGCGGTGGGAACTATAGGACTAGCTTACCTTTCAACGCTCATGGAGTTTACCTCGACCGCAGAACTAAGTGTTGCAGAAGAAGAGGCGTTAGCCGGCAGCTAGGCAGGCTTGTGGTGGCTGGGCACAGCGCTCTTGTCGCGAGTTGTCGGGACGGCGTATGGTGTAACGTACGACGACGATTTTGAGCAGGTTGCATCGACTTCTAGTTTGCCGTAGGATGCATCAGAGTCGTGACTCTTTGTTTTCCGTACTGACATTGCATCAAACAACATACCTAGTCCTAGTTTGTTTATTCGAAGAAACCAACATTTTTGTTTTTTTTTATGTGTAAGTATCTTCGCACAGAGAAGGGTATGACAAAGAGATGAATGAAGATAGGCGGCAACTTTGGGCCGACCTTGGGCCGTTTTGTCTCTACCTTAGGAGATATTTATGCAGAGGTGCAAGAAACGCCCTCGTTCCTACAAAGACAGACCCTGTTGCTGTAGTTCTTCAGTGTTTCTATCAGTGTGCTGCTTGTCTTTGCAGCGATTTTCTTCAGTTCACAGGAGATCTGATCGGTTTCCTCAACGTGATTCTACAGTTTCTGAATCGCATACGCTTTTCGTTGTCTTTCTGGACCGACCATTCTGCCGCTGACGCAACATCCTTGTATTTATGATCCTTGTGCTAGGTGAGTTTTTGTAGTCTACTGCGTGTTGTTCTGTAAAAAGCTGAAAGGATATGTCGCGTGGTCTACGGGCGTTCTCCCTCTATGGGTTTGCGCACAGCGTGGATGCGCTGTCTGTCGTGTTTCGCAATGCGCGAACGCCGCCGCATCCTTCTGACGTCGAAGAGGCAAAGGCGAATGCTACGGAGAAGATGCGCATCCCCAAGAATTTTGAGAAGTACCACTTAGGGAACTAAATGTAAATACCTAGTTGTAGTAGTTCAACTTACTTTCACGAGAAGGATCTACTTTGTCTCAACAACACATACATTTCTAAGGAGAATAATCTTATTGAGGTTATGGATTGGAATTTAGAGTTGGAAGATGAGTATTGCAGTTCCTACCAAGAGTTGCCTCTAACGCATGATGGTCTAGGAGAGGTAGGTGCTGTTTTGTACGCGATCGGATGCGGAAGGAAGTTCGAGCCGAGTCAGGTACGAGTTGCATTCATTAGCCCCATCTCTATTGAGTACGTTCTAGACTAGGAGCACTACTAGGGATGCCAATGAATGAATATTGATCACGTTTATTAGTCTCAACCTCTAAGAAAGTTCAGTCACAAATTCCAATTCAGAGAAAGAATTGAAGCATGATACATAGTTTCGAATATACATACTATTTGTTCCAGCAACTAACCGCTTCTTTGTCCGACGATAGCGAGGAGGATTCAGAGGCCGCGTTGGCGAAGGAGCCAGAGGCGGCCGAAAAACAGGTCGAGGAATTCAAAGAGCAGTGCAGGAAGATGAATCTTAATTATGTGCGGAGGCACTATATATAACTTTAGCTAGTAGTCGTGCGAAGAATACATGCACTGTAGGAATATCTTCCATACCAATAAATCTACTAGACCTAAGCACCCGGTAGCACTCATCCCACTAGAATCCCCCACCCTCCGCACGCACTTCCCTCGCCATAGCGTGGCCCCGCTTGCCCGGCCCCTTGCCTACGGAGTTGACCTGTGGAACAGCACAAGAGCCGGGCTCTTGGCGGCCTGCGGCTATTGGAAAGGCATGCCTGGAAATGGCAGGCCTGGGGGCTTGTTGGTCTTCTGTTAGGTTTGGCATCTTTGCGGAAGGCTGAAGCGTTTGACTTTCAAACTTCTAGCTTTAAAAGTCGCCTACCTCGAGGAAACTTAAAAACGCCACACCCAGCGTTTTTCAAATTCATTCTTCTTCGATAAAATCAAAAATTTTGCATCTTTCGCGCCTTCAGCTTTTAATTTTGGGACGTTTGGGATGTTTAGGAAGCTCGGGAGGTTTTGGAATTTTGGGAAGCTTCAGAAGTTTCTGAAGTTTTCGGAAATTCTGGGAAGTTTCGGAAGCTTAGGAAGTTTTGGAACTTTCGGAAGCTTCGGGGAGCTTGGGAAGTTTGGGGGTCTGAGGGTCTGAGGAATTGGGGCTCGGAAGTGGAAGAGTGAGCGTTTGGGGCTCGGAAGTGGAAGAGTGAGAGTTTGGCGGGGTCGTTGTAGGCGTTTAATTTCAGTAGCTCTTTAATATTCATGTTGTGTTGCCACTGGTTTTTGTGTGTGCGATCGCAGTCGCAGATGAGGCAATTGATTTTCTATGATTCCAATCATTCAAAGAGCAAACTCTTCCAGTCTAAGGAGAGCGATTTCAGAGTTGCCAGACCTACAACTGTGCAACAACGATGACGGACTGCGAAAAGAAATGCGACGGTAAATTTCAGAAGGACAATGCGCACTGTCAGGATCACGCAAACCAGTTGAAGGACCTTTACAGGAGTTCACAGGTATCATTTAACAATAATTAACTACAAAGCGATACCATCATGTATTTTTTGCTGGAGATGTTGTGACTTTTCTCAGCACGACAGTATCTAGGTTTTTGACACAATCACAAATAACTTGTTCTTGACCAAGAACCGTAGACAGAAGATTCGTGGAACAAGCGACGAACTATTGTTTTTCTCGTCAGTCTGTATTCACACCAACATCAAGGCCAGAAGCAAACGCAAGCACGACTGCATCGTGGCACATTGCCCGAACGTAGGCGGCCAGGTGCTTTCGGCAGCCGTAAGACAGGACTTTACGGACGACGCAGCGAAGCAGGCCTGGCAGGGCACCGCAGCAAAGGAGCCGTGTGCAGGCGACGCTAAATGCGAAACGAAGTGCGCTGTCACGGACCTCTTTCAGTGTTAAGGACATGATCTTTGGTCGACGACACTTGAGTCGTTCGTAGGTCGGAATAATGCTACAGAGAGCTGAGAGGAGCGCTCCTACAAAATTTTAAGTTTAAGTTTTACTTTACCTAGCAGCACCTTCTCTAACATTTTGTGGAAGCAGCTGAAGTGGAGTACGCGCACAAGAGCATGTTCCAGTTCTGTGTGGACATGTTCCACGACTGGCAGAATACCGAAGAGCTGAACTGGAAAACGGGCCATCCGGCAGCGCGCTAAAAATGCCATGTCTATCAACACTGTAGACAGTGGCAGTATGTGGAGGGGTAAGCAATGTTGACTGTGAGAACTCACTCTGTTTTACACTGTACACAATATGGGGGGACTGAAGTTGACACACGTGGAAATGGATATTGAAGGAATGTCGTTCCGACAGATCATACTGGGTAACATGTGACTTCTCATCATGCAGGTTTTTTTTTTGTATTTCGATTTTCCATGTTTTTCAAACAGTGCAGTACTAATTTATTCATGGCACTTCGTTGCTTTTTACTGTACTAGTCTCAAAAACTACTTCCCAGGGTCATACTCTCATGACAACATGTGTACAGTTTGCAGCTCCGCATGCTGAGAGTGGTCCTTCCAGTACTAGGTATCGCTTCATCCGGATGTGGCGCAACAAAATGCACAGTAATGCTCGATTGCACAGGTCCAGACGAAAAGTTTGACTGAATAGAGTTTAGCGTCGACAAAATTTTGAAGACGTGACACGGGTTTTCACCACCTAGCTATATCGATGTTTGCGAGTGCTAGTAACTAGGAGCAAGTCCTGAGCTTGATACGAAGGCGTGTTTGCCTAATGTATGGAGAAAGAGTAGTTCGCAGACAGTACTCTTCGTCACACAAAATGGGAACAGATAAAGTGCGTAGGAGGACGCTCAGAAACAGGGACGAAAATCCGACACTGTAATGAGCGAGAAAAGCAAGGCGAGAGCGACTATTGATACCACACGATAAATATTATTCCTTGTTGTATCACATAAAAAAACTAGGATCACAGAGTAGCCGCCTGATTTGTTTTGATAGTGGAGAGTGCCTACTTCAAGCATTACTATAGCTGGCTTTTTTTCGCTCCAGATACAGATTTTACGTAGCTGCCGCTGCGCGTCGCAGGTTTGTACAAAACCTCCTATAGATTTTCATTTTCAATCACCTTCATTTCACTAATGTTTGCGCCATCGGAACGTACCTCAGCTCACGGCGGTCGCGGGCCAGGTTCAGCGCGGAAACCTCCAGCCGGGCGCACGATGCCTCAGCGAGCTTACGCTTCGAAAGTAGGGGTTTTACGAGCGACTTCAGCGCACAAATCGTCTGCAGCAGCCAGTAGAGCCGTGTCGAGCGGCGCATCAGAACTCGATGAAACGCATAAAATTTGTCCAGTCAAAAATAGCGTTGTACGCGCAGCTTCCGCGTCGGGAGTATCAAGTACAACTCGCCCGCCTGTTGCGCCTCTCAAAGGATGCAGTACGTCTAGAGGAGCTGGTGGAGGTGGGAACAACAGTAAAGCAATTTTTCTTTACTCAGGAGGAGGCGCGAATAAGATTCGACCCCTGAGCCAAACAATGCCCGCTGGACGACCGAACGCCAGTGTCACTCCGAGCGTTTCTTTGTCTCCCTCCACATCAATGAACAAGGAGAACCGCTGCGATGTTACATCTTCTTCGATTAATAATGTTAATGGCCACGTAGTTAAAAATGGTTGTGGTTCATCTGGAGCCACCTCCTGTTCCACAGCAGGAAGCAAATTGCTGAACTCTTTCCACCTACAGCGGACCACAGCAGCGAACCTGGTGTCACCAGTTCCAGGTCCACGGCGAGCTGCGGTACGCACAGGTGTGGACATCTCCTGCAGCCAGAGCGTGGCTTCGAGTGCGACGGGCAATGCGCGTTGCGTATCTCCATCACTCCGACTTTTCAGTCCGCAACTGGGAGCGCGGGCACCGCTTCTGCCGTCTGAAAACAGTAGTGCAGCCAGGGCAACGTCGCCAGTTTTTACCTTCAGCACGACTGGGCGTCATGCAGTTTCGCCTCTCGGGCAGCGCGGGGTTGTCGCTGGTGCGTCATCTCCACTCGGAGTTGCGTGCAACCATTACGAATAGCCTTTTCTTGACATCTTGAGTGATCGTAGTGAATTAACCCAGCTGGGAAGAGCGAGCCTTGTTGTAGTCCAAAAGGAGTCAGGAAGGAGGACACCGAAGGCATTTCTGGAGGCTACTCGAATCGGTAATATATATTTAACGTAGGACTATTTATCTTTGCGATATAATACCTATTGCACCTCTAAAACCCAAAGATAGATGAAAAGACGATCGGCACGGTGAACACTGTGATTCAGCTCACCTCGCCAAGTCTGGGTGGCCACAGGTCAGCTGGTGACAGCGCCAGCTGCAATGCCACGATGAGATCCTCAGCGTGCCCCCCGCTCCGCCTGGCGAACTCACCGCCGTTCCTTCTCGGGCAACAACGGAACGCTTATCAACAGTTCCCACCACCACCAGGCAGCACCCGTCAACAAACACGTATGGAACACACTGCACCTGCCGTAGTGGCAGGGTCTACGAGCACTGCAGGTGTTAGAATGGCGACTTATCCGATACACCCGTTTAGACAAATGCAACAGCCAATGTCGCGCACAAATACTTCAGCGGCGAATGGAGCACGTTGTGAGGAAAATGAAACACTTCCAGCGCCAGCATGGACAGTGATGCCTCGGGGGCGGAGGCTTCCAAGCAGTACGCAAGAAAGTGGCACATCAATGCAAAATGAGTCAGTGTCAAAGCAGGATGCACACAGCACGACGAGCAAGTCAGTACTTCCGTCACCTGCTTCTGATGCGAGCACGACACTGCCATCACCCGGAGACTCTGAGCAACTGGAAATGGCCTGGCAACGAAAAGCTACGTGTCTAGAGTTCGAGAACGAGGCTCTGCGGCAAGAAATCAAGTACCTGCAAGATCGTTTACAGGAAGCGCTGGGAAGGGGAGCTAGGTGACTCAAGTCCTCGTCTTAATGACACAGGAGATGTAGTTGTATTGTTTTTCTACAGAAAGTCAGGCTCAGAAGGCATTAAGTGCTTAGTTTTAGACGTCCCTGGACTTGGGGGCCAGTAAAAGGAAATCCGTCAAGCAAAGGGAAGAAGGAAGACCACTCGCAGCCTCGATGGCACTGCCGTGACGCGCCCACGCTACCGAGTACCGACAGAAGGCAAGGTGCACAAGCTGGCAGATGGCACACAGAAACACCCGCCAAGGCCCGCCGGCTAACAGTGCGCGCCGTTTCGTTTGCCGTCTGCCTGTCGTACTAACTACGCAGGCGCCCTCACTCTCCCTGCGCACGACGACGCGCAACGCGCTCCCCAGCCCCACGCACTTCAGGCGCAGACAAGCCACGCTCGTCCGACTGGACTGGCGAGGCGCCTGAGAGTCCCAAGCCCGCGCCAAATGTCTAAGGAGCTGCCTTGTTTTGTGTTTGTAGCTTACATGCCAACCACGAAGAAAGAGGCGCTGCGCTGTGTAGCTTACACGCAAACGGCCAAAGAGACCCAGCGACAGCCAACGAACAACGGAGGTGAAAAGCCGAGGAATTGTCGCCGGATCTCCGGGCGCAGAGGCCACATCGCCAGCGACACTTCCACGGACTTGGCCAGCGCCATGCCGTCGCGATTCATGAGAAGAAGGCACACAAACAGAAAAAACGGGCAGCCAGACCCTCGAGCGCAGCGGCCACATTGCTACCGACACTTCCACAGACCTGGCCAGCGCCATGCTGTCGCGATTGGATTCATGAGAAGAAGACACACAAACAGAAAAAGCGGGCAGCTAGATCCTCGGGCGCAGAGGCCACACTGTCAGCGACTACGACACTTCCACAGACTTGGCCAGCGCTATGCCGTCGCGATTCACGAGGAGAAGACACACAAACAGAAAAAACGGGCAGCCAGACCCTCGGGCGCCGAGGCCAAAACGTTCCTGACCCTGACGCTTCCACAGATCTGTCCAGCACCATGCTGTCGCGATTCTTTCATGAGAAAACAGAAGACACAGAAACAGAAAAAGCGGGCAGCCAGATCCTCGGGCGCCAGGATCACGGACAGGCACAAACCACGCAAGTGAACTACCTGGCTCCTGCCGCTGGAGAAGAGAGACACGACAAGCACGCGAAAAACGGACCCGTGCTCGGTGAATACACAAAACACCACAAAAGGCCAACCGAGCGCACCGACATGGTATGCTATGGATTTTTTGCAGTTTTTGGCAACAATTGGGCGGTGGTGTCTTTTGCAGGTTTTTGGACTCCTTCTACCCTATTGCGGTGCCGATTTTCTGGAACTTTTTCCAGAGCTGTCAATGCAGTGAGTAGGAAGACCCTTCCCCCCGCGCGCGTGACGGTTTTCCTTAATCATGCGTAGTTCTTGCATAGACGATCGAAAGCGAATATCACTAGGGTTGCTGTTTGAAGTGAAGGACCCCGCTGTTGGAGACGCCGTCATATATATTTTTGAACGGACGAGTTTAAGTACATGAAAATCTGCTTTGTGGAAGTCGATGCACCCGTGATAATGGGATCACTCCTCATCTGATTCAATGAATATGGCGAAGCCATGCGCGTAGGGTTTGTGCGTTGTCTCTTAACACTGTTAACACAGATATTAAGGGTTACTCACGTAATCACGACAGACGAAATCAGATACATTCAAATGTTTGCCGTTGTACATGGCTATATGGATATTTATAGAAGACAGAAACTCGGAAGTTGATGCTATGCATGAATATGCACTTTCCTTTCCCCCCTACAGTGTGAGGTTCAGAATTCAAGCTCGCTTTCTTTTGGTTTTATTGGCAGCTCCATTCCCATTGATTTGTTCTTCAAGAAGATCACCTCAGATCAAAAGATCTTTTTCGAAGGAAGTTCTTTTCACTTGGATATGGATTACACCCAATTATAACATGATTCATGAGCGGTAGATCGAGAAAGTTGAAGTCAGGAAGTCCAAAATTGCGCGAGTCGGATCCTAAGAAGTTGAGCTTGAGATGATGTTGGCAGAATGGATGTTATCGAGTCTTCTTTCGCGCTGTTCAAGTTCTTCCATATCGCTTTTCAAGTAAACTATTACGAATACAGGCAGATTCTTGTCAAGGAAGTATAAGAAGTACAGACACGCAATCAAGAAGAGGACCACGATTGGCTCGTTGATACTTCCTTTTTTGTGCTGGTGGTTCACGTGCTTTCATGTTGGGAGGGTTGACTGATACTGCAGTGCCCATGCTTGGTTTTGTAGTTCTTGAATACTTAAGGTGATCGCTTTTGCTTTTTTCATTTCTTTCGCGGAAACCAACGACCCGAGAAGGAATTGAGTAGTGCGTAAAATGTCAGGCGGTAATCCAATCGCGACGCCAGCAGTCTCTACTGCGACAACTTCTCAATTCCAAAGAACTACATCAAGCGCCGACGTCGATAGGCATGACCCCTCAAGGTCGCCAGACAACCTTTCTGCTGTGCAGGTGACAGCGTCGGACGATGCTGGAGTTACGTGCGCCCATGGGATGAAGATGGGTGTCGACACTGCTTCAGCTGCTGACGGGAATGTCGGCGAAACCGCCGCTGCTCCCAGGCGCGTTCCGGGTCTGCCACGTTCGCAAAAGAAATGGCTGAAGCGACAGACTGATCGAGGACAGCGAACAGCGAAACGCAGTAAGCGTCAATCTGATGCGCCAAGTTGCGACGAGGCCTCCGGTCCAGGCAGTGCAATATTGGAGCATGCAGGACCAGGACCTTTGACAACGGACAGTTGTAGTACAACAAAAGATAGGGAGCTCCTTGTTCTTCCTAAAAATTGTTTATCTGCAACCTCGCCAGCAGTACCTTCGTCTACTTCTTCACGCACTGCTGGGGATAATCTTAGATCGAGACCAGGAGAAGTCCTTGGAGAAGCTGAGGATCCTCCGGGAATCGGCCGTATCGAAGCAAAACGACGAAGGACGGAGGAGGAGGCGCGCAGGCTGGAGAGCGCTTTCCGTGACCCAGGAAGCTTGAAAGTTGTCATAAATTGCAGTTTCTGCGGCGAAATGAACTTCAAAGAACTCCTCTCGCTGCGAAAACAGATCGAGCTGTCGTATAATGTCTTCAAGCAGAGCAAGTACCCCATCCAGCTCCATCTCACGAGCTTCTGCCCGAAAACCAATCCTCTCGCAGCCGCATGGAACGTCGTCCGCTCCGATTTGAAGGCTGTAGTTTCACAAGAACAACAAGTCCTCGAAGAAAATAACTCAACAAAGACAACAACAATGATCTCCTGTTGCTCATCATCAACATCAACCAAATCAACATCTTCTGGTTCGGTAATTTCCTCCCCTTATGGTGCCGAACAAGCACTCGAAGCAAAGAATAAGGCGGACCCCGAAGACGGATCGTCTTTGGATGCTCTTCTAGAACAAAGGCTTCAGGACGTTTTGGGGTCTTTTGCCAGCGCGAAACTTCAGGGTCAACGTAGATTGCTAACGCTGGTTCGATCATTAGCTCTAGAGAAATGGAAGATTCATATTCATGAGCGCCCCTACTGGGAAGTATTTGCGTCGTCCTCAAGCGTCAGCTCCTCATCTGGAGAAGGCAGGAGACCACAGCTTATAGTTCTGTCACCGGACGCAGAGGCGCCTCTACTGGACTTGCAGGAGCTTGTCAATCACGTACGAAGTGGAGTCTCTCTTCCACCATCACCAGGAGCGACCTGTTCCCCTACCAAAAATGATAAAAACCATATACCAGCACACGATCCGAGACTTACTGCTGCAGACAAACAGACTGTACAACAGGTGGTCGGGATGGATGCTCAAGACGGGCCTCCTACATCCCCCAGCGGCAGCAACAAGAAGACTGATAACTCCAGTAGCACAAAAACTAGCGCTTCTTCTAAGTCATTTGGAAATCTATTTTTTGTGATTGGTGGATCCGTAGATCGCACAGTTCAAAGAGGCCAGACACTTGAGCAGAGCCAAAAGCCCGACGTAAGATGCCGTGTACAACGCTGTGTAAGGCTTCCGATTCGTGAATTTGCAGCGAAGGGGAGTGCGAAAATTCTGAACATTGACACGGTGATACAAATGGTCAGTATGAAAGCGTGGAAGGAAACTGAACGAGAGCGACATCATCAAGGATGGCTAGATTATAATATTTCTGCCGGTTCCTCAACCTCATCTTCTTCCCACGACCCACATCCACAGATTACACGGCCGCCCGTGATGAAGAGATGCACTACAAATAGTATAGAGAAGGAGAACCCAGCAGCAGGCGCAGCATCAATTTCAGCGAAAGCTGGTGTTGTTCTTCAAGTTGTCGTTGAGAACAAGATAAGACAAGAGCACGAGGACGAGAAGAAGCTAGAGCAAGGGTCCCCTGGTGCTCGTTCAACATCACTTGATGATCATGCATCGTCTGAAGCTGTGGGTCAAGCAGTCGTCCCCGCTGCCTTTATCGTCAGTACTCAACATCAACATAGTACTCACGAGCATAGTACGGCATCTTCAACCACTGGCGAAGGACAAGGAGTGGAAGAAAACCGTCTGTCGGTAGAGAGCATGGCGAGCAGTACAGAGAAATCCAAGAAGGGGACAAGAAAAAGTGAAATAACTTTTTCAGAAGAAACAGCTTCGGAGTGGAGGCAGATCTTTCGCCATTGTCTTTCCTCTCGTTTTACAAGCGTGAATAACGTAACTTGAACTTCTACACTAACTATGATATAGATTGAGATACGTCTTAGCTGCAGGTGCTGGAAAAGGAGCTTTGTTTCTAGTCACCTCTACAAGGACTGAGAGCATTGATTGGCTCTTCACACCTCTTACTTTGGACCACAAATGTGCTCACAATTTATACAAGTCGACGACAACTTGTCCTTCACCTTCTTTCCTTCCTACAACTGATCCCTTCTGTAGTCTTGAGGTGGTCATCACATCTGCATTGTTGATCTCCGAACATTTGACACATTATCGCGAAGCGACTATCAATAAGTTCTCCGGAACGTGCCGAAATGTTACGAAATGAAAGTCGTGTTGCTCCCGGGCCATGTTCTAAAAAAGATTAAGATGATTGATTTTAGAAAAAAGTTCGAGAAGATTATCGATGTAGTTTGTCGAGACAACTACGAGCAACGTCATGAGTGTCGAAAGCATAGAGAAGCTGAATTTCAGCATTTGCTATGTTGGTCCGACTACAAACAGAGGGTCTTGACTCTTAGTCGGAAGTCGGCCAATGTCCCGAGAGAAGAAGGTGACTCATGCCAATATCGGTCGAAATCAAAGCAGGAGGTAGGACAGCAAAGAAGAGAGGAAACGGGAGCGACCAGCAAGCATGAGAGTATTTTTTGAAAGGAGGAGGAGGCAAAACAATCTGTAAAGGATGGTGTTCTTTTCAGAAAGAATGAGGCGACGTTCCGAATCAGGACCGCCATAATTCACGTGATGACAGAGAAGTAACGCATTTCAATAGAGCATCTTCCATGGGTCCTGTTAACCAACATGAACATCATAGTTGTTTCATCAATGTATCTATGTGTGCTCGAGGCATATTTAAGAAGTTTGGGACGGTGCTCGTTGCAGTATACCTGCAATTGAGCTGCGGAGGGGTTTCCTACTCCAAACTCACCTTCGAGCCTGCACGGATTTTGAGAGGGCTCTATTTGTATTGAACTGAATAACAAAAATAAGGCTACGGCGATTGACGTTCGAAGTTGGGTAGACTGACTACACAAAAAGATGCTGCAAAGAACCGCGAGATTTCACTTCGGTGCGCTTCGGGCGGCGCGGCCGCAGCTAGGATCTAAAGCAATGCTACCAGGCGGGTCTATGACGGAGGGCCACTATTACGGTGATTTGACTCCGGACGATCATGATCTGAAGGGCTTTCACATGAAGGGAACCAAACAGTATCTCGACGACGGGCGGACGTCGAAAGGACGTAAGCTCCTCGTTTTTTCGTAGAAAGACAATGAATAGCGTGAAAAGTTTTTCAGGGTGGTAGTTCTCGGTAGTTTGTTGGCCAGCATGCTGGTGTTAATTTACATGTTGAGTTGACTTTCTGCTATTAATTACTATCTCCTTGTTAGGGAACCTCTAGAACAGGTAAATGAAAATGAATGAGTGAATGAATGCGCAGCGCATTCTAAAAATGAATTAACTAGTCGTGTCCCGTGTGTTCAGGGGTGGCCGAAAGAAGAGAGGAAAAAAAAGAAGAAGAAGAAGAGGGAGCTGCTAGGCGCCAACGCCTGGCATTTCCACGCAGGGCACCCGGTGAACGTCTCCAGCGCCTGGACATTACCCGGCCCAAGCGCTCCCGGCGGCCACGTTTAAACCCGTGAACGGCTGCGCGGCAGGCGCTCGCTGTCAGGCACAGAGTGCACGGGCCGCCACTCGGGCCGCTGGCGTTGAACTCGAGAAGGCGGCCAGCGCTGCCATTGGCCCGCGTGGCTCCGCGCCTGACGCGTTTAGCTCGAGGAGGCGGCCAGCGCTGCCATTGGCCTGCGCGACTCCGCCCGGGACTCGTTGGAACGCGGGCGCTCCCAAGCCCTGACATTGCAAAACTCTGAGGCGCCAAACCCTGACACTGCAAAACTCTGACCTTCCGAACTCTGAGGCGCCAAGCCCTGGCATGGCAAAACTCTGACCTTCCGAACTCTGAGGCGCCAAACCTTGACAAGGCAAAACTCTGAGGCGCTAAACTCTGAGGCGCCAAGCCCTGACATTGTAAACTCTGACCTTCCGAACTCTGAGGCGCCACCCCCTGACATCGCAAAACTCAGCGGCGCCAAACCCTGACATCTCTGGGGCGCCAAGCCCTGACGTTGCAAAGCTCTGAGGCTCCAAACTCTGAGGCGGCAAGCCCTGACATTGCAAAACTCTGACTTTCTGAACTCTGAGGCGCCAAACTCTGACAGGGCAAAACTTTGACCGTCTGAACTCTGATGCGCCAAGCCCTGTGACATTGTCAAACTCTGACCTTCCGAACTCTGAGGCGCCAAACCTTGGGGCGCTCCCAAGCCCTGACACTGCAAAACCCTGAGGCGCCAATCAAACCCTGACATTGTAAAACTCTGACCTTGTGAACTCTGAGGCGCCAAACTCTGAGGCGCCAAGCCCTGACACTGCCAAACTCTGAGGCGCCAAACTCTGAGGCGCCCAACCCTTACACGCGCACCCTGACATCTGTTGACGCGTTTGCAACCTTGAGACTCACGCCGGGGTTTGTGGTGCTGTGACAGGACCACGCTCTGCCCTTCCAAACTCTGAAGTGCCAAGCTCTGAAGTGCCAAGCTCTGAGGTGCCAAACCCTGACATTGTCAAAGAAACTCTGACCTTGTGAACTCTGGGCCGCCAAACTCTGAGGCGCCAAGCCTTGACACTGCCAAGTGCCAAACTCTGACGAGCCAAACTCTAAGGCGCCAAACTCTGGCCCGCAAAGCCCCGCCTTCCGTTTACGCGCTTGCCACACTGAGAGGTGGATCCTGACACTTTCGCCCCTTTTTCGCGCCGTGCCCTTTGTGGTTCTGACGTTAAGCGGCCCAAGCGTGACCAGCGGCCACAGTAGAACCCGCTAACGGCTGCCTGGCAAAGGTCCCACTGTCAACCACTGAGAGCCCGACCCGTTTGAGCCCGACCCGTTTGAGCCCAACCGCGTTCACGCCGCGGAGGCGCCCACCGCTGCCCCTGGCTTGCGTGTCTCTTCGCAGACGCCCGCGGCCGCGGCCTTTCCACACAGAGGCCAGCAGGCCGAAGTCTGAGGCTCCAATCCTTGACATTCCAAAACACTGACCTGCGGAACTCTGGGGTGTCAAGCCCTGACATCGCCCAACTCTGAGGCGTCAAACCTTGACATTCCAAAACACGGACCTGCGGAACTCGGGGACGCCAAACGAACCCTGACATCGCCCAACTCTGAGGCGCTAAACTCTAGGGCGCCAAACTCCGACACGCAAAACCCTGACAGCTGTTTTCGCGTTTGAAACACTGAGAGCTGGGCCTTGACTTTTGTGCCCATTTTTGCAAACCTTGAGATTCGAAACGCTGACACGACTGTCGGAGACTTAGCCCTTAGCGGCAACCCTGATACTTCCCGGCTTTGCCCTTAAAACCCCGAGAGTCCTGCCCCCTCTTTTTGTGCCTCTTGTGATTCTCCTTGCTTGCCCTTAAAACCCTGACGTCGGGCCTCGATTTTTGTCGATCATTAATAAAGAGGGAATTGTAGCCCTTAATATTATAGATACATAGGGCACATAATTGGTGCGCTAAGTATAAATAATAATAATAATGCCTATGAATTTGTGGCCGTAGGGGTAGGTAGCGTTTTTCCACCAAGTATCCGAGTATGTATCCCTATCTTTATTGAAGACAGCAAACCTCTCTCTTGTCCCTTTTTCCGGGTACCAAACCCATCATCACCATCAATATATTGCGCTGCGGAGAGGGATCCGATTACTTACACATACTCAACATAGAGGCTCGAGAAATGAAGATGGACTAGCGTTCAGAGAAAACAGGGTGACATTGAAAACAGCGTGAACTAGCGTCGCCATTGAAAACACGGTAAAAACAAAACAGCGGGGACACTGTACCACTATCGAATGAGGATGGGAGCAGTCGGTGTTGATATCTGGGGGTCGCCGTCATCGTTCACAGATAGCGCGGTCATGGATCATCGCTACGCGTTAAATTACAAACAACTGTATTTCTATATTTTGATTTTCGTTTCCTTTTATCTATCACCTCATATTCAAGTAACAAGGAGGATTACGACTTCACCACTTCATCTTGAACACTGCCATTAGAAACATATTTTTCGAAGATTTTTTACCCAAGCAGGTAAAAAAGAAAGAAAACAAGAAAAATCGTAGTGTTTGAATAAATCGTAGCGCTTGAAAGAAGCAGCAGGCCAGACGCCTAAGATTCAACGGGAAAACTACTGAGAGAGATCAAAGCGATGGATTTTTTTTGTAGGCTTTCAAAGGATACAATTTGTAGGCATCTGGGGATGACTTTTGTAGGATCTTGTAGTGGTCGATTTGTAAGGAATCGACCAAAATCCTTCCTATTGAAAAAATCGAACGCTTTGAATAAAATCGACCCCTTTGAAACAAAATCGACCCGTTTGAAAGAAAGCGAAGCCCCTGCACAAGCACCACCAGCCAAAACCGAGCCCCCGAGCAGCATACATAGCCGCCCCTTGCCCCTCCAGATGAGAAAGCCGCAGCACGCATCTCGCCCCCCTTCTCTCAACCAAGCGCAGCCCGCTTCAATTTGCGACGCCACCCAGCTGCCCCGAGCGATCCACTCTAACCCAGCACACCTCCAGCCCGCTCTCCCCTCCGTCACTCATTCAAGCACGCTGCCGAGTCGAGACACACCCACGCCGCCACAATCTCGCGCCCCCGCTCTCTCAAGGCGGTCAGGCGGTTTCTGCAAGCCCCTAACCCAGGCGCAGCCTCATTCCTTCACCCTCGAGGCAGCGCGACCTGCGGCCCGGCAGCCCCCGCCCAAGGCTAAGACGTGCTCAGCTTCAGCCGCGCCCGCTTCATGTAATCGCAAGGAGGTCGGGCGGCAAGGGAGCACGCAAGCCCCAAGGCAACCCTGCGCGGCTTCGTTCTCATTCTGGGACAGCCCAGCAAGAGTCTCAGCCACTCCCGACCCAGCCAGCCCTGGCATGTTTCTTTGCAGCCACATGAACCCTGGCCCCACCTACTTGCCCCAAACTCACAAGGCACGCCTCGCGCTGACTCATCACAAGACGCGGCGCACAGCACTCACAAGACACAAGACAACCCGCACGCACCCGCAAAACGCAGCCCGCGCTCACAGTCACAAGGCACGAAGCAAACCCAAAAGACGCGAATCACACCCACAAGACGCGGCTCACACTCACACGACGCGACTCCCAACCACACAGCGCGACCACCTCTCTCACACTCCCAAGACGCGGCCCGTACTCAGAAGACGCGGCTCAGCTCACACTCAGAAGGCGCGGCTGGTACTCACGCGACACGACTCACACCCGCCAAGCGGGACCCCCTCACACTCACAAACCCATCCCACGCATTCGCGAGACGCGAGGGAGACGCACTCGCA